GATGCGCTTGGGGTTGAGGCCAAGATCAAATGGTTAAACCAGGGCGTCCTCGACCAATTATCGGTAATCACAAGCGCCCCCGTTAACTTTGGTGCTAGAAACTGATAGTGTAGCCACTTAGCTTGCTGCTAGTGTGGCTAAAAGTTTAAGCGCCCAGAGGACAAAATTATTGGATGAAGCCAGAGTTTGTATTTCCACATTCAGTTCTTCCATGGTGTCATAACACACTAAATAATCACGCTATTGTCGCTAGCTTTGGGATACGCAGAGGACCCAGCGAAACCAAGCCCTAGATGCTGTCCTTGAGTCGCTTGGTACTCAGCTGGTTCCTCCGTCGTTACACCAAATGTCGTCTGGTTCATCTCTGTTCGGAAGTCAGCACTCGCTATCGGAGCCAACCATACTCAGAACTGATCTCGCCCAGGGCCCGTCCTCTCAAGATCCAAAATCCAAATGGAAGAGTCTTCGAGACTTTGTCGACGAGAAGGGTATTGAACTCACACTTGACGGGATTGAAGAGGAAAGAAGTAACCTAGATGTATGTATTTGCTTCCTGGTCGAAAGGAAAAAATGGCCTGAATCGCGGAAGGATGTTCTGGGATCAACTGCCGCCCATGCCCCTACACTTAACAAGTACATTGCAGACATCCGAAATTTCCTTCCCTCGATCTCTGCTCCCCAATCGCTATATCAGCTTCTCTCCGAGCAAGAGGAAACTGCTTCAGAAATGGCCGCGCACTTAGAAAGCCTAGCTGCGCACTTTGAACAGATGTCCCAGGCGCTTCATGATCACGAATCGGGAAACCTTCTTTCACCCGGTGACATTGAGGGTGGGCTGGGCCTGTTGTACGCTTTGGCTCGATTGGTCTGATTCCTTTGCCACATCAGTGTTAGTGAAGGATACGGAAGAGTTACCTTCCATTATCGAAGACCTTGAACGGTCCGTGCAATCAATTGAGTCCATCAAGTAAGCAGTGATTGTCCCGGACTGGTGCAATGTGAATATTGCGATATTGAATCGCATTCCCTTCTGTACAGCAACCATGTCATCGCATATCGGGATACTGCACTTGTAGGCATAGAAGTTCATCACGATATTCTCTCGCAGCTCGAAGGATTAGAGTCTACCATGGATGATATGCTGGAGGAGCACTACATTGTCGAGGTATTCAATATCCTCACGAGTTGTATACAACCATTGAATCTTGCGTCGAATGGTAGTCAAGAGTGTCTCAAATTAGCAACTCCCTTCAATCGCATCACACGGCTCTCGCAGAACTTGAGGAAACCTATCATTCCTACCAGCTCGCCTATGACCAATTGATAGTGGAGATGGACCGAAGAAAACGGTATAGAGACGGGGTCCAGACAATGATCGAGCGTTGGACCATGGAGTTGGGTGCGTTACGAGATGGTAAGGCATGATCCTAGTATTTGTGCATCGACATCCACCGTGCAAACTCTTCCCGCAGAAGAACTCTTGGCCCGTGAGCGATTTATAGCCGATCACGGCGGTTTTCTTCCAGATGACCTTTGTCCTTATGTGTCGGATATGCCCGTTCGGTGGACGATCGAAGGAGACGGGCGTGAAAGCAACGCTACCCTGAGTGATAGTATTGTACTGGAAGTACGTGCGCTATAATTTTACCGAAATCCAAGATATGTGCTAAGTAACAAAACGACTCTAGGCGAAGAGGAACTTGGGCTTATCCGAAGAGAAGAGATAGCCCATCAGCTAGAATACAGCAGTCATACTGGTTTTCGTGCATCTCCCCTGGACACCATCTCAGCACGTCATTTTCGTGTATCCTTTCCCACATACGGATAAATGACTCTAATCCGTGTGCCTACCCAAGTACCATACACTTCGCAATGCACACTATCTTTCCAATAATTAATCATTCCACGGACTGTGATTGGACTCCTGAGCAACTGGGTAAAGGCTTCTTCAACGAACTACAACTTCGGCCTGGCCACGAGCTGGCCTTCTGGCATTGATGGTTCTCCGCTTACTCCATGTGACTGTCCTTGTGGGAAAGCTGAATTGACCCAATGTACGATCGCCTCTACCAAACCATCCACCTCATCCTCCGTATTTCCCGCATGCATGCATATTCGTACTCGAGATGCAGAACGAGGAACAGTCGGTGGTGTAATATGACGTGCGAGATATCGACGTTGCGGCGTATAATCCAAAGTACCAACCTGATGAAACAAGGGCGTGGCGGAGGGATCCATTTCTCCAGTTTGCAAAAATCGGGCCAGAGCGTTAGGCGTGTGCCGGGGATTTGGCGTAATCAACGGTATGATCGGCGACACCAAGGAGGCAGTGACCATGCCGGAAGGTTGACCTGGAGAATATATTTGGCCATTACGAGTGTGCGTCTGATCGGGCAGGACGATAACAGATTCCGAATTAGGGATGGATTCAAGACGACTACGCAACGTTCGGAGAAAATACGATGAAAGGTGAAGCAGATGGTTGGTTTGCTGGAAGGGGGACCAAATCGGATCAGGCGTGACATGGGACTCGATGCCGGTACTCACATTTTGAACAGCACCTTCTCTCAGCATGTCGATAACACATTGAATCGCGATGATGTTACAGATAGGCAATGATGTGGTATAGATAAAGGATCGTGCATAGTTGATTAGATGTTCACGAATCCAGGGAGTAGTCAGGATAACGGCTGCACCTTAGAATCAGCAATTGTGTAAGAAAGGGATATCAAGACACGACGCACCTCCCCCAGTTGCCAAAGCTTTTCCAAACGTGTGCAATCGGACGAGTACTCGATGTTCCAATTGCAGCAAAGAAACTAACCCTCTCCCATTTTTTCCATATATCCCAGTGGCATGGGCTTCGTCAACAATGACATGTGCATTCTGAAAAGGGAATTGTTCCTCCGCAAGCATCACAATTTCATGAAGTGGCGCGAAGTCACCATCCATGGAGTAAAGAGATTCGACGGCAATGAACAGACATGCTTTTCCTTCCCGAATGCTTGGGTATGTTCTGAAGATATCCTCAATTTGTGACCGAAGATCAGAGACCGAGTTGTGTTTGAACTTTCTACGCATGGAAGGATGAACCCGGGATGCCCTCATTCCATCATGGACTGATGCGTGGATGAGAGAATCGTATATGATGGCGTCTCCAGCTTGAGGAACGGTTGAAAAAAGTCCAACATTAGCATCGTATCCCGAATTGAAAACCAGTGCAGATGGTGCATTAAAGAATTCTTCGAGGCACCCCTCAAGAGCGACATGCATTGAAGAATTTCCAGCTAGCAACCTTGAGCCACCCGAACCAAGGATGCCCATGGTTGAGCCGTTCTGTGAAGAAGGGTATTGTTTCAGGGCGTCTAGGAACCTTTCCCGCAGCACATCGCTGGATGCCAGGCTTAGGTAGTCATTCGAGCTGAAGTCTGCGTTCCCAAAACGCTCGATTCCACTGTCCGATTGCACCTTATGCAAAGCGGGAGTCGCATCGAGGTGTCGGAGGAGCCCTCGCTGTTCTCTTGACTTTAGCTTCGCCTTGACGCGGCTCTCCAGGATACGATTGGACATTTTCAGAGGAATGCTAGAAAATCGGGAGGACGACAGGGTCAATGGGATCGAGGGGTGCTATTAGAACGATCGCTGTATGCACTGACTCTGTACGCACTGACTATAGCAATGAGCAGACAAAACAGAAGGGCCTCCCAGAATTCGGGGGCGTCCAAAATCGTAAAAGCACCGCGCCTTTATGTGACTACAGCACGATGAGGACCAGGAACGACAATATCACCATGTCATAATTGCCGATATAACGCACGTTAAGTATGTTGTGCCTGCGTTCCAAATATGGAAACTCTCCTAGCGGATCACACGTAGCAGAGATGTAAGATAAGAGCGAGGAATATAACTGTGTATGCAGTGATTTCGGGTCAAATGCCCGCACATCATCGGAATAATAAGTAAATTAAGTAAGCTGTGTAAGGCAATTGTGCGACCCAGGGACAACTGCGGGGGGATAAGGGACAAGGAATGCGCCGACAATCAACCGAAGACCGGCGCCCGAAAGAGACCCGATCACCTCCTTCATAGAGGGCCCTATTTTCTGACGCGCGTTTGTAATTGTCCAAATTGACATTACGTAAACTTCGTGTTACAGCTGTCCGAGTGTACCAAACTACCGAGCTACCAAATGTCCTTTAGAAGCTTCATACCAGCGCTCAAGTCGAGACTATCTCGTCCCCCATCAAGCTCACACTACATCAATGAATGATGTCTCTCAGCTCAGCCACACAGGAACGAGGGATCAGAAGCACACGGACCAGATGGTAGTGGGAGGGTATGAGACATGCGATGTCCCCAAAATTAAAAAAATGAATGATCTCACTCACAGAAATATCCAGGGGTTGCATCCTTTACCCAGTAGCCCCATCACCGTATGAATAACAGACCAATATCCGGTGAATTGATCGATCCAGGTCTTCTGGAACAGTCCTCCGCCCACAACATTGGGTTACTTAGATCGGCCTGCAGCCAGCACCGTATTCAACATCACGTGCTCGAACTAATATCAAGGAGGCGCTTCCAGTTAGAAATTATATATTCCTCAACCCAGGAGCCACGTCATAATGTCGCATAGCTGCAGCTCAGAATGCTGGAAAGCAGGTCGTAAAGACCAATGCGAGACGCATCAACACCGGCTCTAGCTCTGACTCTTCGGCCCATGCATGGTTAACGGGCCCCAACTATGACCTGTATCTCAGTCTCGCGTCAGAGAACTCGATAACTGTAGCTACGACACGAAGAACACAAGAGTTTGTACGTTAGTCTGAGTCGCAACAAACTGAGGCCAAACGACCGTAGCGCGATCATTGAACAAAGAGGAATAAGGCTTCCTCCTTTAAGTCACTAGTAGACGGTGCCACGTCAGGCACCTTCGAATTTCCAACGCCCCCGCGCTCTGTCATTTTCGCTTTCCCACGTCCTCTCTTCCTCTTATGGTTCGCACTTGAGGAACTCTGTTCGTTTACGTTTTCCACTGTCCAAGAACTTGCTCTGCAACAGTCGAGAACATTGACATTACAGTAACATGTGGATTCGAAAGAAGAACATGACAATCCTGATATGACCACTCCGTCAAAGCAAGTCAATGCGGTAGGATCAGTCAGACAAAGCATCGTATTGTACAACTTGTTTGGAACAATCTTGCTAACTGTTTCCTCCAGTGAGTTAGGCTGTTGCAGCTTCCTGGGCGGACGACCAAGTTTCATGCGCCCATTTGGTGTCGATGAAGTCTTTTTCCTCCACCACTTTCCCATTGGCGTCGAAGCGGAGCTTGACCACACTTTCAGAAGACTACACGAGACTCTCTTCAGCATGGTCAAAGCACAGCAAAAACAATCAAGAGACGCACCCCTACGCTGAAATAGAAAACCACTGTATTTTCGTTCTCTACCAGATCTGTGATAGTGATCTACACACGAATCGATACAATCAGTGAGCGCTTATCACTGGCACGATCGGCTGAGTTGTGCACCTCCAAGTCTTTTATCCTTTCGAAGAAAAAGGGGATCGCCTTAATGGATTCCTCCTTACTCAATGGATTCCATCCCAGTGCCTTCAATGACTGTGGGAGTGGGATCCAGGTGAAGTCATCTGCAACATCCTTATCGAAGGTAGCCCTCAGACTTTCGGGTGTGTATGAGAAAAATGCTTCGGTGAGTCGCAAAGCGGTCTTTAAGTTAGGGGATTGATTGTTGAAGGCTGCAGCGAGAGGTGCGGCGATTTGGATGGGAGGCATGTTTGTGATAGGGAGCACGCTGGAAGTTCAAGATCCTGACGTTTATATTTCCTGATTCACCCCTCAATTCCAATACCCCCGCGTGACGTATGGATCGCGACGAGCCGGAAGCCAAAGAGCCCTGATAAACTTCAATTTATGGAATTTCATTACCACCCTGATATTCATGTGTGTGGGGAGTGTGGGACATATTTTCCGGTCAATTTGTTGAGCTCAATTCCCGCTACTCCGCCTATGTTTTTTTCTCCCGAACTCAATTGTCCTATGCACAGGGTCCTTTCTCTGCCCCATACAGTTCTATTCCGCTCATGGCTGCAGTGTAAAAATCAGAGTATGCGGTGGGTTTACAGAGCGAGAGCGAATCTCGGGCTTCGTCTCAGCCAATAGCAACGTTGAGAGTGAACATGCATGCGAGGTAAGAGTAGCGGGATCTGCCGCTTCAGGCGGCGTTCCCCAGTTATTCCCCAAGTGTAGACACGATAACCTTGTTATCTTATAATTCCCGTAGCTCTTTCTTGTTGCGGGTTTGTTTTATGAATTATTTGGGAATGGGAGACTTAATTAAGGGATGAAGCAAATGATGAGATTTTGAAGAACGACTTTAACGCACTGCAAAAGGCCAAAAAATATAGCTCATGGTTGAAGCGAATTATTGGTGGAAAATAAAATATAACGCAGCAAATATTAATTATGATGTTTATTTAAGAATATAAATAATTATAAACGGACGAGCTGGCTTCGCCTTCCACCACCATAGGCAGGTGACCAGCCTCTACTGGAACCACCACCACTCGGGCTTGGCTACAGCAACCCATCAAATACTTCCTCCCTTGATCTTGCAGTCGACTGATCGGTATCTAGTCGACGTTTCTCACTAGGTGTGTGCGCTTGTCGACGCTGTTGTGCTCCGAAAATCAAAGAAGCACCCACTGACCTATGGGTGGACGAAGTGTACACCCCCCAGACTATCGGTAAATGCTAAGCATAACTAAGTAGTTCCTTCTTGGCACACTGTAACGCATTCTCCCTCCCACACTGGCGACTGTCATCACCTTTGATAGCGCCGACTGTGCCCGCGCAACGCGTGTCATGACTCTGAACATGGGCTCCTCTTTCAGTGATAAGGGCCCATATGTAAAGGAAATGATGAACAACGCGTCTCATCATTCCGGGGCGGCTACTGCGACGCCGACATCACTTGACCTCAAATTATTTGAGCATGGCTCCGCAATCCTTGTCTTGGGTTCACAGCGCACCTTAGCAATATACTCTTCGGACTTGTCATCAAGTTCTTGTTTTCATATGACAATCTGTCAAAAGATGGATCAGAGATCATCAGAGATAAGGAGCTTCGGTTTTCTTCACGGATGCCCGTCGCTTGAGTTCGTCTCGGACATGCTCAGGTAAGGCCTTCGGTGGTTAGCTTCTTTCTAATGTTATTGAAGCGGATATGCAGTTTTTTATTGGGAGGGACTTTGAGGATTTCTTCTCTTGTAAGTCCACAATACTTTGGTCCGTATTCCTTAAGGATTCCAATACATGGGGCACCGATTCTTCATTCGCCTGAAAGGATGCACCCCAATTTGGACGGTCCCAATGCACGATTTGGCCCTTTGATGTCATTTCCTGAATCCATCGTTCCCCGTTTTTCTCCAGATCCACAAGTCTCTTTACTTCGGAGACTTTGGTAGCAAGGTTTTTTGGACCGTCCGCTATTATGCTAACTGGAGGCGCGGGTGATTTGTCATGCGATTGTGACTATTGGATCTCAAGGACACTTTGTAATAACATGATAGCATCTTTGCTTCTTCCCCCCAACAAACTTATTGCCTGGAGCAGCCTCAATCGTCCAGTGTTGGGTTATACGACGCCGCGCCCGGCTGTCTCTTCACTCTCCGCGAATGGGGCGCCATTTCACTCACGTCTACGCTTACTTTCCCCTACTGCGCCGACATACTCAAACAAAGAGCCTCTCACTCGACCAGTGACACGCTCTCAATTGCCGCCCATGATCACACTCATGACGTCTGAGTTTAAAGCCTTGTTAAAGTACGCGGGGTGATAAGAGGCCGAAGAAGAATGGCATGCGACTCCCGCAATTAACTCTACCAGAGCAGCGCATTCCGGCTGTCAACAAATGAAGCGAAGGAACCAGGAATATCGGGTGGCTGCTGAGTAGCCGCGATGCTATGATATAGTGGAACAATTTCAGGGAAGCAGCGCCGAGGCGTCACGCACGATTTTCGTGATAACACTTCCACTTATCGCTCGGCAATCATGGTCCGACCTGCAATAAGAGTTATGGGCCTGATTTGGCATCATCTGATATTGCGACACCCATACAACTGGTTGATGACCGGCTCGTGGCAGTTACTTTCCAGGCTTATCATGCCACTACCTGGTCCCATTAGCGGTCATTCGACTGTATACCACGCGTCGCATGCTCATTACTCCAATAGCGATGACTCAACGCTGTTGGTCTTCGCTAAATGATGCTCCACAGGTAGCTCAATCCGAACATGAAAAAGACGTTCCAAGAGGGAAGGGATCTTACACCCGCGTGATGAATGCATTCTTAGGGGTATCACACATCAACGATGAAGCTTGCCTCCGCTGTCATGCATACGGTCCCCTGTTCGTTTTGTGCCCACAACTGCGTCCCTGTGATGGCGCCCCCGGTAGCCTCCCGAGGCAAATAAGCCCCACAAAGCGTCAGATTCCGTCCAACGAAGATAGGATGTTTTGCGCGGTAGGCATATCGCTTTATTGCTGGAAGGCCTCCCAAGCCTGGCGGTGTCAGTCGGGAAGCCAATTCCAGGAGGAGCAGAGATGTTAATGGTCCATGTACAAGACGTTCTGAAGAGTAGAATAGAATTCACACAACTAAGCCTACGGCATCAGCGGAGGCACATTACGCATACCTGGATGCCCATCGACCTCCCGAGCGAATACAGGATCAAGGTGGATCATGTGCGCATTGAACGTAAGAGCGCTGAACCTGAATAACATTGACACAGTTGGGATGAAAGTGTAAGATACATCAGGACTCGACTCGAATGCTGGGAGGTGTCTCAGTCAAGCACTTAATCAGAGTGGAGTGGCCAAGCTACCCTGAGAAGTCGATGTATTTGCGGGGCTCTCCGACGGCGCAACTGTCTGCCTAGGGGTCCGTACAGGCGGCAAGAAGACATGCGTTCTTGTCTCAGTTATGGCTAAGCCTCGTTCGGTGCTAAGCTTCTTCAGCTGGTCAACGAACACCATCGCACCGCCCTTTTTTACTTCGATGCTAGGCACTGTCGTCACGCATTTCACTAAATCACCAATCTTGAGCCCTAGGTACCCCTTGGGCTCATGAAAGTTGAACTCTCCTCCTGCCCACATCCGCCGGGTGTATGGAGAAGGCAAATTATAGGTGGGGTCCGTGCCGTCGTAACTCAGATCCTTGAGAGGAACGAGAGAAGGGAACAAAATTAAGCTATGCCCTGGGTCCAACAAGTCCCCACTTGTTGGCCGAGCGGCTTCCGGAAAGCATGGTTGAAACGACGAGTTTGAAGAGCGAAGCGTTCCGTCTCTAGTAGGAAGAGTCACGTAGAGGTGACGAACGCGGGTAACATCAATAGTGTCAAACTCTTCGCTGTTGTGCGCCTTCATACGAGCGATAAAAGAGTCGAGCCCCTCACTGGTGCTCGTGCCAAGAAACCGAGGCAGTGGCTCCGGACAACGAGTGGCAGCAAAGCCGTGAAGGGCGACATTCTTGTAGGACAGATACTTTGACATTCCTTCCGCGAATTTTGAAGTCTCAGCTTGTGATGCTTGACATGTGAGTTCAATGAATCAACAAGGGAGATCACGTGAGACATTTCAACCTATTATTACCAAGGTTTACTTGAACTTCGTTTCATCTTTGAACTAATCGGTGGGCTTGAGGCGGTATGGACAACTGGGGTAAGGCTGAGGGGACTTATGATCCCCCGATCTCATTGAAATCGTGACTTGCAGATGACGAAGAGTCCGGGGATGAACGACGAGTCAAGCCTCTACCCGTTGTGGCTCCAAGTCGGAAATTTGAAGGCGAAGATGAAGATGAGGATGTAGCGGTAAGATCCCGAAGTCTCGGGCATCTCGTATCATGAGTATTGATCGATGCGATACTGCTCTTACCAACCTTCAACCGAAGGATGATTGGGAAGCCTCGTCCGAAGAAGAGGAGGCACCACTGCCTCCGCCTGTTGCACCTCCTAAAAAGAGAATGACACTGAAGGCTAAGATATCAGAGAAGGAAGCTGAGAGGGCTCGCCAACTGGCAGAAGATGATGAAGGGGAGAGTGTAATCGACGAAGCGGAGCAGAGACGGAGAGACAAACAACATCAGCTCGAAACAGATCTTGCGAATGCCAGCGCCTTGCTTTCAGGAACGTCGGTCTCCGGTACGTAGTCATTATCTGTCTCCTTCCAATAGCTGACAAAATGTCGTTCAGGCAAGTCATTGCCAACAGAAATCCAAGAACTGCTTTCCTTCACACCAAAGACGAAGGATGATTTTGAGGCTTACTCAAAGAAGATTTTCGATGCTTTTATTAGGAAGCATCAAGAGAAGCCTCTTTATGCTGTATTTGTTGAGATGCACGTTAAAGCTCTGGCCCAGTCGTTACGGGACGTGGATGTCCGCAAAGCCGCCAGCGGGTTAACTGCTCTAGCTAACGAAAAGCAGAAAGAGCAAAGAGAAAAAGCCAGTGGAAAGAAAAAGACAAAAACAGCTTCAAAGCCAGCCCTCGCCGGCACCAGGTCCGTGTCCAAGTGAGTGCCACACCTCCCCCTATTCAACCCGTCCTCAACGCAACCTCGAAGGGTTGACACTGCTGCATACGAAGAAGCTTTGGATGACTTTGACGATGATGATTTCATGTGAATTTTGGGCGAACCTTCTCGACCAATGCTCTGCGTATCAGATAACCGACATGTATTAGAGCAGTGCAGATCATATTCCAAATTTTTCCTTCACTCTAAACATTTACCTGGTGTCTCTATATAAGCTAATTGCTCTGACATGAGCTTTGGATGAGTACTGGACAGCCTGGATAGTAGCGACACAATAAGGTACGGGTTCAATTCCTGGAGTCTCAGGCGTTACCCTTCGGCCTCCTCTCTCAACTGCCTCTTTCATCCGCGCCTTTTACGTCTGTGTTCGACCTTCACGCATCCCGAATCTGGGGGAGCGTTCTGACGAGCTTAACACCGCAGTCGTGATTTACCACGCACCACCGCTAACGACTGCCTCGTCATTCCACACCATACATGAGCGAATCAACTCCACAAGTATTTGAGTCAAACGTGACGAGTCATAACAACAGCTGAAAAAGGCTTGCACTCCAACTCACACACCGCGCTCCATTCTTATATTATCAAGGATCAGGCTGCCTAGGATACCGGGGGCTGCGTAGGGAAAACCGGGTATTCAATTATGGATGGGGTTGTGCAGATGTCGTATGAAGATGAAGATCTGGCGAAATGAGTTGCCGTATATGTACTCGTCTTACATGCCGAATGCAGACGTTGGATCGGCATCATCATCGTTCTCGTCGTCGTCGTCGTCATCGTCAACTCCAATCACTTCACTTTTTCCTATCCTCAATTCGATTTCTTTTCCTGCTTCGTACAACTTCGACTTGAAGGTCCTGAACGCGTCCTTCGACGTGCTTACATCCCATACCTGGAGTTTTCCCGTCGAACCCCCCGCGGCCAGGGTAAGGGGATCGTCTGGTGACCAAGTTACAGAGAATGCCTTTCCCTAAGATGAGAGCAACCTCATTAGAGGCGAAGTAGGCAGTGTTCTTGAAACACTCACGACACCAAGCTCTTTGGAAGCAACCATCGAGACATCTAACTCCTGTGTTGTCGCATTGGTTTTAACGTCCCAAACTTTGACGATCTCGTCATGTCCTCCCGTGGCAATGCAACCTCTTAGGTGGGGATTGACGTCCAATCCAAGGGCAGATCCATGATGTGCTGCAATATTGAACCGAGGGGCGGAATCCATTTTTCCAGACAGTGTGCGTGCATCAAAATTCCGCACGCTTCCATCCTTCAATGCTACCTGATAGGCAGGTGGAGATCAGGAATATGAAGCGGAAACATCACGAACGCACGTAAAATCCACTTGGATCCCATGGATCCCACCGCAAAACTTCAATCTCCTCGTTCAATTTTACACCCACCACGGATGTCGGAGCTCTGGTATCAAACATCCTGAGTGTGTGATCAAGACCTCCAGTAAGTAGTACAGTTGACTCGTTAGGGCACCAATGTACTGTTTGAACCTTATCCTGGTGGATATTGTATGACCTGATGGCACTACTCCCGGATCCTCCGGACAAGTCCCAGAGTTTAACCGTCTTATCCGCAGAAGCCGATGCGAGGAGATTCCGATGTGCCTTGTTCCAAGATAAGCCGAGGACTGAATCAATATGGAAGCTGTCGTTTGATTTCCCTGCTTTTTTGCGCTTGTTGGGCTTTGCCGCCACTGGACCGCGCTGCTGAGTCTTTTCTAGTTTCCCTAATACGGCATCGGGGTAAACGGCATCCATCGTGTCCAGCGACCATATTTCAATCTCTGGTTCGAATGTTCCTACAGCAATGAAATTACCAGTCTTGGACGTGGAGGGGGCATTTGGCTGGTAATCAAGCCATTCGATACATAGTGGGAAAGAGGGGAGCATGAAATCGTGATGGGCATATAGGTTGTCTTTCGATTCGTCATACACAAAAACTTCCATTTGCGCGACGTCGGCCTCTACTTTGGCGACAACAATTAGGTTATCGGTAGGATATATCTCGGCTTCCTCGCGCTCCTGTGCCTCATCCTTTTTATGGGAAATGCAGGTTAAGCAGATATGCAGGATAAAATTAGAAATCCCACCTCCTTTAAAGTAACATATGGGTCGTCCCCATCGTGAGACAATAACCACTTCATATTGGAAAATGGACCTGAAGCTATAGGGGCTCAGTTATTGGTTGTGGATGGAAGGGCTCACGCGTACCAACCCCTCCCTCCTCATCGTCGTATGTATCCAATTGATATTCAGAGATGTCATTGGGGTCCTTCTGCGAATCCGTTGAACCTTTCTGGACAGCGCCATCAACTTCCATATCGCCTGAATTTGATTCATCTGGATCTGAGGACGTACTGGGGAGAACGATATGTCAGAAACAAATAATTAAGGAGAGTGACTCACTCTTCCCATTCACTGCCGTCGTCCAAATCGTCGCCTTCTGTCTGAGATGCCATAATAAGAGATTTAAGTTCCGCATCGGCGTCTTCAAATTCGGCTCCAGCTAATTCGCGGATACGATTCATTTCTTTCTCGTCGAGAACATATTGGGATGGATGGCTTGCGGCCACGCCTAAGAAACATGCGATAGTGCACCGAAAAATGATTAAAGTGTGAGAAAGATATACTTGGGCGAGCGCTTAAATACCTCTTCGGACCCAGGCAGTAGCACTAATGAACCCGTTCATTAGGTTCGGCTTGGGCGAAAATTTGGTCAGGACTGAATTGTCTTGTCACGGGGGTTAGCACTGCCACTGGTCCAGCGTATGAACGAATTTCAGGACCACCCAAAAGTCAGAGCGCGGCTGACTTTGGGCTCAAAAGTCTTTGTTGCTGGTCATGAAGTTTATGGAAAACTTGAGGTTGAATCCATCGCTGGCCCAAATGCTGGGCTAGGGTTGAGATTCATATATGTCTCATTAAGCGGGACTCAACGTATGTGGAGAATTTCGCTGCCAGGGCCGTAAGTAACGGTGTTTCGTTAAGAGTTGACTTCAAAATTCCATGCTGCCACATTCTCCTTCACGGAAACGCGCCGCACGTTCCAGGGGCCGGGACTTCCCCCTCGAACGCTGTTGAGCCTGCATCAAGGGAGACCGAGCAGTATCTTCCCCCGGACTACCATCATGCTCGCAAAGGTCGTACTACATTTTTCTTCAAATTTCCTTTGCATGCTTCCTTTCCAGCATCCATATCGTTTGGGAATGGTCTTGCGAAAGTAACGTACGAAGTTAAAGCAGGCGTTGAAGTGTTTTGGAACCGAGAACGCCGGCTTGTCACAGATATGCAGGAGTTAACGGTCGTTGAAGCATTTGACGAAGATATATCCGTCCTTCCAAATCATGGCACTGTAGCAGTTGGCGATGGAGGGAGGTTGTGGGTACAGGCTCGGATTATCGGGGGGATGGCAATTAGTGGATACCCTGCATGCTGCGAAGTGCATGTTAAGAATAGCTCTTCGCGGAAAGTACGAACCCTTCACACCTTCACAACCCTGGGGGTCAAGGACTAAGCGACTCGCTTTAGATATCGGGGGTTTCCCTAGCCTTGATAAGAAAGTTGGCTCTTGCCCATCCGACAGAGGGAAAGAAATCCATTGAACTATCTGACAAATTGCTAGAAGTGCCGTACAAAGGACCAGATTATACGGTTCAAGCTTTCTCCGAAGGGGTAGCGAATCTTGTCTTCTCAGTACCCCGCGCAGCTCTGGGCTCCCAATTAGGTGGGGTTCATCATCAAGAGGGAAGTGGTAACCAGGAAAGTTTATTCCGAATCTCTTGTTCTCTCTTGGTCAAGGTAGCCATGGGCTGGGGAGCGTAAGCATGATTTCACTTGCTCTTGTGGGCTTCAGTCTCATCCAAATTTCTATAGGCCAGATTTAGAAGTTGATGTGCCGGTCCGTGTATTTCATCAGAGCACCGTTCCGGTCAATTTCCACCGCGCGACTTCCCCTGTTCCCCTAACCCCGCTTTCGCCGCCTCAGCCATGGGACCCGACGTTTGATATCCCCCAATCTGCCATGTCCCTACCTTCCTCTCCTCGTATACATCCTTACTCAGATCCCCCGCATCCGGTTATTGCGGAATCCACCTCTCTTGCCTACCACACCACTGTGTATTCTCCGTCGCCGCAATATCCTCTCCCACCACATCCCTATTACTCCGAGAACGGCATTGATGCTTCGACCCACACATATTTTCCGCTTCTTCTACAAGCAGATTCTTCCTGCGACCGCCACCCTATCCGACCTTCATCGGCGGATCCAGTCACGCGGAGACCCCTTCCCCAGCCACCCAAATATCATCCTACTAGCGAGATCAACCTTGAATCCCAGCAACATCCACCAATGGATCAAGTGCGAACGTTTTGGGAAGACACCATTGTCACCGGTGGCGAGAGGGAGAGCAGAAGGGAACGGGCATCCAGAATATCTAGGCATTTGAGGCTGTCGTCGCGTTATCGGTCCCTCTCCCGTTCGAGGGATGTCGAGCAGGCTTCCATTGGGATCCGCCAAGAGCCTGCAAATCATGAGCGGGGTGCTGCGGATCATTATCCCCCTCTCATGGTTTCGGGTATCGTAACGGTGCCTTGGACTGCCGAAAAGCAAATTGTCTCATCCCAGCCCAGCTCTCCATTGCTTGGGGAAGTTTGTACTGTGGCAACCCCCATATTGTCGCCTCGTCCACTGTTATCACCGCGACAAGCTTATTCCGCGAGTCCATTTGGGGGGCCTCCAAGCCCACGAAGCGAACGCGTAGAAGCACTTGAACGCCAGGCTGAAGAGGTGATAGACTCATCGTTGGACACCTCGGACGCAGTAGACACCATGACCCCACAGTCAGCTATTTCTTCCAAGGCAAGGCCTGTCGCCGTGGACAACTTGGACTTTGATGCCAGTGGCTTGAAACTCCATGAGACAACGTTGAAACTTCCGGCTCCTAACATTCCTCCTGTCGGAGGTGATGTTGGAGGTTTGACGCTGCTCGAACGAAGATTAGTACGACCCATGGCGGGCGCATCACTTTTCAAAGTACCGGACCAAATATCGTCTCATAATGTTAATCTGCGGCCTCGATCAACTACTGAATTAACCGTGAGGAATGGATTTTCAAATTTCCCATCATCAAACGTTGTACCTCGCCGCAGCGTGGCTGAGGTGATGCGAAACGAAGCACAAGCCCGAGTGACAGATTGGGTAAGGAAGGAGCAGGAGAAGGACGCAGATACCTCGTTCGAAGGATTGAATGAGGATGGTGCGCTGCTTGAAAATGCAGAGGAAGTGCTCAGTACGGCACGCACCTCCAAGGCGGAACTGGAGTCATCCACTAGCCATGCTCTGGGATGGGATGCAGCTGACCCTCACGAGAATCCTAGCATAAACTCGGGATTTCAGGTTAGTTGTATGCTCCTCCCCATTGATTCCTTGAAGTAGTAATAAATATTGTTTCAATGAAAGCCGTCTTCGGCCAGTCCGAAAGGCCATGGGAGCGTTCACGTACGAGACCGGAACCCAACAGGGGTGGAGGATGACATAAGGGGTGCAAGAGGCAGTCGAGGCGGTGTTGTCACGTCGGTTGCCGCCATCTGGGCCGACAGCAATGCTCAACCTCCAGCAATTCCGAAAAGAAACTACCCTCCAAAATATCCAAAAAGTGATGGCTTCAGCACCACAGTTCTCCCTATTATACCTCTCAAACGCAGCCCATTACGTTCAAGGCACTCGCGGAGCTCTCCGCCACGCCCTCCACTCCAACGGTTGTACCGGATTCTCCACTTGCTGGGAGACCGAAGATGAAACAGGACCAAGGGACAATGTTCGCATGTTACCCATGAAAAAGCCACCTTTGCTATCTTCGTCTATTCCCCGAACCACAGTAGTCAATGGAACACCTGGGAAACCCATACCGTCCAGCACCGTGGGACCTGGACCCAGGCGAGTTGATGCATCTTCACCTCCAGCCCCCGAACACGGGCCGCGCAACAGGAACGTAGAGAATATTCCCACAGTCGGACAGCAGAGGCTCCGAGAACTGATTGCAAAATACCAATCTTGATTATATACTGTTCGCTAGTTGTGCAGCGATTACAGTTTACGCTATAGTTTATATCGATCCATGCCTCAACTAAATACGCATGTTGTGAGCCGCCAACCTAAATTGATGGCACAGTCCTGATTCCCTTGCGACAACCATGCATGAGGTTATCTAGAGGTTCTCAATAATCCCAGGGAAAATATCATCTCCTTTCGCGAGAGATATCGTGAGGCCTCGTGCAGCGCTGTGACATCACTCGGTTATCGAAGCCTCTCGGTGAGGACGGATCCACCCGTGTAAACCCGTTTACACACTTGAAGCTAGCCCTGCATCTTCGATCTTGTGGATATTTGCTTGGGTCATTCGTTTAAATCTCGAGTCGTTATGGCGGTCAAGCTTATAAACGCGATCTATGGAAAGGAGAAGGTCCGGGTATTTAGGGTCGTGAGAAATGGTCAGCATCGCAGGCTCCGTCGAAATGACTGCATTTCTCTCGCGGATATGTGGTGCCTTGACTGACACCAAAAATCGACCTTTAAGGGACCGTACATGATGTAGCGGAGTATAACGTCTGCGCTCTGCTGCAGGGCGAAGTTGAAACGAGTTACACTCAAGCTGACAACTCTGTGGTGGTGCCAACTGACACAGGTATTGTTCTAGTTGGGTCCATCCTTTTGCGCCTTTTCCTTACTACTTATTTCTCAAGTCAAGAATACGGTTAATGGTAAAGGTCACTTTTGGCCACCATATAATGATGCCACCCTAACAGGCCCGTCTTCATTAATTCCAAGTTCTTGCTAAGACATCCCCGCACGTTCTCGATCCTGTCCTCTTCGCTCTCCACATTGGTCTACACTTCGTTACGACCTATTCGCACATTCACGCCTCTAAAATAACGATCGAAAAGCTCAAATGGTCTCGTATTACCCTCCCTGGGAAGCCAGAGGGGCATGATCATTCTTTCATCCGCGATGGCGATGAGAAGCGAACTGTAGAGATCTTCGTTGATACTTCTGGTGGAAAGAGTGCTCCTACTGCTACCATCAGCGCTGGACTTAAGGATTTGCTAGGTATACTATGCCCGCTTTGGCAAATCTTTACATTCAAGGGGTCTAACTTATACAGTGTTGAAGTCATCTGGATCGGCATTTGAGAACTTCCACCTTTGCGAATACACGACCCTTCAACCCGTCTCCGACCGGATTTTCTCCACGGCTGTTGCGCTACACTACAACTTCGGGAAAATTACAAAGGGCCTCACCATTGAGAACCTGGCCGCTCTAGGACAGGAATACGATTTTGAACTTGCTGCGAGCAATGTGAGAGTAGCCACAATTCAGACGTTCGCGGAGGACGAAAGTGCGAGTGTTCAGGTGCGTCGCTCCGTGCTCCGTCCCGTCACCCATTGAAATTGGAGACTCGGGTGATGATCCGCAGGCAACGTTGTACAAAACTGGTGAACTGGTCCTGAAGGAGAATCCTCACGTAATAGACATTACATATAAGCTTCCGAACAAACATTACGTTCCTGTGGACCTTGGCTTCAAGGGACTCAAGAACACGAGTCCTCCGGAAGTGGCGGAAGTATTCCTTCCTCTAGAAGCGCCAAGGTGAGTTTCCGATTCAACGCTTCCCGAATGCGCAGCACTGATGAATGTACCAGCGGTTATATTGAGGCCACTATCGGACGCGATTGAACCACCCTGCATGTCATAACTTAATTGGGTTCAGCATCACCACTATAAACTCCCTTGACTTTTAGTAGAGTATCCAAATAAATACGAAATGTCATCCAGCCCAGCACACACAGTAGTTAAGCAGTTATCGAGCATGATCATGTATTAGCAGGTTACCACCCCCGATATAGAATCGTGACAAGGCATGATTATAGACGTCAGGTGTGAGTCTCACCATGTTGTAATGGACTCAGCAGCACAGTTGTTTGTAGAACGTAAAGGGAATCGATTCGAGATTCAGTGTCCGAGCCGTTAGTATGGGGAGGGACGGGTGGGCAGGAATGGATCCTGTCCATGTCGAGTGAGAGTCGTGATGTCGAGCAGCAGCAACGCATGCCTCCAAAAGAGATTCGTCACAGGAGACCAGATTCACGGCCCAGCAACGGGAATTGCCAAGTTACATCAGAAGCACTGTTCGGCAATGCGATCAGGGAGGGTGGGATCGCAGCAACGAGGATAGTGCCGGAGCACCACTCGCGCGGCCGGAACGAGAGCGGGTAACACCTACCATGGCGATGCTTCGAAGATAATCTGATCGCTCAACAAAGCTCCACAGCAGTAGCATCCGGTGTAGTTTCTTTGTTCAATGCCGAAAGGAACCCGGTCCCTAGCGCTGTACGAAGTCCACTTGTCAGGCTGCTTTCGGAACCCCGTGACCATTGGCATTCGACGAGAGTCCTCCAAAAATTGAGGGAGCCAGCGGACGAAGACGTTTCAGATAGAATACGTCGCTGCGCAGATAGAGAATGCACGAGCATATGCCAGTCAAGTGAAAAGTGCCCTACACACGAGCAAACCTCCAATCGCCATTGAGCCGCTGCTGGCTTGGTTCACAAATAGTGAGCCTGGTAAGATATGGCGCTAAGAATCCAAACTGCGATGGACTGTGACCGGCGGAACTCACAACGGCACAACGGGGGCGGGCCGGCGCACTGGAACCATTGCTGATTGGTGGGACGCATGCGGATTAACGCGGTTTCATCAGTTTCCAGGTGGACTGTGACACGAAAAAGGGGTACATAGCACTGGGGTAGCACAACATGCGTGGGAGCACAGGAATATTGTCACATGCCGTGCGTGAACAATTGGTCAAATTGAATTCTTTGCCCATCGCTGGCGTCTCGTGTCATGTCAAAAGATGTTCCAAGCCTTGATATTTACGCCCCATTTCCGATAGTCAGGGTATGCTCGTTCCATGTGAATCAACATTGTCAATTCATCAAAGCATTAGGGTCCTCAAGAAGCCCCTGGAGCGCCCGCCAGCCCAACCGTCACCAAGTTCCTGCCAGACAGAACCTCCAATGATGGCCTTACGCAATGGGCAAAATCGCATGTTTCTCTCCGCGCTTTTCAACCCTCAGAAAGTCATTCGGTAAAAACACTCACAGCTAAAGCGGAACGTCGGAAGAAAGCCAAAGCCGCAAGGAAGGCAGGGATCATCAGCCGGAGGGAAGCTAAGAAAACAGGCGTGTGGAATATTGACAAACGAATTGCAATGTGAGTCCATTGTGTTGTACTCAGCCGAATTAGCCACTAACACAATAATGCTTTTAAGATGGGCGACATTCATGCCAATACACCTAATGTGGTGTGCATACATGGCGGAATTAATCAGTTTACCGCCCAGACCAACCCCTAGTGAAGATGGAACACTTCCAAATGCTACGATGCCGAACGCCGAGGCTATGCAGTCAAAACTTGTTAGAGCTGATTTGCATGGAAGTATTATCAAAGGCAAGGCAATTATCTCCCTCCAGCAAATTGCAAGTCTTTATGGTCCCCCCCCCAGTTAAACAGAGCCGAAATACGTCAGTGATAGGGTCAGAAGGTATAGTCATCCATGAAACCGAAAACACGTTCAAATTGGTCACAAAAAAGAATGCGCTCAAAAGTATGCGCTGACTTTTACGATGAATGGTTACCCATATCCTGACATATCGACCCTAGTTATACCGAAGGAAAACAGCATTTTCACGATTTTAATCCCTTTATATGCTCCGCCCCGATTCGATCCCACTGCACTAGCTGGCAGAGGTGATAGATCAACAGGGCCTGCACCGTCGTCATCGATGGGCATAGATGCAGACCCATCATCGGCGACGGTGTCCTCTTCTAACTTTTATTCACCTTCTGCACTCGAATCGCCACTTGAGAGGGAGCCTTCAATACAATTCGAGCTGTATGGCAATCACTTCCGGTTCCGTGCTGCGGATCGTGCATCGAGGAAGTTCAAACCGAAAACGACAATTGAAATCTAGGTGTAATGTGGATTGACGCACAAAACTGAGAAAAGTAGGCTTTTCTTCGGTTTGATGGGTGGAACTTGCGATTCTGTAGTTGAATCACTGTCCTGACATGGGGGGGCTTGAAGCCGGCCACCGCTGCGATCCCTGAAGCAGGTCATTTATCGCCACTGGCGGTAAGTACCAGGTGCTGTTAGCAATGCCGACATTCACCACATGATTGGCAATCAACGGGGAATAGGAAGTCACACAGCGGGTATATTATCTACGGACATAGGTAAACAGCATTACTAAGATCATTAAAATCGCAATATCACTGCTATCATCGACGAATGATCGACTAAGCACGAACGACGTAGCCTAAGTTGGTCCTCAGGTGACAACGGGTCTAATTGGGAAATCGGAAATGAATCATAATCACCGTACGGTTTGGATAAAAGGGCTATTTTGCGGGGTACGTGAAAGCTGACATCACCATCTCCCCATTCCTTTGCCGTGAATTGCAGCTCATGGGTCTGAGTTGCTGACTCGTTTGCAGCACCTTGTAATTTCTTCACATCGGAGGCCATACGCTCCGAGAGATCGGGAATCGCGGCGACTAAGGTGCCCGGAATGGGTTTTATATATAGGCATTGAACAAGTGCGGAAACTCTGTGGTATGACTTGAGACCAGCGGGACTCTAAAACGAAACTTGGCTACTCACATCTGTATCGATTCCGGAGGTTCAGGAACCCGTGGCCACCATTTTGTATGGGCATCACGATAAAAATGATCCATAGCGATTTGTAGGGACACGATTTGATCGCTTAACTCCTCCAGTTTGTCAGATAACGTAGTGTCATCCTACGAGAAATAGTGAACTTAGATTCTTCCGAGTTGAAATTGCGAAACTTACAGTGGAGAACCGATCAATTTCTCCCAATGTCTCTTGGAGTACCTTGAACCCGGCCCGGGCAATAAGAAGAGAATGGACCCAAGAATCGTCCAAAAATTCCTCCTCTGAGAGCTCATCCAAGACGGCCCCATGGCAGACCTCTTCGATCAACGCGTCCAGTGGAGAAAGCTGTCGTTCTACATCCATCATCCGTGTTTTGAAGGCATGGGCGACATTGATCATCACCGGGGGGACATGGATGCCAATCAATCCGAGAGCATTCTGTGTCTCGAACGATGGTGCGAAACTGGAATAAATGGAGGTAGCCGAGGGGGCAGGAGCGAAAATGGAGAGATAAGAAGTGCTTGGCGTATGAAGAATCGAGAAGCTTGAAAGCGCGGGGGAAGAAGTTTGGCTTCTATGGCTCGGGTACGGGACTGATAGTCTAGTGGAGTTCCGTGAGGCTAAAGGTGAAGGAAGAGGAATAGTGGTTGAAGACGGGGTGAATCGCCTTGGGCTTGATAAAGGGGAATTAGCTGGGGATCGAGAAATGCGGAGGGTGGAACCCTTGAAGACAGTTTTTGTTGGCATTGGTGGTGTGCTGGTAGAGAGATAGGAATGAGTATGCAGTTCTTGGAGTGATGCGCGTCGCATCTTGATGATTCAGGTGAACATTCAAACTGGGTTGGAGAAGCGAGGGGAGTTCAACCCCCTCGCCTCTTATAGTCATAGAGAACAAAAGGGCTTCAGTCCAGCCAATAATGCCTGCAGATTGCGCGGACAAAGACCTGGTGGCCGGAGTACGTGTGTGGCGGCCATTCAATGGATTCACCACAGATCCTGGAAACTGCTCAAGTGGCTGTGTGCTCATGAGAACTAAATGCCGCGGTGACATGAAACTTGCCGCCTCCCAAAAATTGACACAAATGCTGTACAAGGAATCATGAAATACACGTGGAGATACAACAGCATGGTAGGTGAGGACTATCGGGTGGCCTGGTATGGTAGAGCGCCTGCCATGCGCATTCCTTCGTGCACGGCAACAGCCTCCTCGACCTGCACAACTGTCAGTTGAGGCGTTTTCCGGCATATGCGGATTCACTTACCCATGGTAACCTAAAGAAATCACTTCTGCGCATGAGTTCTTCTGGCACCCCTCTGTCAGTTCCGAGAATAACCTCAAGGTCGCGTGATTGCGAATCCATCCAAGTCTTGATGAAGCCCTGGGGATCATCGGCGAATGACTGGAAAAACTGCCGCTTCAACCTGGCGCTACGGATCTCTTGAACATTTTTGGCAATCTGGGTTCAAATTTCTTGAGTGAAACAGTGCGGAGCCCCGGATTCGTCAAAGGATCACCTCATCATCGATTTGTGAGACTCGGTTCTCAACGGTTGGCACTAATCGAGTAAGAACGTCGCGTATTTTGGTTTTGAGTATAGAATCGTCCATATCGACTTCAATATCGAACGCTCGTGTCTTCGTCGGCTCCTGAGGATTGATTTGTATCTCGTGGTAGATGACGACGGGTTCTGGAGGTCGCAGGCAACGGTCCACCACCTCAGCAACGTTCTGAAACAGGACCGCATCTGCAGGGATAAGCTACATCCAACCAAGTAAGATGATACAGATCAGTATAAATTCAGACGGGGAACAACGCACGGTCCGAAGTTTCTCATCTGGCCGCACTACCCGCCGATCATTCTTGTCCTGCAAGCCGTTATGTTTGATATAGTACCACAAAGCAGTTACACATTCCGCACGCGTTCCTTGCTTCACCCCTATGATTGAACTCAATGCAGGATCCACACTGCCCTTCTCCGGTATGTTGTCCAGGTGAATGATAATGCGCACCCGCAAGCTTGTGTCACCTCTCCTACGTATTGAAAAGCCATCATCGGCTGGGAGTGTGGGGTTTTTATGCCACTGCCCTGTGATCAGCAACCTGAATGTCAGTAGTGCTCAAATACCACACCTCCACAATGACTTCCTCTGGGTAAAGGCGAGGATCCCGGTCCACGTCAACAACGATGCTTTTCAGGAATGATCCAAACTTTGGCGGCGGGGGTGCTGGAAGGGAGTTGGAAGATGATGGATTGGTCACAGATGGTTGCTGTTGATGAACGTTACCAATGTTTCGGTCTTTTGCCAGGATAACACCTACTTCGTCTAGCAATTTACCTTCTATCCTTAGTTCCCATGAAGGAATGCCTCTTCCTGTATTGAAATCCACAGAGGTGTCTTTGCCTTGGACTTGCCACACCTGATCATGGACTGTATGGGTCACAAACACGCGAAGAGTTCTTCGTTTCTGCCGATGGCAAACAAGAAGGACTTTAGAATAAGTAGACGGGGACGTCTGAACAGGCCGCATACCCGTATAACTTTCGTCACAGTTTCCTGCATTTCCAGAACTTTACGCGCCATGGTCCAGTCTAGTTTTCGCTCCAACTCTCTCATCTGGGAGTATAGTGTAATGTCAGGAGCGACACGCAAAGTGTCCGCATCCTGGGGGAGACTGTAATCTGTGACTGTTGTTGTGCGTTGGGCTTGAAATTGGGCTGGTTTCGCCGTGTTATACATGGATAATGCGGAGGCTGTACACCGTGAATGAACCTTAACACATGACTACTAGTCAATTAATAATTATCTTGAGGTTCGGGCGGGTGAAGTATGTCTAGGCGCACAGGGGAGTCGCGCAATCCACCATCTGGCGTGTCGCGCACTGGAGGACATATACCGCATCCTGCCCAGAACCAGGCAGTTTTCCAACGCCTCCTATCGGATGTACGCAGTGGCGATCCCCACCGATATATAGACGCACTTGGGCAAATCACTCAATTCTGTTCAGAGAGGAGGGCATATTATGAGCTCGCCAAACCAGAGATTGCAAATATTCTTCATGTAAGTCGTATCAAAATTCCGTTGTATGTATGTTACTTATCTCGTGTACCAGGCTGCCGTCCAAGGATATGAAGGTTGGTTGAGCTCAGTCAATCCTAATTTCGGCAGTATAGCTTCAAGCATTCACCATTTTGCACGAACACTCCTCCCATTCCTCTCTGAGTTCAACAACGTACCCCAGCTGCATGGTGAGTGGTGCTGTGCCATGGTCAGTGAAAAGATTCCGCGACTCTTACCGCTTCCAGGCATTCTGAATCAATGCTTCCGGTACTTGTTCAATCGCCCTGATTCGGTGTTCGTGCCTGCATACCGCGAGATTGCAGGATTGTCTTCAACTAGTCCCATGTTCATGACCCGCCCTACCCTGGTTCCCTTGAATCCCCCAGCTTCAATCCAGGATTTATCCAAACAGATCCCCGTCCCCAATTCAGTCGGCCAATCATCTACATCCATCCCTGCAACCGCACTTCCGGGTCATGTTGGTTCAATTATCTCTCGCGTTGGGTCAGCAGGGGATGCGTTAAGATTAACACATCATCCTCATGATGATTCTGCAACTCTGCATCCAAATAGAGGAAGTCCCAATGCCTCAAAAGACACATCCGTCGTGCTCGAGATGTCTTGGGAGGATTGGGAAGCGCTCGAAAACGAGGATGGCGGTGTTCTGCAACCAGATACCACTGTCGAAGCTGCAATTGCTAAACCCGTTCCAAATGAGCCTCAGTTGGCCGAACGTACAGATCGAGGGGAGCGTCCAGTTACTCTCGTCTTTCAGAGCTCTTCCCCCGAGCTTAGGACTGGGTCATCTGCAACAGGGAAAGATGCTCCAGCCGTCCAACCCACTTCCCCTGATAGACCTGCCACGGTTATGGACGTAACACAGAGTTCTGACCCGTCAGTGGACATTGAAGTGGATCTAGGAAACAAGGAATTGGACTCAACTCAAACTCAGACCATCAAGACGGAACAAGCGGAAACCTCCACAGGTGGGAAGGACGTCGCCCCGGGCTAGGCTTTTGTTCATGCTTGCATTCCTCTCGCAGACATGGAAATGGTCACTATTCCTCCGGTACTTCGTCCGATAATCCAAACTAGAGAGCATGAGACCGATCCAATGGAAATTCTTCAGATGGAAATTGTTGATGTTGAACATTCCAAGGCTTCGCGATTTCCGTCCAAGGACGTAATCCTCCGACTTCCGGTCTCGCAGGAACGGCAGGATGGAGGGAAAGGCCTGGGGGGAGAGAACAGTGAGGTTCGGTTGCCGGGAACCTTAATGGATGGACCAACCCCGCGTCGGGAGGAATCTGAAATGGGTTTAGACCAAACATCAATTTTAGAGGAAGGCAGGAGCCAGGTTCCCAACCGCGCTTCCACGGTTGAAACTCCTCAGACTGAGGTTCGTCACCCGACAATTATTGAGCATGAAGCTGACTGATATTAAGCCTCAAATCTCTTCATCCACCGCCCTCCCGGGTATCTTCGCGCCAGAGAATCTCAAGTCTGCGGTATGCACCGACTGTTATCTGCATCACGAAACGTGGTAACGTCTTGCGCAGGGAGAAAAGAGCATGGGACTCACGGATCTCAAGTACGATGCTAAAGCTTTTCGCCAACTACTTATCCCAGTTGTCGCAGAGATCCTCCCTGACGTTGACATAGAGCATCTTCATGGGCAGGCAGTCTCACAGGACCTGGCAGATGTTGCTAGCATGGGGCCCGCAATTCTGGCCGAGCTTAGGATGATGCAATCCGGGAAGTCGACTGGGCATTTTCCTGGCGTCAGCGCCGTATCTCCAACGCAACCTGCACCTTCGAATGATCAAGAAAGTACTAGTTCCGCGAGTTTATACTCTCCACAGGTCATGTTGCCTTCCCCTAGTTGGTCTCCTCATGATGTCGAAAGGTCTTTGCTCCAGTCCGACCCTGGATCAAGTCCTCGAACGACACCGGGAGGGCTGCCTTCACTGACCAGCGTATCGCACGAACAACATAGCCTGCGCGATCGGCAATCTACTGTTTCTGTGGGGTTGCATTCCCCGGACAGGGGCGGAGGCGGTCCGCCGGGTGGACTTCAGCCGGGCACAGCTCCAGTGGAACTGAGGTCTGCCACTCCCCAGCCCGTTGTTCCTCGATCCGTGGTTCGGGTTCTGTGCGCACTAGAGGGGAGCGACAAACCGAAGTCACATTCGGCGGCATTTGAATTGTCACAAGAACATGCTATATGTGTGGAGCGATGGAGCAAGCGCCACCTAAGCTTCATGTAAGTTTCTTTTCAATTGGGTATCTTGGTGATATTGAATCTGTCTTCTAGCCCTACTGAGGAGCACCTGAGTGTAACGCTGCGTTGCTTCTCTAAATCCCACTTGAATGAGCCAACCAAACTCCCTGAAGACAAGTGGCCATCCCACGACTCTCTCTTCCTTACTCTCAATCCAGAGAATGACCCTTACTACTTACCCTTGACATCGTTGGTGAGTCTACTAATCTGTGCTCTGAAGCTTTTTGGCACTGATGAGCCTGCAGTACCTCATTTCCCAGCCAATCTGTATCTCCCCGCTTTGCAAAGCTGGCTCAAACAGTGTCCGACTGCTTCAACTCCTTGATCACTCCGACCTCGTGTTCGTGGTTCAACTTGAGAAACCCTCATCATCGGAGATACAGAGGTATAAGGATTTAAGCACCCCACTAGGTATGCTTGCTTGATCGGTCTTACTCGTATGTCGCATATTGTCCGTTGTTTAATGTAACACTTAACATAAACACCTCCGTTTGTTGGAAACGCAAGACCCACTATTGATTAGTTCTGCTTTTAAGCAAAATGCAGCAAGATTGTTTGGTGAGAAACTCCTGAGGGACGACCAATCACATCCGATGGATGTGGTTTTCGTGGTGTAATGGTTATCACATTCGCTTCACAACCCGTGTGCGCGAAAGGCTCTGAGTTCGATCCTCAGCGAGAACATCCTTTTTAGCTTTGGATTGGAGTACTGCACAAACGGGGCATTTAGTGCTACAACTACACACATACACAAGGGATTTCATTATCGCAACCGAGACCGGGTCACTAGCGCCAGACCTTGCAAATTGAAATAAGCAGACACGTGCAGAATAAGTAGATGGTGTTAGTTGCGCCACTGCATTGAACGGTCTCATAAATAGAGGCTGGTGACCTGCCTCACGGTCAGCCGCGTTACGGGGATAAGTCTTGATGGTTACGAGGGCATTTGGTGACTGGTGCATTCTTGCGTGATCCATCTTCGGTCTATAAGCAAATTTTTATAGAGTCCGAATGCCAGTATCTACTATCAGAGGACAGGCTATGCCTTCCCGCTAAAGAGAGGCTGGTTACCTGCCTAAGGCTATGCGCGCCCTCCCTCCGAGTCAGGCTGTGGAAACACAGGCTAGTGTCGAGCCAATGCCCTGCACCAATGAGCTCTTGAACGCTTTGAGCCAAACGATCATGGAGCCTGGTTCCGCAGGCCGGGGTGCGGCAGGCGAGGTACATACGGCCGCAGTGATCATGATCAGGAATCCGAGACCCCGCTGTGACGAAAGTTCTCGCAATCAGATCAAGATGGAACTGGCGCGCGCAAGGTAGTTTCCACTGTGATTAGATACTGGAATTTCCTATATAAGCTACTCAGGACACGCAGCAGTCCAAAAACTCACAATGCGATCCTGGAGCGTCTGTCCCCCAAATCGCTTTGCTACCCATTGTTGCGGCTGATTTCGAAATTGGCACAGCTTATTGTCCTAGTCCCTGCCACATACCGCTAGTGCAGAAGCCGTATGTAGGATTATCATCCCCTTTGACCAAGGTGAACTGGATCCTGAAATGAGATTTAACCATTAGACAGTTGTGTTGGTGCGACCTCATTCTTTGACCAAAACATTCAATATGGGCCAGGAATGACCACTACGATTTGCGGTGCCACAGTTACGATTGCCGGTAACTAAACGTGGCGTAGCTCGGATGGAGGTAACGGACATTAATGCCGCCATTGGAAGGAGCACGGGATGCTCGAGCGTGCCTTACGAGACGTGCGTATGGACCGATTATGTGTGGTGCGTGGGGGCTTTGTGCAAGTAGGACGGGAAATCATTAGGGGGAGCTAGCGGAGCCCAGGTAGAAATTATAGCGTGCGCGAGTGTAATTCCGCCAAAAATTTCGGCATCCAGAAGCCGCATCAACTGAAGTGCCTGACCCAGATGAGGTAGGACTTCGTACGTGTCTCCACGGTAAATTGCAGTTCGGATAGCAATAATTGGCGCAGGGGACTGGTCTCGAGCGCGTTGTGAGGGACACAACTGGAATACCATATGGACGCTTTGGGCGTGACGGCGCGAATCTCCACTCCGATTTTTGTCTTGACGATGAGACAAGATCATTCTTCATGTGTGGGGATCGAAATTGGGCAAGGCAGAGTCCAGTTCCAGCATTGTCTTTGTTCCTGCACATCTTGTGTAATGTATATATACATTATACGCTATTGACAGAGTTTGTGAGGGAGTCCATTATGATAGTAAAGTGTTAACGGTACGATGGTTGCTTGAAGTGAAGACGTCTTGAGCCCCAAAAGAGAAGAATTACGATACTCATATCCGACGTGAAGTTATCAGAGATCGGAGACCAAACGAGGACCCATCTAGTCATCTTCGATTACAATCACCTCAGTTGAGGTCCCACTTCGTCTCCTTTCCGCGCCATGATGCCTGGACACCGTTAAATCATCATCATCATCCTCAATCTCTATCACTTCCTCCCCCAGGGCACGCCCTTCCGCAGCAGTACTATTTTCTAGCCTTCGTCTCGGTGCTCCACGTCCGTCACCAGACTTATCGGCGGTATTGTCGGTCTCACCTCGTCTTCGTTTGGTTCGTGTTGTGGCCGAGGATGAGGAAGCAGCATTGTCTTCTTCCATTAGATCAATTACTTCAGTTCCAGCTACATTAGTAGAGCTAGATGGATGATTCTGAGCGCGAGATCTGGTTCGTCGCCCAATCGAAGGTGTTGTATCCCTCACGGAAGGGCCATTAGAGCTATGCTGTATTTGTTGAGGGAGAATTGGCGCCGCAGAAAGGGATGAGGCGGGTGGTGCTTTCTTTGCATACAAAAGCGTCCAGTTCCGTGCCGTCTATGTTACAGCCTCAGCAAGTCATCAAACAACCCCCTTTGGGTGCCCAAAATGGGTTAGGACTTGCCTGGTCATGCAGTGCACGGTTTCTTTTGTATTCTTGAGCGATGGGTGCCACTGAATCAGACTGTCAACATGAGATTCTCAGGACACGGCTCACTCCACATACCCAGAGGGTCGGCTATTGGGAAGTCGTCAACGATCAAGTGGAACAGTAAGGAAGTGATTTTGAATACCTGGATTTGGGTCCGTAAGTAGAGAGGAGAGGGACAAGATGACTTTGAACAGCGATAATGCTGGGGACCATGCTGTCTTGAGAATGTCCAAACAGATGTGACCATTCTGGGATATATTCATATGGTATATCCTAATAACTCACGCAGAGAAAGGTGCGTGAGAGGAAAAGACAGAGGCGAGAAGGAAGAAGCACCAACCGTGTTTTGAACGTGATCTTGGGCGCTGTGAATCTGGTATGCAGAGTTGAACCCCGCTCATGAATCAGCTTGGAAGCATGGACAAGCAGGCGCTGCACTTACGGATAGTCGTGTGGCAGGGTAAGGGTAAACTCAAACACTCCTCCCTCATATGGAGAGCCAGCGGGCCCGGGGATCGAGCCATTCCATTCAAGCATGGACTGCTCCGACGGCGCGAGACGGATCTCACCCATGTCTTCTTGCTTGAGATCTTTTATCTAGCAAACAAAGCGCCTGGTTAGCAGCCACCATCAGAGGCCCAGAGACGTTCGGCTACTTCGCGCTTTATACGTTTCATAGTCATCTAGGACCACTCAAGTCAGCGTGAGCTCAAGTCGCACGCATGCAAAGGAGACTCACAGAGGACGGCGCTGGGGTCGTCGTCATGAGCACAGGTCGCGAGTCTCCCCCGAAGCTGATCCCAATCATGCTGTAGGTCCTTCTCTATGAACGAATAGGATGTTGCAAAGCACGCCTTAGGTGGTGAACGTAAGCAGCACAGCGGGTGAAAGTTTGGGTGTTATGGTCACATGTTTGTCACGGCGCGCGCAAACTGTTTGCTCGACGCGCCGGAATGCTCATCCCTATCAACCTCCCAGCATCTGTTCCCTCAAGATACCCACATTTACCTCCTTCTCTACTCGAGTTCGGCAATGAGGTTGTCATCATTGAGCTGCAGGGCGAGCTGGTCACTGGGGGAAACTCGGACGGCCAGGTGGTCGGTACTCTTGTGATCCACTCCGAAACCAAAGTAGATTCACATCTTCCGCCTCCCAAATGTTCCGAAATTTCATAACGCAAGCGCTTTATCATAGAAACCAATGCTTAGGATTGGGCATCATCTCCTTGAGGGCAGTATACAGAAGCTTCCAAAGGCATATGCTGTCCTCGCTCGACCCTCATCAAATGACGAGATCGTTCTCCCAAAGCGCCGAAAACTTCGACTGTCTCCTGACTCGGTCCACGAGGACGAAGATGTTGAAGGGGATGCGCAGGGGCCCGATGACTCGAGCATCGCTGAAGATTTTCCGGAGGATACTGGGGAAGATACCAACACGGCCTACGACATGATTGCAATTGTCAAGAAAAAACTTGTATTTTCCAAGCGACCTGTGCCTATCGTCCCTTCAACTACGAATTTTGAAACTAATGTACCTGCCTGACCAACTGGGTTGTTTTCAAACAGTGTCGTACTGGCAAGGAATCAAAAACACAGGAAATGCTATATCAACCAGGGCGTGTCCATGATGAAAAATGTCCATGAAGAAAAATTGAATGTCCGAAGGGAAACATATCATTGGGGGGGGGATAAATTAAGTCGTTTGGTTGAATGAAAGACAGAAGCAAATGAGTTATCATGAAAATAGGCCGGTGTCCACCCAACGTGTGATAGCATTAGGGTAACGGTGCTTTGCGGTATTGCAAGAGGGAGGCGAACGCAGCGATGCCATGGTATCGAAAGGGGAAATAATGATACAAAAAAAGGACGTGGCATAGGCTTGTGCAGTATATGCGAAGTAAAATCATACCTGCTGCTGTGAAGGTGTACCGAATTTTTCCCAAAGGGGATCGTCGCGGGGTGTGCTAAGAAGAGAAATTCAGGTTTGAATGGCAAACCATAACGACGCAATTACGTACTCGGGATGTATTTGGATAGCTCCATTGAAGAGTGCGGTAGAGGATCGTGAAGGATCGGCTTGAGCTGGATCAGCAAGATCCGCCACTCTTGCAGGCATCCAGCCGGCGCCGACAGTGGAGGCAACAAGGGTAGGTACCATGGCGAGCAGCGAAGGACTGAGGATCAAAGTTGTATTGGATCATATTCATCTTCAAGAGCAAAAGAAAGGATGACTTACAGCTGAATACCAGCTTTCCGAAGTTTTTGAGCCCTGCTCATGCCAACAAACGACGATGCACGTAGTCGACCACCCCGTATCTTCGCAAAGGTGGCAAGATTATCTCGAACTTGGTTAATCGCAGGATTGTTCCATTGTTCGAACACGGCGTCATCAGCTGCGGGGCGTCGTTCCGGATCCTCGATAAGCCTACAAAACTTGAAGAACTTCTCGATAGGTCCATTCGGGATGCAACGAATGAGAGCGCCAAGTGGAAGAGCAACGAAACCGAGTGCAAGGGAAATACCCCAATCGCGTCCACTTAGCTTCCTAACTTGGAACGCAGAGCCACCGACGAAAACGATCATGATTTGGACACCAACCTCTGTTTCATAATGTGTCACAACACGCCAAACGGCAATTCGGAGAGGAAAACAACGCACCAATTAAAGTAATAAATATAAAGTACTTATTGGAGAGAATCTTCTCGAATACATTCAGCTTGTTGTCCAACCGGCGACTGTTGAGCGAGTTGAAAATCTGGCAGAAGACAAAGGCATTGAAGACGAGGGTGCCAATCTCGAGAGACTTTTGATTGTGCTCATACTCGGATAAATCATGGTACTTGAAGATCTTCATCCCGGCGAAGTGGAAGAGAAGAATGACGACGATCTGGTAAACAGACTGACCAAAGATTTGCTTGTACATGTCAACGCTAAACAGAGGCGCAGTTAAGCGGTCAGGGCGACGGTTAAGGAGGCCGGGATGAGCTGGATCGGTGGCAAGAGCAAGAGCAGCAAAGGTATCCATGATGATGTTGATCCATAGCAATTGAACAGCCGTGAGAGCGGATGTTTCGCTATTAGATGCGACGGCGGTGACAAAAGTGACGATGACAGCAGTGATGTTGACCGAAATCTGGAACTGGAGGAACTTCTTCACGGAGTCATTGACGCAGCGGCCCCACGTGATGGCGGTGACAATCGAGGCAAAATTGTCATCCATGAGAATGATGTCCGATGCCTCCTTCGCCACCTCCGTACCAGCGACGCCCATGGAAAAACCAACATGGGCTTCTTTCAATGCGAGAGAGTCGTTGGAGCCATCGCCTGTGACACCAACAATTTCTCCAAGTTCTTTCAGCTTCGTGACCAGAATTCGTTTGTCTTCTGGAGACGACCTAGCAAGAACCTACAACGTATGAACAGTCAGATACACTAAACAACCATGTACGCAAGGAATTTTCTGACCTGAAGCCTTGGAATGATCTGCAATAGATCAGCGTTACCCAGCGAACGGAACGCAGGACCTTCCATGATAATACCGCCCGCAGTGTAGACGCCACATTGAGTCGCAATAGAGCGAGCCGTAAGAACGTTATCACCCGTGCATATCTTGACTGCGACTCCAGCTTTCTGGCATTGAGCCACAGCCTCGCGCACGCCAGGACGCAAAGGATCCTCGATACCCACGATCCCTATCAACGTCAATTCCTGCGCAAGGTATCTCCAAGGAGCCTCGTTTTGCTCATCCAAATCTGCGGCAGGCGGCCAATGATCAAAGTCCCTGTAACAAAGCGCCATGGTCCGGAGCATCTGATTTGCATAGAAAATGATCGTCCGAGAAATATTATCTTTCTCCAGAGGACCAATGTCGTGCGTCTCGATACCCTTTCTGTCCCTGGAAGCAGACTGATGAACGATGATGTGCTTCTTGCACTCCTTGGCAAGAATCTCACTAGCCCCCTTGAGATACAGGCGATATTTGCCGTTACCAAGCTTGATAGCCACACCCATCGCCTTTCGTTCACTGCTGAAGGGAATCATCTGAACGACCGTGGCGCCATCACGAGTCTGCTTGTAGTCGGCCCACCCGAGTTCCTTTGCAAATCGTAATAACGCTGATTCGGTTTTGCTCCCAACGAAAACAGGAAGGTTGGTCTCCGAGTCTACGTCCTCGAAAGCCGTAGAATTAATGCAAATGGCCTCATTGAAAAGGGTCTGCAATTGCGGAGTCAAGATGGTGTTGACCTTGGTGATGTCGATAGCAAAGTCATTCTTATGTTTGCGCTCCCCTGGATCCTTCTCGGTAATATCCACTTCCTCTTGACGCTCCTTCTCCACGTTCTGGCGAGTCTGGTTCTGCTCGAGGTCACGGACAAACTTGCCATTTACACCCACAGCACCCGCAACGACGGTCATAACATTCTGGTGAGTGTCCCCGTCTTATCGGTGCAGACGACGCTCGCGTTGGCCATAGTCTCGCAGGAGCCAAGAACGCGGACAAGCAAATTTTGTCTTGACATTCGCTTGGTGGCGAATGCCAAGGCAAGTGTGACCGCCAAGGGAAGACCTGTGGAAGAAGCGTGAGGACTTTTCGTATACAACTGCTTGCGAAACTGGCACCCAATTACCTTCAGGTACCGCGACAACGATAACAGTAACTGCGATGACCAGAATATTTATAAAATTCATCGCCTTTTCGTTTGGTGTTCGGCTCCGTTTGGTGCGAAGTTGAACAAAGAATTTGATCATCAAGGCGGTGAACAAAATCAAACCAGCCAAGCTACCAATCTTGGCAATCAGTTCCGCAAGAACGTTGAGTTTAAGCTGAAGTGGCGTGTTTGGGTTGTCGCCTCGGAGACCTGGGAAAAAAAGAAAATGGTATATTCAGTCAAGGAGTTCGACTGCGGAAGCGATGAAGTATTCTGGACCCACCCATGAGGATTCGGCCATTCATACTGCGCTCTCCTACAGCTATGACGACGTATGAACCAACGCCTTCAAGAACCTTACTACCGCTGATCACAAAGGGATCCTTTTTGACCCTATTGGGTTGTTCCCCGCGCTCCTTGGCTTCCGCATAGGCTCTATGCGCAGCGATGCAATCGTCATAGGTCGCCTTCTTGATCGCATCCGACTCCCCTGTGGCGCTAGACTCATCGCACCGGACATTATGGCCAGAAAGGAAAACTCCGTCCACCGGAATAATTTCACCAGGCTCCATCAAGCACACGTCCCCAACAACAACGTCCTGTAAAATCCGCATGAGTATATTATATATGCCCCAACTCTTTCCTCGACGATGGGATTTTGACAGCGAACGAACGAACGAACCTTGACATTGATAACCTTCTCCATGCCGTCTCGCAGGACTTTAACAGGCCGGTCATCTTTCTTCGCGTTGAGAGCCCTAAACTGTGATTCTTTCTGCCAGTCATTGACGCTTCCCACGATAACGACGATCGCCACCGCTGCCAGGATCGCGACCCCCTCAACCCAGTCGACCTGTGGTTCAGGGCAATTCTTCGACCCGTCGGGGCAAATCCCAAGTTCGCGAGTGGCCCCAAAGTCCTGGTACAATCCGAGTGAAAGTGAAACGACCGCAGCAAAGCACAGGATGACCTAAAAGAAGATTAATGAAGAGAAAATTATATGAGACAGTTTCATTTAGCAGGGAGAAAAAAAAAGAACTTGAAACACGGACACATACCAAAACGCGATCCTTGAGGGCATGCCACATGAGTTGCAACAAATTTTTGCTTTTCCGCTCCGGGATGACGTTCGATCCATATATCCTTCGCCGGTCACCCAGCGACGCCGTATAAGCCTCGGGATTGTACTGCGCCTCTTTTTTCCTTTCATCACCGCCTTCAACACCTGGCGGCTGACTTCCCGATTCGAATCTCCTACGATCCACCGAAACCGCCGAGCGCTCTCCAAGCGAAAGGGGTGGTATTGATTGGAGTTCGACAGAGTCTTTCTCGCCATGCACAACGATACTTTGTGGAACATCATCTGAGCTCAAGCCGCGTTCACTGTTCGTTCCCAGACCAGCGAGCAAACCTTGTATCCCACCCCAAGCCTCAAGCTGCCCATGATTCTTCCGGTCAAGCGCGACAGCCAAATCTTTCGGCTTGAATCCAAACGGAGCAGGATCGAATGCTTCATCATCGTCACGAATAGCCAGTCGGGTATTATTATCACCCTCAATTCCCTTCTGTTTTTCATCCCTTTTTCTCTGCGCGTCTTCTTTCTCCTTTTTCTTTTGAGAGCGCTTTCCTCGCCGGGAAGAAGAAGCCGGAGAAGGCGCACGCGCTTCCTCCTCAACTGTAATTTCGCCAACAAGGGTTGGCGACCCAATAGCAGCATGATCTGGCTCAGTACCGTCCTCTACGCTGATCTCATTTGTAGCCCAGCTAAGTTTCCGTTCATGCAGTCCCTTTCCAGAAGGTAGAAGTCCAAGGGAGCCTTCCCCAGAATTGATATCCGGATGATTGTAGCGAAGGTGAGTGGTGGAACGCTGCTCGAATGGGGAGGACAGTTGGGAGATTGTAGGGCTGGAGGGACAATATGGGGATGATAATTGCTCTCGCCATCAAACGATGGCGAGTGAGGCCCAGCTGAGGATAACGAAGAGGAAGCATGTGAACCAACCGAGGGGACTCGGAGAAGTGGACCACCAGATATTGGGGATGCTGGACCGAGAAGGACCTGCTTATCCTTATCGTGGTCAGTGGGAGACTCGTCGAACGAAGGAGTGGTAGAATGAGGGGAAGCTATCTGTGAGGGACCGGGATTGTTGTCGTCGTTAACCTCAGTCGTGATAATTGTTGGCACAGTTTGTGACATGGTTAAGAACTAACGACAAATGAACGGAATGGTCCAAGCCGCGTGGTAAGCTATATATGTTGGAAAAACTTAAGTAAAGGCTATTGCCGTAGTTCCAGAGGCAGCGGTTAAAACTTAAATCGCGCTTAGCTCACAAAGGTTATATAAGCTGTGTCCTTGGAGTTGAGTTTGACCAAGCAGTCTTAGCCACTCTCGGGGCCTCGTGTACGCGGCATTGCTCATGAGGCTGTGACAATATTCGATTGCTCATTAATGTCGGAAATGCGCTCCGGATGGAGTTGGTCAGGAGATCGCTCGCGTGAGTGTGTTGGTGTTGTATATACCCACACCCTACAACCCACAGTACCCCAACTTGTATCAAGTGTGAGCCACGTCCCATTGGGCCTCATTGGGGCTCGTGTCATAGAGCCCATCCAGCTCTCGTAACAAGAATACTGCGTTAGATCCACTTACTTTGAATGAAATAATAGAACCCGATACATAAACTCTTCCGCGCCTAGATAGACTATGTATACAATCGGATATTCACCACAATTATCAGTTTCTTACTACGCAATGAGCTTCTAGCTCCATCTCATGTGGACAATAAGTTTCCCTTGATAAGACATTCATTTTCAATTTTCCTTTTCTCGGCAGCGACATCGACGATTCGCAGTGCTGGACCACCCCTTAGTCGTCCGGTTGTCCCTGTTTGGTTCGCCACCTCCTTGTTGACTCGATTTTACACCATTTGTCTATCGAACCCCTGACGTCGGGTTTCCCAGGCCCAAGGCTCCGTATGCCGGAATGATGCGAAGGGTTGGGTGGCGGAGAAACTTTGGAGGATAGAATCTGAGAAGTGTGGGCCCAAACGCCTGAGGAACAACGTAGTTTTCCATTTCATAGTTCGAACAGCCCCTCTGGCTCCCAGTCTCATGACAGAACGGTTGGAAAGAATAATACGGATCTAGATACTTGGATTAGAATATCAATGACCAGTTATGACGTTGGGAGGATGTTTCGACTGCAAAAAACGAGGACCATAACTAGTACTGCGGGACTTGACAATCAACATAGAAAGGGATCTCGATTATCGCAGCGATATGCTCACATGATGAATTCAAGCCGACGGCCATGGGTTACGCTGCTGTGCCGATCGGTACAAAAAGGCCCCTCAATCCTATTTTTCTCCTTTGGATTGGGCAACACGTAACTTTATATGTGCCTGCTGCGCATTTATAACGCGTAACCCTGCTGACGATAATGTTTTGACAACAAGTAGACGCGCAGTGGCTGTGCGCGTGATGCCAAGCCATCGGCCCGAGCTTAGATCGGTTTCAGTTTGCATCCGGTCGATTCCCAAGTAAGGAAATTGCCGCCCACGCATCTGGACTAGTATCTGAGCATGATTCTCTGTCCCACCTCGCCGTCCAAGCCTCACCGTTCCTCTGTAACGCACACACACCAAACCCCGTCCTTCAACTATCTAGGCAAACTAGGCCGCCACACGCGACCTCCAACACTTGCTGCCAGTTCATTCACCATATCTACATGGCTCCCTTCCACCGCTGACCCCCCCACCCTTAGTATCAATTACTGTATCCTACAGCAATCCACACGACTTCTGCGGCTCACGAGCACTGCGCCAACCCAATCGGCACTCCCGCACCTGCACCTCATGTCTCATTGGCAATAATACGCCACCGGAGAATTTTATTCATAGTCCCCCAGAACCTCTCTCTCCCTCATGAGTGATGTAATCTCGACAACTACGCCGCCCTTTGGCCCAACTCGGTCCGCCATCCGGTGAGCAACGGCACCCCTCAGCAACCTCCCCGAGAACTGACACCAAGCTCAGTCTCCATGCCAGCTTTTTTCTTTGCACTTGCTTCCCTTATTTTATACAACCTTTTTCTTGATATTTTAATGACCGTTCCTCATTCACATGCGTCACCCCTCGATGCGGGGGGCTGCAAGCTCCTTATGCGTGTATTACTGCAGACTTCCCATCCGGGCTCCTTTCTCACAGAATTTTCTCTAACAGAGGACTCGGGGGACTTGTACTTTAAATGGAAATGAAAAAAAAAAAATCTCAGCATAGTCCTCTATGCCCAGCGAGAGTTAAGTCTGCATTGTTATCCATCCATCCATCTGAGGCGGTCGGGTATTCCAGGCCTTCATGCTAAAGCACAATTGACAACCGAGTCCATTCATGGCACTCTTCTCACAAGTCAATGACTAGGCCGGTAGGCGCCAAAATAATGGCAGGGGTAGCACTGCGGGATCCTATGCCAAGCTGCGGGCCCGATTAAGTATTTTGAACCAGGCACTCACTCCTGACCACGAACCCCGCTGACATGGCCGCACGCCTGGCTGTGCGGAAATAGGAGTTGTACCAAAGATCCCGAATCTAGGTAGTTGGTTGATTTCATGCATCCAATTCCTTTTGTGGCTAGAAGTTCGATTCGATGCCCTGCCAAGGACGCCAAACGAAGATTGCGGAAGCCGATGACAAAAATGCGGTGCCCGTACCATTGGAAAGCATATGCGTTTCAACCTCATCAGCGGTAATAACCAATGGCAGAGGGATTTCTCTTGACGGGCCATAAACATGGGGATTAACCGCTACGAGAGCGAATTCGACCGCTTCGTAAGCGAGAGAACACAGTGATCACAAACTTGCGCGACGCGAAAGGTCTCGATCCAGACCTTGGTTCACACAAGGTCCAGTGCCCTGTAGAGATCGTTGGGAAGCGCCCACCGATCTGAGGTTGGCGCGCGGGGTGGTGGGAATAGCCGCAATACGCCAAAATCGACTTTGAAGCAATGAAGACAAGCCGCCATCTGTGCAAATGACGCGCAGCCGATTATAGCCTCCCTGCGCCCATTGGCAGACTGTGTACATCCACTAGTTATGGGGTTTTCGTCGGGGCCACGGATCCAGCAGAGCCATGGAAGGCCATGCCAAACCCTTCGAAACTGCCTCGAACGTTAGGAGAGGCTACGACTCACGTCAATATTGGTCACATCATTGTTCGAAAGCTAGAAAAACAGGCTGTTCACGATGAGCTCTGCGGTCGTCCGAATTACAGCAAGTCCCAGACTCATGACAATCGACGTCCAGCTCAGCGTATCCAATATTACGAACTTGTCATAGAGGCTGGAGTCCTGCCTAGCTCAGCGATCGCCTCAAGTCCCCGTCAGCGCTTGCGAGGAGCATGAGGACGATGATTCGGAAACTATTGGTGACATGATCTTCCCCCTGAGGTGGTGCCACTAGCTATCCGCGACCGCGGTTACCCAGAACCGTGCACGACCTACCCACCGAAGAGGCACAGTAATCGTGGGGATCCCCATCGTTTGCGGGTGTCGGAGTGTATACCAACCGTTGATTAATGACCGAAAGCGGCTTAGGCACATGTAGCGGACTTTCGGACACCGAGTCGAAGTAAGGCCGACCCCAGCCGTTGCGACTGAATTACAAAGTATGACGTCGTTACGACACCCAAGTTCGGTCGAATGCGGCCCGGCACTGGGCATCCAGAGATTACGGGTTCCAAGGCACGCTAGCGTTGTACCCCGCTTCCAGCCGAAACATCGAGGCTTCCAGCTATGCAGCGGTGGGGCTCTTTTGATCCGGACTGAGTACCCCAGTACCGAGTATATGCTACACGAGGGCATATATGCGTGATGGCGATGAAACCTGAATGAAACAGCGGAATGTTGCAACAGCGTCGCCCCTGAATCATGCATAATGTGCAATCAAATCGCGGAAAGCACGCCAACTTCTCTATTACCAGATAGAATTAATGACTTAGTATTGATACTTGACCTGTTCATGGGGGGCCACACCAAGACCATGTAAATGCTACTGCAGTATGTTGGAAGCGGAGCGGCCGGACACACAAGGTGACCCAAATATTGGAAGAAAAGGCTAAGCCTGGCTTCCTGAACCAAATCAACATTCAAAGAAAAGGTCACAACTCATGCAATGAGTTCGCCCGGTTTCACAGAGGAGAAGCCAGGATGATTGTGCACCCGCCGTTTGCAGTTACCTGGTCACATGAAGCCATTTCCGCGTCTTCGTTGGAGTGTGAACGTTGATTCGGACTGTGTTTGTATGTGTTAAAGAGGCAATGATCTATTTAGGGCCCATAGCCACCCATTGAGCATGATATGGACAATGTTGACCCACTCGAATCTACCTCACACAACGACCGCAAAGTCGTTATGTAAACGAGGGAAGGAAGGACACCGTCCAACCGGACAAGAAGAGCGAAGAACAGATGGGGAAAAAAAAAGAGAGAGTTAAAACCATACCTACGGCAGAGTCAGCATCGTCGACCAGGCAACGACTAGGAGCTCAGATTGTACCAGGGCGAGGAGTCATGCAGATCGACGCTTTGTGCCTAGGACCATCAACCAAGAGCATCCATCTAGCGCGAACGCCAAGGCGCGGAGTGCTTGGTCAGCTGAGTTGAGCTGTCTCGAGTCATTCAAACAGCGTCTCGTTGGGGACTGTCTCCGGCCGCGCCCATGGGAATAAATCGAATGTATGAAAGGAAACATATCATGGGCAAAAATCAATTAAGTCTATGGGTTGAATAAAAGACGAAGGGAAAGGACTGCGGTTATCGTGAGGAATGAGCCCAGACTGGTAGCAATTGTAAGGCTGCTGTAGTGCAAGAGGGAGACGAACGGAACAACGCCAAGGTACCGAAAGGGAAAATAAAGATACAAAGAGGGACGTGGCATAAGTTTGTGCAATAAAGTGGCCCGGTTCATACCTGCTGTGAACGTGTCCCGAATTTTTGCCAAAGTGGATCATCGAGGGGAGTGCTAAGAAGGGAAATCCAGGTGTGAACGACAACGACAACCTCTCTTAAGGACGCAATCACATACTCAGGATGAATTTGAATAGCTCCATTGTAGAGCGCAGTAGATGAACGTGAAGGATCATCGTGAGCTGGGTCAGCAAGATCTACTGCTCTTGCAGGTACCCAGCCGGCGCCGACAGTAGAAGCAACAAGGGTAGGCACCATGGCGAGCAGCGAAGGACTGAGAATCAAAGTTTGAGTTGAATCATATTCACCCTCAAGGACCAAGGGACAACTTACAGCTGAATACCAGCTTTCCGAAGTTTTTGAGACCTGCCCATGCCAACAAACGACGATGTGCGTAATCGACCACCTCGTATCTTCGCAAAGGTGGCAAGATTATCTCGCACTTGGTTAATCGCGGGAGTGTTCCATTCTTCGAACAAGTTAGCTTTTGGATCCTCGATAAGCCCACAGAACTTAAAGAACTTCTCGACAGGTTTGTTCGGGATGCAACGAATGAGAGCGCCAAGTGGAAGAGCAACAAAACCGAGTGCAAGTGAAATACCCCAGTCGCGTCCACTTAGCTTCGTGACTTGGAACGCAGAGCCACCGACAAAAACGATCATGATTTGGACGCCAACCTCTGCTTCATGTGTTACCAGTCAAACCAACATTCGAGGAGGAAACAACGCACCAAGTAAAGTAATAAAGATAAAGTACCAATTAGTGAGAATGTTTTCGAATACGTTCAGCTTGTTATCCAACCGCCGGCTGTTAAGCGAGTTAAATATCTGGCAGAAGACAAAGGCATTGAAGACGAGAGTGCCAATTTCGAGAGACTTCTGATTCTGCTGATACTCGGACAGACCGTGATACTTGAAGATCTTCATCCCGGCGAAATGGAAAAGGAGAATGACGACGATCTGGTAAACAGACTGACCAATGATCTGCTTGTACATGTCGACGCTGAATAGGGGCGCAGTTAGGCCGTCAGGATGATGGTTAAGGAGACCTGGATGAGCTGGATCAGTGGCAAGGGCAAGAGCAGCGAAGGTATCCATGATGAGGTTAATCCACAGCAACTGAACAGCCGTGAGAGCCGAGGTTTCGCCATGAGATGCGACCGCGGTGATGAAAGTGACGATGACAGCAGAAATGTTGACTGAAATCTGGAACTGGAGGAACTTCTTCACAGAATCATTAACGCAACGACCCCACATGATGGCAGAGACTATGGAGGCGAAATTGTCGTCCATAACAATGATGTCTGATGCCTCCTTGGCCACTTCCGTGCCAGCGATGCCCATGGAGAAACCAACATGAGCCTCTTTCAAAGCGAGAGAGTCGTTGGTGCCATCACCAGTAACGCCTACAATTTCCCCAAGTTGCTTTAGCTTTGTGATCAGAAATTTTTTGTCTTCTGGAGACGATCTAGCAAGAACCTACAGCGCGTGGATGGTCAGATGCGCTTAAACAACCGAAAACTGAAGAGATTTTCTGACCTGCAGCCTCGGAACAATCTCCAATAGCTCGGCGTGATTTAGCGAACGGAACGCGGGACCTTCCATGATAATACCGCCCGCAGTATAGATACCACATTGAATCGCAATAGACCGAGCCGTAAGAACATTATCACCTGTGCACATCTTGACCGCAACCCCAGCTTTCTGGCATTGAGCCACGGCCTCGCGCACACCAGAACGTAAAGGATCCTCGATACCCACAATGCCTATCAACGTCAATTCCTGCGCAAGATATCGATAAGGAACATTGTCGGGCTCATCCAAATCTGCGGCAGGCGGCCAATGATCAAAGTCCCTGTAACAAAGCGCAATCGTCCGGAGCATCTGATTCGCATAGAAAATGATCGTCCGAGAAATATTATCTTTCTCAAGAGAACCAATGTTGTGTGTCTCGATGCCCTTTCTGTCCATGGAAGCAGACTGATGAACAACAACGTGCTTCTTGCACTCCTTGGTTAGAATCTCGCTGGCCCCCTTGAGATACAGGCGATATTTGCCATTAGCAAGCTTGATGGCCACACCCATCGCTTTTCGTTCACTGCTGAAGGGAATCATTTGAACAACCGTGGCACCATCGCGGGTCCGCCTGTAGTCAGTCCAACCGAGTTCCTTTGCAAATCGCAATAGCGCCGATTCGGTTTTACTTCCAACGAAAACAGGAAGGTGAGTTACTGGATCTATGTCCTCGAAAGCGGTAGAATTGATGCAAATCGCCTCATTGAAAAGGGTCTGTAGTTGCGGAGTCAAAATGCTGTTGACATTAGTAATATCGATGGCGAAGTCATCCTTGTGTTTGCGTTCCCCTGTACCCTCCTCCTCGGTAATATCCAGTTCCTCTCGGCTGACAACGCGCTCCTCACCCACGTTCTGGCGGGTCTGGTTCTGCTCGAGGTCACGGACAAACTTTCCATTTACACCCAGGGCACCCGCGACAACGGTCATGACATTCTGAGTGAGTGTCCCTGTTTTATCAGTGCACACAACGCTCGCGTTAGCCATAGTCTCGCAGGAGCTAAGAACTCGGACGAGCAAATTTTGCCTTGTCATACGCTTGGTGGCGAATGCCAAGGCAAGTGTGACAGCCAAGGGAAGACCTGTGGAACAAGCGTAAGGACTCTGCATGCAACAGCTTGCGAAACTAGCGCCAATACCTTCAGGGACCGCGATAACAACAACAGTAACCGAGATAATCAGATTGTTTATAAAATTTATCGCCTTTTCGCTCGAGGTTCGATTCCGTTGCGTGTGAAGTTCAACAAAGAACTTGATCATCAAGGCGGTGAACAAAACCAGACTGGCCAAAACACCAATCTTGGCAATCAATTCTGCAAGAACGTTCAATTTGAGCTGAAGTGGTGTGTTTGGGGTGACGCCTCGGAGACCTGGACGAAAAAAACGCATTAGTCAAGCAGTCCGGCTGCGGAGGGGTAACATTTTTTAGCCCACCCATGAGTATCCGGCCATTCATGCTGCGCTCTCCCACAGCTATGACGACGTATGAACCAATGCCTTCGAGGACCTTACTGCCGCTGATCACAAAAGGGTCCTTTTTGACGCGACTGAGTTGTTCCCCACGCCCGTCGGTTTCCGTATGAGCTCTATACTCAGCAATACAGTCATCATAAGTCGCCTTCTTGATCGTGTCCGATTCCCCCGTGACGGCGGACTCATCACACCGAACATTGTGGCCAAAAAGGTAAACTCCATCGACGGGGATAATTTCACCGGGCTCCATCAAGCACACGTCCCCAACCACAACGTCCTGTGAAAATCCGCATGAGTGTATGCAACTCCTCGATAGGGTTTTGACACTGGGCTGGCAACCAACGAACCTTCACATTAATGACCTTCTCAATGCCATCCCGAAGGACTTTAACGGACCGGTCGTCCTTTTTAGCATTGAGAGCCCTGAACTGCAATTCTTTCTGCCAGTCATTGACGCTTCCCACAATAACGACAATAGCCACCGCAACAAGGATTGTGACCCCCTCAACCCAGTTGACCTGTGGCGCAAGGCAGTTCTTCGTTCCGTCGGGGCAGATCGTATGTTCGCGAGGCGTCCCAAAGTCCTGGTACAATCCGAGCGCAAGTGAAACAACCGCAGCAATGCACAGGATGACCTAAAAAGGTTTTACGAAACAAATGAGTACATGATAGCAGTTTCAATAGGCGGAAAATATTTTTGAAACACAAACACGTACCAAAACACGATCCTTGAGCGCAAGCCACATGAGTTGTAACAAATTTTTGCTTTTCCACTCTGGAATGACATTCGATCCGTATACTCTTCGTCGGTCATCCAGCGATGTCGTGTAAGCCGCGGGATTGTACTGTGCCCGCTCACACTTTTCATCGCCGCCTCCAACACCCGGCGGCTGACTTCCCGATTCAAATTTCCTATGATCAGCCATCGCCGCCAAGCGCTCGTCCGCAGCTGCAGGCAGAAGGGGCGGTATCGAATCGGACCTGACGTAGCCTTTCTCGCCGTGCACGACGACACTTTGAGGAACACCATCCGAGCTCAAGCCTCGTCGACTGTTTGTCCCTAAACCAGCAAGCAGACCCTCTATCCCACCCCAAGCCTCCAGCTGCTCGAGCTTCCTCCGGTCGAGCATGTCGGCCAAATCCTTCGGCTTAAATCCAAACGGAGTAGGGTCGAATGATTCATCATTGTCACGAATATCGAGCTGGGTGTCTTTAGTTCCTTTCTGTTCTTCGTCCCTTTTTCTCTGCGCGTCTTCATTCTCCTTCCCTTTGTGGCCCTTTCCTCGCCGGGAAGAAGTAGAGGAAGGGGCGCGCGTCTCCTCAATTGTAAGTTCATCGACAGGTGTTGGCGGTCCAATAGCAGCATGATCTGGCTCAGTACCGTCTTCTGCACTAGCGCCACTTGTAGTCCAGCTAAGTTTTCGCTCATGCAGTCCCTTTCCAGAAGGTAGAAGTAGTAGAGAGCCTTTTCCGGAATTGATATCTGGATCATTGTAGCGGAGTTGAGTGGTTGAAGGCTGTTCGAATGGGGAGGAGAGTTGGGAAATTGTTGGGCTGGGGGGGACAATATGTGGATCAGGGTTGCTTTCGCCGTCAAAGGATGGTGTGTGAGGGCCAGCCGAAGATAAGGAGGAAGAGGCATGTGAACCAGAGGAGGGGGCCCGAAGAAGTGGACCACCAGTTGTTGTTGGAGATGTTGGACTGAGAAGGACCTGGTTATCGGGGGACTCGACATTGATCTCAAACGAAGGAGCGGCAGAATGAGGGGAGGCTACCCGCGAGGGACCAGCACTATTGTCGTCGTTAGCCTCAGTCGTGATGATTGTTGGGACGGTTTGCGACATAGCGGGGTTTGTTCAAATGAGTGGAATCCGCGTGGTTCTATAGGAAAAGGGCAACAATTCGACTCGGGCAACTCCGCTAATGTGTACATAAATGGATAAGGCTGTGCTCGGAGTTTTTGGTGATTTGTTCCCCTGCCAATCATTGCTTCTCCGATCCGTCTCAGCACAGTGATTTTCTTGTCCTTGGGCCTGGGTTTGACTGCAGCTACTCAACAGCCCGTTTTCAGTTTCAACATACATGTCGAACGTATCAAATATCTTTAATACACTGATCAGGAAACTTGGTGCCTGATCGGGTGTTGTTGTCGCCACATTCCGGAAACCTACAGTGCAAGCAGTAAGAGTACCATCAACCCTTCCGGCTCTCGTAGCAACCGTATTGCCTCGGAACCTCCTAAAATAATAAACCCGATGAATGGTCCTTCCGCGCCTAGATAATGAATCTTCGGTAAGAGAACTTCGCCAGAATCAATAGCTTCTATGCCGGTATTCCGCGTGCATGTGCGATGGCAAGCTTCTGCTGCGCTGTTTTCCAGGTATTTGGGCTATACCTCTTGAACTCTGTCCTTCAATATTTCTCCACCACCACACCAGTTGCCCCCTTGCATCAAGCCGGCGTGCAGAAATTGGGGCCTTAGAAACATCAACGTATGAGTTTTGGATGGACCTGGGATGTAGAGCTGGGACGGCAACAGAGCGGCGGACCAAACAGGGGCAGCCGAACGCGCCAAATGTTGCTGCGAAGAAATAAATCGGGGGAAAAAAATCAAAGACCTTCGCAGCCTCACGGCACAATGGCTGGGAAGAACCACACACATCTGAGAACTTGGGTCAGAATCAAGACCGGTAATGATGTCGGAAGGATGTGTGGACTGCAACAAGGCCTATGCCTGCGGGATTTCATCATGCACATGCTGATGTGCCCGATTTGGTCCATCTTCTTTGAATCACACTTGCTGCGCAAGCGGAACACGTATCAATTGACGTGAGCAAGTAGACGCGAAGTGGCTGTGTAGATCAAGAATGTCGGGTACCTTCCCGCCTGCATGCTAAGCGCAATCGACAACTTCATATATATATAAGCTCATTGATGGCACTTGATGGCACTATTCACAAAGGGCGCAGATGGTCCCAAGGTCTGAGTCAAAGACTAGGCGCCGAAATAACGGCAAGGCAGCCTGCGGAAGCCTATGCCATAATTGCGCGTGCCCGGCAGCCGCAGGCCCGATTGTTTTTCGCCAGGCACGCTACTGATTACTCCGAATCCTAACTCCTAGCCACAAACGAACTAGATGCACGGATTAAATGATGACCTAGGCTCGGATCTTCGGCAGCGCCACAGACCTATGCATGCCAGCAACAGCTCGTGAAATGTACAATGTGCCTTGGCGATATTGTCAATTGCGTCAACCAAAAGCCGACGACAAAAAGGGTGCTGTACTATTGGAAAGTACATGTGTTCAACTAGCGATATAACCGATGACAGGGATTTCTACACGAGCCATGTGGACATGAGAGACAAACCGTTGTGAAGTAAATTGCGCGCTTTGTAAGCGAGAAAACAGTGATCACAAATTGTCTGACCTGCGTCAAGGTCTCCCCACACCACAGGTGTTCATTATGCTGCGACGCAGGGTAAGTGTCCTGTAGGGATTGTTTGGAGGCGCTCGCCACTGATCCGAGACTATCATGATTCACGCGGCAGGGTAAATAGTCGCAATGTGACAAATTCGGACCGTTAGGCGACGAAGACAAGCCACCGTCTGGGCAAATGACGCGCAACCTATTCTAGCCTCTCTGAGGCTGAGAGAGAAGCAGTGTTGGGACAACAGCGAGCACACTCACTAGAGAACATATGGTTGTGGCGTATACAAGTATCCTCGTTGGCGCCCAGGATCCAGCAGAGCCATGGGAGACCACATGGCTGAGACGCGCGTGCCACCAATCCTCCGAAACTGGGGTGCCCCGAACGCGAACATAGCGCCCAGCCACCAGGGAGACATTGTTCACATCATTATTTGAAAGTAGGCTGTTGACGGCGGGCCCCACGGTAGTCCGAATTGCAGCAAGTCTCATATAACAATCGACGTGCAGCCCAACCACCGCCCCAAATCCCATCAGAGATCGCAAAGAGCATAAGGATGATCGATGATTCAGAAATAGTTGATGTCAAGATTTTCCCCCGCCCAAGACAGTACGACTGCGGTGTCGGAATCGCGCACGATCTGCTCACCAAAGAGGCACAATGGTCGCGGCATCCCCATCGTCTTGGATGTCAAAGGTAAGGCAGTGATGATTCTAATAATTCATGACTGAAGGCGGCTTAGGCATGCGGCGAACGTTCAGACACCGAGTCAAGGAGGTCATCCAGCTTCCTTGGTGTTGCGACTGAATTACAAAGTATGGCCAGCCAATTACAACACCCAGAGTTGGTCGAATACTGCCGGCGTCCAGAGACTGCCTTACGTACATTGAGAGAAGCGCCACTAGCTGGCAGCAAAACCGATGCGTATCTAAACCACACCAATCTCCAGATGGGACGCGGCATTCTGGCTTTATGTCCAAAAACCCGAGGTTTCCAGTTATGCAGCGGTGGCTCTTTGATCCGGAGAGGGTAACGGACAACTGCCATCTACAATTCCTGTAAGAACGTTCCTCCGAAAAACCAGAGTGAACTAACCGTCCCCGGACACGATGCCTGGAACTCTGGCTCTAAGTATACGCCACATGCGGCACAGGAATATCGCACGTGTGATAGCGACGGAACTCGAGCGCAGCAGTAAGTGGCTGCACGACGATTGAATGCACCATTGCCAACAGCAAATGATGAATGAAATCGTCAGAAGCACGCCAACTTCTCTGTGTTCGCGGATCACCGGGTAGAACGACGAAGTATTAAGCATTGGTACTTGAACGGAAGTTGGCCTGTTTAAGAGGCGCTACGCTAAGACGTGTTGGAAGCGGAGCGGCCGGACAGACAAAGTGGCCCAAGTATTGGAGGAAAAGCTAAGCTAGACTTCCTGAACCAAATCAACCACACGGGAGCATTCAAGGAAGGAAAGGGTCACGACGAGTTCACCCGATTTCACCCTGGCCTGGCCGGAAGAGCTGGGTGGAATGTGACAAACCCGGTTCCCAACTGGGATATATCTACTGTATTTTAACAAGGAACACTAGGGAGAGTTGCAGCCTTATATATAGGAGCAACGAAGGATTCAGAAATCAGGGATGTAGGGCCACTAGCTGACACCAATTACAAGTCGTTGGACTGGACATATAATATGAGAGAGCCACCACGTTTCATAAAAGAAGGATATCCGTGCAATCGGAAAATAAAATTTCCGCATATTGTAATGAAACCAGTCCCCACTAACGTACTGTGGAACATCACTTACGCAGGTGCTGCAGCTATTTGTACCACCAATCGATCCCCAAGAGACTTTGTGCACCTTCTTCCCGAGCTCAAATTGATCCAACAAGAGTCTTCTTTTTGGAACCAGCCACCCTCTGCTGACACCGGAACGGTCCGAAGAGACGCAACTCCAGCCATCACGATGCCATCGGACCAGAACGGTTGGGTAACAATGAACGTGCAGAAGCACGAATTCAATCGTCGCCCTTCTTAAGCCAAGCGAGAGGTGCTAGACTCAGAGACGACGGTGATGATGAGAGTGGACGCACCGTTCTGTTGAGGTGTCGCCAAAACGAAGCACTGCCGCCCATTGAGCCCAACACAGCAATGTTGACCCACTTGAATCCACGTCACAATGAAAATTCTCATCCTTACCTTCTGTGCGGTCCTCTTTCTTTCAACAAGTAAGGTAGTTGCCATTTGCGCCGGAACTGTGTATGGCATAGGCAACGTCATAGGCATCGGGGTGGGCGTCAACCGTTGTATGGACCTTACTTTCATTTCCATATTAACACTGCTTCTGAACAAAAAAAACTTCACTTTTATCTCCAGGGAACATATACGATAATAACTGCAAAGTCGTAGACGGAGTGACAACAGACCTAAATCCATGTAACCAACCATCGGGCATCTTTGCATGTTCGGGAAGCCCAATTTACTACTATGGATACGTAAATTCGTTCACGGGCACCAAGTACGTTGCATCCACCATTCTTTCGCGAACGCCTTCTCTCTAATCCGACCAACTGCAGGTACAACTGTGGCCGTGACAACACCACCGAATCATGTGGAAGCGACATAATCTCCGTTTGCGTAAGCTCATCCCCGGACGTTACACGTTGAGAGGCCCCTAATAACGCAGCCGTCCTTACAGTGCGTGCCGTCGTAGTGTATCCCGGTATTGGTGGTTCGCCCGTTACGTGCATGCGGGTCGTGTTCAGCGGTGGTGGATTTAGTCTGTCTCGTCATTTCACACTTCTTTGTTTTGTTCTACAATAATTTCGACATTTATACACTTAGAGCCGTATGGCTCCTCTCCTTCCGTTCGGGTCCCTGTTCTCACTTCGGACATATGGTTCAACATCTTGGTTCTTACAACAAGATGTCAACGTGAGTTGCTGATTGAAGGAACGATCGATGATGTCGTAGCACTGTGCGAGCCACCCTTGTTTGCCTTTGAGAGGACATCAATAGTTAGGTAGGTGACCAGCCTCTAATCGATGGTTGTCCATGAAGTAGCGTCTTCGCTACAGGTGTGCTTTGAGTGCCGTAACTATTATATCAGTTCCCTCGCGATCAGTTTCGGGACGCACAGTGGGCAAGACTCTGGCATCATCCATATTCATTCTGGTGGATACTCCCAGAAGGATGCATGCTGTAGTCCTCATTATGATCAGTGTTGGAGGGTCCATAATGATATCCAGCACCGCGGTGGCAGTGGAGGGCGAGTATAACGATTTGTGGCGCATATTACAGATCCTGGATTCCTGAGCCTCCAAGAGGGGTGCATGAAGGGCATGCGACTCGATTGCGCTAAGTATTGCATCGGAAAGACTGTTCAGCGCAACCCACTTGTTCCCAGCCTCTATATGGGCAGGGTGCCGACACACTGCAGCGTAACTTCACTGGGGACGAGTTGGAGCCTTAACTTCGCGGTTGCCGATCTGTGAATCGTTAGTGCAGTAGGGCGTGTGTTGAACCCAAGCTGGCTGTGGCAGTAGAATAGTGGGATGCGCGGGTTGAACGGTACAATTTATGATCCCAGCTTTACCAGTAGGACTTGCCGAGTTGGTACGGGGCTCAGTTGCGAGGGCCATTAGTCCCAACGCTCTTTTGCATATCCATCATCGCAAGTTGTCTCATGCCCAAGCCTGCACCTACGACTCTTCAATTTCGGGGGGATGCCTGGATGGTAGAAGCCAGCGGTCGTCAGTCAAGTCATAGATTGGGCATATAGGATCATTTGCAAGACATATGAGTCAGATATTCTAGATTCAAGGAGGCATCGCTTCCCGCAGATGATGCATCCAGATGAGGATGATTTCACGCAGTCAGTCGCGTAGGGCTGACGGAACAAGCATTTCCCCAGGATTGTGCATTGGAAATTGTAGGACGTAGTGACGGGATGGTGTAAAGTGGTTCCAGAAATGCCGGGCCCGGGGGTCGGTCGCATCACGTGGAATGGACGTTGCTTACTAATCAGAGCCACCATCAGAGAAGCACATAGCCACTTACAAACCATGAGACGTCAGCATCCAACACCACATCCCGGCCAGAGGTGGAGGTGTTGTCGTTCTTTTGTCCCGTGTGCACCTGAGAGCTCTTCAGGTCGGCTGGTGCCGACAAATCGAGCAGGATGGCGGAAGCACACTAACAAGTTGCTGGCCGACGAGAACTCGATTGGAAGAAGACCCAGTTCATACACACACAGACACAGACACACGAAGATCTGCTTATGTAAGCTGTAAGCAACGTCACCTTTCAATTCAGCATTCGGACCCTGGGCCGGCGGAACCCGTTAGGTCGCTAGACCGACCATTTCAGTCCCCAGCCACTTGACACTCGCGTCCCCGCACCTCCTGTTAGTCTGCGGCCTAGATGACCGAAGACTGCCGAAGACCCCCGATTTCATTCCCGTTCCGCACCCGACACTCCCGGTAGTAAGACTCCAAGTTCTCTGTTGCTAGCGCTCATTACTATTGTGGGCGAGCAGTGAAGTCTACAACTTTGGTCTGGAGATGACTTGTGGACAATCGCCGCCGTCTCTTCCTCATCGTGACGGACATGACATCAACATTTACACACAGATTAAACCCCAACGTCTTGCTCACCCTATACAGCCACTTTCTCCTTACTTCAAAGCTACAATGTCTTCTTTCCCTGGTGCTCGATACCAAAAAGGCTACGCCCTGCCGCTCCAATCTCAATCCACCTCCCAGGCCAGGAGCATGCCCTCGATCCCGAGCCTTTAATTGATATTACATGTGATGGGAAGGCATATAAACCTGCTTGGAAGTTGGAAGGCAAGCTATTGTAACAGGCGCCGATTCGGGCATTGGAAGGGCCGTTATTATGCTTGCGTCGTGGTGGATAAAATGATTGACGCCCATGATATTCCACTCGGGAATTGGACAGCTCTCGAAGGAGCGGATTTGACCCTCAACTGGACGCCAGCAGAGGAACGAGATGGTCGTGAATCCGTCGAAATCATTGAAAATAAAGATCGTACTGGGAGGGACGTTGGGCTTATAGCGGTCGTTTCCGAGCATATTGAAGGCTTCCCAGAACCAGGTTAATGTGCTGTATACCTTCACCGCTCCCGCACGCTCGCATGCGTTCCTGTCGCTAAGCTTCCACTGCCCCGTACCCAGAGCCCTGAACTAAGGTGCCAAAAAACTCAACGCAAACATTGTGGCTCTCCCTACCTCGACACACACGACGTCAACATTCACTCCCAATTCTACACCATTAAACGTGTTCTCCGCCACATCTCTCGAGGTGGATCGATCATTGTTAATGGATTTGTTAATCCTTTTATTGGTCATCCTCAATTGGTGGATTATATGGCTACAAAAGGTCCGCGGTGCAGTTTGAGCTGTCTAGGAGTATGCATTGCTTATTGACACTGGATCGTTATGATTGAAAGGCACTCTCATGTGCGCCACACCCCTTTCCCCCTACTTTCACCTTCTACTTGCTTTCTCTCCCCTCAATTACCTTGAGCACTGACCTTCCACTCCACGCAGCCCGTCAATGATGGACAAAGCAAAATAGCAACCCCGTGGAACGCCAGGAAGCCTGTCTAAATTGCTACGTGCTCGTGTTTTTAGCGGGCGCCGGCTCGGAGTACGTTGGCGGACAGTCGTTACATCCCAGTGGTCGTTGCCTGAGCAGCACTGAGCCTCAGAGATTAGGAGGGCGTTGCGAACGGGCGAATAGGTCCGTGGGCCTTGGGCGCTGACTGCACCCTGCTTTTCAATTCCGACTTTCGCCGTCTATGACGTTTTTATCGACAAAAGACTCGTTAAAAATTGGGGCATATTTTTTGGTGTCAACAGATCACTATAGTGCAATCCACCCGACCTCATTCACTTATGTGCGTGATTAGTACATGTTGCTCGTGCTCGGCTTCTGTACTAGCGCTCCTGGCGCTCTCTCCTAGTTGCATCCCGAACGGAATCTGCCAAGAAGTTTTTTGGTAACAATGGGAGATAACCCGTAACTGTGCCTTTGTCCCTTCTTTCTTTTCCTTTGAAGCGAAGCACCTGACAACACTCACTTCAAGTTTGGACCTCTTACTTAGAGATGTTGACATTATCGAGGACGTCCGCGTTAGGACTTATGAGAGGCGCGCGGGTGCTACATGACGGTTTCGTCCCCCAGCGAGCTTGTGCAAACTTCAGCCTGTACCGAGGGGGCTTCGGAATAAATAACTGGGGAATGCCGCCTGAAGCAGCACAACCCGCTACTCTTCTCGCCTTGCGTGCTGCGCAGACCAAAGTGGAAGGAAACTAGGGAGTAGTATTGTTTCAGAATTACTTTCTTCGCGGTCCTATTTATTTGTTAACACCCACCAACATTCAGTCCATGGAAGCGGCGATGGGGATGGGGAAAATGTGGTGGGGGGCAAGGGGCCCATATGTGCCCAGTGTGCTGGTACGGGTTACGTGCGCTCCCCTTATTATCTTGAAATTGATGATGTGTCTGTTCAATGTTATACCCGTTGTTCTTGACCTGAGTGCACACCATGGATGTATGTCTCCTGCACTAACTATTTCGTTATGGGGCACCAACACCAGAGACAGGGAAGTAGACAGGGAAGTCCCTCCACCCTATACATTGTTATCTCCCCAGTCCAACATGCTGCTCAGCAGTTGTCGCACCTGAAACAAGGCTTTTCTGATGGCTAGTAGAAAGACGTGTATACATGGGTACAAGCAGATTAACTCAGTCAGCATGCGCAAATAACGTTCGTCATCAACAGCCAAGGCGCCTGAAATGCGCCCAGAACAAGTCACAACCAGAGTTATATATATGATTCCAATCCACAAATCTTGATTGTCGTTATGCTGGTTCTTGATAAGGAACCGTCCTAGAACGGAACGTCGACCACTTATCTTGTCACTCGGAATCCCTAAGACCCAGCTTGCTTCGAATTTTGGCATGCGTCTGGGGGGCGAGTCGTGATCGTCTAGCTCCACCTTTCACGTAGTGAGCACCGAACATTTCCGTGAATAGTTCCTCCACCATAGAGACCACAAACCAACAATTTTCCTGCACTAGCTCAGTCGATACTGACCGTGGGAGGGGATGGTGCTTACCGCGAATACATTATATGGACCACACTCGCTTAGAACAATCTCGAACACTCTGCCAAATTCGAGTAGCGGAACAGGTTGCGGAAGGTCTAATCGTGCTTCTTCACTTGACCTCACATCATGAAGCAGATTCGAATTCTCAGAGACAGTTACCTTGAATGAAGACATAATATAAATGATATGAGGGCTTAGGAACAGACTAACAACCCACCGTATCTAGCGCATTAGACTTTCCACGGCGCAGGGCGAATCGGGCCAACGATAACGTGTGATCCCGGAAACGATCAATCCGAAGACTGAAATTCAGCATCCCGTGTCGGGCGACCACCAGTATAAGAGACGGGTGTCGCACCACATCATTGTCCCTGAAGCGCACAACAGATGTAATGTACGCGTGCTGGGCATGTGCACTCGCCATCAAGTTGTGAATGTAGGTGTGGGCGGAGGAGGTTGTGTGCGCCCACGAAGATATATGGGTCACCGGGTCAAACATGTCTACGCCTGCAACTGTGGGGTAGAAGTGATGGGCCAAAGAAGCAAGCTCCTTAGACCCAGGCGTAAATCGGGCAGCCTCAGAGCTGTCTAGATAATTGCTGTGGCGGGCATCCAGTGCAGGACGAACGACTCTCCCTTCTCCATCCACCTTCCTGTAGCTGCCTCCATCTTCGTGAGATAAAGACGAAGGAGCAAGCCTGACAGTGGGCTCCTCAGTGCCTGGCACAGATAACCCCCGATGACGATGAGATGGCTCGCAGCTACTCTGGATACTCTCCCCAGTCGCGCTCCAGGGCAGCCGATGATCGAATAAATGCAAGGCATCACTGGAAGGATTGCCGCTGAGGGTGGAAGGGAGTTCTTGATCACAAGAGGATGGAAAGTGGGACGCAGTAGGATTCGAGGCGACAAGCGGAGGGCGAGGGCCATCCGGCGTATTGCGAGAAAGGACAAGTGAACCACAGCCCCGTCGGGTGTGTCCACAGCCTGAGCATTGGTTGGCTTTGACATAAGGTAGAGGTGTTCAAAGGTTAGATATCAGGAGCGTGCAGAGAGCGAAGTCTTCACCTTCCGAACCTTAGCCTGTCAGAGCACGTAAATATATCTATCTTTCACCAACGAGCGTGAGGTTCAGATACTCCTCTTTTTTGTTCTCACGCTCGTTGGTGAATAGTTTACGGGGTCCCAGGCCTTGACAAAAAAATGGCGATCTAATTTGATCGCATATATCGGGAATAACTAGATGGTTGACGGTTTAGGGAAAATGATGAACACTTCTTATGTAACAAGTACCCACTGGCACCGCTGGCTTTGCCCCTTGGCCATGTTTGCTGTTCAGTAATTATATTGACTTTTGATTTGTCCCCGATTCCCTGTCATTTTGGGCCAATTCCAAGACCGGCGCAGGTCATTCTTCCAAATCAGGCCCGCCGATTTTTTTGTCCGTTGCTGTACAGCCTTTTCTAAAATTTTTGTCCGATCAAAAGTGAATGGGTATTGACCCCGTTCGTAAAAAAATCACCTGAAAATGGTCAAATTTCTCATATTTTTATGTTTCAATACAATAGAATTATATTTCCATCTAGTAGAATTAGCGCCCACAGCTATTCCCCATTCCTCGCTGAATAATGACCATAGCACTGACGGTCACAGCGATCTAGGCAGGTCGCCAGCCTCTTTTGGAAACAGTGATCCTGCTCTCGATCCTGCTCACATCAGCCCAGCCGAGCTTCCATACACCATTACCATCTCATGGGTACCAAACACGCGTCTCCAGACATGAAGTGACACATCGTCCTCATGTCCTCAACCCTCACTACCAAGGAGGCGGCACAAATCGCCCATCTCGGTGACTGCAGAGTTGCCGCATTCTCTCAGCTCACCAGCAAGGGACCTCTTTGATCAAGTTGGCAACCGTGGGTGTAGTCGCGAACTTGACAACTGGGATCTGGATGTGAGTATGGTGTTTCTGTCTCCCACCGGCTCAGCCTGAAGCAACGAGGCTTCACATACATCAGCAAGCACTGTTGGAATGCTTGCTGGGGTGTTTTCAGGAGCGGGTGCGGGGCTAATGGTCATCATTCCAGTGGGCGCGCTTGTCTTTGTTGAGAACAACGCACAGTCGCTGTTTCGGAGAGAATCAAAGCAGGTGAGGAAAACTTGATGATTTCCAGAACTTTTCGTGCACGGTAGCTTAGGACACGGTCTGATCATGGCCAGTGTGAAGGGTAGGATCAATCGTTGTGGTCGGGAATGGGTATGGCTGTGCGGCGCTAACTCTACTGTATTGAAAAATAAAAATTCGAGAAATTTGATCATTTTTGGGTGATTTTTTACGAACGGGGTCAATACCCATTCACTTTGATCGGGCAGAAATTTTAGAAAAGGCTGCAACAGCGGGACCGCTCGGAAATAGAGTCGGTGATAAAAATTTCATTCCTCGGTTCGCTCCTGGTGGGCGACTCGAGAATGGTTTTTTTCATCCGCTTTGGCACACACAAACACCAACACATCACAACACATCAATTCAATGCCCCTATGGTCACGCACAGCCCACCAGAGAGTCTGGCACCGAACTAGCTGGACCTGCTTATGTAAGCGGTAACCGTTACAATATTCGGTTGTGTCGGGTGAGCAGTGAAGGGCTCTTTGCGCCATGCGCCCACGAGATCTTCTTTACAACTCTGTTAAGTCTACAGCTTTGGTCTGGAGATGACTTGCGTGATATCACAACTATAATTGCTGCCGTCTCTTCCACATCGTGACCGACATCATACATTTACGCACAGATTAAACCCCAACGTCTATGCTCACCCTATAAGGTCACTTTGTCCTTACTCAGAAGCTACAACGCCCTCCCTGGTGTCAACCTCCCTCGATACCAGAAAGGCTACGTCCCGCCGCTCCAATCTCAGTCCACTCTCCCAGGCCGGCAGCATGTCCTCGATCCCGAGCCTTTAATTGATATTACATGTGATAGGAAGGCATATAAACCTGCTCGGAAGTTGGAGGGCAAGCCATTGTAACGGGCGCCAATTCGGGCATTGGAAGGGCCATTGCTCGTTTATATTATGCTTGCCTCGTGGTGGATAAAGTGGTTGACGCCCACGGTATTCCACTGGCTCGGGGATGGGGCGGCTCTTGTGGGGGCGATCTTGACTCCCGATTAGACGCCAGCAGGAGAATGAGATAGTCACGACGCCGTCCAGACCATCAAAAATAAAATGAAAGCACGTACTGGGAGGGACGTTAGCCTTATAGGTGTCGTTACCAGCTTTCCTGAACCAGGTTAATGTGTTGTATATCTCTACCCCTCCCGCATGCTCGCACGTGTTTCTGTCCCCAGGCTTTTGCTTTCTTGTATCCAGAGCCCTGAACCAAAAATCCAACGCAGACATTGCGATTCTCCCTACCTCAGTAGCTCAACACGTTCAACGTCAACATTCACTCCCAGTTCTACGTTTTCTCAGTCACATCCCTCTCTGTGGATCGATCATTATTAATGGATCTCTCGATCCTTTTATTGGGCATCTTCGATTGATGGATTATATGGCTACCAAAGGTACGTGATGCAGATGAAGCTATCTAGGAGTATACATTGCTTATTGACACTGGAACGTTATGATTGCAAGACACTCTTATGTGCGCCACTCATTGACATCTCCCTTTCCGCCTACTTTGGACAAAGCAAAAGAACAATCCCGTGAAACGCCAGGAAACCTGTCAACATTGCCGTGTTTTTAGAGGGCGTCGACTCGGGATACATCAGTGGACAGATGTTACATCCCAATGGGGGTGTGGTCATTACCTGAACGGCATTGGGCATCATAGATTAGGGGGGGCCAGGGTTGTATCATAACCACATTGCGAATGGGCGATACTTCCGAATAGGTCCGTGAGCCTTAGGCGCTGCATCCGGCTTTGCGAGCCCCTTCAATTCCGACTTTTGCCGTCCGTGTCAGCCCCAAAACCTCTCATTATTAGTGACACTGCTGGTGGACGTTCCACCTGCATCATCCCTATGTTTTTACCAACAACTGGTGTCAACAGATCACTATAGTGCGATCCACCAGACCGAGTTCACTTATGTGCGTGATCAGTATTTGTTGCTCGTGCTCGGCTTCTGTACCAGCGCTCCTTCACTTGGCGCTCTCTCCTAGTTGCCTGAATGGAAACTGTCAAGAAGTTTTTTGGTGACTACGGGAGATAACCCGTAACCGTGCCTTTGTCCCTCCTTTCGTTTCCTTTTTTAAATGACACTCACCTCCAACGCCGCCAAACTCGAGGATTCCATGTGGATTTGGCATCACCCACCCAATAATCCCCACATCTAAACTCGATGTCGATTATAGTAGGAGCACTATTGCATCATCAACGCGACCGCAGGGTAACAAAAAACCTCATGACTTGGGATTGTCACGCCAAAGTCCGAATCTCTTGCAACATCAAGCTTCTTATCTCTGAGATTCAAGCACGGTCGAATAATTATTTTTTCTTTGCCTTATGTCAAGGTCGATACAGAATCGGGTACAAATCATTTTTACATGGGCAACAGGTCTCACAGTCCAGAAGCACAACAAAAGCGACTGCCAATGCCAGAAAAAAAGTACACGAGCACAATTCGCTATCATAAGCAAACAGTACAAACCCAATTTAGGTCCCAGTAATGGGAACTGCAATCATGCAATCCCTTTCCGAATTTTGAAGAGGAAATCGCCCTTGGAAGACTAAACAGAGGCTGAAATCAAGTCACGTCTGATTCTGGTCCACAAATGGAACCCTAGCGGTTGACGAGGGATGAGTCCTAGAGCCGAGCCCCAACTGCCCGTCTCGTCACTCAGAATCCCCAAGACCCAGCCTGCTCCGAATTCTAGCACGGGTCTGTCGAGCGAGTCGCGACCGTCTTGCTCCACCTTTCACGTAGCGAGCACCAAACATTTCCACGAACAGTTCCTCCAGCATGGATACCATAAACCAACAGTTTTCCTACATTGCTTATCAACCAACCCCAACCCAAAGAAAAAATTATACTTACCGCGAATACATCGTACGAACCACACTCGCCCAGAACAACCTCGAGCACTCGAGCAGCGGAACTGGTTGTGGTAGGTCCAATAGTGCCTCTTCACTAGACCTTACATCGTGGAGTAGATTCGAATCCCCAGACATAGTTACCTTGAACGAGAAACAAAACATAAATGATATGACTGCAGCAATGGAATGGGGACCTACCATATCCAGTGCGTCCGACTTGCCGCGGCGCAGGCCGAACTGGACCAATGATAACGTGTGGTCCCGAAAACGATCAATGCGAAGGCTACAGTTCGGCATCCTGTCTCGAGTGACCCCCAGTATAAGAGACCGGTGTCGCACCGCATTGTTGTCCTTGAGACGCACAACAGACGTAATGTTTGCATGCGGCCCATGTGCACTTGCCTTCAGGTTGTGAATGCACGTATATGCGGAGGAGGTTGTGTAAGCCCTTGAAGGTATATGGGCCGCTGGATCAAACATGCCTACACGAGTGGCAGGGTAGAGGCTGGGGGCGGCTTCGTTGTAATCGGGCCTCTGTATTTAAAAACGGTCAGAGGTCGAATGGAACTCAGAAACCAAGCCCACAAACCCTTTTGCTAGCTGCGTCAGCGCCACCCGTACCAAAGTGACATTCCGAGCCAACAGATGCCCCTGGATCCACACAGTCGTTTTGACACCCACTCTGTTTCAAAAGCGCCGCGCCCCGAGATCTCTCTGCTTTGAAGCGGATAGCCAAGGAAGCAAGCTCCTTATGTCCAGGAGCAAATGGAGCAGCCCGAGAGTTGGCTGAATGATTGTCGTGGCCGACATCCAGCATCTTGCCGTCGCTGCCTCCAGCTACACAAGGCGAAGATGAAGGTGCCTTGACGGCGGGCTCGGTACCTGGCACAGAGGATCCTGGATGATTGTGCGTGCTCCAGCGCCACCAACAACGAAAAGAACGAACGGCATCGCTTAAAGAACTGCCGCTGAGGGTGGCAGTGGGTTCACGATAATAAGCGGATGGGATGTGGGACGTAGCAGAATGGGTGGAAGCGACGATCTGGGAGTGTGGCGCGCTGCTGGAAGGGACAACTGAGCCAGCAGAGTACGTAGGTGGGGAGTAGGAGTGCGAGTGTAATGCGGGGACCTGGAGAGGAGAGGAGAGGGGGTTGCAATCAACGACGTCGGAAAATGAAGCGGGGGGTGCAACCCATGCCCTGAGTGTGGCCACAACCTGGTCATCGATGGGCTTTGACATAAAGTAAATAGCACACCCAGCGGGAGCGCTCAAAAGTTAGATAGCAGGGGCGTGCAGAGAGCGAATTCCTCTGGCTGTTATATGTCTTCCTCATTCCGAGCTCTGTGGACAATAACCTGTTTTACACGCTAATTCACGATTCTCGTTTATTCACTTGTTCCAATTCCCGCTACTCTGTAGCGGGTCTTGTAAATTTTTCGACCCTGATTGAATGCGTTTGATGACAAGGTCCTCTATTATTGCCAATTCTAGATAACCCAGGGTTTTCCCAACTCACTAACCAATTTCTCTTATACCGCACCACCTCACTGTGCTGCTTCTCTCATGCTTTCCGGACCGCCGCTACTTTCCAGTGCCTCGCATATTCTGTTTGGTGACTGTTGCCAAATTCCCATCGGGCCTGCCCCCGCGTGCGTCCATCTTTGCATCCGATTTCCGAATTATGACAGATATCTTCATGATGTACTTACCTTTTTGCTCTCCTCTGTATGCCCGTTTGAATATCATTGTTGTTCACCCGATTTTGGTCGCGCATTGAGACGTCCGAGATTGGAAGGGCCAATGACCTCAACAATTAATTTAGTGTGGGTCATGGAAATTGAATATCATTGGTTCATCTGACGCACTGATCATTTTGCGTTGATGCATTTGTGCTCTGTTGTGTCTCGTTCGCTGCGCTTGTTTTATGTAAATTTAATGGAGGAACGAGATTAAATGGCCGTCGCCACGCTATTCTTGTCGCATTCGCTCACACAAGAGGAGGACAGAAGAGTGGCGGGACCTGCCGTGTCAGGCGGTGTCCACCAGTTATTAAAACTAGGGAGTTGTAGAATAGGTCCTCCTGCCCCACTTCTTAATGCCCTAGTGACTGTGGTGAGGATGAAAGTCGATATGGGCAAATGACCATATTTGCTTCCGGATAGTGATGACTTCTGTAAGTCGCCTACCTTATCACCAAGGGTTGCATCCCCGCGCGCTTGATGTTACTAATATATGGCCGCAGCTATCGAATTAAATTATACATCCGAGCAACCCTTTGTATTGGCGATTGATCCCCCCATGTTCCGTGTGCCTGGGCCTGGAGCTGCAAGGGGTTCAAGCCCCCTGCAATGCGAGACTGCCAGCAGGCGTGACTGGTTGTAGCACTACACCCGGGCGACGAACCGACATGATAAGGCATGACTGGTTGCATCCGAATTAAGCTGTGACATGAGCGACGGGCCGAGTAATGTTGATATAGTACTTGTATAATTGCAGGTGCCATGACTGGCTGCACTCCGAAGCTGTGACATGGGCGATGAGCAAGAGCAACACCGATATGGTAATATAATTGCATACCTAATTGAAGCAGCAATCGCAAATAAATTAATGTATATACACTGGTTATTGCCGTTTCAAAATTGTCGGCAAGGGTTCAATTTAAATTTGAATTGAACCCTTGCCAGGAATTTTGAAAATGGCAATAATATCTGGAGGACAAAATGATATTTTTTGACCTAGCAAATAGATGTGGTTTGGCCCCTCGCTCGGCTGTGGGAATGTGGTTGTACGAAAACTCGTACGGCACCGAACTCTTGTGATTTCGAACAAAGGTCACTACAATTCGTGGGAATCCTAACTCTCCCTCCCCATAGTAAAATGGGTTCTCAGGACAGAGAAGCGGCAATCTGCCTAGACGGAAAACGAGACCAGCTAAGACCCATTTTCACCGGTGTGCCACAAGGCTCATGTGTCTCACCAATTCTGGCAGCATACTTCACGTCCCCCCTGGCGAAAGCCGTAGAGGAAGGTGTCCAAACCAGGATTGCACAGACCACCGAGCTAAGCTCTAAATTGAACAAAGGCCTAATCACCCCCATTCCACTCACCCTCTATGTAGACGACGGGTCCATATCAGCATCAGCGCCATCCAGAGAAGAAGCCACCGAAGTCATTAAGACCGCTTTCCGGATAGTCCACGAGTGGCTCAGAGAAAGAGGCTTAAAGACTGACCCGGTAAAAAACGACCTCATGCACTTCACCCAAACCAGAACGGGCAGAAATGCCGGGCCAGGCCCATCCATCACCATCCCCTCACACATAGACAACGCCGACAAAACAATCAACCCATCCAGCCTGATGAGATATCTAGGCATATGGTTCGACCCACAACTCAAGTTCACGGAACACATTAAGAGGACCACCTCGAAAGCAGCGTCTGCAGCCCAAGCCCTTCGTATGCTGGGCAACTCAGAGAGAGGCCTCCACCAGACCCATGCCCGGCGCCTCTACCTAGGAGCGGTATTGCCCATCGCTTTATATGGCTTACCGGTATACTGGCGCAAAAAATCTAAATTGATCATTAAACATCTCTCTACATTACAGAACAAATGCCTGCGCATGATTACAGGAGCATTTCGAACGACCAGCATACAGGCCATGGAGATCGAAGCATCGATCCCACCCATCGACATACTCCTCGAATACCGACTGAAGATGGAGGCAACACGCTTGTCCCGACTCCCGGATGACCACCCAGTCACCAACCGCCTCTACCCGTGGCAGAGGAGATTAACAACACCATACACTGTACCACCACTACCGGTATACGACCCCCACAGAAGATATCGCTCAGACCCAAGGGACACCTTCTCAACGTGCATCACCCGCATCGCGGACCATATGATTCACGGCACAGAGAGGATCCGCCCACACAGCGAAGCCCCATGGCACATTTCGGAATTCGACATCGAAGATCGTATCCAGATCTACCTACCAGAGAACACCGCTGGTGAATCCGCCAAGGAGTCGTGGACAGACGACCACCTGGAATTTACAACGGAAAACGAGGACGACCCAGACTTCCTCTTCGTGTACTCCGATGGATCCAAGTACACAGAAGAAGGACAAAACGCCACAGGATTCGATGTAGTCGGTTATTCAGCAGGTGAAACGGTATTCGAGAGGAACGGTTCCATGGGTAGCTACGTAGAAGCCTTCGACACAGAAATGATGGGGCTGAGGGCAGCAGCGGAAGAAACACGTCGCTTCATCGAAAACAACCCGGACACCCACAAGCCATCGAACATAGTATTTTACTCAGATAACACGAGCGCGATCGGCCGCATCTTCCAAGGGAAGCCCGGTAAAGCCCAAGAACACGCCCAGACCTTTAAGAAGATAGTGTGCAGACTACTGGACGACAGAGCTGACCTCAAGGTCGCGATAAGTTGGTGCCCAGGCCACTGTGGCATCAAGGGAAACGAGCGGGCAGACGAACTGGCCAAAGAAGGAGCCCGCATTAGCCCGGACAGACCCCGCTACCACTCATTATCCTATGTAGAAAGCTTGCATAAGCAGGATATGGAAGAAGAGTGGAAAGAACGTTGGACAAGCACACCCACCCCGATCCGATCAGGATTCCATACGGCAAACCAGATCTCCCCATCAACTAAACCCACCACCAGATTCAAATCGCTGGACCGGAAAACCTTCAGTAGGCTGGTCCAGTTCCGCACCGGCCACGCACACCTGGGCGAATACTATCACCGGTTCGGCATCCACACAGAGAGCAGAGAGTGTTCATGTGGAGCTGCCAACCAGACAAGAGAACATGTCCTTCAGGTATGCCCACAGTTTAAGAAATACAGACACATAATGGGCCGCGGTCGTCAGAGCAGATTTTCGATCCTGATGGGGAAGCCCAAAGGCATTCTTAGACTAGCGGCCTTTATTAAGAAGTCGCGGGTCATCGACAAAAAGAGCGGACAGAGAGCAATGCATAGCGGAGGAACAGGGGACAGGAGCACACAACCAGTAACCACCCGTAGGGAGAGAGGAGTGACATAGACGCCACCACACCCCCACGCATACCCAGACACGGCTTAATCCCAGACATCACAAACTGGAGGATCCCGTCATCCCGACCACACCAACCAGATAACCTACCTTGTATTGACGAGCCCCTCATGTACAGTCAGATGTAAATAACCGGGCTAGCCGCACTGCCACGTACAAACGCGGCCGCGGGGTAACAAAATAGAGTACAACAACAACAACAACAATCCTAACTCTCCCCACCCTGTTGATCTTTAGGCATACCACCGTTGGCACAGAAAGAAGGGGGTTCGAGTTATCCAAAGTTGGAGAGCTGGCAACACAAAGGCACGGAAGACATCATATCGCGCGCTCGATTCAGAAACCTGACCTAGTTGCCGCTTTCCCCAACGGTCCGGACTTTGGTACGTGCATCTTTGTACGCGTTTGATACGGATGCTGGGCACCAGTCCTCATGGGACGACAGGGGATATGATTATTGATTTCAGCACGCGCTTATGACAACAACCAAGGGCATCTAGCTTAGATCAGCGCTAATTTGAATTGTGTTGAAAGGCACAAGCAAGGTCAAGCCGCAGCGGCCCGTATAATGGCCTCTCCATAATTTTTTGTCGCACCCTTAACCATCCTCATTCAGAGTCACTGCGTGGCAAGACCTCAAACCCCTGGAGTGTACCAGCATGCAGACTATTGATTGTGGCCGAAGCCAACTTATCGAAGAATTCATTATCCGGGTGCCGAAGGGAGCATTGATAATTGAGTTCTATTAACGCAGCGAAGCACAAGTCGCAAGCACTGTATTGGAAGCTTTAATCCCGACAACAGGAGCAAAAGCCCACGACCCTAGAGGATCGACTGAGCAGCAGGGTTGGACACACAGGTGACAGAAAGACATAGTTTACTAGAGAGTCCGAATCTAATCCTGATCAGCCCCCCCGATGCCACAAAACCCGAGGATCTCATCCACCTGAATCTACCACCCAGACACACTTACCATGAATAAAAGATCCTCTCATGTATGTACGCACGGTGTAATGAGCCGTGATGGCCGCACTGCTGGCCACGTTAAAACGAGGCTGCGAGGTAACAGATTCATTACCAGGCGTCACACATTAGAAGTAATATCGTAGCGTCGACGACCCCTTCTTTGGTCACTGGGTGTGACCTCGAAAAGTTAGACCGAAGGTAGATTGAGTGTAACACCGTTGCGAACAACCTTAACAACAAATGGAAAAATCATTTTACATATTACTCGGATCAACAACCCATCAATCTACATTCCACCTACGCACACGCAATACTTGCAATGCCCAGTGGAAGGCGGGGCGAGTGATTCTAGCAGAGTACTTATCTGCAGTTTCTCATGGAAGTAGCACGATCTGAGCCCTTGTGCTGGAAACAGTCCTGGAACCCTAGAACCCCTCATTCGGAACCCTAGAGGCCGAATGGGTTCCCAAGTTGAGCACAGGCCAGTCCTATGCGAGGTGGGGACATCGCCCCCCCTTTCATGTCAGGTCTTGAGAAGAGTTCTTTTGGTGCTGACTGGACCCTACCCAGCGATGTCCCTTCACATTGGTCGGCACGTCTGATGGGGCGGGAGGGCGGGAATGGATGCTTACTGCAAAACGGTCATTAAGGCGGCATTCGGTGAGGACAGTTTCGAAAGCGTGCTGAAGTTGAGTACTGGGTTGTGGTAGATCCAATACAACTCCCTTGCCCAATACGTCATCAAAGAGAAGGTTCTGATAATTCTCCAGAAGAGAACAGCACGAAAACCGAAATAATAGTGTAGGCATCGACTCATGTTGACTAGTTTCACGACAAAAACACTCTGAAACGGCGAAATAGTATGGTTCCCAAGGCAGTCGATCCGAAGATCAAAGTCCGGCATCCCATCTCGAGCAATGAAAAGTGCACAGGCATACTTGTCTTCAAACCACCTAACAGAGGCAATACTTGCATGCGAACTCTTCTTCAACTCGTCGAAATAGTTGTGGGTTAAGAGGGTCATGTATCTATCATGGGCCGCCAGATCGAATCCACTCCCGGGAACAGCTGTAGACTAAATCTATCAATGGTGCTTTCAGCGTATTCGAGCCTCCGAGTTCACATCAATCATCACCTCCACCTCGCTGGAGCTGCACCCAATCACACAAATGCCTCTGTTTAGGATTTGTTCTCAAGTTCGGCGGTGCACACCGATCGCTTGAGGAATGTGACATGATAGAAGTAGTACCAAGTAGAGGACCTGCCTTGCTCTCATGATTACACGGGTCAGTAAGAGGGTCAGCTGAAGATGCGCCAGATGGGGTGGGGAGCGACGGTGCCCAGAGTGCCAGTGAGAAAGTGAGGGGTCATCTTGAGTCATGTCAGAGATGTCAGACTCGGCGCAAACTGGGGGTTGGGATGTGTATTGGGCCTGTCACCACCGGGAGCAACACCAAACGAGAGAGAAACAGGCATAGGCGTCAGCTGTTCGTTGAGCGACGCTTGAGGCCACAACAATAGGCATAGAAAATGTGATCGAGGGATCAACATTCGCTGTGACAGCAGAACTCCCCTCAATCGTCAAGGCCCAGAATTCGGGAGTCTGCTAAGGGGATAGACCAAGCCACCAGACATACTTCGTCTTCTGTCTTGACGATACTCACTTCAAGTTTGAACCTCTTACTCTGCATCTTAAGGATGTTGACATTATCGAGGATGTCCGCGTTAGGAGGCGCGCGGGTGCTACATGACGGTTTCGTCCCCAGCGAGCTTGTATTTAACCTGAAAACTTCAGCCTGTACCGGTAGGGGGCTTTGGAATAAATAACTGGGAACGCCGCCTGAAGTGGCACAGCCCGCTACTCTTCTCGCCTTGCGTGCTGCGCAGACCAGGGTGGGGGGAAACTGGGGAGTAGATTGTTTCAGAATCACTTTCTTCGCGCCCAACGCGAGCTTCTCAGGCCAACGTGCAGCGCACTGGGCTGGTAAGCATCAAAGTTGGGCGTTGGGCGAGATTGTGATGCAGGTGAAGAATGTTGTGACGAATTGTACATCCGCGTCAGATTCAACAGGCAAATCGTACTGTGCTACGAACCGACGAAGACGTGCGCTGCGGAGATCGGCGGACGCAGCAGCGGAGAGAAATTTGTTCGCTGGACGTTTAGCCAGGCAGCAGATAAGGGAAGCGCGACAGCGTGGTCGGGCAGGATCCGGAGAGTCAGCGTCAATCCCAAAGTCACAGGGAGAATCGGCGACGATGCGAGTGAACAAAAGAGCATGTAACTGATCTCGATTTAGACGTTGTGCGGTGGCAAGAAGGAGAAAGAAGGAAGTGGTGGAGTTGAAAGAGATAAGCGGGTAAATGATTGCATTCTTGCACACAACTAAGGAGTGGGCCATAACAGTCGGCATGCCGTATCGATCAAGCGCAAGCGTTTATCATCGATCGTTAAAGAAGCAAAGTCCAATCCGTGTAGGTAGAGATTGCTGCACTGAAGGCTGAAGTAAGAAATGAGTATGGCCACAAGGCTGGGTAGATCAGTTAGAAGCCAATTAGCCTTGGACGTGTAAAAGGCTCACTTGTATCTGGAGTGCTCATGGGTTTTTTCGGGAGTCGAGGGACTGGGCCGAGGGAAAGGAAATGTATGGGGTGAATAGAGGGAGGGGATAGGACAATTGAGTCGTGGAGAAAGTCTCTTCAATTCATGGGAACTTTTTTTTTTCGCAAGGACCCCCTTCAGAGGAATATCGGATCAAAACCGTGGATGAAATAAATACAGTACTTAAGTGAAGCGCCTAGATACAAATGAACAAAGTGCAGGATCGCCGGGATTGATGTGGTTGCGATATCTTCCCACGAGTATTTTGCAGCATGCGGGAGACGGGTGGCTTGGTGGCTATAGTACTGAGGCCGAGTGTGAGAGCCATGAGCTGTAATCGGACTGAACGACTGACCCCTCCAATCAACAATCAATTCAGCCAACTCCGCTACAGCGGTTTTTCAGCTTACGTGGCCCATTTTTTTTTTTTGTTCCGCATCGCTCGTTGCCCGAAAACAGGGCTTGACAAAGAGTGCAATATCTCAGCAACTGCATGAGCTAGCCACTTGCGGTTTGCAAAACGTTCGCATATTTATGGTGCCCAAACTATTTTTTTTTTTAGCGATAACGATACTTTTGATTTTTTATGGAAATCCATTTCACATAGTTTCCTAATAGTTTTCTCGATTTTCTGAAGGGGTTGCAATTTCCAAATATGGATGGCTCGGGTGACTCCGTTGCCCGTTTATCTATCAATCTCCTCGTTGGAGATATATTTAAGGGCACTGACAGGCTCAAGTTCGAAAGGTGAAGACTTCGCTTTCTACACGCTCCAACTATCTAACCTTTGGACACCCCTACTATTCCCACTGCCTATCTACCTTATGTCAAAGCCCATCGCTGTGGACACACCCGACGGATGGATTGTGACCCCCATCTCGCCTCCCGACGGCGTTGGTTGCGAACCCTCCACGCCACCCCTCCAGATCCCCACACCACTCTCGCGCGCCTACTCCGCTGCATTCTCGACGGGCCCGCTTGTCCTTTCTCGCAATGTGCCGGATGACCCCCACGTCACCTCCACTAATTCTACTGCGTCCCACTCTTATTATCAAGAACTCCGTTCCACCCTCACCGAAAATCCTGCGAGTGATTACTTGCGTTTTTTCGATCATCGGCTGCCCTGGAGCGCAACTGGGGATAGTATCCAGAGTAGCTGCGAGCCATCTCATCATCGTCATCAGGAGTCCTTTGTGCCAGGCACTGAGGAGCCCACTGCCAAGCCCGTTCCTTCGTCTTTATTCCACGGAAATGGAAGCAGCTACAGGAAGGTGGATGGGGAAGGGAAAGTCGTTCGTGCTGCACTGGATGCCCGCCACAACAAATATCTAGCCAGCTCTGAGGCTGCCCGATTTACGCCTGGGCCTAAGGAGCTCGCTTCCTTAGCTCACCGCTTCTATCCTACAGTTGAAGGTGCAGGCATGTGTGTAGGCATGTTTGACCCGGTGGCCCATATATCTCCGTGGGCTCACACAACCTCCTCCGCCCACACCTACATTTATAACTTGAAGGCGAGTGCACATGCCAGCACGCGTACATCACATCTGTTGTGCGCTTCAGGGACAATGATGCGGTGCGACACCGGTCTCTTATACTGGCGGTCGCCCGATACGGTATGCCGAATTTCGGCCTTCGGATTGATCGTTTTCGGGATCACACGTTATCGTGGCCCGATTCGCCCTGCACCGTGGAAAGTCTAATGCGCTAGATACGGTGGGTCGTTAGTCTGTTCCTAAGTCCTCATATCATTTATATTATGTCTTCATTCAAGGTAACTGTGTCTGAGAATTCGAATCTGCTTCATGATGTGAGGTCAAGTGAAGAAGCACGATTGGAACTTCCGCGACCTGTTCCGTTGCTTGAGTTTGGTAGAGTGCTCGAGGTCGTTCTAATCGAGTGTGGTCCATACAATGTATTCGCGGTAAGCACCATCCCATCCCCCCCTCCCACGGTCAGTATCAACTGAGCTAGTGTAGGAAAATTGTTGGTTTGTGGTCTCTATGGTGGAGGAACTATTCACGGAAATGTTCGGTGCTCGCTATGTGAAAGGTGGAGCTAGACGATCACGACTCGCTCGCCAGACGCGTGCCAGAATTCGAAGCAAGCTGGGTCTTAGGGATTCCGAGTGACAAGATAGGTCACGTTCAGTTCTAGGACGGTTCCTTATGAAAAAACATAACGACAATGAAGATTTGTGGATTGGAATCATATATATATAACTTTGGTTGTGACTTGTTCTGGGCGCATTTCAAGCGCCTTGGCTGTTGATGACGAACGTTGTTTGCGCATACTGACTGAGTTAATCTGCTTGTACCCATGTATGTACGTCTTTCTACTAGCCAACAGAAAAGCTTTGTTTCAGGTGCGACAACTGCTGAGCAGCGTGTTGGACTGGGGAGATAACAATTTATGGGGTAGAGGGACTTCCCTGTCTCTGGTGTTGGTGCCCATAACGAAATAGTTAGTGCAAGTCGTTTGCAGGAGACATACATCCATGGTGTGCACTCAGGTCAAGAACAACGGTATAACATTGAATAGACACATCATCAATTTTAAGATAATAAGGGGAGCGTACCCCTAAATAGGAATTGTAGCGTCGGCGCCCCTTCAAATTTTGTCGCAAAACCGCGTGTCGAAGGCAAATACAAGAAGGTGATGTCTGGTCATAGTGGAATAACGCGGTCGCGCACAGCCTGAACGAGAAACTAAAGGGAACGGAATTTCACTTCATTGCCAATTCGTTGCCACAGTATTAAGGATTCAGCATACCGCGAACCTGCATTTCGTCGACGCACAAGCAATGCAGGACTAGTAGCGATAAAGAATATCCAGATGATAAAGTGATAATCAACCAGATAAGGATGGGGTGCTGCAATGCCCAAACGGAAGGCGGAGCGAGTGATTTAACGATCTGCAGTTCCCCATGGATGCAGCAGGACCTGAGCCCTTAGGTTGGGAACACATAGAACTACGCCACCTTCATTTGGAATCCTGGAGGCCGAGTGCGTTCCCAATTCGGGCATGGGTCAGTCTCGTAGGAGGGAGACATCGGCTCCCCTTTTGTGTAACCAGCGCCGAATATGTCTACGAACAACTCCGCAAGAGCTAAGACGACGGACCAACAATGTTCTTTCTTTCCTCATTGGTCAATACGTCTGACAGGGTGGGAGGAGAAAATGGATGCATACTGCAAAATGATCGTCAAGGCGGCATTCGGTGAGGACGGCTTCGAAAATGATGCCGAACTTCAGCAATGGAACCGGTTATGGTAAATCTAATACAGCTTATTCGCACGATACATATATCATCATAGAGAAGATTCTGATCGCCAGAGACAATTGTCTAGAAGTGAATAGCAATCCTGGTCACGACAACCGAAATAATAATGTAGGGACATCGACTCGCCTTGTCAAGTATTCACGGCCAACCGAAAACAATCAACCCGAAGACCAAAATCCGGAATCCCATCTCGAGCAACTGAAGCACAAGAACCTGTGCCTTCTCTCACCCGAACTGCCTAACAGAGACGATGCCTGCGTGCTGTGTGGACTCTTCTTCAGTTCACCGAAATAGATATAGATTGGTTGAGAAAGTCATGCATGCATCTAGGGTACGTGGGCCACCAAATCGAATTTTCTCTCAGGGCGTTGTGGCTATCACTAAGTTCGCCATGGTGCATTCAGCCTACGAGTAGGTTTCATATTCAGAAAGGATATTCGGTCCTCCGAGTTCGCAGCCATCCCGCTGAAGCTGTTCGTGAGATCTTTCCTGGTTCTTGAGGCGTGTGATCACGGAGGCCAGCTCTTTGCGCCTGGGCACAAACACAGAAGGAGCGGACGAGTCGCGACCACTACCGAGCTGCGTAAGAGGCTTGAGGCCATTCCCCCATCATCCCTGGCGGCGCTCGAACCCAGTTGGTGCCTGAATAGCTGCATCGAATATTGCCAAACGCCCCCCTCCAGTTTGGGCTTTATTTCCAGGTTCAGTGGCACATGCCGATCGCTTAGGGAATGCGAAGCGGCAGAGATAGTACCAAGTTGACGACCTGTGTAAAGCAGAAAGCAGGCGGAAAAAGTGGTTCAAGGGAAAAGTTAAGATTATGGAGAAGCACATAGCCACTTGAACAAAGCATGAGACACAAGAACCCGACCTGCAGCATCTAAGTCCATAGGATCCCATCCTGGCCGAGTGATGCTTAGTACCGTGGAGGGTAAGTGTTGTGGTTCTTTTTCCTTTGTCTCTTGTGGATATTTGTGAGCTCTTCAGGTCGACTGGTGCCAACAATCGGGCAAGACTGAGTCATACTAGCAAGTCACTAACCGACGAGAACTCGATTGGGACAACTACAAGAACTATGAATCTGACTAGTTGCGAAGAGGACCTCCTTATGTAAGCAGGTAGCCCCTCAGAATATTCGGCTGTGTCCGCCTTTCGCCGCCAGATTCTGTCCGACGATCTCTGTTGCTAGCGCTCATTCCTATTGTGGGTGAGCAATGAGGGGCCCTTTGCGCCATGCGCTGTAATGGCCCGCGAGATCTTCTTTACAACTCTACAGCTTTGGTCTGGAGATCACTTGCGTGATGTCACAATTATAATTGCTGCCGTCTCTTCCACATCGTGACGGACATGGCGTCGCCGTTTACGCACGGATTAAACCCCAACGTCTATGCTCACCCGATAAGGTCACTTTGTCCTTACTTCGAAGCTACAATGTCCTCCCTGGTGTCAACCAATCTCAATCCACGCTCCCAGGCCGGCAGCATGTCCTCGATCCCGAGCCTCTAATTGATGTGATGGGAAGGAATATGAACCTTCTTGGAAGTTGGAAGGCAAGCCATTGTAATGGGCGCCGATTTGGGCATTGGAAGGGCCGTTGCTCTCTTATATTATGTTTGTGTCGTGGCGGATAAATGATTGACGCCCACGGTATTCCACTGGTTCGGGAATTGGACAGTTCTTGCAGGGGAAATCTTAACTCTCAATTGGACACCAGCAGAGGAATGGGATGGTTGCGAATCCGTCGAGACCATCAAAAATAAGTGAGAGAATGTACTGGGAGGTTAGACGTTGCTAAGCATCTGAAGGCTTTCCAGAACCAGGTTAATGTGTTGTATATCTCCGCTCCTCCCGCACGCTCGCACGCTTTTCTGTCGCTAAGCATCCACTGCTCCGTATCCAGAGTCCTGAACCAAGGTGCTGAAAAACCCAACGCAGACATTGCGACTCTCCCTACCTCGACACGTTTGACGTCAACATTCACTCCCAATTCTACATCATTAAACGTGTTTTTGGCCACATCCCTCGAGGTGGATCGATAATCCCTTTATTGGACATCCTCAATTGGTGGATTATATGGCTACAAAAGGTACGCAGTGCAGTCTGAGCTGTATAGGAGTATGCATTGCTTATTGACACTGGAATGTTGTGGTTGCAAGGCACTCTCATGTACGCCACTCATTTACATTCCCCTTTCCGCCTATCTACTTGCTTTCTCCCCTCAGTTGCCTTGAGCATTGACCTTCCGCTCCACGCAGCCCATCAATAATGGACAAAGCGAAAGAGCAACCCCGTGAAACGCCAGGCAGCCTGTTACGTGCTCGTATTTTTAGCGGACGCCGACTCGGAGTATATTGGCGGACAGACGTTACATCCCAATGGGAGTGCGATCATTACCTGAACGGCACTGAGCCTCATGGATCAGGAAGGTCCAGGGCTGTATCGTTACCACATTGCGAACGGGCGATACTTCCGAATAGGTCCGTGAGCCTTAGGCGCTGCATCCTGCTTTGCGAGCCCCTTCAATTCCGTTTGTGTCAGCCCAGAACCTCTCACTATTGTTGGGAATCAATCAGTGATACTGCTGGTGGACGCTCCACCTGCATCCCTACGTTTTTATCGACAAAGGACTCGTTAAAAATCGGGGCAGATCTTTCGGTGTCGACGGATCACTATAGTGCGACCCATCAGACCTATTCATGTGCGCGATTAGTACATGTTGCTAGTGCTCGGCTTCTATACTAGCGCTCCTTCACTTGGCGCTCTCTCCTAGTTGAATCTGCCGAGAATTTTTTTGGTGCAATGGGAAACAACCCGTAACTGTGCTTTTGTCCCTTCTTTCTTTTTCTTTCTTAAGTGATACTCACCCCCAACGCCACCAAATTCGAGGATTTCCTATGATTTGGCATCACCTACCCGATAATCCCTACATCTGAACTCGATGTTGATTATAGTAGGAGCACTATTGCATTGTCACGCGACCGCGGGGTAACAAAAACATCATGACTTGGTATTGTTACGCGAAGTCCGAATCTCTTGCAAGATCAAGCTTCTTTGCTCTGAGATTCAAGCACATTCTTTTTACTTTGCTTTATGTAAAGGTCGATACAGAGTCCAGTACAAATCATTTTTACATGGACAACAGGTCTCACAGTCCAGAACCACAACAAAAGCAACCGTCAATGCCAGAACAAACTATTTGAGCAAAATTCGCCATAATATGCAAACAGTACGAATCCAATTTAGGTCCCAGTAATGGGAACCGCGATCATCCCTTTCCGAATTAAGACTAAACAGAGGCCGAAATCAAGTCACATCCGATTTTGGTCCACAAATGGAATCCTAGCGGTTGATGAGGAATGAGTCCTAGAGCCAAACTTCAACTGCCCGTCTCGTCACTCAGAATCCCCAAGACCCAGCCTGCTCCGAATTCTAGCACGGGTCTGTCGAGCGAGTCGCGACCGTCTTGCTCCACCTTTCACGTAGCGAGCACCAAACATTTCCACGAACAGTTCCTCCAGTATGGATACCATGAACCAACAGTTTTCCTGCACCAATTGTCAGCCAATGCCAACCCAAAGAGAAAATTATGCTTGCCGCGAATACATCATACGACCCACACTCGCCCAGAACAACCTCGAACACCCTACCAAATTCGAGTAGTGGAACTGGTTGTAGTAGGTCCAATAATGCCTCTTCACTGGACCTTACATCGTGGAGTAGATTCGAATCCCCAGACATAGTTACCTTGAACAAGAAACAAATGATAAATGATATGACTGCAGCAATGGAGTGGGAATCTACCATATCCAGTGCATTCGACTTGCCGCGGCGCAAGCCGAACAGGACCAATGATAATGTGTGGTCCCGAAAACGATCAATCCGAAGGCTACAGTTCGGCATCCCGTCTCGAGTGACCCCCAGTATAAGAGACCGGTGTCGTACCGCATTATTGTCCTTGAGGCGCACAAGAGACATAATGTTTGCATGCGGCCCATGTGCACTTGCCTTCAGGTTGTGAATGCACGTATATGCGGAGGAGGTTGTGTGAGCCCTTGGAGGTATATGGGCCACTGGATCAAACATGCCCACACCAGTGACCGCAGGGTAGAGGCTGGCGGCGGCTTCGCTGTGGTCGGGCTTCTGTATTTAAAAACCGTCAGAAGTCGATGAAACTCAGAAACCAAGTCCACAAACCCTTTTGGTAGCTGTATCAGCGCCACCCGTATCGAAATGACACTCCGAGCCAACAGACACCCCTGGATCCCCACAGACGTTTTGACACCCACTCTGATTCGAAAGCACCGCGCTCCGAGATCCCTCTGCTTTGAAGCGGAGAGCCAAGGAAGCGAGCTCCTTATGTCCAGGGGAAAATGGAGCAGCCCGAAAGTTGGCTGAATGATTGTCGACCACGACATCCAGCATCTTCCCATCCGCCTTCTCGTCGCTGCCCCCATTTACATAAGGTGAAGATGAAGGCGCCTTGACGGTTAGCTCCTCAGTGCATGGCATAGAGGATCCTGGATGATTGTGCGTGCTCCAGGGTCGCCAATGACGAAAAGAACGAACGGCATTGCCTAAAAGACTGCCGCTGAGGGTGGCAAGGGGTTCACGATAATAAGAGGATGGGACGTGGGACGTAGCAGAATGGGTGGAAGCGACGATCTGGGCGTGTGGCGCTGAGCAGGAAGGGACAATTGAGCCAGCCGAGGACGTAAGTGGGGAGTGTGAGTGTGAGTGTAATGCGGGGACCTGGAGAGGAGCGGCAAGGGGTTCACGATCAACGATGAAGCGAGGGGGGGCGCAACGCATACCTTAAGTGGAGCCACAACTTGGTCATCGATGGGCTTTGACATGAAGTAGATAGTACACCCAGCCCCAGCAGGAATGTTCAGAAGTCAGATAGTAGGGGCGTGCAGAGAGCGAATTCCTCTGGCTGTTATAAGTCCTCTTCATTCCGAGCCCAGATTCCTTGGCCGCATCTTGTCCTCCATGTCACGCACAATTCAAATTCACTCGTTCGTGGGCTGGTATTCCTGTTGACCTATTATAAATTGCCTATCGGCCTATATGGTGGATGGGTTGCAACCGAACAGCAACCCTTATACTTATATCTTGCTGTATTGGCGATTGAATCCCCTATCCGCCGTGTAGTTCAAGCCTCGCCAGCAGCCTGCAATGCGAGACAGTCTGCCAAGCAGGCGTGGCTGGCAGTAGCACTACGAAGCCGTGACACGGGCCGGCAGTTGCGTGACTGGCGAGCAGAGCAAGCTAACGCCGATAACGAAGCACTGGTACTACGGGAAATTGTGAACTATGCAGTTCATTTTTTTTTTCTCATCAAAGAAAATACTGTACTGGCACGACCAACGCGTCACGCTGACCAGCCGGTCCGGCCGGGGTTGGAGGTCCGTCACGCGTCACGCAAGGTTGGTGTCTGGTGTCACGCAGGTTCACGGGCGCCGAGGTGGCTGTGTAAAACCCTTTTTGGGATCATATTCTCAAAAACGGAAAATCGCCATCTGTTGCTCTAAATTACAGCCGTGCTTCACTCACGTCCACAGCTGAGCTCCTGCTCAAGATTAGATGAGGGGAGCAGTGCAATGTCCTTGACATCAGCTAATTGTTGCAAACGCACCATCCCAAATATGGCAACAGCAACCCGCATCTAGGCAGGACCCCAGCCCCTATCATTTGCAGTACAGAAGTAATACAGAGGAAAGATATTACAAGTAAAATAAGTGACTCTGCAAGCGCGCATGAATATACTGGGGATTTCCCACGACAATCCAGAATATTCCGGCAGATTCCGGTGACTTGTAGATTCCAACAATAATTTGTCAACCTCTATGTTTATCTTCCGGAGTGTCTACGGACTCGCATTCATGTTCAATGATCCAGGTCAATTGCCAGCCAGATTGAATATAACAATGTAACAATAAATGCGGACAACTCCGCTACAACCGGTTTGATGTCACGGGTTTGACAAAACTCGAGCCTTTTTCCCACACTGGCACGTGACCCGGTAGTTGGTCGTCCCAAAGGTAAGATTTACCGTCACACGTTGTTTGGCGGAAAGGGCAGACAACGGTGAACCGGCTAAACCTCCCATCCCATTAAGTAGGGGAACAAGTCCCGTTTTGCTCAGGACATCCCTAAGAGGGCAACAGCATTCTGCCACGGACTCTGATTGGTCCAGATCTCAAACAAACTAGTGGCTGCACCCGGCGCCCGCCTCTGTACATCATTACCTAATAACTGGGGAACGCCGCCTAAAGCGGCAGATCCCGCTACTCTTACCTCGCATGCATGTTCACTCTCAACGTTACTATTGGCTGAGATGAAGCCCGAGATTCACTCTCGCTCTGTAAATCTACCGCATACCCTGATAAGTTCAGGACCACGTAATTTACACTGCAGCCACGCAGCAAGCGGAATAGAACTGTATGGGGCAGAGAATGGACCCTGGGTTTGGGGGTCATACAGGACCCTGTGCATAGGACAATTGAGTTTGGGAGAAAAAAACGTAGGCCCGCTACGGAGTAGCGGGAATTTCTCGGACAAGAGACCATTATAATTACATACCTACATAATTGAAGCAGCAAATGCATATACATATATACAATATTTGGGATATTTTTTAATATATGTAACGGCCTTTCTTTGAAATAAATTGATTTGGTGAACGGACGCGGTCTAACGCAGCAAATGCCCACAACTCTCACGCTCACACCTGCATACCGGCGCAGAGCATGAAAGTGAACACGATCAGTGTATGCTCTGAGATACATAAATACATTTCCGCCATTGTTACGCAAGGAGATGGGAAAGGGGCATGAGAGGTTCCGCGGGGTGCTAGGGTTTGAACTAGGCGAAGGCAGGGATGGAACTCAAGGACAATAAGGGGAGGGCTGGCAACACAAAAAGCATGTAAGACATCATATTGCGCGCTCGACTCAGAAACCTGTCCTAGTAGTTGCCGCCTTCCCCAACGATCCGGACTTTGGTGTATCTTTGTGCGTGCTCGACACGCCCGAGATGGATGCTGGGCGCCAGTCCTCATGGGAAGGCAGGGGAGATGATCCGTCCATATTATTGATTTCAGCGCGCACTTATGATAACAAGCAAGGGGCATTTAGCTTAGATCAGCGCTAATTTGTTTGTTTGTTTGACCCCAGTAGTTAACTTTTCGCGATACATACTGGGGTTTGAATTGAGAGATGTGAGTTCCCAGCGGGGGTGCATGTGAAGTCCGGAGCTGCCACCGTGAGGAAATGGTTTATTCAACCAATTGTCGGGCAATTTGCTCTTTTCGTGTAGAATTCCGCTCCAGGTGCGGAGTACAAGGTAGGGCCTTGCGGCCGTATTTTTTTCGGTTTGTCAGCGCGATGGTCAGCGCTAATTTGAAAGGCACAAGCTGCGCAGCGGCTCTTCTAGTACGTATTTCAGAAATTCTTGGGGTTTTGTCGCAGCGCGGCGAGACCTCAAAATCCCTGTATGGAGTATACCAGCATGCGAACTATTGATCGTGACTGAAGTCTCCTTATTAATTAATTGAAACGGGTTGTGGTAGATCCAATACAGCTCCCTTGCCCTATACATCACCAAAGAGAAAGTTCTGATAATCGCCCAGAAGAGGAACAGCAATTTTGGTCACGAAAACCAAAATACTATAGGAACATCGACTCATCTTGTTTAGTACTTGGGAAGTTTCACAGCGAAAAATACAGTGAGGTGGCATGATCCCGAAGGCAGTCGATCCGAAGGCCAAAGTCCGGCATCCCATCTCAAGCAATGGGAAGTGCACAGGTGCCTTCTCGCATACTTGTCTCCAAACCGCCTAACAGAAGCAACATTTGCATGCGAACTCTTCTTCGACTCGTTGAAATAGATGTGGGTCATGTATGTATCTGGGGGCACATGGGCCGCCAGATCGAATCCACTTCCGGGAGTAGCTGTAGACTAAGTCCATCGTTGGTGCTTCCAGCTTATGAGTAGATTTTAGGAAGGATATCATACATGCACATCAAACGCTTACACCGACGCGACCTTTTGATATTTCCGTCCTGCATCCGAACAGGCGTCATGAGATCGTTCTTGGTTGGAGAGGTAAGTGATCACGGAGTCTGGAGGCTAGGTGCGTCGATCACAGAACGACCCGTGACTTGCCCGTGACCACCAGCGAGCTGCGGAGTTGTCCGAATTGATTGTTATATTGTTATATTATTTACTGGTCAAATTGGTCTCAAATTATATGTGTCCATGCCGTGGGACTACAGTTGCGGACAGGCAAAGTCTGAAAGAAAATTTAATCTCCATGAAAAAGTCCGGAAACATGATAAAACGACGTATTTTGGGTAACCGAGTTCATTCCGAGGCTTTCCGACACTGAATTCGAAGATTATATTTCCATGTGAGTGCCGAAATTTAGCGTCGCGCTAGAAAATACACCACGTTGCAGAACTAAATGAAAGTAGACGCTGTTAGGCCTCCACAGACTCGTTGTTTCGACGGATCCAGAAATTATTATAAGGTAGAGGCTGCTAGGCCTCCACGGGTCTGTTGTTTCAACAGACCAAAGAAAAGATATAAAGTGGAGGCTGTTAGGCCTCCACCGACCCACTGTTTCGGCGGATCAGAGGAAATGAGGAAATAAGAAAGTGAACGGAAACTTCCGGACCACTACTCACGTCCAAAAACTATTTTGCATTTTTCTCCCTAATTTACTGGTCAATTTGTATATTTTGGAAGTTATTCAAACAGGCTATTTCATGTATGTAAGGTGTGTCAACATCGTGGGAAACAGTCCTGACACTGCTCCAGACAGTGGCCAGCATTAGACAGTGAGTCGGAGCCTCTAGGACGAGAACCCACCTTGCCGTGGTCTAGAGGCTCCCCCGGCACCCAATGTGGTTAGCTGGTTTTGGGTCTAAGAGGTTCTCCTTTGCCGCGATGGATAAAGGCATGGACGGCACTTACACGTTGAGTTATCCTGCGTTGGCCTTTTTCACCGTTCTGTGCCGCCTTTTTCCATCATCTTCCACTTTCCTATCATCTTGCTCGTAGCGAGGAGACAGCTCGGGCGTCTTTTCTTTCCCTCTTCACCATTCGCGAAAACGTTGGGTGGTTTCTAAAACACGCGGCACCATGTGGGCGCCTAACGGTTTTAGCTCCCTTTTCGTTCCCGAAGCGCGGTTCTCCAAAAGACCAAGAGGCACGAAGGAGTTCGTCTGGCCAACATTCTCAGGTGCCGCTTCAACTATCCCGTCGCCGCGATACTCCAAAGCATCAAGAGGCACGAAGCCGTTCGGCTGGCCAACAATTTGAGGAGCCGGCATCCGTACCTACCAATCCCAGCGTACACTCACCCTCGGAGATAGCTAGGAATTCTGACGCTTACAAAACCATATCTTTTACATCGTTTTTGTACATAATTTCTGATCGTGCCCTTAGCGCCCTATTAACACACACCGCGAGTCAGACAGCCACATGCAATTGCAGCGGAGATTGGTCACACAAGATTCAGTCAATGGTGTGCCGACATTTGAGTTGATCAGCAACAAAGGAGAGATGGTATCAAGACAGAGAACACAGCCGACGGCTGGCCTTGTTCGTGCCAATACATTCGCCTGCCGTGATGACAAAAAACCGATCTGTAAGTATTTGCATTTGACTGTCGCAATGAAGAAACACCGCTCCATAAGAATCTATACATATTTGGCTGCCGCGGTGAAAAAAAAAGGGAAGGCTCCCTAAACCCTCCAAGGCAACGGCTCAAATATTGGTTCTATTGAGATCTTATCAAACCGACTGGAGTTTGTTATATATCTAGCATGCACTGACAGGCCGAGTCCGAAAGGTGACTTTGCACGCTCCTACCATTAGCTATCCTTACCCTCCTACCATTTGCACTGTCTACCTCATGTCAAAGCCCATTGATGCGCAGGCTGTGGACATACCCGACAGATGGGTTGTGGCCCCCACCTCGTGCGTCGTTAGTCGCGAACCCCCCACGTCTGCTTTCCAGGTCTCCAAATCGCTCTCGCATGTCTACTCCTTCAATGCTACGTCCTCGACTGGCTCACTTGTCCTTTCTCGCAATACGTCGGAACTCCTTTCCACCCTCGGCGGCAATCCTGTGAATGATGCGTTACATTTTTTTGATCATTGGCTGCCCTGGACTCGGAGCACGACTGGTATACAGAGCAGCCGTGAGCCTCATCGTCATGGAGAGTCCTTTGTACCAGGCACTGAGCCCATTGTCACAGCTCCATTTGTATTTCACGGATATAGAGGCAGCTACGGGGAGGTGGATGGGAAAGGGAGAGCCATTCCTGCTCCACTGGATGTCCGCCACGACATTCATTCAGCCAACTCTGAGGCTGTTCGTTTTGCACCTGGGCCTAAGGAGCTTGCTTCCTTGGTTCTCCGCTTCAATGCAGAGGAGTCATCATACACGGCACTTCTGAACCAGGGTGAATATGGGACCCTCTATGGAGATACAGGGGTATCTGTTTGCTCGGATCGTCACTCCGATAAGGGTGGCACTGATATGGTGAGGGTTTGTGAACTTCGTTCTGAGTTTCGTTCTGCCGCTGATGACTTCTAAACATAGACCAAAAGTGAACTCGAACCCTCAAAGCCGGATGCGACAATCACGAACTCCCCAACCGTCATTGGTTACACAACCTTCTCCGCCCTCACCTACATTCGCAACCTGAAGGCGAGTGCACATGCCCAGCACGCGTACATTACATCTGTTGTGCGCTTCAGGGACAATGATGCGGTGCGACACCGGTCTCTTATACTAGCGGTCGCCCGGCACGAGATGCCGAATTTCAGTCTTCGGATTGATCGTTTCCGGGATCACACGTTGTCGTTGGCCCGATTTGCCCTGCACCGTGGAAAGTCCAATGCGCTAGATACGGTGGGTTGTCAGTCGGTTGTTAAGTCTTCATATCATTCATATTATGTCTTCATTCCAAGGTTACTGTGTCTGAGAATTCGAATCTGCTTCATGATGTGAGGTCCAGTGAAGAAGCACGATTGGAACTTTCGCAACCAATTTTGCTACTCGAGTTTGGTAGAGTGCTCGAGGTTGTTCTAATCGAGTGTGGTCCATACAATGTATTCGCGGTAAGCACCATCCCATCCCACCCCTCCCACGGTCAGTATCGACTGAGCTAGTGCAGGAAAATTGTTGGTTTGTGGTCACTATGGTCGAGGAACTATTGACGGAAATGTTCGGTGCTCGCTATGTGAAAGGTGGAGCCAAACGATCACGACTCGCTCGCCAGACGCGTGCCAAAATTCGAAGCAAGCTGGGTCTTAGGGATTCCGAGTGACAAGATAGGTTGTCGGAGATCGGTTCTAGAACGGTTCCTTATGAAGAACCAGCATACGACAATCAAGATTTGTGGATTGGAATCATATATATATATATATTTATAACATTGGCTGTGACTTGTTCTGGGCGCATTTCAAGCGCTTTGGCTGTTGATGACGAAGGTTGTTTGAGCAGAGTTAGTCTGCTTGTACCCATGTATGCACGTCTTTCTACTAGCCGTCAAAAAAGCCTTGTTTCAGGTGCGACAACTGCTGGGCAGCGTGTTGGACTGGGAGATAACAATTTATGGGGTGGACTTGCTTGTCTCTGGTGTTGGTGGCCCATAACGAATACATAGTGCACTGGACCGTCCCTTAAAGAACACAAGTTAGTGCAGGTCGTTTGCAGGAGACATACATCCATGGTGTGCACTCAGGTCGAGAACAACGGGTATAGCATTGAACGGACACATCATCAATTTTGAGATAATAAGGGGAGCGGGCCCCTAAATAGGAATTGTAGCGTCGGCACCCCTTCAAATTTTGGTCGTTAGAACCGCGCGTCGAAGGCAAACACAAGAAGGTGAAATCTGGTCATGGTAGAATAACGCGGTCGCGCACAGCCTGAACGAGAGACTAAAGGGAACGGAATATCATTTCATTGCCAATTTGTTACCAGTATTAAGGATTCAGCATCCTGTGAATCTGCGTGTCGTCGACGCACAAGCAATGCAAGACTAGTGATAAAGAATATCCAACCAGATGGGGATGGGGTGCTTGCAATGCCCAACGGAAGGCGGAGCGAGTGATTTAACGATCTGCAATTCCCCGTGGATGCAGCAGGACCTGAGCCCTTAGGCTGGGAACATTATAGAACTACGCCACCCTTCATTTGGAATCCTGGAGGCCGAGTGCGTTCCCAATTCGGGAACGGGTCAGTTTCGTAACAGGGGGAGACATCGGCTCCCCTTTCGTGTAACCAGCGCCGAATATGTCTACGAACAACTCCTCAAAAGCTGAGACGACAAACCAACAATTTTCCTTCTTTCATCATTGGTTAGTACGTCTGATAGGGTGGGAGGGGAAGATGGATGCTTACTGCAAAACGATCGTCAAGGCGGCATTCGGTGAGGACGGTTTCGAAAATGATGCCGAACTTAGGCAATGGAACCGGTTGTGGTAAATCTAACACAGCTTCTTCGCCTGATATATCATCATAGAGAAGGTTCTGATCGCCAGAGACAATTACCTAGAAGTGAATAGCAATCCTGGTCACGACAACCGAAATAATGGTGTAGGAACATCGACCCACCCTGTCAAATACTTGGGGAGTTTCACGGCCAAAAATACTTTGAAAGAGTGAGAGGGTATGATCTCGAAAACAGTCAATCCGAAGACCGAAATCCGGCATCCCATCTCGAGCAACATGAAGCACAAGACACCTGTGCTTTCTCGCATACTTGTCTCCAAACCGCCTAACAGAGACAATACTCGCGTGCTGTGCATACGAACTCTTCTTCAGCTCATCGAAATAAACGTGGGTTGAGAAGGTCATGTATGCATCTGGGGGTACATGAGCCACCAAATCGAATTCGCTCTCGGGGCCTTGGTAGTGACTGAGTCCATCATTAGCGCATTCAGCCTACAAGTAAGTTTTATATTCAGGAAGGATATTTTACGGTCAGCGTACACTGACCATTGAACCGGTATTTCCGCATTGCATTCGAACAGGCGCATTCGGTCCTCCGAGTTCGCAGCCATCCCGCTGAAGCTGTTCGTGAGATCTTTCCTGATTCTTGAGGCGTGTGATCATGGAGGCCAGATCTTTGCGCCCTGGCGCGAACACAGAAGGATCGGACGAATCGCGACCACCGCCGAACTGCGTAGGAGGCTTGAGACCATTCCCCTTCTCATCATTCCTGGCCGTGCTCGAACTCACTTGATGCCTGAATAGCTGCACTAAATATTGCCAAACGCCTCCTCCAGTTTGAGCTTTATTTCCAAGCTCAGTGGCACCATGCCAATCGCTTAAGGGATGGGACGCGGCAGGGATGGTACCAAGTTGACGACCTGCCTTGCTCTCATGATCATACAAATCAGTAGGTGGGTTTGTTGAGGATGCGCCATAGGAAGAGGAAAACGAAGATGCAGAGGGTGCCCGGAGTGGGGAAGTGAGAGGTTCTCTTGGGGTTAGAGACGTCGGACTCGACGACAACTGTGCGATGTGAGAGTTGGGGGGGATGTTATTACGTTTCAGCTCGTCACCACCGGGAGCGGCGTCAAACGAGGGAGAAGTAGCCGTGGGCACCTGCTGTTCGTTGAGCGACGCATCGGCATCATTTCTTAAGGCCATAAGATAGAGAATATGGTCGAGGTTGAACAAAGCGGTTACAGTACTAACTTGATATATGACAAGGTTGGATCCACGTGGACACGTAACTTGTTTGAATTGAGCTGTGCAAACACTCACCGGTTTTTCCGAGGATTAGCCGCAACTTGGGAGGAGCCTGCTGTGCAACGAGCTCGCACCATTAAGTAGTAGGCGAGGTGACAGCGTTGCATAACTAGCTTAAATGAGATTGAATAGCCGCGTTGCGCGCGCTTGCGCGGCTTTCCAGTGCATCTCGGCTTCTCCCAAATACTCGATTACATATAGTCTAGGCGCTATTCCAGCAGGGGACAGAAAAATCTGTCGGTTGCGATTCGAACGGGTAAGTGGGGCAGGTCAATCATTTGCCTAAAGAAGTTGGCAAGATCGTGGCTCACAAAAGGGGGTTTCCTTATTTGGATGAACAGCTCAACGCCGGGGTCCCCAATGACATCTGAGAATAGGCCAGTCGTTCTCTTTCTCAAAGTTCAACCAAACATGCTTCAACTTCGCAACATGGAGGTGTCCCCCGAACCCCAACAGTCTCATGCACCGCACCCTGCTCTCGTGCACAACACCAGAGCAAGCGGGGCTCACCCCTGGCCCTTCCATAGCCGAGCATCCAAGAGACAGATCTTGACGCAACTCCGATATCCTGTTACTGCCTCTCTCCATAAAATCTTTATGCGGTTCTGAAGAATTCACTGCCTCTCATATCCCTGTTTAATCAGTCCCAGCATGCCTAGAAACCTTGACTTAATTTCGCAGTCCAGAGTGTATAACATAGCTGTCATACTTATTTACACCCCTCACCTTTCGCCACCTCCCCAAACTGAACTTCCGGCCGGGTCTCGGGTTCACTTTGTGGTTCCCCAGCCGGACTTTCCGCGTGCTCGGGGATTCATGGCGTACCGATCCTAGGCCCAGCACGGGAAGAACTGAGTATCTGAGTAAAAGTTGAGCATCAAAGTTCCCAGATAGAGGTTCAGTACGAACTTGGTACCACGCACAAAGAAATCGCGTCGGCACGCCCTCTCTCCACACAGTGCCCAGCCATATGTGCACGAGGATGTGTGACGGTTCACCCCTGTCTCATTGAAAAAGACAAGTTGATCTGTACGGTAAGTTGCCCTCATATACCTCCTGAAATCAGCTCGCAGCTGTTCATCGCGTTCAGCTGCTGGCTTCTGGAGCTGGCAAACTTTGAAAGTGAGTTGGGTGAGGGAAGACAAACCTTCTTCCGGGTGTTTGCTTCGATCCCAAGCTCATTTCCGAGTGCAGCCTGTGATTCATCGAGATACAAATCAGGCTTTTGTTCAATGAGGGTGTCGAGAAACTTGAGATTGTAAGCCAGAACATTCAATGTAGAGGTAGCTTTCAGAGTTACATTCACTGCATGAAAACTAAGCACTCGATATCGCCCTCATGTCTCATCCCGGCAACGGCGATGCTCATAGGAAGCAACTTCCGAACAGTGCCTTCAGACACTCCCGAGACCTGGGCAATCTCCCGTTGAGTCAGCCTCGAAGATAGCGAGACCAAGATATCTTTTGCACCGGGCTCAAGATGGAGGTTGTCACCGCAGTACCGCTAGCATCTGAGCACCACATTTAGGGGGGTTCCACAGTGCCATTGGGGTTTCCATTAAAATGTTCAAAACATGCCGATTTTGGCAGCGGGTGACTCCACCCAGATCACTTACGTTGAAATCCCAACCGGCAGATTTTTCTGTCCCCTGCTGTCATGCCTTCATTTACTACTTCCGTAGCCTACTTACTAGCTGACATTCACACCCTCGGAAGAACAATTTCCGAAATAAGTTGTATATACATATATTTGATCAGGAGCTTGTTTCATTGGAACATCCACGATGGATGCAGTTATGCCCCTTTGCAAAGATCGATCATCCGTCTGGAGCTGCAATGCGCTCCGTACTTCGCCATCGATTGGGTGAGCATTAATGCATTCGCCGGCTGGACTGGAAAGGCATGCATATATACTTCTGTGCCGATCCGGTACTGAATCAGGGGCACGTTCCCATATGCGCAACTTGTAGTACAGTGAAGGCATAATCGATCACTATGGTGTATTCCAGTCATACCTGCGACAAACATGTAGCTGTCCAGCTTTTCACACATGCAAGCAGGCTTGAATATATAATATAACCTGCTTCAGATGGATGTATCAACGTTTCATCGCCATGGTCTTGAAACTTGTTTTCGTGGCACCCACGTGGCCACGACGTTTTCCAGGACTAGTACGCGCTTATCCCTAGCTGGCAACGCTCGCTTTTATCTCGATACCGTTTCTATTGACAATTACTTATGTAAGCTTGTTCTTGATTCAAACAAACGTCAAGTCTGATGAGATGCTAGGCAGGACTCCAGCCTCTATGAGTTGGATAGAGTGAGATCGATCCCACGAATGCTTCCGTTGAATCCATTCATCGAATAATCAGCTTGAAAAACCCAGACGGCCGATTAACAGTCCTCATTGCAATTGTGGTACATGCATCGAAGAGGGGTGCCATCTAAGAACTACTCCATGTCATTGACCGTTCATTGCGAAGCGGAGCTGGTTACCTCTCGGGACCGACACGCAAGTCCACAACTGGCTTCATTGAATTTATATTCGAAATGGAAGACGGCCCCGAAAACGGCCAACACAAGACTGAAGTCTAGTCGGACATTCCGCATCGGGAAACATGCGGCATCCGAGACCCATGCGCGCGTCTTCTATCCATGTGGCACCGAACTAAGAAGCAGTGTTGCGCGCGCAGTCCTCTTCACCGCCATGGAGAGAACACAGTGACTCGAAGCGCATCGTGGAAGCTCGTAGGGCTCATACTTCACCAGATGATAAACATCTGCGAACCGCTAGCAGACGCCTTCTACGTATGGGGACATGGGGCCTCAACAGCTGAAATATTGACATGTTGCCCAGAGATACCGCGAAATTCGAAACGACCCCTAAGACAATTTCATTCAGCCCTCCACCCGTGGCCCCTCCACCCACCTGTACGCAAGCACGGATGAACGGGCATGGCAGGCTCCCAGTTGAGGATGGAGGTTTTCCATTCCACCTGCCCGCTTCTTATGACTTGAAGTAGGGGACATGCATTCAACCCCACCAGCTGACTCTGCAAGGCGCATACACCCAATCAGGTTATAAAGGGAGCATCAAAGAAAGTGTTACACAAATGAAATTATTGCTTGTCTCGGTGGTCTGTACATAATCGAAGTGCGTCCGAATGGGTGTCCCACATCGGGGTATCATCTCAAGCCGCATGATTGGGCACCCACCATCTTCGCAAGATCCCAATGGCAGTGGGACCGCAGAGTGTTACAACTGGCTGAGGTTTTTAATATAATTCTAGCCACACCTGCGGCAGAGCCACTCCTGTGCATGCGTCAACTACCAAACCCACTCGAACCGATTAAACCAGGTCGCAACTGACGCCACCAGTGCGAGCTTCTCCAGTCAGCGCGTTGTCTACAACGCGGCGCCTCGTAAGAACTTGGATTCAGTGAGCAACTTGTGATCTCCAATGCGGCAAACCCACACAGACGAGGACCCACATCCTATCGGAATGCCCCCAAGTGTACAGACACAGACACATACTTGGACGCAAGCAACCGGACCAGGTTCCGCACCCTCGTAGGAAAAGTGAAAGGCATAGAACGACTTGCGTCCTTCATCAAGAAGTCCAGAACAGGTGACAAACACCAGACCGACGGCCGCCACGCGGAGAGAAGCACGACCCCAGGGACTCTGACAGCAGGGTAGACGAGAGACCACAACAGGCCCAGAACGAAGCAACGGCGGAGGAGAGGAAAAAAGACAGGCGAGACGAACACAATAAATTATTTCCTCATTTTCTATTTCTCTAACACCACAACAATACCCACCGACACCACAGAACCCGAGGATCACTGACACCAGACGATACCCACACATCATGTATAGAAAGTCCCCCTCATGTACGCTACGGCGGGACAGCCGCACTGCTACGTACGACATCACGAGACTGCGGGAGATTTATCACCATCATCATCATTGCTTGACTGAACTCGCAACGTAAGAACTGAGGGGGTGGCTTCCACAAGGTCTTATGTGGCTGCGTAGGTTGTCGGCCAAATCCGTTTTCCCACGCCCTGTTCGGCCGCTTAACCGAATAGGGCACGAAGTAATATAGCTGACGGGTTGCCGTGTTCCATCTTTGAGGGCTCCGCTGCAGGTTCTGTTTACTGGAGGTTTTGCTCTCATATCTCTCTCTGCTGGTTAAGTAATCTCCTGTGGGAGTTTCTCGTTAACGCTTGTCTTAGGCTGGCGACTGCTTAGTTCTTGACGAGGCTTGTCTCTGCCTTTGGGGGCGTTCATTACCCTGTGGCACCTTGGTTTTCAAATCTGCTTTCGCTCCATCATCATGCTTTGGTCTTGTTGTCTTCATTCTCAACCCGATTAATGGCGCTGCCATTGTGTGTGAGATGTCCATGTTTTGTGGTCATGCGATTTTCCTCATTATGTACACGCTTCATGGTATACCAGATGCCATTTCCACTGTTGTGAGGGCATTCAAACAAGATGCGGTTCGTTGATTCTAGTCTCTCGTATCTGACACACTTTCCTCTTGATTCGCAGCCTTCTGTTTTGTCCCAAGGCAGACCTATAATCATAGGGCGTTGCGGATAATCTCCCATATGAAGATTTTAACGTCAGGTGGGTTGGGCTGATAACGATTCCTTTCCGGACTTGACTCAGGGTCAAGTTCCAGCACCAAACATTTATTTGTCATACAATATCCTGCGGTGCATTACCAAGAGGAGGCCTCCAGTTATTTCCATCTTATGCTTTTTAATCCGGCCACTCCGCCTGCAGATTTCCCGGGGATACCAAGCAGGTGTCGGGGGTGGACTCAGATTTAGTGTGCAGAATGGTATCTGATTCACATTGCGGCGCACAAAATTGGAAATTTGATATGACAACTGCGGGCTCTGTGCAGACGGAGCCCCCTATCGCGCCACCCGAGACGATGAACGTGGATGGGTGATCAATCTGTAGGCAGCCGTAGAAGCAACTGAGCAGAATGCCTTTGAGCATGGCTGTTGGCTCCCCTAGCCATGAGAGCCAGGGGCTGCCCTAGTCGACTCAAGCATCTGAACTTGTTGATCAATTCGTTTCCATGCATTGCGCGGTCAACTCGTACGCCTTGTCCGTTCGCTAATGCCGCCAGTCAGATTCGCTTCAAATATTGGAACTACTATTCCTTACATATCTCTTGTAAGCTCTGCTTGAATACCTTCCATCAGTGGGCCGGCAAAGCTAATGATCCTCAGACCTTTGGTTTGTCATCCTGGTAACTTGCGATTTAGTACTCTTCTTGGTCTTCACGCTGTCAGTTACAACACCCTAATTCGCATTTCACCGAATCGTGTTTTCTCGCCTCACTACGATATACGTTCGATCATTCAATACCAGAACCACTTGCCAACCTGCGAGAAAAACCTTATCTGGCTAGGTGATTTCCTTCTCGATCAATCCCATATCATGCAAGGTGTCATACGTCATGTTAGGCGGACGGCCGAAGGAGGTGCACGAAGATCGAACGAAAGGGTACAAAGCTCTGCCCTCTATCCCTTACATTCACAATGTCTTTTACGTTGCCCAGGATAGCCGAGTGGTGAAGGGCCAACCGACAGCATTAGTTCGCGAACGTACAATCCTGGCTCGATCATGAGCCGGGGCCTCCCATCTCCGGGCGATAACAATTACGTCTGACCACACCATTTCTCAGGCTAATTCTAACAAGGCGCAAGCTGCTCATTCCCATCCCACCCAATGGCTCAAAGTCCTCCTACTGAGTGGATGTTAGATGCATAGAATCCTAGCAGTTGCGTTGGCGATTGCATAACCAACACCAATGCTTCGATTCCAATACGATTTCATCCGTACATGATGGATATCTGGCCCGAAATATTGCGTACTACATTCGTTTACCCGGTCTATCAGGGCAGAATCAGTTCTTCCCCACCATTGGGCACCGAATCGCGTTCATGCATAACTCACAACCCAAGCTATGATAAACTTTCCCTAACTCTGACCAAACTAATATTCAAGGTCATGTCACCCACGAGCCGGTTCTATGTTTTGACGGACAGCTCCTGTGTAATTACTGGAGTAGTGTACAAGAAAAAGTACATGCGAATCAAGACACCATTGCCGGAGAGGCTTGTTTACAATGCATGCAAACAACCCGAGAGCAAATTGAACGATGTATAATAGAAAGTTGTTGGATGGATGCTTGTATAATCAACTGGCCTGTCCCTTGGAATAGCAGGCGCTGCAAGAGCACACACAGACACAGACACAGAGTCCAATCGCTGCATGCCAGTAATACTACAGAAGATATGTCCGCATTCAGAATAGAAGTGCAAACGGAAACTCTTGGCGATATTGAGTCACAATCGGATGGACAATTGTTAACCCATGTGATGGAAAGCGAGAGCATAAGACGTGGGCCATACCAGGGCTGGGATTGAGTGCAACCGCCTTGATCGTACGTTGAGCAACACGCGGCGGACGTGAAACTAATCCTGACAACGCGCCGAGGTAGCGACGCAGGCAGGGCAGGATTTCTTGGCGCCTTGCTCCGGACGAACGCTTGATAAGAACGAAATTCAGTTGGTTAGGCCGGTGAACGGACAAACAGAAGATATAACGGTCATAAGAAAGTGATGTGGGAATTACGATTTGTAGAGGACCGAGCTAGCCGTGTGCATTCTTGGTCAGTCGCTCCCACAGAATGGCCAAATTGACGGGTCGATCAGAATCGACACAGCCGTGATGAATGGTGTTTTAATCGCGCACGAGTGGAGTTAAGTTATCAGGGGATGTAGTTTCGAACAACAAATCGGATGGCATGTAGTGGTGATACAAGGCGTTTAGCCAATGTGGACGATGCAAGCTGACGTACGAGACAAGACCTGTTTCACTGTCGCAAATCAACCCAGCATCTCTGAGTAAGCATTCTCAGACCAGAGAAATGCAAATGGACTCTTACCGGTGTTACAACAAATCCATATTAAAAGAATAATGCTAAAATTTGGTACAAGAAAATCTCAAAAATTACTGCCTACGCCCACAAGATCTGCCCCATGATGTTGTCCATCGTTCTTACCTGTCCCACCCTTATTTGCAGGACGGGAGGGGAATAGAAGCGCCATCTGTCCCTGAGATCCTTGTCCTTCCGATGACGGCGCAGATGGTTCTTCCTCATCCTGGAAGAGCCTTCTCCCAACAGCCGCAGCAGCGCCGCCTTGACCAGTAGTCCGAGGGAAGGTATGGGCATTGGGGGTCATTGCCCACGTAGATGACGCGGGGGATACGCTGAAATATTCCGAAAAACTCATGTGGCTTTCTACCAAACCACTCTGCGGCATATCGGGGTCCGGATAGAGGAAATGTGTGGAAGGAGCACAGTCACTGTTACTGGAAGGAATAGGTTGTGTGAAATTCGGTGGTGGGGCAATTCCTGGTGTCTCCATGCCATACGGAAACGATGCACGGCTCCCACGGTAGGATGTGCTCAGAGGGGATGGTAGGCCTGAATTCAATTTTTCAGTTTCTCCTGTGCTCACACCGTCATAGAGCGTGGACTGACTGCCTCCAGTTGCGTCTTCTTCACAAGTATCAACACGCGTCTCCTGCGATCCAGAGAAACGAGTAGGAGAGGGTGGAGGTGGAAGAAGGGCAGCAGTGCTGATCACCTCCTGCTGGTCGTTATTCATGGGAGGCGCAATCTGTTCTGGGTTATTGTTGTTTAGGCTCGTGGAAGATAAATTTATTGGGGGAGCTGGCAGCAATGATTTGGAACCACTTTCGGCCTCTTCATTAGAAGTGACAGGGAATAACACGCGCCCAGCCTTAGCAGCAGCTCCTGGGGGGCGTGAAGACACGCTAGGACGCGCGGGAGACGGAGATGTGGCGAGGAACAGCATGAGTTCGGCAGCGTCGGCATCTGAAGGCCCTTTAGGGGTTGTGCTAGAAGATTTAGCCTGACCAACGGCAAACAACGGGGGGGATAGCATTGCAGAGTCTGATGCATTGGATGGATACCGCGAATGTCTGCCTCGTTCACGAGAGGATGAAATAGGAGCGCGTGGGAGTCCTTCATGGTCAAATGAGGAGGCGTGCGATGGCGCTGGTGAATGCGGGACGGAAGGCATGCCACCAGAACTCCCGCCCGTCGATTGGTGGAGCATAGATGTAAGTGCAGCCGCGGCCGTCATGTCTTCGATCTCCGTTGTAGCATCGACCATGTCAACGTCACCACCGTCAGTGGGGACAGAGGTCGTGCTTCCGATGGACCTACCACCGGGACTAGTGGCACGAGCACGTCTCCGACGCGAGGAGGCACGCGACGCGCGGGTGGATGGTTTCGTTGATACTGCGCTACTGGTGGATGCTGTGCTCCCGGTCTGCATGTGCCGAGCACGCTTTGCGGAGCGTGTGTTATGACTGCTGTCAGTATCCGCACCGCCAAGAAGAGCAGAATACAAAGAGGTGGGTGCTGGGGGTGGTGGCATGCTTATGCTATTATTGCTTAGCGAGCGACGGCGGGGACTCCTAGCGCCCGATGAGGAGGCGGACTCGCGTCTCGTACGTAAGCTTGTTTGAGAAGATTCATGAAGTGTCTGGCGACTTGAGGCGGTAGTGAGTTGACTGTCCTCAAGTGTTTGCAAAGGAACGTGAGATAAGTTGTGTGTCGCTTTGTACGATGCGTAAGATAAACGAGCTTTGAGCGCGCGACTCAGCTGAAAAGGGCAAGAGGGATATGTCAGTTAACCGTTGAACCATATAGGAAGGGGAGGTGGACGCATGACGCGGGAGACACGCGAGTGTGGGCAGGACGGGTTCAAGCGTGTTGACAACAAGGCGCGTTCCAACTGTCGCGTGGGGGCAAAGAACCCAGGACATGGCAGCCCGAAGGAGTCCATCAAGGGCATTCCAAAGGCCCGCACACAACTCCGGAACTCAGGATGCGCGCTGAGCGCGTAAAGAACATGAAAGAGGTGAGAAAACCGACAAAGCTAACCTTTGAGATCTCCGTTCTGGCAAGAAACGCTTCAACACCAGTTACACCTTTGCTCGCGGTAATTGCACTCTGCACGATGTTGCTTGGCAGCGTTGGGGTGGCAGAGGAAGAAGTGGAACGGCTCTCCATTGCTCTGAGGGGAGCGCGCAATGAGGAAGGGAAAGACGCGACAATAGAGCAATGGCCGGAAGTCACCACCATCCGGCTGATTCCATTCATCCCGCCAGTGGAGTCTGCAACGAAACACGGAAAACTCTTCACGTAACCATTACACATTCACACTCAGACCACCCGGGCAAACCCAGGGATGAGATACGCGCTATTATTCCAATAGCAGTGCATACTTGAACAAAACTTGAAAATGACGCGACGTGTCACAAAACCCATATGCTGTAGCAAAACCACGATCCTCCACTTGAATCATTAATCCACCTCCCAGGATAACTACAAGAAAGCCACAGAGCTAATAGGTTTTCGACTATTCAGCAAAATCGACTCGCTACCTCACGCATGTGTGGCCGCAAGCGAACCGGGTCCTATCGGAACGGTCTCCTTCCACCAAAGGGCTCATGACCCGCCCTACTGTTCAAGCTAAATGAGACGCCCTGACAAGCATTAGGTCGGATCAACTTCCACCAGAGAGGAAAAAATACCGGACTTTACCCTTCTCGCGTGAATATCCATATCAATCTAACCGTCTTTGTCAGTCACTTTTTTGCAACTTTGTTGTTGAGACGCGTGCAACCTATTCAATACAACCCATGGATCCGAGCCAAACTGGGTGATGTCTCGTGCCCTGCCGGCTGGAAGAAAATTGTGTGAAAACCTGGAGGGGATCGGTTCGGTATTTATGGCGGCCGTCGGACCCACGGGCTTAGATGACCGGTCCCACTCTGCGTTGTGTGGGACACACCTAGCACGGGCGCTGAATCATCGTACCTAGGTATTGATGACAAGATGGATGGAAGAGTGTTGGTCGCGATCAGCACCTCGTGTGAAAACATCCCAAATGGAGTAACTGCGACAAAATGGCCTATGAATGCGCTGTTATGCACACAGGGCAATGCCTGTAGGGACAGACCTGAGGTAGGGAGAGAAGAGGCGATGTAGATGTAAGAACTAGTTGGTGTTGGTGTTCTGCGGCCGTGTCAAGCGACATACGCTTCTAGGTACTCGATGGTATAGATAACGCCATTTCAGCGGAAGCGACCCGTCGAGCGCAACGTTCTTGGCCGACGTTCCAAGGAGCTACAGCACGCTTTTCCTCGTGACACTCCCTCCGAATAAGCGATAGAGCATGCAGTGGGCGTAATTTACACCAGTTGGGCGTCGCGGCGCAACCTTAGCAGTCGGAATAAAGGAGGTACAGAGCTAGAGAATAAATTCTGGCAGCTGGGCATGGCGATAAGTAGAAACATCGACCTTGGCCCTCATTCGGAAGAACCAGATCGTGTACAGGTATAGCCGGCCACACTAGTACGTCGTCGGCTAGGGTGGGCCGCTGATCTCTGCCTGCAATCGAGGGTGCTGCTAGTGCGTCTGATAGATGACGATGATTAACACTGAGGCATAGTGGACTAGGATCCCCAGAACCGCTGACTGGCAGTTGCGAAACCTGCAGCCGTATTGATATTGTGCTTGATTTATATAATGGAAGGAGAAGCTGAGGAAGAGATGAACAGGGACGAGTAGCTCCTGAAAACATGGTAACTGCCAATTAGCAAAATAGTTGACTGTTCTCTTGGAGATCAAGTCAAATTGCGGCGATCACCTCGTGTCGAGCTGTCACCGAAGGGTGAAGGGACAAATTTGTAAGACACTACAGAAAGGGACACGCGAGAATGGATTCACCAGATTTACAAGCATTTGTGGGGACGAACAGAAAGTGATGAAGCCCTTCATGTCCCCTGGGACATGAAGTTCACAATGACGCAGGAAAGTAGGCAACTTCCGCAAGCCCCGAGGAATACGGCATCGTACCTGGGAGGAGGCAGTTTCTGATCCGAATTTCTCTGAATTGGACAAAGATAGTTGCACTGTTTTCTCTGTTCAGAAACTGGGTTGAGTGATACCGCTACATCATCCGGTACACGAAGAATATCGCATGTGGAAAGCTTCTAGCGAAAAGCTGAGTACCGTGGACGTCGCTGGTTCCTTCAGGACTTGCGCACATAACAAAAAGCAGCATCATTTCGATATGTGATTCGGGAATCCGGCAGGGGCGACCCAACAGAGCGTTTTGTTGTGAGAACTGGATGGTCCATTCTAGACCGCTTTCGTCATGCTAGTTTCATGGAAAGGGTTTCCACACGCCGAGCTGTCATTGCTCCCAGGTTACTGCATGAAAGAGGGCACACAAGCGCAGCAAGTAGAAGCCAGAAGCATGCTTATTAAACGCAATGCAATATCCTGCGTTGTTCCGAGGTCCCAAAAGTCGAAGACGTTCGCCCTGAAGAACGGAAGCGAAATATTCCGGCTTGAGTGAATTCCAGGAAGTAAGAACAGCCACATAGCATGGATAAGACCTCCCACTCGCAGACACCTCATAGAATTCTTAACGGTACTATATCACAGTGAACATCGAGTTGTCAGCTGTAGGAGCCAAATTGCCAACGCATTTTCGGAGGCGCTGACATAAAAAATATTCACGCATACAAACACGCATACACATTACGCCAAATGGCATGAGGCTGTGGTTGTTTACAAATTGATTCCGTTGACAGCTTTTGCCATAAATTCTCTGCACCCGTGGCAGCGTACCTTTACGGTAATATTGTGCCTCGTGGCCTTGGTGCGCCAGTCTTCGAAGCCACTTGAGGCTCTTCCAGACAAAGGATATCTTCACGAGACAAGATTAGCCTAGAGTGTTAGGCGATCTAACTTAGTATGGACAACAGCGATTTTCTGGGGTCATTACAGCTCGAAATGGCCAAAAGAGTTAGCCCTTTGAATCTGGGCCGAATGATTACGTTCAAGCGGAAACGTGGAGTCATGGTTCTTCCCCACCCTTCTGATAGCGCAACGGCCGGAATCTGTCCCACACTTATCAATCTCTTCGATTGCAACAATTGAGGGCTGAAGATGGATGGATGCGTTTCATTGAACTAGAGTGTGTAAATGAGATTCGTAACCTGTCTCGCCGTATAATCGCTGCCCAGATTGCCCATTAGATCGAGGCGTGTTGTTGACATGGGGCCTTCCTTAAGTGGCGATCTGTGATACTCGCGCAGGGCCGTCCGTAATGCTTTTTCGATCCAATCCGGATCATACTCTATATGAGTGCATGCTTGCTGTCCATGTGGATCCTTCTATGGTGCACAAAGCTGTTCCGCCCAATCGCTCAGCGTTTAACGACTTGTTGAGTATTTCAATTCAGCCACTCTTTATCCTTCTGTTGGTATAAGGAATCGAACGATTTCCCCGCCGGTGACGTTTCAGCAGCTCAACACTGATGAAACGGACATCCGAGATGTCCCAATCCACTTGGACAAGCCAGGTCCTGAACGATTATCGGTTCAGGAATCCCATCATTCATTTGTACAACCACCAAATAGGCATGTCTGGTTATGGTCATCACATCAGCGGGGAGCCGCTCGTGAAAGCGCCTTACAAATCATTATGTGGGTCCCACAACAAAATCCACTTCTTCTGAACTCTGGAACTGCTAAGCGCCGAGACCACTCATGACGTTGGAGAAACAATGATAAGATTATTATGGCCAAGAACTGGAGGGTATCGACTACTTGGATGGCAACAGGCGTAAGGGACAGGGAGCATGACAAACCTGTTTCGTAGATAGCTGATGGAGTATGATACGAGCTGCAGGGAGAGTGAGAGCGCAAAACTCAGGGCCAAAGCATCGTGAATGATTGTGAAACAAATGAACTATGTAATGTAAGAGAGCTCCTCGGAAATCAGGCCCTCAGTGGGCTTCATCTTGCCGTCCGTGCCGCAACACAATCCCTGGCACCATCAACAGACGTGACATTCCAAACATTCGAGGTTGAAGTTATCTTATTCATTCGAAACCACATTGAGCAGGGGAGAATCTCCGACTGGTTGCTTGAAACTCTGTGCTTCCACCTCGCCGGGGTCGCGAGTGACAACGCCATCATCTTCCAACTTCTGAGGTTCGCCGCTAATGACGGGGACCCTGAACTCTGTCTCTTCCACATCCAGCCTCGGTGTGGAAAGGCCGACAGTCTCAAACATCGCAACTGCCTCCGAGTCGTCCAATTGTACATCTTTTCCCTCGCTCTCGGCTTCATCATCTCTCAGCCGTTCGGGAGTAAGCGGCTCTGAGGGCGATGAAGGAATGGCATCACCAGGTGCAACTTCACCCTCAGAGGAGAACCAGCACTGCCAAGTTGATCGTGTGTCCCGTTCTCCGTAGTCGTGATGGATGCTGAGGCTCAACCACAGCCACAGTGTCAGCGGCGGAGGCTGGCACTTCATTGATTGGCGCATCTTTGCGGACGGACGGTACTGGGGGCGCATTTGCTCCCACCTTCGCTCGGGCGGCTAATGCCGCGGCAGAGGGTCCACCCCCTGGAAGACTTGCCCGAGGACGGCGGAGGCCGTTCTGTGACGGTGGGTCATTTGTCGTGGACTTTGCTTTACGAACAGATGGAAAGGGACCTGTGGCGCGAGGCCTTTACACTCCTCGCAGGTGTTTGTGGGACCTTCGGGGCTGAAGGTGTGGCGGCCGTCGCTAGTTCGTGGTATAGTCAGTTTCTACTTGTGACGGGTGTGAGTGAAGAGAAGTACGGACCCTTGCCCGCGAACGGCTTCATTGCCGACGGAGGGTTCTTTGTGGCTGCAGTAGTTCTTGCCTTCGGCGTCTCATTTCCAGTGACAGGTGCGGTACGAGCCTTCGCCAACGAAGATGCGGTGGGTGCGGTCAGCGGCGGCCGAGACGTGCTCGTTCTCGGAGTCGTTACCAATGGAGTCTTAGCGCGAAGATTAGAAGCTGTGGTAGGTGGCGCTGCTCTTGTGGTGGGAGGAGGGGTAGCGGTCTTTGAAAGTGTCCTCTGAGTGCGAAGTGGAGTCGTAGTCTTGGCCTGTGTCGATACACTCGCAACAGATGCTCCAGTGGGCTGAGGCTTAAGCACCTGAACCTGAACGAATGGAGTGACGGTGGCGGACGGACGTGACGAGAGTTTCACCGCTGCGACTGATGGAGTAGCACGAGTCGAAGGCGAGGGTTTCGGAGTAGTGGTGATAGTCTTCGCAGGCGTCGATGGCTTCGAGGCATTACGCAAAGACGCAGAGGTCTTTCTCGGAACCGTAAGTCGGTCCGTCGATGATGGTGTGGGGTCGACCTTGGGTTCAGGCATCTCTGATTGATGAGGAGAATTGCTCTCAGCTTTATCCTGGATGGGAGTCTCAGAGGCAACCTCGCTGTTGACAGCAGGCTCACGCGAGGTTCCGGGCGAGCTCGGGGTCGTGTCCAACCTGCTTTCTTTGGGAATCGATTCCGCCTCGAGATGAAACGCATCCTTCTTGAAGTCATCAGCAAGCGTCATTGCGTTCGTGGGTTCTTGTGATGGCGTCATTCTAGAAGGTATTTTGATGGGTTGGGGAGGAGGCTGGGGCGTATTCGCATTGGAAGCCACGTTCCGTTTGTTCACTTGCTCGAACTTTCCAATGAGATTGGCAACTTTTTGTGTGCGTCTCTACAGAACGTGGCGCATGGGAATTAGACATTTATCGCCTTTATATCTTGGCATACGTAGAGTATTGACCTCGTCAGGGAGAGGCATCACGAATGAATGTACAGGCTACGGAGCGTTGCAAGTTGCACGTTTTGCACGAGTTGTGACGAGTGTATAGCCCCGCTGAACGTAAAATGTAAGGTCTGAAAATTGGAGGAAGGCACACTCCGAGAGGCCCTGAACGGCCAGCCGCTGCAATCGAGTGCGAAAGTGGATGCAAGCAATAACTATGAAATGACCAGCAAGAACAGAAGAGTTGTGAAACGTGGTCCAGAGACTACTTGCCAAATTGGGTCCGTCGCTATCGTCCTGATCGCTTTTCCGACCCTTGGACCTTTGTTACTCCGCGAAGGAACCTCAGCTAGCGAAAACACTTTATTCGATCAGTTTCGTCTGGCCCTTGTCCGCTTACATGAGAGGCGGTGATAACTGGATGTATGCACCCACCCCTCCCAAAGGAGCAACCGTACCCAGCGGGGAAACTCATCTCACAAAGTGCACACGGAACTTGACCAATATCAGTTGGACAGCTTGTGTGACCGATTCCCAGTGGATCTTCTACTAGGATCTCATCCCGCTCCTTCTTGGCCCTTTGCTCCCAAGTCCTGGTCTCCGTCTTTTCTTTTTCGCCAAACTGATGTAATGCTTTTCCCGGGTTCCTGGACATGTAAAAAAAGACATGCCCGCAAAAAAAAAAAAAGCACCCTGTGACTCGAGGACGCCAAAATGCCCGCCTCGCTTCCTTGCGGTGATTTCTCAACAATTAATTCTTCTCTTTCTCGAACTTTTTACCTTCGTTGCTGATTCGCAGTCAGTGAACTGACTTTCCCTCTCGGCTTAGCAGCACAAATTGCTCAAAGTGGTTATTCCATATACACCACCTGCGCTGGCGAGTCCCCAGTGATGTTTAAAGAACCTTGCAAGCACTTTGACCATATGTGGACAACTTGGTCTTACCCATACACATCAGTAAATTTTGACGATCGAGCATGCTGAAAGATCTCTTTCCCCCCCCCCCTCCTCCTTGGCCTTCAAATAAGGATCATGAGCTGGGGGGACCCGTGTCAATTTCCTCGTCCTTCCCCGATCCACTGTGTCTTTCTTCATCGATCCATCCTAATCTTTGGTCGTCGGCAAGCCATGTCGTCCTATGCTAAGCTAGGTGCCCTTACCATACAACTGGACACCCCGATACAGACAGTCACGGCCTTCGATACGTGAGCCCATCTCCGTCGTTACCTAAATGCCAGAGTGTCACTCAGAGCATAACGTCTGCTAAGCGCCGCCTGCGAATTCAAGGGGTACCTTATCTTGGACTCCTCTCACCTTCGTTCCGGAGCCATGGACGCTCTCAAGGCCATAAACAACATCCAGACGACGGTTGGACCATTTATTTTGAAATTGCAAGGCGAATCCCCAGACATGACGCCATTTTCTTATACCGCCTCCGAGGAAAGAGCACCAACCCCGCCCGTCGTTATCGCCTTCGCTCAACGCATTCCAGATCACCGTCGAGGAGACGTCACGCCATTTTTCGTCCGTCTACCTCGGCATTTGTGGCCGACGCACGTTGGCGAGGGAAGAGTATACCAGCTGCACGCTACCATCACCGTCGAATTCACAAACATGTTGTCGGGGAAACTGATGGAACGGGTCACTCGCGACGCCAGAACTCAGTGTCAAGTCTATTTGGCGCAATAACAATAACTACAATTCCCTCGACGTTCCACGCTGTCGATCAACTTATTTTGTTTCTTTTTTTTTCTTGTTTGTTTGACGGGACTGCTTAATTTGGGTTCCAATCATGGGTAAGCCGTTTCGCGCCATTTAGAAAAACGCTTGCACCAGCTCGTCGTCCTCTCCTGCCAAATACTGAAGGATTGTCGCGTGTTTTCGCTTCTGTTCAGAATCCGTCCATTCACTCCTTTAAACATGTTCGGATCAGACCGATGCGAGGGCAGAGCATCAGAAATCCGATAATGGGGGTAGTAATGCTCCTTGACCCTGTTTGCAGAACCAAAAGCTTTCTTCGAGCGGCCCTGTGTAATCGTTGCCGAGGAACCAACAATCAAATCTTAATCACCGCTAATCTCAGGTCCACATCTTTCCTTATTGCGTCTATCGCTCCCCCACCATTGATTCTTTGAGTTTGCACTCTGTACAGAAGATATATGAATATATGCACAAACGAGGCCGCCCAGTGTCTTGTGTCCTTATACATATACCAAAGGGTGCGCAGGGTAAAAGCGGTTCGACAGTACATAAGAAGGAACAATCAACATGAATACAAGGCTATTTTGCATGACACCGGAAAATCGAAGCAAGCGGGAACGTGGATGTCCAATGTCAATACGATCTCAGATGGAACCCTGCAACCACGAGGAGGTCTCGGGATCATGCGCTGCAACATGATTCAACTGCCAAGTGGTCTTGGCCATTCGATGTACCATTCGTACCATTCTCTGTGGCGCCATTCTGGAAGGCCAACTTGCTGTGACTGCGGAGATGTGGAATTCAGACCAAGATTCACACCCACCCACCCCCAGAGTAACGAAACAACCGCAAAAGCCGCAATGGTTAATGGGCGCTTACTTACTTATCGTTTTCAGGGCGGACATCGATAGCCGGGGACCATTTGAAGAAATTGACTGGCTTGAGAGTGAGACGGAGGTGCTCAACCGGCATACTATATAAGGGACAACGCCTTAGTCATCAGAACCCATATCGAGCAAGTGACGCGGGTGCGACTTACACGGGCCAATCTTCAGGTCTGCGTGAGAGTTGGCACGAGCCCATGGGAGGATGAATGTCAGATACCTCACTGACCGAGGAGGTGCAAAAGGTTAATTTTCTCTACTCGCCTTGGGATGTGATTGGTTCCTATCCGGTTCGAATAAGTTCAAGGTCGAGGCCACCAAAAGCGATTCGCATGAGTTGCAACGCGGCCGACCCCAATACGTATATATAATATGTATCAACGACTTACCAAATGTTAAAAATAGCAAGATATCTTCGTTATCCACACTCTGCCCATCTTTGGCCCATTCTCCAATGGAATCTAAAGGAGCTTTGACACTGGAAAAATGATTCTCTCATCGGTTAGCAAACACAATGCAATACACCAAATGGTGGGAGAGAGGGAGAGCAAGTGACCCCCAACCCCAACAAAAAAATCACGCCCAACTGTCCAAGGACCTCACATCCACTTACGTTTGAGGGACATACTTCCCCGAAGGGAATAACCTCTTTCCTTCCTCATCCCTTACTACCCAGAGACTCTTCCCTGCAAAACCTGATCGCTTCGCCACCCACGAATCGGGCTTAGCCAACATCCTGATGGCACCGCCCTTCGCACCAATAGTATATCCAGCCGGCATTCCGCTAGCATAGTGCTTTCTAGACGGATTAACGATCGTCCACCGGCGATCCGTTTCGAATTCATAGTCACGCGCATTATCAGGGGTTTGAACGACCGACGTCTTCTGATACCATCCGTTGCCTGCGTAATTCTCTGTAGAACCCGTGGGGGCGTCGAGCTGGTGAAGGTTGCTCTCGAGGACGGAGTTATCCAAACCATCGATCATTGGATCGAGTCTGAGGGAGAATATATGCTGATGATATTGAGCTTGAATCTGAGGGGCAACGATAGAGCCGTGCGGCGAAGGCTCGTCCTTCCCAGTCACATAGACGTTCAGGACGCCTGTCAAGCGGGTCTCAAGCTCGATCGTTCCATCTTGATAAAAATTGTAGTAGAAACAGTACTCGTAGTTTGCGACCGTGGCTATCATCGAGACCCTGTACGTTGAAGAAATTTCCGGGGGGAAGAACGGTGAGACCTACTTAATGGCACGTTGCAGAAGATAGATAGCTGCGTACGTACGTAAGTTTACGACTGCGGACAGACATCGATCGTCCATTCTTGCGATAGTCAGTATGTTTCCAAAGCAAACCTAAGTAAGCGGCCCGTTCAATTCCACCACGTACGTCATCAAACTAAATTAATTTCACACCTGCGTCTTCTTCATGAATACAAATGGCACGTTTAAGCTTGATAGGCTCTCCGCTGTGGCCAACGAATGCACCAGGCTGACATAAAGAAAAACACGTCAGCACACACAGACTACCTTTGCCTTGGTATAAAGGGAGAGCCTACGAGGTAATGAATAGTCCCAAGGCAATCACATCCAAGGGTCAGATCATTCGCCATGGCTCCCATACCGTACTCGCCACTGGAAATAGAAAAATTTATGGGTGATGTCCATAAGTTCCTGTGAAAAAAAAAATGAGATCTTACTTACACATCAAAGGCGAACTTCCTGGGGTGGGGATGCTCAGGGGCAGCATAGGGAACGACCATTTCCGCAATGGACATCCTGTAAATGATAGGCCTTACTTCACCGTCATCATTGTAGGTGACAGTAGAGATGATAAGACCCTCCCTGCCATTGAAGGCTAATCATGTCAGGGGGGACAAAAATGGGGATGTCAAAAAATTTGTCAGCAGCGAACCTTACGAGAATCGCGCGTGAAAAGCCAAAAACAAACAAACAACCAAACTCACCGACATGCAACTTCCACTTCTGCCATTCAATCTGGTTCCCGATCATCTTGAAGCTGACCCCATCAGGCTGCTCGATCCTGAGGGTTTTCAGCGATTCCCTTGCTTCCTTTGAACGCTTGCTTTCCTCCGACAATACTAGTTCGGGCAAATATTCATATGGGGTAAGGGGAGGAGGGATTCGTTCACGGCTAAGACCATAATTGGGAGCATCGAGGGGCGGAGGAGCGGTGGTATCCGAAGAAAGCTCGCCAGTTTCCTTTGAACGATGGGGAGCGAAATCGATGTGAATCACCTTCCCAGTCGTATCATTGAGGACAGGGAAGAAATCCTGTTTTTTTAAGAAGAACAAAAAATTAAATTAAATTGCGATCACAGACCCCCAACTAACTGGGATGGACTTGCCAAGGGATGAGCATAAAGATTCGAATCGGGTTTGAAGCGAGCAAAGAGTAGGCATTGTTGAAGACGAGTGGTATTTGGGAAGCGTTCGTCGTATCTATTCAAAAGTTACACCCCTTCAGAAAAATTACTACCCACAAACTTGGACACTCAAGTTAGTTAGTATCATACCCGATAGCCCATCCGTCCGCATATATTTCTTCGGGCTTGATACCAACTTCAGCAGCAAGCCTCTGAACTTCGGGCTAAATTAGATCGATAAAATTATTAAATCTCGATTCCGTCTTCGAAAGTTTAAAGTGCAACTCACATCGGCCCGAATCTTCACCTCGCTCTCAAGTAACTCTTCGGCAGAAATCTGTGGCTGAGTGCCCTCGGGGAGCTTCGTAATTCCATCGACAACCCACGTTCCATTAGGGGCAAGAGTCAATGTCGCATTGTACACGCAACTTTTATTTGAGCGGATGGGTTGGTGACGAAAAAAAAGAAAAAAGCGAGTGAGCTAATTACGCCCACGAGTGCTTCTATCGAAAAACTAACTCACCCAGTGACCACGTCAATGAACTACATAAACGGCCGAGGGAATTGATGTCGGTCGACGGATCAATTCGTCAAACCATACATAAAGACAATGAAGCGGTCGGTTGCATGCCCCACCCCTGCGAATGAATTGGCACTTCAAATAGACTTACATCCGTTTCAGCTCTCCTAAGGATGGAAGCTGGCCGAGGCGCAGCGGGTTCTTTGCCTGGAGCGGTAGGTATGCCTAACCATGCTAAAACGTCCCTTTTGGGCGGATGAATGATGCCAGAGCTTATGAACTTGAATGATTTGACGTTCTGCTGGATACTATACTCCCGCACGGCGAGAGAAATGGAGGCGATCTAATAGGTAATGTCATTGTGTCAACCTTTAGGTTAGGTTCAAAAGCGGGGTGAGAAAATTAATTGAGGAGCGAACCTCTGCAGCGTCGAGCTCGTCGAGAGGGTGAAATAAGGCGCGCCTGGCCGTCGCTTTCGCGGACTCTTTTGCGTTGTCGAAGGCATCGGCGTTTTTCGTCTCGGGAATTAACGGCGCCATGGTGTCTCCGTCAGTAGTATAGTTGCAACAGGGGGACGTTGGGACTTGGATATGGTGCTGCCTGACTGACAGTCAGAATATAAGCCCCTTTCGTATGAAGGGGTGCCCCTTAAAAAAATGATATTATTTAGGAGTATATTATTCAAGAGGCGCCGAAACACGGAGGCCATTCCTTCCTCCGTGTGGGTGTGTGATAGTTAAATGCACATATGATCGTTCCAATTGAACAAGATATTGATGAATATCTCTGAGGGCGCTTGGACGCTGCCTACAGGCATTTGCAGGGCTGGGGGGGGGGGTCGGAAAAGTACTTATGTAGGTGAGTGCCTGACAAGCTCATCGGGCCGCCTTTGTCTTCCCAAATTCGCGGATTTGGAAGGGTTCTATCATTGAGATGCAACATCGCTTCGCGCCTAGCTTGTGGTTACCCTGCAAAACCTTCAACCAAATATGTATATCATGCTGATGGGCTGTACCGAGATAAGATCTTAATTATTACCCCGCGCGGCGCGGCTAGTTATCGGATCATCTACTATCTAATTTCATCATTCTCTCATTCCATTACATACTGTAGCTGGGGTCCCCGTTGCAACCGCTCTCTGGATGGGGCGGGGCGTACAAGCCCAGGAAACGGTTGTGATCTGAACGTCGAGAGATATACCACTCCACCAATGGTTGATGACACGCTTGCACTTGCCAATTTTTCACTGTGCATTCCTTCCCCTCTACTTGATATTCTCTAAGCACCGTTCGTCGCATGATCGTCCCTCTACCAACTATTTTCACGAGCGTTAAAGAGACGCTCAATAATAACAGGACAATGATGAGCCTAAAGCACTGAATGTCGCGCTCATGAGCACGACGTCGCGTTGCTAAAAAATCATTGGGGGCCGCCTCAAAACTGTGGGTTCATGAAGGATGGGTTGGGAAAACAAAGCCAATGGCCACCCGATCGAGAGCATAGGTCCTCAATCACGCCTTCTATCAGGTCTGAGCTAGTCACCGATAATCATACCAAACTCAACACTGACCCCCGATGAGCGCTTGAATATTGATATGCCTTGCTACAATCCAAATCATGCAATATAGTAGGATATAGAAATATTGTTTGATTTTTTGTGTTTGGGATATGACTTTTGGGGAATGCGCCGGAATTCACAATCCCTTTCTGCATGTCAATGAGTTGCCAAATATTCCCAACCATGCACATGAGGCGGATGACGTCAGAAGGTCAGCCAAGATATGTAACGGCACTGTAGCCTTTTCCTGCCAGCGCCGCGCAAAGTCTCTACTATATATAAAGAGCCCGGACACGCTCCACGAATCGCGAACGCCGATTGGTTGGAGCGAGGTCTCACACACTCTCATTGGATGAAGGCGCTTACTTCAGCTCCCATTTGGGATGCACTCGCTTAGTTCATCGTCCCTTTAGGGCTCTTCCTCACCCATTTTGGTTCTGCTTGCTTAGATCATCACCGATTTGGGATCCGGTCGCTTAAGTCATCGCCCGTTTGGGGCCAGCCAGCTAGCTTATCTCATCTCCGGTTGTGTTTGAGTTTCCTGACCGGCCCACATGCGTCATCTATCTCATCGATGCGCACTTCTTCACATGCCGCTCCAACCTCTTCACCTGATCTGTTGTCTAGAGTGCGACATCGCAATGATGCGACTATCGATCCTGATTGACGACGACAAGCCCAGCATGGCTAATGTTGTACACTCTGCACTGCTACCTTGAGTCTAACATGGCGAACACACTCCACATCCGTTTGTAAACCGTGCCCATTCTTCGTAACGTTGTACGCTCCCGGAGTACTACACAATTCAAAGGTTTCGCGGAGTGTGAAACATGATGATAAAAGAAACCCCATGTACCCACCTTTTTACGACTGTCTGAGTCGTCGTTGAGGGGCGAGACTCTCATCTGATGTGAGGTCATGTCAAGCCCTGAAAGTGCGCTCTAAAGCCATGGAATGATATAGGTATATACCACGGATGCGAGACAAGTGAACACAACCGGAATGGCCCGGCTAGCCAATGAGAGAGCAAGAACGTGCTTCAATGCACTGTTGAGACTCTGTACATTGAACGATTCCAGGGGGTTGTGTCGTCGCAATCATTGGGTAAGTGTGTCGACCAAGGTATAACCTGGTCGTTACGTGACGTGTCAAATGAAAGAAAACACAGTCAAAGTGTCAATGAGCACGGGTGTCACTAATCCAATAGTAGTTGGATGGAAGGTAAAAAACTTGGCCGCATTCATCGTGAACAAATCGATGTCAAAACATACCACTTAGCCGAAAGAAAGCCGATCTGTTCTGAACACGCACAGGAAACTCTCCAACACCGATGAAAGTCAATCGAATTCCATCTCGGATCCGTCATAACTCGAGGTCAAGGCTAAAACCTTAAATCCAATCAGAGAGCGAGAAAACGGTGGTCCAGCTGAAAAAAAGAACACAGCTGTAGGCTTGCTTAGATCATCACCGATTTGGGATCCGGTCACTTAAGTCATCGCCCGTTTGGGGCCAGCCAGCTAGCTTATCTCATCTCCGGTTGTGTTTGAGTTTCCTGACCTGCCCACATGCGTCATCTATCTCATCGATGCGCACTTCTTCACATGCCGCTTCAACCTCTTCACCTGATCTGTTGTCTAGAGTGCGACATCGCAATGATGCGACTATCGATCCTGATTGACGACGACAAGCCCAGCATGGCTAATGTTGTACACTCTGCACTGCTACCTTGAGTCTAACATGGCGAACACACTCCACATCTGTTTGTAAACCGCGCCCATTCTTCGTAACGTTTTACGCTCCCGGAGTACTACACAATTCAAAGGTTTCGCGGAGTGTGAAACATGATGATAAAAGAAACCCCATGTACCCACCTTTTTACGACTGTCTGAGTCGTCGTTGAGGGGCGAGATTTTCATCTGATGTGAGGTCATGTCAAGCCCTGAAAGTGCGCTCTAAAGCCATGGAATGATATAGGTATATACCACGGATGCGAGACAAGTGAACACAACCGGAATGACACTGGGTGCCCGGCTAGCCAATGAGAGAGCAAGAACGTGCTTCAATGCCCTGCTGAGACTCTGTACATTGAACGATTCCAGGGGGTTGTGTCGCCGCAATCATTGGGTAAGTGTGTTGACCAAGGTATAACCTGGTCGTTACGTGACGTGTCAAATGAAAGAAAACACAGTCAAAGTGTCAATGAGCACGGGTGTCACTAATCCAATAGTAGTTGGATGGAAGGTAAAAAACTTGGCCGCATTCATCGTGAACAAATCGATGTCAAAACATACCACTTAGCCGAAAGAAAGCCGATCTGTTCTGAACACGCACAGGAGACTCTCCAACACCGACGAAAGTCAATTGAATTCCATCTCGGATCCGTCATAACTCGAGGTCAAGGCTAAAACCTTAAATCCAATCAGAGAACGAGAAAACGGTGGTCCAGCTGAAAAAAAGAACACAGCCGTAGGTTCACCTGATCTTGTACACTCAAAAAGGTACGCCCAGAGCCCCCTTATCTCCAATTATTCTTGGCTGAGGCTGCCTCGAACGGCAAGTGAGTGACCAAGCCATTTTCCCACGGTGCGAAGACCCATATTTGATTTGCGGACAAAGCCCTTAGTTACACGCTTTGCTTGAGAAATCCCAGAGACCGGAGACAGCTAAAGTTCATCAATGTAATATCGAATCTGACCCCTTTGCATGTCGACCTCCATCATGGCCACAAGTCATGCTTAATTCCATTGTTGGTGGGATTGCTGGATGGGAACCGCTATCCTTTGGATATCCATGCTTTCTCTTGTGCACCAACCGTTAGGTGGCGGTAAGTGGTTGGGCCTTGTCTTCTCGAATTATCTCTCATTTAACACATGCTTTGCCAGTATTACAATAAGTATATATGCGGGCATACCTTTGCACGAGGGGACCCCAACTATGTTACTACCGGAATCACCTAGTGTCCCCCGCTGGTGGGTATGCAATTGGGCCTCTGCCTGCTTACTTTCTGGGGTCTCCTGTATGGCCTTACCTCTAGGCAACTGGAGCTTGTGTGAGTATCTCTCAAGACGATTTCCCCAAGTCTTCTTTGTAGCCAGTCACAAAGCCGTCTCTGGGGATTACGACTGGAAGGGCGGATCGTAAATATTGATATTTCTATTATTCCCTGGGGTGCAACTATGATTTCGGCAACGAAGATCCTGGAGATGTTACCTCCTGGCGAGATCTACCTGCCTTGCACGTATGCTCGATGCGCCATCCTTGTTGTGCTTACGACCTCCATCGGTGACACATAACCTCACTCATGGAAGGCCGTAAGCAAGAAGCCTACAAAACCAACCTCGCTCGCTTCTTTGTCAAACTTCCCAATCATATCCCTTCACTATAACTACTTTATGCAATCAATTACTCCTACTCCAAGCATGGCACGTTGACCTGACCAACTCGGCACTACGGACGGGAAGACGACTTTGACTAAGCTATTATGAAGTGCAAGAAACCGGGAAAACACCTGATTGGCCATGCGGTGACGTGCGGAATGTGAGATTCAGGACGGAGAAGCAGAGTTTGAGGAGGTTGCCACTATGTTTAAAGGAGAAGTGTGTTCCAGACCGATTGACTAGCGGGATGAGAATGTGGCAGGTGGCATATTAGGTCGTTTCTCTTTCCTCGGTATTTGGACTTGTTGATTGTGTCTTTCCGTTTTGCCCAGCAGTGAAAGCCAGCCCCTGCGGTGCTTCGTTTTGGACGAGGCCCATGTCAGCAAGTCACGGATGGCATAATTATCGGACGACAAATTAAGGGGGAGTGGTTGATGTTGATGATTGGGATTCTGGGCGGGGAGCGCAGAAGGGCATCGTTTATGGCCGACGCTCGTGAGAAAATTTGATCCATGAGTTATTCCCATCACGCCAATTGGATGCAAACCTTGGCGCGTATCTTGCGTCCGTCTTGGAACCCAACCGGAGAATCACAGGCGGAAGAGTGCCAGGACGAGGTAACCTATGCCCCGATGATCCACCAGTGGCTTCGACATTGAAGACGGAAGTGTGTACCCCGCGAAACATACGAGAGTAAATGTGTCTGGGTCGACTGCCGTCTTCCGATTGGGGTCTTCGTATAACGCAACACGCGAACTGTGGTCTCTAAATTGCTGCGCCACCCATTTACTTCATCCGCTGTCTCTCATTGGAAACAGAAGAAATCGTTTTCAAAAGATTCATTTGGGCAAAGAAATCCGCGGTTAGCTGTGAGTTCACTAGCCCATTCGATAAAAAATCAACGCAAATGCAAATGTGGAGAATGGAGAATTCGGAACCCCAATTTTCGGCTCGTCGCCGGATGCAAACACCGCACTCCGACGTCTTGGCTTCCAAACATGTCCAAGATCCTTGAAGCAACAACTCTCGAAGCTCTCCAGTGCTTCAATGGCAAGGTTGATGCAGCAGACTCAAGCATGGACGATGCAAACTGCTCTCTCCCGCCTCGTAAACCTTCTCGTGCAAAGTCCCGGGATCAGAACGCCGCGTCGCCAAAATCTTCGACTGAGGTAATCAGCGGACTGACAGACGTGTTAAGCGTTCAAATGGAGACAATCGTGTCGCATATCTTGAACAGCCCCAAAGAGTTCAAGATACCAGACAGTGACACGTCCACTCGTGCGTTTATCGTCAATCTTGCACAATATGCAAGGAAATTGGAAGGAATGTCCAACCCCGTGACATCTGGTGTTGCTCCGTCGTCGAATCCAATTGCTGTTTCCCACTCTCCCACTGTACCTGTTAAAAAAACTGCAAAACAGATAGAGGCTGTTGCAGACAAACTTGGAAGAGCAGCGAAGAGTGGTATTAAAAAGCAGATGTCGGGAAGTAGGCTTTCATCCAACATCCACCCCAGTCTACGCTAATTTTTTGGATGCCATATTATCCAGTGGAAGCCGACGTGTAAATCTGGTACAGCCAGATGGGTTTACGATGGTGTATGCCCTGATGCGGGTGAGATATATAGATCTAGGTGAAACTTGACGATCGTGGACCCAAATTTTTTTATTAGATGTCTTCGCCGCTCTCCTGAACCTTCCCGAACCACCCAAGTGGAAACAGAAGAAATTCGCCATTGAGGAATTCGAGAATGCGCTCGGTGACTCCATTCGAGCCAGTACCCGCTACAGCAGCCTTTACTTGCGTGGCGACGTCAACGTGAGGTGGAACCCTGCTGCTGGAGAGTTCAAGTTCAGCGGATCATATGGAGTCTAAAGGGATCCTTTCTCCCAGCAGGACGTCACAGATCTTCTCGTTTTGCTTACGGCATATTGCATTGTTATAGACCTTCCCGAAGAACTCAATACCTATATAATGTCCAGCATAAATATTCCCATTGATTGGGTGTGGTACAAATATTCCTACGGGACTAATGCTTGCGGCGATTACTGAGGTGACGATTCAGCTATTGCAACTCGAGACTACTGATAGTAAAAGGGAGGGTGGGGATGGGAGAAAAAAACGAGAAACTATAGTACAAAGGCGACGGGAGAAAGTGGCATTAAGTCGACGATGCTTTAAGTATTAGAAAGGGCAGACAAAAGTAACGGAACGAAAAGCGTGATATTGAGAGAAACCTACACGGTTCCTGCATGAATGGAGGTTGAAGGAAGTCCGGGCGACATGTGTGGGGATCGAAGCTGGGAAAGGAAGACAGAAAACGCGGAGAGAGTGTCGGAGACGATTCGTCTAGATTGAGAGTTGGTCCATAGCAAGGCCGAGCGGATCAGTGGATAATAAAATCGTGTTATGAATGGCCGACTGATCGTTTCCGCGCCCGAAGAAGACTTCGGGACTTGTACATGTCGCGACAGCACGACGCATGTGATTGGTCAGGAAAGTTAATCCTACTTGATAGGCGGCTGAGAAAAAGGATGGGGAGAGTTTAGGAGCCTGGAATTCTGGAGGAAACACCCTCTGATGCGGGCGAAATTGGACCCACCATTCATCCAACCAAAACCTTCGCGTGGCACCATCTTGAAGTCTAATCCTTGGTTGCCGTATTCGGCATCAACCATATGAGAAAGCTTAACCGCATCAAACTAGCCAAATAGGCAATTGAGGATCAGTCACGGCATGTGAAAAGTGGCGCGGAAATCTCCCTTACCTTCTCTGGTACGACCCCGTTGAAATCCACGAATGCGACAGTCATCCTGACAAAGCGGGGGGGATGGTGAGAAAGAATGGAAACGAGGGCGCTGCGATGACGAACTTACATATAGAGGAAACGATAAGCCAACCGCTGCGCCTCTTCCAGGTAACCATAACGCTCCAACCCAACCCAAGTCATGATTTGGTGTGGTGGCCAGGCGTATCTGGAAAGTTGAACTGCATCAAACACCACATTTCAAGCATATGAGGTCGCGCCGGCGCTTACGGATAGTCCCACTGTCGGTTCGGACGATCTAGGGATATCTTCCCTCGAGACTCCTCAGTTCCGGACACTAATCCACCGATCACTTCAAACTTGGACATGGAGTGGGCACTGTACATGAAGAACGGACAAAAAGAATCAATCACGGAGAAGTTCGGCTGAACAAGCAAAATCAGGACATACACGAGCTTCCATGCTTGCTCCTCACTCGCACAGCCAGCCCAAAGCGCCCAAAAAGCAGTGGCAGTCTCATAATTGATCTGCCTCCCCTTGACTGTATCATAATCAAAGTACAGCTTCTTCCTATCGTTCCAAAGGTAATGATCGATTCGTTCTTTGCGTTCCCTGGCGCGTTGGAACCAGATGCTCGAGGTCTGAGGTTTGGCCGTGGACTTAACTCGACGTGATGGATCCCTCTTCTCTGCCCGGAATGCTTCGGGAGTGATGGGATGAGGTGAAAGGTAGAATTCGTCCTCCAACTCGAATTCATCCACAAAGACGTCTCGGATAGCAGTAGCAATGTCAACTTCATATTTGTAAAGCAATGCGTTGAGGTCGATGGTAGCTAGGTTTGCACAAATCTTCTCGAATCGATAGGTCGTGTCGTGTCCTGATTCGCGAACAGCACGATCATGGAGGAAGTACTCGTCCAGTTCAGGTTCGGAGAGTGTTCCATCATTGTACTTTTCACTGAAGTCGTGATAGATAAACCGTGCTTGTTTGCGTAGGGTTCGAGGATATGAGTGAAGTGAGAGGCTTCCGTCTCAGGTGGTATACCAAGGCCATCGGGGCGGTATCGCGAGAGACCAGTGACAGGGTCCAAACGTGGTTGCGCCATCCACACGGTATGGTACTCCTTAATGGCAGCTTGAATTGCTCGGCGCAACCAAGACCTGTTTTGTTCTGCTTTACTACGATCAAGTTGATTGAAGATCTGAAGTGCCATATCCGTTAGGAAGGGCGGCTGGGTGCGGCACAGGTACTAGAGAGATAAAGTTCAAGATTTCTTTTTGGGTAATAAACCACCGACACATACGTAGCTTCTGCTTCCATTCAAGATCTAGGAGATGGAGTACTCAATACGGAGGTGAAGATCGAGAGGCTAAATTGTTCTCACTTTGCCGTAGTGTTTGATCTCAAAAACGAAATGCTCAACCATCCCTTGCGCCATGTCGACTTGACCGTCTACAAGTAGCCCGAGCGAAATAAAGTAGGAATCCCAGTTGTACAACTAATAACCAGATCATGAACATGAATGATAGGGTTCTACAAGGTAAATAAGGACTAACCTCGTTGAAACGGGCGCCTGGGACAACGAATGGAATGCCTTTGAGGGAAGTCGTGCCATTCCCGTCCTCGACCTCCTGCATCGCGAGCGCAAGAATACCCGGTTTGTCATTGAGGCTTTTGACAAACGCAGCATCTTCGCATTTTTTAGGAAGAACCTCGACCCGAAGTCCCAAATGTGGCTTTTCAATGGACACCTTGCGATAGTACTCGGCCATCTTGGGTTCGCCGTACGGAACATAAATAAGTGGCTTCACGTTTGCTGTACGATTCTTGGGATCGGCGCAGATAATCTCCAAACCGTCGCCATCGATGCGACGGGTCAGAGCATTCCAGAATGAAGTCTTGATCATACGCGATAGGCGATCAACGGGATTTTCGGTCAGTCGGCTTTCATCTAACACGATTCGCTTCCTTCCATGATCTTTTGCGAGTGCCAGCTCCTGAAGAAGATTAGACAGCATGTATGTTCCCTGTAAAAGATATGTCGGAGATAAAACTCCATGAACAAAGAAGAAGGTCTCGCGAAAAGCAAAATAAGCGCACACGGATATCGAATGTTTTGAAGCCGTTGCTGGTGGCCGTCCCGAGAGACATGATTTTGGGTCCAGAGTCCGTTATGCTGATCTGTTTGTGATGAGGAGAGTTTCAGCATTTGGCGCTCATGCTGCGTGGCAAAAAGGAAAACCAAGACACGCACTTGAAAATCGCCATCAGTGTCTTCTTGCTCGAGCACGATCCGTATAGTCTCCTCTACATCAACTAGAAACCGTCGGGGCCCCGCACTTTCAGATGGGTTGGGGTCTATAAATGGATGGGGTTATTCCGAGCGTGGGCAAGGATGAGGCAATCTTGGCGATCGGCATTCAGCAAATCTAGGGCTCACCATGCGAGAGTCGTCTGAGTTTTGCGTCGCGAGTTTGAAGAATGGGACGCCGTCTGTAATCCTGTCGGTTGGGGCGATCGGGAACAGCGAAGCGGGGTCAATTCCAAAGTTCCAGCTTTTTTGAACATGCAGTTCGCGAAGCTCACATTCGAGTAGGTACGTGCCCGAGTGTGTATCTCGGGCCCACCGTAGTATTCTTTTGGATGGGCGTTGAAGGGTGGATGGTCAGTCGAATCGAAGAATTTTGCACCAGGTGCAGTCATAAGCGCTGGAGGTGACATATTGGAGCTCGATAACGCGTCTGAGCGTGATGCGTGATCTGACAAAGTTATCTGGGAGCAGAAGCTGTCTTTTATCTACAACAGAATGGCTTTTGGGGTGCAACGAGTTTTGTGTGGAAATGGTGAGAGAAATAAAACGGGGAAGTCGCTATTTACTAATCTTATTCAAGGATGCAAATGAACGGATTTCCGCACCGGAGGCAGAGCAATACTGATCTGATTGATATCGCATCTGCAGCGCTTTCACCGGCGACCACAGCAGCTACGCACTCAGAACAACCTCGACTAGGACTGAGCAACAATGTGATAAATCACCAAAAGGAAAAATCATTGCCGGATCACCTCTCCCGTAAAGGGGTCTAAGACACTCTCGAGAGTGTTGCCACCAACATGCATATTCTGACCTGCAGCCCCTCCCCTGATTTGATAACAAATACTGGTGAAGCAGTTTCTTTCTGAAGATTATTCAACAAATGTCCCCATCCGCATGGAATGAAAAATCCCCGGCTTAACCGACTCCAGGAACCAACCCCGCAATGGCCCAATTCTCCGCATCAGCTTCGCCATCTTGGGCCCAACTCGCTGCCTCATTTCATGGAAACCCACTTACTTGGAATGGCTGGCTACTACGCGATATGAACCAACAGCACACCACCCCTATCGCTGCCATGCAATAATAACATTAATCGGGGATGGCTTATCGCAAGCGCATGGACACATGACACCTGCTATTACTCACCGGAGGCGGAACCAAAATGGGACTATTGTTTGATGATCTACCAAATCGCTGAAAGCCAACACCGATGATCAGGACATGGAACATATGGGCTGTGATTGCTTGTCGGGAAAATCGTTACCGAAGTACGCGCAATGCCCCATTTGATAAGTGAAGTCTGATTATGACGGATGTAGACCAGGACTCCGGAACACGTGGAGCCTCGTGGCTCAGCTCAGAGCGGGTTCATACCGACTACTGATGGGGTCGATACTCCGTGGACTCGTCAATGTTGCATGTCCATCAAGCACTTCCCAACACTGCGAAATGCAAGAAAGAACTCCGCGCAATGTGCAGTGTCATCCCGCAATTCAAAGCGGGATCGGATAACGACCGGAAGGGAGATGATTTCTCAAAGGTCCCTAGTGCACGAGAATGTCAATTGAAAACGCTTTGTCCGACAAGGCGTTTTGGGACATAAGCGCTTGCCTATACCAAACTCGTTGCAGCTTGGCCTGGGGTGATCACGCCAACAGTCACTTGGATGTTGACAGTGCCCTGAGGTGAGCAACGTTCTTCACGCAGGCTTAAGTCCTTTCATGGATTGCATGGCACACTTTTGGGGAGTTCGCTTCTCCAGCTATTAAGCGCGAGAGTCAACAATTCAGTCGTTGCGACTTCGGTACCGAATTACAAAAACGGCAGTTCCCAATGTTTGTTCCATGGCTGTTGAAGATGATGAGTTCGCCGACCTAGAAGATATCCAATTCAGCAGGGAGGAACTCCAAGCGATCGAGGCCATCGAAGGCCGCGCGTCAGATGCATCCGTGACGTGTTGTACGGCTCCTGCTGTTTCACCCGCATTCGAGCCCGCCACCTCGTGCAAGGGAGAAGCGTCCGTTCCTCCCCCTGCAGCCTTGGGTCCTTCACTATCGCACGACTCCAGTGGGGCCTCCACTGAGGTCGTCAAGATGCGTCGACTCCATTTATTGAATGTATTCAGACCTGTTGGTTCGCTGTCGGTAACCGACCTTGTTGGCCCGCAATGGTGCGAGCTTAAGTTCGACTACACATTGAGGTGGGGGAATAGGTGGCAAAGAGTGATAAATAAACCTTCACATATAATTACGGCTCGTGGCAAGCGAATCGAAGTCGAAAAGACGGCAGCGAAACAAAGCGAAGCCATTATGGATTCGGGCCGCGTGAGTCGGTTGCAATGTGTTCGTGCGTAGGGAACACTAATAACAATTATGCAGTCTATACACAAAAAGCTCGAACGCGCAATTCAGCCTGAGGAGATCGTCGTACCTGTCATCACTGGGGAAGAGCGAGTTGCATCAAAGTCAGTGACTTCAATTATGTTACTGGAACTCCAAGAATGATTATATATTATTTTTATAGACTATTGACTATGATTTCTTGTATCCAACTCTTGAAAACTTTAGGATACTGTGTGAGTCGCCCCCTCCTGTTGGATCTCTGCTTCACAATCAGTACCATCTTGCTTTAAGAGGGAGTTCCCAGTGATGGGTATCATAGATGACATCCTTATCATTGGTGTTATCGTGGGTCAGAACCTTCAAGGGTTGTCATCAAACAACTGATCTTCACAAATCAGGATGAGATAGTACGAAAGGAAGTAGAGCAACCGAAAACGAAAAAGGAGAGGGCTCGATATGCTCGTCAACAGGCAATTTTGCGATTCCTTTCGCCCACTAAGCACACTCCTTCAGAAGAGAATTTTACTCGCACAGGAGCCTTGCCCGGCTCATCCTATATCCTCCATCTCATCGATAACAAATCTCGTTCCTTGCCTCACATGCCGCCCGAACGTGACCGCATCCAATCTCGTCTTCAACTCATGCTATATAAGCGTCTGCTGGAGAACCTCCTCGAACCAAAGCCCTTCCTTCAAACCCTTTCAAAGTACTCCGTGAATCTTCGCGCAACCTTTTCCCCTAAATTCCTCCAAGCCCAGGAAGTACTCTGCGTTAGCAATAGTCTGAGCGAGGTAACTCGTGAAGCGACTTGCCTCGAAGATCTAGTTGTTGCGTTTCAGGATGCTGTCATGCAACTGCACCTTGTTCCTCGATCCGAACGGTCGTCTTCGCCCGTCGAGAATGAGCTCGAACTTGTCTACAGGTCCAGAGGACCCGACGAATCCTCTGGACCAAGAAAGCGTGCCCGAAGGCACGGGAAGTCACGTCCAATCCCGCTTCAACAGAGTGGGAGCTCAAATGGAAACCTTCTTGAAGCGAAAGCTCGAGAGCAGTTGTTAGTAAATGATCTAGGGCTTCGAACTTCCGCGCCTCCATCGGAATACGAGGGTTCTTCTTGTAGTGGTATCTCTACTCCACTCAGCGCTATTGAAGAACTGCCCAGCGCCGGAACTGAAACGAATCCTGCAGTTGTATTCGGGGCAAAGATAACCGAATCTACTACCAATCTTGGAAAGGGTGATCATCCATCCATTAGATACTTTGCCTTTTCATTTCTAACCACTGGTTCATCCAGACTATTTCGGATCTAATGCACCTCTTGGAGATGCCCCCCTGGAACTACCAACCAATGTATAACCGAGTTGATAACTACAAAAACCCCTCCTGATGTGCCTGAAGGTCCCCCACTAGCAAAACCTCCATCGCATTTACCCGCACACGAGGAATCACTTGCACCTGTGATCGGGTCCGACAAGTTCCAGTACGACCCTCATTTCCTTGATGCCTACGTCATTCGCGTTCTTGCCTTCTGGAGAGGACAGAGGGATGCCGAAGGCGTGGACATTGAAGATTCTCATCGGTGCGAGTAAGTGCCACTTCCAATTACTTGACACGGACCGATCCCATGGCTAAACTTCGAATCTTGCGCTTCCGTCAGCTCTTGCGGATTTCGGAACGGGTGCGAATGGAGGGAAGTAAAAGCGAATGAATTCGCTCGGATGGCTACCCGCCGTAATATCGAGGTGGAATAACGAATCGTTCATGGACAGATTGGATATTCAATTTATTGCCCTTTGATCTGTGGGTCCCTGGGCATTGGATCTTGGGGTCGCAGACCTCAGTTTCAATGGCACCGGTGGGTATCATTATATATATCAGCTTGTATATTCCTTGTACATACTAGTTACTCGATCTTCCCTTATGTTAAAAGACACCTACAAACAAATGCGTCCAAAGGCATGATGATGATATTTAGTGAATGGGAGGGGCCGCAGGGAGGGCTTGAATAGGAGCCGCCGTGATGAGCACATAATTGGAGGGAGGACTTCGGGAGGTGGTGTGAGCGGTACTCATAGGGATATCAACGCAAGCCTACATCAATTTCAAGGGGCAAAAGAGGAAGACAGTGATTAGACGCTGATAGTTAACGTCGGTGGTCGGGGAAGTGTTGCACAGTGTCGGCAAATGAGTTCCTCAAATGTCCAGTGCCTATGTGGGACGATCAGTGCTCCGGTGGGTTGGAACCAGAGGTTCAGTCTGGGCTGACGGTGTTACCAATGCGAACATGGCATAACAAAGAACGCAAGAATTAATGTCGGTACAAGTAAGGCAGTTGAACCGTGGCCAGCACGAACTAGGCCTTCAGACGCGGGTTGGGTGTCACTCAAAGTCCTTCTTAGTCACCAAAACCGCTCACCGCGATAGACAGGTGACCAGCCTCTATTGGAATTGACCGCGGGGACATGAGCGGGCCAATACTAATTTGCATGACTCAGAGCGGCGTCTATCTTATATCCCAATAGAAGCCAGTGACCTACCTAGTGCAGGATAGTGCTCTTGGGAGGCGGCGGTGAACGAAAAAAGGAACACAGAGTCCCCCTTTCCAAGGGAGGAGATGCTCTCCTGAGTCTGACGGTGCTATCGCACAGCCACACCATGGTGAAGAAGAAAGCAAAATCAGCAATTTCGGCTCAAAGTAAACTAGCCTCGAAAGAAGCTAAGAAAGTAAAAGCTGCAGCGAAAGCTGTCCGGAAAGACGCCAAAGCGCAAAAAAAGTCAAGGAAGGATGACGACGTATCCGATGATGACGAGGATCTAGAGGCGATCCTAGAGAAGGTATTGGGCGCCTGAAGCCTGATTATCTTCGCTGTAGTGTTGTGACCATGCTCATCGTTCGGGAAATTACTCCAGATGAGGATAGAATGGGAAGAAGTAAGTGTAATTTTGGGGCAGTTCAACCTGGAGGCGACGGTGACAGCCTCAATCTTAGAAACATCGCGTCACAGAAGAGATTTCAGATGGGCCCCCCAGTCGCCGAGCCAACGCGACCCTGACGCCTGACCCAAGCGGTAATTACCTATGGTGTATTGGCGGGGAATATTTCAGCGAAGATGGGAAGGCGGTATGTTTCTTGATACCCGAGAAGGTTTTATTTTGACTGAACTACAAACAACCGCTTCCCAGCATTTCTATAGCGACGTTTATAGATACTCCCCAGATAAGGTGGGGCATCTGCACAGATCGCTATCCCTTTCTGATGCCACATCTCGTGCTCAATAGAACGAATGGAGACGATTCACTTCAGCAACTTGTCCCGGCCCCAGATCTGCCCATGCAGTGGTGGCGACGCCATCTGAAGGAGGGAAGTTATTCTTGTTTGGTGTGTCCCTTCAACCTTCAGTGCACAAATTAAACAAACACTCATTACAGACCGTTTCATGGATCATAGGAGGGGAATTTTCGTCTTTGGTGCGCTCCTTATCACGTCTCCGAGACTATAGATCCTAAGTACATCTACAGCACCAAACCACTTTCCACCATTATCGAGATACTTGGGTATTTGACATCGCTTCCAAGTCTTGGGAACGTTTAGCAACTAAGAATAAGCCTCCCGCCCGCTCAGGACATCGGTAAGTTTTGGACTGTTTCATCATATTAATCCCCACTTCTGAGCCTATAAGGAAACTCAAGCATGGCCGTGTGGAAACACTTCATAGTTCTTTTTGGAGGGTTTTTCGATCCGGGTGTTCGGAGTTCGTCATATCACAACTTATTTTGGATTCCTACTCACTAGGAATCAGCGCAGTACTTGAATGATCTATGGATATTTGATACTGAGGATTACACCTGGAAACCGGTGGAAATTAGCGGCATTGACCGGAAACCTTCGTGCGTAGGGTTACGTTGGTCTTATTCTGTGGGCATACTGATGTACCTTTTTGGCAGACCCCGCTCGGGCTTCTCCTTCCTCTCAACTCCTGAGGGCATTGTGTTACACGGTGCGCTGAAATGCCTCGATCCTGCTTATCGTTAACCCTAAGCCCCATTCCATTTTCAGGGGGCTACTACCAAGAGTATGTAAAAGGGAAACGCCCACAAGGCGTAGTATTGGATGACACCTGGTTTCTACGGTGTGCTACCCCTTAAGAGTCGCAGTCCTGGATGTTCATATATTGCTACGATTGGGAACAGAATGTCAACAGACACAAAGGAGTTTAAATGGGAACGAAGGAAGAAAGCTAATAACGCCCATGCTCCTATCGCTAGAAGTGGCTGCACTATGGCGCTTTGGGCCAATTCGTCTGCAAAATCTCTGGGTATCATGTTCGGAGGCGTGAGAGATGTTGATGAGGGTGATGAAGTCCTTACAAGTGAGTTCTACAATGACATGTGAGTGTGATACATGAATGCTGCATAGTCCGACGCACTTAAAGCAATCCGATGTTAGGTACGGATACAATACGCCGCATCCAGGAAAATGGGTTACTCTGACGCTTCGCAAGAAGAAGCAGAAGGCTGGAAAGGGGTCAAAACGGAAAGCGAAAATACAGCCCATGGAAGTGCAGGCGCCTGGGGGTGACGATGATACGGACGGCGAGGAGTCCGAAAGCGAGGATCCGGATGGAGGGAATACGGACTCTCCTGGGTTACCGGCCGGTGACCACCGTTCCCAGCACATCGTGATCAAAGAAAACCCTGTACTCCCAGAGTTAAGGCTCCAGGTGGATGACGAGACAGAGGCGCCCCTCATTCCCATTGCCCGATGTAAGTTCTATAGATTCCGGCTTACCACAATGAACTCAAGATCTTCAGACAACGCTATGCTTGCCGTTCTCCGGAACACCTTGTACATGTGGGGACCTGATATATCTTGTCTGATATTTATTGACCTCTGAACACCCCCAGCTACGGTGGAATTTTGGAGAGGGGTGCTCGTGAATACACCTTGGACGATTTCTGGTCAGTTGCACTAGACAAAATGGATGAATTTGTCTGCCTGCGACCTTTGGATGTCAGCATGTTTGACGGTAACGATGGAAGCAGCGAGGAAGAAAATGATGATGAAGAGGATGAAGGCGAAGGCGAAGAATCAGATGAGGACGCGAACCAGGACCATTCCGACCCAGATGAGCATTCAAAGGATCAGGAAAAGGAGATCGATACTGCAGAAACTGTATTGGTGAACACTCAAGTAGGTACCTCACAATTGTCGTTTCTTTTGCTGATAATATTCGGCCCATTCCAAGTTACGCGACCAAGCTGCACGTTTCCTTGAGGGATCCAAAACCATATCGGCTGAGGAAGCCCTTCGAACCCCATTGCCTGGAGAGACCCTGACCGTTTTCTATGCAAGGTCACGTAAGTGAACGCCTGCCTCCCTGAACTACCGCTGAGATACCAATCCCAGGCGAGTATTGGGCACAACAGGCTCACACTTTTAGCGATAACAGAGGAAAGCAGCTACGCCGAGATGGCTTTGGGTTGGCCCAGGATCGGTACGGTACGCTTTATTTTCGCACTTCTCCAACAAGCTGTACCTTACGTGCCACACAGAAGAATACAAACCCCTGTTGGAGGAGGTGGAGAAGATTCTCGCTGAAGCCGGTCTAGACGCCGAGGAGATGAAACGAGCGAGCGAGGGAACAGGAATCGGGTGGAATCACAACAGACGCTGATATGCGTTTACCGGCAATGACGTACTGAATTTACACTTAGATCAAAAACCAATGCACTACTCCAACGCCGTGGCAACGAGCTCCAAGATCTCGGAGTTTGTCTTATTTAAGTTCTCCATCGCCTTCCGGATCCTTGGCCAGACTATGCCATGCCGCGGTTCGGCATTGTTGCAAGAATCCACGACGTGAGCCCGTTGCTCCTGTAACCAGCCGGCGTCAGTTTTTCGTCTTATGTTGAGCAGGGGTATCCTTACATTTGTACCGTGTTCCAACTCGAACTTGTACCACCATGCCCAACAATCTCCAATATCAGTGTTCGCTGTGATTACCCTCCTGAACCAACCTCGGGCTTTCTCCACTTTGCCCTCCGCCCAGAATAGTCTGGCCACAGCACAAATGACCAACGGATGATCCGATGACTTCTTTAGTGCATCGACTGACCGGCTCTTTCGGGCTTGTCGAGCTTCCAACCAAATCGACTGAGACCACAGCAAACCCGAACTAGGACATTCTTGTAAGCCTGGAACGAGCTGCTTAGTAAAATTCGCTAATCGGATAATGTAAACTTGCCTCTTGCAAGCACATTTTTCGCTTGCTGGGTCCCACTAGCGCGTTCTTCTAGGCCGACGGCTTCAGACCACAAAGTTTCTTCCTTTGGATTGAGAAGCCGTGCTTTCTCTAAAAGAGCCCGGCTTTTAATCGCACGCCCATCTGCTTCTTCAAGACGACTAGCGAGTATCCAGAGAGCCGGAACCTTAGGACATACTTTGACGCCATTAGCATAAGAAGCACGAGCCCCAGCGATATCTTCGAGATCGGTAAGAACCTGGCCTTTAATCATGTGGAGTTTTGCGAACTTGGGGAATTTAGTCAGTGCAGCTTCCACCGTTTGTACTGCAGCTTGGAGATTCCCTTGCTGCCACTCAAAGACAACCGATTTCATCCAAATCTAATCAAATATCATTAGAAGAGAAGCGCGGGTGGCACATCTCTAATTGCTTACTCTTTCTGTGTTCGCAACGGACCTAGCACGTTCCAATAACTGTCGAGCAACCGCCCATTTCCCGTTCTGAGCTTCGAACTTGAACGCAGCAAGCCAAATTTGTTCGTTCTCTGGGTTTGCGTCGAATGCAGCCTCGAGCACTGAGCGAGCGCCTTCTATATCGCCAGCCATCCACTTTTCCTTGGCGGACATCAACCACAAGGCTTCCGACTGAGGGCAGTACTTGACTGCTTGGGAAAGGATTGCTTCGAGGCTCTCGCTGCACAGTTATCCATAAGATGGCTTAGAGCCGTAATAAATGAAAGACTTACCGAGTTCCATGTGATTTTTCGAGGTCTGCAGCACGCCTCCATAGATCACGCTTGTCTGGGAACACTCTCAGAGCATATGCTAGTATCGCTCGCGCAGTAACAACCTTTCCGCGAGCTAGAGAGCCTTCCAGGTCCGTTACCCAAGTGCTCACCCTATCCTCCTCTTCTACGTCCATGCTAATGGTCGCATTCACGATGGCCTGGGCGGTGCGCAGCGAACCTTCTGTTTCACACTTCTCTGCCTCGCTGAGCCACTGATCGCGACTCAATACCACTCCATGCTCCCTGAGACTCTTGGTTCCCCTTTCGATGGTGACGTCAACAAAGTCGAGCTCCCTCTCACGAGTCTCGGCACTCTTAGGTAGCTCTCCCTCTGCAGGATCAGTCATGGCATTCTGTTCAACGAGTCTGCCAGCAGCAATCCAGATTTCATGACTTGTAGGGACCGCTTTACGTGCCTTATTGAGGACTTTCTGCGCTTGAAGGGGCGATTCGAGGCGGGCCAAAGCGAGCCACAATTCAACTGAATGAGGGAGTACTTCAACAGCACGAGCCAAGAGGATTCTAGCGTCAGATGGTGATGTTTCCAGCGAAATCGTTTGCTTCCAAAGGGTGACAGAATTCGGGATCTGCTCCAATGCTATATATGATAATCACCCAACATGAGCTGGTAACAGTCACGCTAGTGGCTCCCGCCGCACCTTTTCGCAGTACACGTTTTTTCGCCTTAGATTCTGTCTCGAGATTTGCTGCAGTAAGCCATACCTTCACGCTCTGCGGAACGTGCAGAACAGCACTCGCAAGAATGACTTTGGCATCATCGGTATTCTATTTTTGGACGGAATAAGTCGCAGAAAAATGGCAAGGAACTAGCTCTCACATGCAAACGAGCTGCCTCCAACCAGATGTCTTCATTAGTTGGGCAAATTTCACATCCCTTTTTGATGATGTTTCGAGCTTGGACCATGCGCCCCGCGTGTTCTTCGACACAGGCAGCAGCAATCCATCCTGGTGCATGCTTTGGGTTAGATTTGACCAATGAATCGAAAAGCATGCGCGCCCGCTTTATGTCTCTAAATGACAAGAGAGCAACACAAACTTAGACTATGCACTTGTGCTGAGTAAATGTTTCTTACCCTATCTCAGCTTCAGATTTAATGTGGACACTGTTCAGGTCGGTGAGATAACCTTTCGGGTCTATCGAAGTGGAGGTTCCGTTCACAGAACCGGATATCTGCAGATCAATAAGGTCAGGCACTTCGATGGGGATTATTACCTTACCTGATCGAGCTTGAGTGAAAGGAGGTTATCGCGGGCTTGGCCAATTGCAACAAGGTTAGAAAGAGTCCCACTGTTTTCGACAGGCGTCTCAAAGCCTCCAAGTTGTTGCTGACGAGGATCAAGATCATTTACAATCTCGCCCCGTTCGCGATCCCCCACAAGGATGGCGTCAGGTACAGCAAAAGCACGACCCTCTCTCGGATCCCTTTTTCGCTTTTTCCCCGTCAGATTCCCCGGTTCCGGCAAATTTTCCCATTCTGTATCCGTTACGGCAGCCAACCCTCGCTTCAAGTCAGCAAATTGTGTCTGAAGCTTTGGGCGCTCGGAGAGAAGACGTGCACGCTCTTCGGCCTCCCGCGCTTCCCTGAGAATCCGTGAAACCAGGTTGAATGAGTTACCCAGGACTAGCCACAGCCGACACACCTTCGAGCCTTGCGCCTCTCATCCATACGGGAATCCACATGCTCATATATTCGATCGGCTTCCTCATCGTCAGCCTCATAGACAGTGCCCGCGAAAAGCCCAACTTCGTTGTCAGGGTCTTGGAACGTATCGGGATCCGGGTCTATGTCTTCGCCCCTTCGAGCCTGAGCTTCGCTGGTGTGAAAATCGTGAGGGGAAATCATACAATTACATACACGGAGCTGCTCACGCAACCACTTCCGCACTGGGTCCCTCCCTCGCTGGTCCGATATCTGAGCGAGTGGTGAAACCAGATGCACTAGGGATGGAAAGTGAGTCATACCGTTATGAATTGTGAACTAGGCACGCAACAGACCCTCGACCCAGGCCAGCAACATAAGAAGCTGGTGCCTGTTGAGTTAGAAAGGCTAATTTGTTCTTTGGGGGAGGTGGCATATAAGGCGCGTAAGGTTGCTCGGTTAGTGTGTCGGAAATCGGGAATCGCCGTTACAACGCGTTTACACTTACAACGCTGGCTCAGAGTCAAACGTCGTAACGTTTCCTTTTCGGAAGCGTTATAACATCCCAGAAACGTTGCAACGTACTCCAGTCGTTGCGTGCAGAAGGGACAATATTGCTGATACCTCCCCTCAAATTATGTTCGCGCGCGCAGTATGGGTTTCTGGGCGAGCTACTTACCCAGAAACTTTCCATGGGTCTGTGTGCGCGAAGCAATATATAAAACAGTAAGGGAAACATATTATGTATGTGGTAGTTGGACGGGTTGAGATGAACACAAAAGTGATGCCGATCAGCCCGAAATATTTCCCGCCAACATGAAGAGAACACATTGTGTTAAGAGTTAAACCAGACTGGGTACGAGTCTGGAGTTGAAGTCGCTTCGAGGATTGAGTGCTGGCTGAGCGTTGGCAGCATCCGAGTTGTTAATGGCCACATTAACTTATACTTCCAGGCACGAGGATTCGCAAGAACTCGCTGATTGCGTCGCCATGTCATTATTAGGCCCTTTGGAGTGGGTTGGGTGTGTCCGCGCTGGTATGTAGTGCAGGCTGCACCGATTTGGAAGTTCGATGCGCCTGCACTTGCTATTGCATCCAACGACAACTCATAATTTAAAACCCCTTTTCCCGCTATCACGTCTCGTTGTCATCGATGTCCCCCATCCACAAATTTGTAAATTACTGTGGTATACATGTATCTCCTTGCTCGCGTCAACATTCCCTGAGTGGTGTTATTGATCCTGACATGTTTTTCCGCCTACAAAACCTCTGAAAGGGTCCAACAATGTCGCTTTTACTTGCGTTTGGTCTTTCATGAGGGCTGATTCGATTGTACGACAAATATGCGAATAGGCATGTACTTAAACACCATATGTAAGGAAATCCGACATGATTGCCAGACAATCGGAAATCACGTGTGGCCAAATCGAAGCAGTAGCTGTTTCCTGTCATGGGGTCTTTTGGAAAGGAATTGCCAGTACGAACCATGGCTGCCTCTTTAGAGCGTTGTGGCTTACTCAGTCGCGTCTCTGGCTCAGGATCAAGTGGAGCTTATCGATCGGCGAACTGAGGCACAGATTCAGCTGCTTCAAGATGTGCGATTGCTCTACTGAGGTGCTCCAAGTTTTGACCGTGAATATTCCAGGTACAAACAATATTGCGTGAGCGTGCAGCCTTGGAGGCCCAGTACGCAAAGTCATTGCAAGCTATCGCCAAGAAGTCTGAGAAACTCAATGGCCAGCATGCTGCTGCTAGCATCGTCGGCGACAACCCTTCAAAACCGCCTTCTGACAGTAGCCTCGAGTCCAGGTAACGGCTATCGGATGAGATGTCGCGCTATCTCTTAGTTGTTTTGAAGCACACTATACTTAGCATTGGCCTTCCTCACTGAAACGCTGGATCGCGCCGCACAGGAACACGCGTCCTTTTCGGAAGTCCTGAATATTCAAGTGGCAGATGAGCTTAAGGCCTTGGAGAAAAGGAAGGAGGAGACACGGAAGAAGGCGAGACTGATGCACTCCTAAACTCAATTTGCTTAGAGATTCAAGTTAGCATTCTGCAAGTTACCAGAAACTCATTACCGACAGAGATCAGATATATTCCGATCGCTTAAAGGTATGGAACTCAGTGTTTTGTCGCGTAGGCTTGACACTACGCCATTTCCCCAGGCTCAGCAGAAAGTTTGTATCCCGGGGCTCCCATGTCTTGTTCTAGAAGCCTCATCACCATGTTCTCAGTACTACTCTGACTGTACGGAGCTGGAGCAGTACCGGCAGAAGCACGTACGTTCCCTGAACTATTGTGTGGATTCTTCGCTCACCATGATTATTGTCAATCAGGACAGAGCCAGCGACGACAAGCATGCCGAGCGAGTCGCTAAGCAACATGAACAAATGCAAATATCCATGCTGAACAGGAAGAACACATACTTGGTATCGATATCAGTATCGAACGGAGTCAAGGAACTTTTCTACGACGAAAGTGTTCCTGAGGTAGAAAACGTGAGTGGTAACGCCATGCTTACGCGATGGACGTTATTGACATCCTCTCAGCAATACCGTAGGTGGATTTGTGTTCCAATTAGTTTCACATCTTGTATTACGATATCATCTTGGTAGAAACATTGCAGACATCGATCACCTCGCGCCTTGTTGGCATACTGCAGCACTACTTTCGCATTTTTTCAACTCTCACGGATACCATCACGTCACTCCAGAAGACTCTCGAATCAGTTAGTCACCAGAAGGACCACGACTTATTTATAGAACACAACCGCAGACCATTCAGTCTACCCAGTGATTGGTCATTTGAACCATGCCCCAATTTTTACGATACGGTAAGCTAACTTATGTACCAAACTTTAACACTCATCGAGTTATCGTGAGCAAGGCAAATATAAGCATTGAGCCCGAACCCAAAGTGTTCCTCCAGAATAAGCTTGCCCGATCACAAGAGAAGCTGGAAGAACTGCAGACCATCATTGACACCAAAGGTGAGGCTTTGGAGTTTTCGTGTTCTGAACAATTTGACGATGGGACAAAGCACGAGAGGCCCAAAAGTTGAACGATTTGGCTGAGTCTTATTCCAAAAACCCGAAGCTGGGGCCTGTGGACAGTGCAATGGACGTGAGTCAACATACTCTCTAACTCCCCAACGCCGTTGCACTAAAGTGTTGAGATGCAGGACGCATTTGACTCTTCACACATCGTAGCTGGGCTCAAGCTCCAACAGGCTTCCCATGAGGAGGAAATCCGTGCGATCTTGGGGGCCATAGGCGGTGTGTCTTATTTTTTTCCTATCTTTCGTTCCACAAACCACACATGCCTAGATGATCACGGCGCGCAAGCACCTCACTCCTTCAAACCTTCATCATTCGCAGTACCCACTCAATGTGCTTATTGCAAGGTAGATTCAATGAATTTGATGACTAACGTCAGAAAAACTCATGCGAACCCGAAGACCAACGTATGGGGCTTAAGCAAACAAGGGAAGACTTGTAAAGCATGCGGGATCGCAGTGCACAACAAATGCGAGCTGAAGGTAATGTGTTCAAGACAGGTCTGATTCTATGACTGAGTAGTACCTCTGCAGATTCCCGCGGATTGTTCCGGTAGTTCGCCAACCGACGTCGCACGTCGGAAGAGTCTTATCACCCGGAACACCTCAACACGTAAATCAGCCTCAAGTGCAAGTCAAGGTAATGTTTTCATGTACGCTGTTGCCTCCCAGTGTTGATCGTTGTATCTTCATAGTGGGAACAACACCAAACGCCCCCGCACACTCGTTCCGGAATGCACAAGGACGTTATCTCACCACTCCTGGGGGTAAGGAGACTGTGGATGAAGCAAGCGACGAAGAAGAGGAAATTTCAGCTACCGTCCTATTCGACTTCGGAGCAAGCTCGTCAATCGAACTTAGCGTGAAAGGTACAAAAAGAAACCTGGACACGGTCTCAAAGAATTGATCAAATCCCCCTTTCACAGCCGGTGACACATCCGTGTCGTCGATGAAGATGATGGTTCGGGCTGGGTCAAAGTGAGAAGCGGAAATACTTCAGGGCTTGTCCCAGCTGCGTACATGAAAGTCGAGAAGTCGTCGCCAGCGCGGGATGTTGAACAGGCATCGCCCATTCGGAGAAAGATCCCCCCTCCACCAGCCCGCTCGAAGAAGAAATTAGGTATCGTAAGAAGTCCATCATCCACTTGTACCCCTCTCACAACCGCATGCCTCCAGTGAGAGGCCTCTACGACTATGAAGCAGCCGGTGATGATGAAATAAGCGTGACCGTTGGAGAAACCATCGAGCTCACTCCTGAAGGAGAGAACTACGGAGATGGTTGGTATCAAGGCCGAGATGCGAACGGGAAAATAGTGGGTTGACTCATGCTTCGAGAAATAACAGTTGATCAATCCCTTGTCAGGGCCTCTTCCCAAGTAACTATGTCGAACTACTGGACTAACATGATCTGATTCAGGATGCCACCTTCCTCTGTATATATCAGCCTGCATTACAGTGTATGTCGCGTCAAAATCATCGGAACAACAGAGCCATGAACCCATATCAAATTTGACCAATCGTCTAGTTTCAGGCACCACCTGAGGTGATTGGGACGCCCAATCGACCAAAAGGGTTGACAGTTGATGAGCTGAGATTGGCCCCATATGTGGTAGTACCAGCTATCGCAGCTTGGTAGGGCGTCGAGTTCTGACTTGCGCCGCCAACTCCAGTACCAAATCCATTCGTCAAAGAGGTACCAAAGCCAAAAATGTGACCTCTGAGAAACAAGTCATATGAGCAACACAAGAAAATTTGCAGCTCGGGGTCATCTTCACCTGTAAGTTTTTTCATCAAATCCACCCGGCTGGAAAAGCGTTTGTCTCATCTTGAAGAAGGTGGCTGAGGTTAATAAACTGTCAGACCCTGCCTGATGCTGCTCCCCAACGCGTGACACCTGAAGCTGGTCCGCGACGTCCTTCAACCCGCCTTTGAATGATTTGTCCAATTGCTTGTGGATATACTTCACATCAAAGATGGCGGGAAACCATATTGATAATATTGAATGGAAATCGCTCTCGTTTAACGGTAATGGTGCCCCAGTCAAAATCTTGAGCAAATATCCGAAGTCATACCCGCTGGAGAAATTGGTCAGAGGGAAATAAATCCTCGTTGGAGTGAACAGACCTGTGATAGGTTATCCACTTTACTTCGTCATTAAGCACAAGCCCGGATGTGATAATTAATTCAGCAAAGTCGTTCGGATATATCCCAAACTCCTCATGCCGTGTGAAGTCCAGTCCAGCATTCCGAAGAAGCTCGTAAGAGTCTGGAGCGTACATATCCTCGCTTCAAATGGTCGGAAAAATATCTGACGCCACTTAGCAAACCACTCACTTCAGGCTGAAGTGGAAGTTGAATTGCCAGGTGCTGACGTCTGGTGGATGGTTCCCTTCGGTGTCTGACAGTGTAAATCCGATTTGAATCATCTTTAACAGGTCCACGTTGCAGCGCATAGTCTGATACAGGTAATCTGAGGACGCTTGGAAGTTCCCTATCGGGCGCGCAACGACACCCGGAAACTCTGTGTCCTGGAGAGCGTGTTAAAAAGCTCGGAGAGATAACTTGTATGCGCACCATGGCTACATAGGGATAGCTGTCAATAAGCCTCCGTATCTCTGCGAACTCTTGCTCGAGATTCGTCGCCCAAACCTCCCGAAACGTGGATGTAGACGCCATACTCTAGTCCAACGCGCTAATACAATTTATCGTGACAAGAGACACGTGGTCCCGAATCATTGATCGATTGTATTTGAATATTTCGTCGCGCGCTTGCGCTCATGCTGACCTCTAATGTCCCATGAGTGTCCCATGCCAGCATACCAACAAGCTCGGGAGCGCGTCAGAAAGGGAAAGGTTTCAGCGTTCAATCGACTGCATTCTATACATGAAGATGCCGCGTTCGTGTCAGAATTCAGAGCGTTATATCCACACCTCCCCATAGTAGGCGAGCAGAAAGTATCGAGAAAACATGAGCCAATGTCCTCATCTTTTCCCCAAAGGCAACCAGCGGTGTGGGACGTGGTATGTGGACCCGGCCACGGTGTGCACCTCCTTGCAATGCCTTCATGCCAAAACTAATCGATGATTGCGATTTTGGCATTGAACGAGCCCGCATACTTCAAATCAACTGATGGCCACTACGGTCGATGGGATTTCAATATGCGCCGGGCGAACCTCAATCTAATCCCCATTGTGGAGAAGTCTGGGGGTATGTTGTGGCTATGGAATCGGAGCCGAAGATAATCTTTTCTTGCTTGTAGGATCATTATTGTCGATTCAACCCGCCGTGGAAAGCGCTTCCCTGATGCTCTCTCCAAAACTATCCCAACCTGGTGTTGCGTAATCAATCGAGCCTCCAAGGCCAAGCGGGATTTGACTGATTGGGACGACAAACTATACACTCCTCCGATTGCCGTCTCCCCGTCCGAGCACGCTCAGATTGAAAATGGATTGGAAGCATGGACACATAATCTCTTGGCAAGCTTCACACATTCCGTCGAGTCTGAGCGCTTTTGACCCAGTCCATTAGAGTTCCTCTTTTGACGTCATCCAACTCACCAAACCCTTGCGGCCTATATGGATTTCTCCCGCTTCCACACTAGATCGTCTCGATATTTCCGATCTTGACTTCTATCCGGTGTTTTGCGTGTCTGCCTCGAAATTGGTAGAAAACGATGGGATCGAGCGCAGGCTCGGGTATGTATACGTACAAGGCAGTGGAGATGATCATGAGATGTGGAGTAAGGTGCGTCCAGGGTCATTAATGTCTTCCCGCCCAGGCTAATCACCTAATGTCAGGGCCTCACCCCTCGTATGTACTGGGAAAACGTATCTAGATTAATAGCCACGCCAGAACATCACTTAGATGACCTTGTCAAGGAGATTGCGGAAGGGTGGCCGAGGAGATTGGACGGCTTACTCGGATGCACACGCAGCCTCAGCCCCATCAAAGCCGCAGGCGGCAGGATCATGCTCGGAGCCTGCGACAGCGCACTCGGGGCCAAGAACTGGCCCGAGGCTTGTGATTGCCTCATTCAGATACTTCCCGGGGTGCCGCGTATAGATTATGATCGCTCCCAGATAACACAACCCACTAAACCGGTATTGCCAGAACTAGAAAAACGCCTCGACCTCCTAAGCTTTTCGATCCCTCCCGCAAAACGAGCTCAGAAATACTTTATATCTAATGTGCTTCCCAGAGTATTGAGTTCGCTCGTGTTCATCTGCTGGACGAGGCAAAGCTGAGGATGTTGGGAGTCGTGTGCTGGGAGGGCAAAGATCTATCTGCCGGTGTCGCCGTTGCAATCTTGCAGTCTTTTTTTGACGAGGATGGAAACCTTGAAGCTGACCAATGCCTCAGTTAGTCATAAACTTTACCAGGCTAGCGCTCCTTCTATTCTAAGACCTTCACATGATGCAGAAACTGCTTCCAAAGCGTCACTTCGAAGACGACTAGAGTGGGTTCAAGCCAGTCATCCCGAGGCCAACCCATCGCGTTCGACTCTAAAAAGAATCAACGAGTTCTTTATGTCGACCTCGCCTCACTAAAAGATGAAGGAAAATCGTATGTTGGGTATTATCACATGTAAATTACAGTACAGTTGACACCATATACAACAAATAAACATCAATCAGACCATAACCAAAGCTTCGACTTAAATAAGGGAAAGGGAAAAAACCAATAAAATGTATAAGGATAATTAGATGAACTCTAATACAATCTCAATGGGGACAGCAATGCGCGTAGGGTATTATCCCGGTAAATCTTGAGAAGTGGGATAAGGGATGTCCCACCAGTGCCTCGGACGGCTTTGGGCTCCTCCACATCGCCAGACTTCCATGAAGGGATATGTGACAGGATAGACGTAGGTTTACGAGCAGGGATGATGACGTATTCAGTGACGATGAGAATGTGAGCATCGCGCCATCGCTTGAGGGCCATGAGGCACGCATCATACGCTTGGATGATGGTGGCTTTTTGGCAAGTTGAGAGATAGTCAGTGGAAGGCGATGAGTCGGAAAAGTGAAGACTCTCGATGAAAGGACGAATAGAGTGTTCCCGGAGCCAGCTGAGAAAGTCTTGCTGGCCCTGCGTCATATAACTTCTCATGCGAGCATTGAACGAAGTATCTACGGCACTCTTAGGGCCCGAAGTGATGGCACCCTCAGGCTGGGTGGGGAGCGAGACCAGGAGCCTCGAAACATTAAAGGCGTCGACTGCAGGCGAGTAAGCAGGGGTTTCCGGGGGCGTTAGGGGCGTCAGCGATACTGAGGACTTTTGAGACAGACTGCCAGACAAAGAGGGATGGCCCTCTGGAAGTGGTCCCAAAGTAAGATTATTCGGGTCCAACGAAGCATTGAACCTTGTGCATCCCCCTCCTAAGTTGAGCTTTGAATGAGGATGAAGGACGTCAAGAAAAGCTGTGCAACACGCATAAGTTTCACCGGCGAAATGAACGGAAAAAAAAAAACATGCGTACCATCGAACGACTGCATCAACGCGCTCTGTCCGGCAGACGGCCCCGATGGTTGCAGCAGAAGGCCAGTTCCGTCAACGCTTTCATACAACCAGCTGGGGGAGTCCGCTCCTTGATCAGCTCCCTGAATCCACTGAACGATGTAGCCCAAAAATGAGGCTACGGACAACGAAAGAGACTCAGCGACTCACAGGACGGAACTTGTTGTAGAAGAAATCAGGATCGAGCCCCCGTCGAATATCCTTCAGGATCCAGGTCATATCGTCTAGTGTCTTCCCAAGGCGTTCTAAATGGAATGCCAAATTAGAAGCCGGGGCCTCGGCATCGATGCCTGGGCCCCATTCTGACGAGCACCGGAGGGACTGCGAGTCAACGATACAATTCGCCATGGCGTCGAGAGCCTCCCAACCACGAATCTCAATCATGGCTGATGTGCGGAAGAAAAGCTCTTCTTGAGGTGAGCCAGTGAGGAGATCAACCATCCGAATGTTCGTCCGCGAAACGGGGAGCGAGAGGTCGCATTTTTCCCAGTTCCATAAAACGGTATCTGCGTACGTGAGGATGGGCGCAATACCTAAGCGGCGAGAAATGGCAACAAGAGGTACAGCGATGGGTGCGGGGATTACCACTGGAGGCACTCTGCCGCTGCAGGCGTGGTGGGTGGCAGTGATTGAACATAAAACTGTGTGAGATATGCGAGGACATGATGGGCACGTCGCGCCTTCGGCGCGTCATTTTCGATTTGCACCGTACTCAAGACTCGCATCTATTAAAATGTGCGGGGTTAAACCTGGCTTGTTTCATGGAGACATGGCAACCAATATGTACACACACCTTTCGTATGCGGGCCCGCCAACGCGAGGTTAGATGTGCTTCGTTTGCTGGCCGATTCGGGAGGCATCCTGGTGTGCGGACGCATGCAAAGGCTTCATCTAGAAGTGACTCCCAGAGTTCATAGACGCCCGGTAACCGACGTAGCGGTGGCTGGGCAGAGAGGAAGCCAGTCCTTTCATCGATGTCCCATGCAGTGTTCGCGAAATGGCGTGACTGCATCTCTGGAATGGGGCGGGGGATGTGGGAACAACTTGGCAGACTGCCAGGCCATACTCCTCTAAATAGTGTCAGAGTGTGAAGCTGACTATTGTCGTCTGTTAGCAGCGAGTGCCCAAAGTTTCATTGTTCAGGGCCAGCAACGACAGAAAGATAATGCATGCATTCAAATGCCTGTCTATTCACGTCTCTGAGTGTCAAATCAAATCAGAGGATTCATTGCGGTAGCGAGAGGGTGACCAGTAAGAAACGAGGCCAGACCAAACAAGCGGTGAACCAAACAGACTGCTCTAGGCAGTCCCCTCGTGCTTTGTGCATTTGGGCCAAGGGAAGAGCCTAAGATAGAAAAAAGCGCATTACACTAGTTGTGAAAGAAAAGTTAGGAAAGGATTTCAAGCGTAGCACCGCAAAGCTGGTCGAGGTCCAAGAGGGTAATGATATTACGTCCTCAAAACCAAAATACCGCCGCCAGTACGGAAAACATACTTCGCACGCCCTAACAACGGTGTAAAGGAAGAAAACACGCGTCCAGCATGCTTTCCGGGATGCGATGAGCGGCATGGATGAGTCATCAGTCAACGTCAAATAAGGATGGGCTCATTCAAAATCAAGCCAGCTTATTTTGCTTCCGGAGCGCAAGCCTCTCAACTGCAAACGCTAAAAGCACTCCTGACATTAAGAAATGGAGTTTTCTTCGACTCGTTCCTCGTAACGCGACCCTGAGTATCTATCTTTCCCTTTCGTTATATACACAAACACCATGGAGAGACGACTGATGGATCATGCCAGTTCACAGCGCCCTAGATCACACACCCGAAGTATGTGGCTTCACTTCGCATTAATTATCCCCGTAACTTACTAGGAGGCAGCCTTGGATGTGTTGAATTTCTGACTCCAGTCTGCAATGAGGCATCTCGATATCTAAAACAGGGTTCGGGTGACGAACCATGCGTTGGTTCGGGGTTCGCTGAAATTCGGTTCCAGTGCTTGGTGATGTGCACGAAATAACTGCTCGAAATTCGTGCCCCTGTTATATTGGTTACCCGATAAGCTGCTTCCAGGAGTGGGTTTCCTAGTCATCGAAGGCCAGTCTATTTTCCATGAAGACATGGAGGCATTTTTATTGATACAGGCGAATAATCAGCAAAATTAGTTCGGCCTTTTTAAATCCTTTTTTTTGGAATGTCCGAATCTAATGCAAAGTGGACAACCAGGTCCAGATGCCAGGTTTCTGAGTCCCTAGGCTTTCCCTGATACTCGACACTGGGTCTTATTCTCACCAGCTGCTCGCTCAAAATGACGTTTAAAATTTTTGGCCATTCAAAGCTGTGCTTGAATTAGATGGTAAGGAGTTCGTCGATCTCTGGGCGCGCCCGTCAGAATCGAAGGCGATAAGAAGCACATCAGTGCATTCATGTGCAAGGTGCCTCAACCTTGCGCTTCTAACCACGTTCTTTGTTACGCGACCGCAAAATTGGTTGATATGGCACACTCGGGAATGCTGACATAATGTGGGCAGCCAGCTTCAGTCTCTCCCCAACAACGCGTTGTGCAACCCCCGCCCACTTTCCCAGTCCCCGTATATTCCTATGGTCCCTGCATCTTGGCCCCCTGCTGTGCGTGAGCAGGGCAGCGGGGATGCCAACAGGTGGAAGTCCGTCAACCCGGGCCCAGAGGATCCGGGATCTTATAGGGCTCATACGTCTTAGCTCCAGCACGCAGCGCTTTCGCTGTTGGATCCAGCAACTGTCTTCCAGTCTTCACCGTCATTACGCGCTACTGAGCGCGGACGTGGTATTGGCAAAATACCGTTAACGTCCAATTCGTGTGTTCGGCAACAGCGTCACGATGTTACAGATGGAGTCCATTATACTCCCACTCTGAACACAGGAGTAGCCCAGGATGCCAACATAGTCTGGTGCTCGCCGAGCGGCCAGACACGGTCTGGTCTGGAACCAGTTCAGGTTGACAAATTAGAATCAGCTTTGAATCAAGCGCAGGGAATCAGTGACCCAACGTTTATGCGAGGAGGACTAGCCATGAATCTGCAAGGTGTTTGACATGTTCACCGTAGCTGGTTACCCGTAGAACTCTTAGCAGCACACAGCCAAGGGCAGAAACTGCTTGCTTTCAATTTTTGGGATACTCCCTGATGATCTTCACACCGCCTGTTGCTGGTTCTCGGTGACCAAAGCGAGTTATATGAATTCCTCGAACAGCAGCCCTTCATAGGGGAGTAGCCCCGTATCAAATATTTCTCCTAAAGGCAAGTCGCGTTTGACCTTTTACCTTCGTTTCGATTTGAATCCCCGCACCCCTTTCTTAATATCAACTCACCCTTTCCATGTGGATCGACTTTTCAGCCCCGACTAATGTATTTAGCGTATATAATGGCTCCCATGCCCGCGCGCGAATGTTACAACATAGCGTGACGAGCACCTCACCACACGAGGATCTGATTCAATACATCGCGCATGCCCCACATGGAGTGACAAGAAAGTGGTTCTCTGACACACCCCCGTTGGCAACGATGTGAAGGGCATGCGCCATCAGATATCAGTATCAAGGGCTCTAAGTGAGGGTGTATGGACAACTGTGGGAGACTCTGATGCCGGCGCTGAGGTGTGGCAGAAGGAAGTGAGGCGCAAGAATGGGGCGTGGGAATACACAGCCCTGATACTCACGCAGAGTCTCCAAGTTCGAATGGATATTTGCAGTAAAATAATAGCCATTGAGGACTAATAGTACTTGGGCATGCTCGTGTAGAGGTCAAATGTCGCCAGAGATAAAGGGATATCGTGGGAGAATCCAGTTTCAATTCAGTTGGCCGACATCATGAAATTAGAGTACCACTCATCCTAAACCCCCCGACCCCCGTCGGCTTTGTCGAGTTTTACCAAAGAGTGTCTAGCACCTCTGGTGCTTCACCATTAGTTAAGATAGCCCACTAATGTTGGGATTTTTGCCTGACGAAAACCCCGACACCTCTCTCAGGGCAAACCGAGAGACTTCGCTGCCTCATCATATTTTTGGTAATCGAACTGCTTAAGCATTAGCCTTCAACCTTCCCCGAGTTTGTGGGCGCACTACGCTTGGATTGTTAGGCTGGATACTTATTCGCTACGTCCAACCTGCCATAGCCGCGTTAGCTCCGCGAACCCATGTCGATGCCTTGGGGTCTCACCGTCATTCACCCTCGCCTATCCCAAGGCACGAATAGCTTGCCCGGATCGCACCACTCCGGCATCGGCATCCTCGGGGCTGACTCTCTGAATCGCCTGGAATCTTATTCGACATTCAACGTGCAAACGTCCGGCTGCCAGCGGGAAGTGCTGGGAAAAGAGACTGTTACAGTCGTAAATTATTAGTTTCAGCTACACATCCATGGAAGGGAGAAATAACCAGTGAACGAAGATGTGAACACCACTGTTCAATGAACCCTGGCCGGCCTCTGTGTAGATCCGACTCTAATCTGTGTTAGTAGGCACAACCCCTTCTTGCCACTCGTCGTCTGTCTACTGTCGACCCGCTCAGCTTTGGCGCCGAACCACACTCGTTACCATACCTACACCACTCTTCCACTAGAACTCCCACAAGCTCATCCCCCAACTCCCCATGCGCCTCCCCGACGAGCTATGGGTTTTGGGCTCAAGTCGCTCTCCCATATGCACTAAAGAGCAATAGATGGCATCAAGGGCTCGGTGGGAAGACGACTTTGTCTCCGTGCACGGCATTAAACATCAGAATGTTGCAAGGGACCACATTCTGGGTACCTTGTCTCCACGAAAGTCGTTCGGGAGGCCCCATATCTCCCCTGGGGTATCGGAACTATGCACTTAAGGCTTGCTACTTCTGCCCAATGGTATCATTGGTTGCTATTGCCAGTTCTCATCTACCTCTGTCCATAGTTCTCGTGGTAGCTGTGAAGCCGATTGCGGTCTCGTCGTAGGCTCTACAACGGTTGTGAGGGATTGTTCTATTTACTTTTCTTCAAAAGCCCCAATTAACTGTTCACAAACATGATATCAAGCACCTCTGTGAATGAAAGTCCTTGAAGTATTATCCCTTATGGACTTCAAAAACGGCACAAGCAAAGTCCCACCAGATCCCCTCGGTCCCTTCGCCTCCTCTCCACTCTGAACCGCTGCAGACGAAAATAGCGAAGAGGGGTCGACATTCCCCTTTGCTTGGGCGATTATATACAATGTCACAATGCGAATATGCCCATCCCTAAATCGCTTCAACGCATCAACCGCCGAGTTGTATGCTTCCTTCAACTTGGGTTGGTCCACGTGCTTCAGCACAAGAGGGCGAACAGGATGGGGACTTTACTTAAGTAAGATAGGAATGCGCGGTGATGCCGTGGCATGTAGAGGAGTTGTTTTTGAAGGAACATCCCAGAGGAAGTAGAAGGTCGGAATGACGGGGAAGGATGCGTTGGGTTCTCGGTTGACTCAGATGAACCTGGTGCAGAAGAGGAGGTGTCGTCGGTGATGATGACAAGGACGGGGAGGTGCTGGGGTGGTGATATGAACCATGTGGCGGATGCTCGACTCCAAGAAAAATGTCTAGTGCATGTACAAGCGAACTTTGTCCTGCCGACGGCCCGCTGAGTTTGGCAAACTGTTCCTCTCCCCCAAATTTGCCTCTACACCGTCAAAATTCCACCCAGAAGGATGTGCTGTCCCGCCATTAATCCAGGGTCTGAACTGGTTATAAAACACGTCTGGATCGCAATCTTGTCGCACTGACATCAATAACGCAGAAATATCATCTATGACTCCTGCCAGACGTGTGAGATAGGTGGATACTCGAGTAATAGTGAGAGCATCGCTTAAGAATGTCTCGTCGAGAGTAGCTCGCATAAGGGTAAGAGCTTCGACGCCGCGAAGTTCTATTCGGGCCGAGGTCATGTAGAAGTGGTCTTCGTCTCCCGTACCGGTGATATTTGTTACTGAGCGGATGTTGTTTGGACCGACGGGGAGGGAAGGATCGATCTTCCCCAATTCCAGAGGACGGTATCGGCATAAGTCAAGATCGGTGGTATACCCAATTCCCGAGAGACGCTAACAAGTGGGATAGACAGTGATTGGGGAATAGAGATCGGGCATGATGGTGAGTGAGTGACAGAGTGGACGTAAAGATGTGTTAAATATGACAGAACGACGTGAGCGCGTCGAAGGGCTCGTTCGTCCTTATATAGTGGATCGGCATCTACAATAGGTAACTATGGAAATCAGAAAAGATATCAGATACCAAACCGAAGGAAGCCCGAAGGGGGGCAAAGCATCGGCCTCGAATAAAAAACTCACCTCCCGGACTTTCTGCCTCCAGCATGCTATGTATTCCCGATCTTGCACAGTCGCAAAAGCATCCCCCGCCAACTTCAGTTTTCCAATTGCATGGTCAAGCAAGTCTTCCCATGCTTCGTATTCGCCCAACAAACGGGCGACCGGTTCCTGAGGGGGCATGAAGCCAGAATGGACATCAACATCGTAGTCAGCGGCCGCAACGGTGGAAATATCGAACGTCTGCAGTGGTTTTGGGCCAGAAGAAACATGGTGACGCGAGATATGCAGGAAGTGCGGGCGCCTTAGCAGAGAATCGGAGGGCATGTTGGCAGAATACTAAAAGGCTCGCGAAGTATTATGTGACCTGGCTATAAGTGTTACGGATCGGGTACGGCAAAACAGAGACCGCTTGAAGATAAGCGGGAAGTGCAAGTCGCTCAAGGGCATAAATACCAAGTTAGTAACGCATTCGCTGTTCGGGTATGCATGAATCACACATCCGACTGCGACTTAATCGTAGGTTCCCGGTTATTCCCGCTTGCTCGGTTAGTTCGAGCTAAGCTCCCACACTTTTGAAACTCAAGACCGACGAACACTCCTCTGTTAGACAGGATCCGCTCATAAACCGTCGCATACCCATCGGAATACTCGAGCTGACAACGCGACGGCAAATAAACACATCATCACAACAAAGAGCGGTATGATTGCATCATGTCCGACTCAAACAATACAATAAATCCATCGGGAGAGGGGAGTTGATGCCAATATGCTGAGACCTAATGCAGCCTCGGCGTGAATGAAGTGATGTATAGTGAAAAGGACCTTGCGCATAGTCTAAGGATTGCCAACGTCCATTATAAACGATGCGGATCGAAGCATTTATGTCTATAACAAACATTACAAGGTAAATCTGGGGAATTAGACCCCGAGCCGAAATTAACAACTAACCGATTCCTTAAGGTGAGTAATGAGGTCATTACGGTCCTTCTCCTTCTTCAGACCGGCAAAAGCCATTTTGGTACCAGGGATATACTATGAGAATTCCAAGACTATTGTCAATCGACGGTAGGCATGCATCGAAAAGTACGTTGAATTTGCCTTTTTGGGATTCTCTGAGTGAAATATGCAGTGTTGTTAGTCAAGAAGGGAAACTGGAATTCCACGGGCTTGAAGTAAACCTACCTAGGTACTCAAAGAGAGTCTCCTCGCTCCAGACAATGCCCTTCTGGATGTTAGGCTTGGAATAATCGTAGTTTTCAACCGAACCGGTCTACATCCCATAGCACAAATGCAATTAGCCTCCATTCGTGTTCGCTTCAAAGACAGGAAAGAAGGTACCTTACGACCAAGGAGACCATTCAAGCTGGGTCCGACCCCATTCTGACCCTTTGCCAAGCTGTGACATTGAGCACAGCGAGTCTTGAAGAGGGAAGCGCCTTTCTTAGCATCACCTGGAAAATTCCACAGGCCAAAGTCAGCGCTCTGAATGCCAGCGCTGATACATCGAAGAGACGAAGTAGAAGAACGCTTGCCTACCTGGAGAGTAAGGCATTGTTCTAGAGAATGGATGGGGGGAACAAGTAGATGAAAAAAAAGGCCAATGTGTGCTGAGAACAAAATTTTGCACGTTGAACCGGGAAAACCGAAACGGAATCACCCGCTTCGTGTTTTCAACCAATTAGAACAGGAGGGATTCGGAACACACGTGATTCGGGATTGTGCGTAACCGTTCTCCCGATCTCAAGTGAGAGCGGGCTCCTGTTGCAAGTGCGTGGCGTCTGTTGGCCATTCCCATTCAACTTTTATGGGAGCCGTCATCCATCAATGAAGGACGCAAAAATGGCTCTTTGAAATTTTCACGCCGTCTGTTCGTCGGTGTCATCTGAGTCCTGTGCACAGATACCAACAACTTTCTCAGTCGCCACTTCACCTTCCTAGGACATTTGAGCTTCGGCTCTTGCGTTTTTCGCGCCTGCCTTTGTTGTTGCTGGCCGAAGGCATTCGAGTCAATTCTCACCGGTGTTCTCAATGCTAAGGCCTTTTTTAGTCGTCGTTGCTCACGGTTATAAATATCGCCGGCCATTGATCCTGCTTGCATGGCCGAACCCACTCCGAAGGCATCTGATCAATGTGCAGGTGAGCAAACCCATCACCTCGACACATTCAGACATCCCCTCTTGTGACCCTGGGTAGCTCCAGCGATACAATCCGGAGCCTGAGAAACTTGGTCCCCCCAACCCCATTCTGTTTGCGGTTCAGTCATTGTACATACTTCCTCTTTAAGTACCATTAGTGACGCACCGTATACCATGTTAAATCTAGAATGGGGGGTTAGGGGTGACCCGAGAAACGAATCTTGTAACTCCAATCTGGTTGACGAAGTGATATACATACAGCTTTCGTTTCTCCTTGCGCGCGCCCGCCCATTTCGCTCGTCGGCGAAAAGGTTGCATCGTAAGGAAAAGGCATGGTTGTGGTTTCCCATGTTCTAAGAATAATCGCCCCTGCCGCTCGGTGATACCAGTTGCACGGTGTCGCCTTAAGGCTACCTCGAGGTGATCCACATTTCTCCCTTCTGAGGCTTCCGCTCTTTTTCATCGTTTCTCTGTCCTGCGTTTCTTCCATTCCAACCCTTTTTTATCCTTTTTGCATTTTTGGGGCCACGCGAATTTGAAGCGTGAGAGTTTCGTCTGGGCTAGGTCGCATGATGATAAACGTTTTGGTCGCTTTGACACGAGGCAGACGACTGTAGGATTTGCCGTTATCTCTTCCACTGCGAGTCTAAAAGCACCCAGCGTTCCCACACCTGAGTCCGCAAACGTTGATGAATCGACGTTCTCAATGGTGGTTAGACATAGCGGATCTCCCTGGCCGACGCCAGTAACTTGAACTTGCCTCTAGAATGCACATTATGGTATGATATGCTGGAGTATATACAGGTGCCCGGTGAAGGCAATGTTGTGACCAGGGTTGTGGGTACATGTAATGCTAGATGATAGCGGAAGAAACTGGATTTGGCAAGGGGAAAGAACATAGAAGGGTGGGCTTAGAGAAACATTGTGCAGCATACCAGAGTGGGAAGGGAGGCTTGATCCAAGGGAAAACGAGCATAAATGGTGAAATGGAACGAAAGCATGGAAGGTATGCAAACCGATGATGTATGAGTAACACGGTAATCGAAAGAATTAGGAAAAATTAATAAATTATCAGAGTTGAAAGCATGCTCAAGCGATCCTTTAAGGAAAGCTGGTCACTTCTGTCGGAGGCTGTATTAAAAATGTGGTAAGATTACGTAAAACATAGGAGTATGATCCATACTTTGGGGAAAGTCTGTGCGATGATCCAGACGTTGAGTGGTTAGTGGGGGTAGGGAATCTTGAGGAGCTGGTCGATACAGGGAGTGGTTGATATGAATGATGAGACTGGATATGTGCAGAGTGTGATGGGACAAGAGGCGCACTCAACGGTGGCAAACCCGGATACGGGGATGGGAACCCAGCGGTTTGGGTCCATGGGTCATTGCTGGAAGAGGCGAGGGAAGAACGGCGATTGGTGGGAGGTGCCGAGTGCATGTCGTTGAATTGGTCGACCGCTACCTCTGTTGCGAAGCTTCCGCCTTCTTTCATGACCTTGGCATAATCTGCAACGGAAGAGTGAAAATAGTTCAATGAATGGATCTCGGAAAATCGAAGAACGACGTACGCAAACCGCAGGCGTTGCACAGAGTTCTAGGACCTTCAGGGCCTCGCCTTAAAAAAGGAATAATACAGATCTGGTCAATAACACTCAGGAGAATAATTCAATGTAGCGAACCAACCTCCATTCAGGTGTATCACGACTTCCGCAAGAATTGCACTGCCCAGGTGATGACGCCGTCACCTACAACGAAGCCCCCAGTTTGAGCCGTTCGGAATCATGCGGGACTGTCCCAGGAAGACTCACTCGTGGGCCTCGTTTCTTCGGCCGTGGAGCTGGGGACGTTTCAGGTTCTTCATCATGTAAAGCGTGACGTTTTCGCTTTATGAGCTCCATATCTCGCTCTGCTCTTGTTCGGTCCGCCTTCGACGAAGTGTCCTGTGTGAAATGTCAAAAAAAGATGACCTTAAGAAGGGATTACGACATTAAAACGCACTAATGGAGCAAATGTGACTTCCTTACTCAATTGATCTTCTGTCTGTTCTCCCTTACCTGTCTCGAAAACCATTCGGAGGGGGGCTGTCCGACCGTCATCTTGCGCGGCGTCCCATGACCGCTTGCGAGGATTATTGGATGAAACGTCAGGGGATAATGCGGCTTCTTCAAGCTGCCGCGCTGCGCGGAGGGTGTCTAACATGTGTGCCACAGTCTGGGCGCGATGTACCATTTCAGCAAACTCAGCGGCCGAGGGTGCATTGCCTTGCCCGAGACGCCCTTCCCGTTGTAACACAGCTGAATGAAGGGAGGGGTTAGTGATTGCAATTGAAAGATCCGTCATCAAAGGGCGTACCATAATGACGTGCGAATGTGCTTAGAGCAGTGCAATGCTCAATTATCTGGAAATATTCTATCGGTAATAAGTCAAAAATGTGAATGCTAGCATGCTAACCTCAACTATAGAATTCCCTAGCTGGGCAACGTCGCTCAATAATGCACGGGGGGGTTTACTGATCGATGGCCGCGGAGGTCGCTTGTCTATGGAGGGTTGGCGAGTACTTGTGGACAGAGGTCGACTATGTTGCAAATCTCTATGGATATAAGGCCGGCTAGGCCCCGCTGCCTCCGAGGAGCTAGAAGCTAACAGTCGTGGGGTGTTTGGAAGCGCGTCATGACTCAAGTTCCGATATTGCTCAGTTGATTGGGTTCGTAGTTCAGCGGCTGACAGAGCATCTGCCGCCGTACCCGAAGTCGCGGCCGCTTGCACGTGTGACGACATTTGTCTTGGTCGAATCGAAGTGGGTTGCTGCCGGTATGAAGGAGGGGCGTGGTATTGCGCGCCTGTCGTGCCGATATGGTGGTACATTGGGGTGACGTAGGAGGCGCTTGCAGGAACCCGATGGGCGCTCTGCAAAGCTTCGCTAGGGAGCTGATAGGGATAGGACAAATGGGAGGGAGGGTAGGTGGTTTGATATACCTGGGTGATAGTTTGGACGGTTGTTCGATGATCGTAGCGCTGAGTTTGCTCTTGACTGACGCGACGCTGTGTATTTCCATCTTCGTACGTGTCATAAGAGGTGACAACGGACGGTAAAGGGGACTCGGATCTGCCGGCCTGAGTGAAAGAACGATAATCTATCGGTCGCCCATCACGATCGAGGTGATGCTGGGCAACATCTTGTCCTTGCAGAATTCGCTGGGTATGGCCGGCGCCATACACCTCCAACTCACTCTCCTGCCTCACTGGGCGGGAATAACCACTTGCAAGATTCGTTTCAGTCGGGTATGAACGAGCAGGAGACGGGTCACCATGTTGAGATGGATCTGCAGGCAATTGCTGAGTGTGCGACAGGGCAAGGTCCAAGCTTCGTATAGAAGGAAGCGTTAAGTGACTAGTACCGTGCTGAGCGCTGGAAGACGCAGCTTCTTCGTACGAGTAGCTTCCACCATCTCCAGCTCCGTAAATTTCAACTGGAGGATGGTATCCGTCCCCATCCCCTCGTTGGGAATTTGACATCCTCTGGGAAACACGAGGGTGAGAGGGCGGACGTGAAAGAGAGCCCGGAGTGAGAATAGGCTTAAAGGTGCTCTATGTGGGCGCTGAACACAATGTTCAAGACAGGGGGTTGCCGAGTAAACGCGCCGAAGACTTACGGAAAGTAGGATGGAGAATAATTGGATGGAACGGGGAGAATCAGGGGCCGCAGAAAATTCAATAAATTGGTGGAAGATAGAGCGCCTTCGAGCCTGAAGACGGAGTCAGGCCATATGAAGTATCCTCGCAGTCAACAATGGTGAAAGGAGTCGTTGTCGGTGAGCTGGTAACGCTAGGACCGCTGCTTCCGAATAGTCATTGAATAGGAGCGCCGTGCCGTCGGGCAAGAGATCTCAATTTTGGACACAATTGATCCTAGTAATACCAACTTCGCTGAACAAAGGGCCAAATGAGTTCCTCAAACGGTACAGGCGCCCAGTAGAGCCTAATGACCCTTGAACTGACAACATTTGAATGAAGGGATCCTCTAGGATGTGGGCACATCACTGCGCCAATCCACTAGGGGTTTCCCTTATTTGGTCTCCAAACCTCATATTCATATTCCGCTTGCATGCAAAGCCTCAAGTTGACCAACGCTCAGCAGGTTCTGGCTGGGACGAAGAGTTCGACGTCGGGTTGATTGATTCAGTACCGAATCAGTCCCCCAGCAATAAATTCGAATCAGCAGCGAGGAATCAGCCCAATTGACTTTCTGCAGCAATTCTCAGCGTCTCTCTGCTGCTGCAAAATCTACTTATGTATTTGTCCGTGGGATTTCGAACGGATCGGCGATTAACCGGCACCCTGAGCTGCAATTGGAAGGTGATAGCAAACGCGTTGCAAGCGAGTGAAGAAAATCGGCTATTTCTTGGACACGTGCCACGGTGAACCCGTCCTTTTGCCTGCAAATTTGCAAAAGTGCAATGGCTCCAACGAGCTCGGCAGTCTCAAGGCACCAAAAAAAAATTCAAATAATCGACACAACAGGAACAGAAACGCATTAATTTTGAATTTCCCACCAGAATCAATATTGAGGCATTTCCCGAGATGCCATGGCTATTCCCGGACATTTGGCATCCCTAGTTGGTAGTTTGTTGGGATTGTTGCAGGTGAACTTTCCTGGAAAGCACCAAATTGACTTGGGGAGCGAGCCGACTGAATCGCAGATGGCCAGGGTCTTCCGTACTCTTTGAAGAGATCAGTGCGCCCACTCTCCAGCAGGGTCAAAGAACATTGTTGTCAATGTATGTTGTATGGTTGCTCATGAATTATGAACCACCGCCGTTGCCAGCTACCATCGCATCCAGTTGGACATAGAAACCACGTTGCGTTAGGAAGGCGATTTGCATAGATCCTGTTTGGGAGCCAGATAGGGCGCTCATTCAACCTATCAAAGAGAAATTTTTGCCTTGGTTCGGTGAGGAACAAGAGCTTCGATACAAACAAGCCACACCACTGATTTTGCTTCCGTTCCAAAATCGTTCGACTATTTGCAACCAAGTTGCTACACTCGCCCGCCAGGCTTGAGAGGTGAGGCACTCGAACACGCTGAATGTTTATCGCTGATGAAATGCATATATAGTCACAATGGATTTGATACTAGAAGTTGCGGACGATTTAGTACTGGACAATATGTGGGCCAAGCTTGTCCCAATACCCGATGTCACTAGCACCGTCAATGCATATACGACTGAGAACATGACTCAAGCATTCCCTAATTCATGGCTATCAGCAGTTGCTACCAATTTGCCTTCAGTATTACTACCACCTCCACCCTCATCTATCCTTGTGGAGTCAATATCATTGTCTGGACAATCTGCATGGCCGAGAGACTACGTTCTTCGGCAACTCCTATCAGTGACAGTGATCACACTGATAGGGATTCACTTGCTCTATTTCGTTTTCGCTGCTGCTTCGTACTTTTTCGTTTTCGATCACCGAATGATGAAGCATCCTCGATTCCTCAAGAATCAAGTCAAGTTAGAGATACACACCAGTTTGAAATCATTTCCCGGAATGCTCCTCCTTACCTTGCCTTGGTTCCAGGGCGAGGTGATGGGTTACTCTCGACTGTATAACGATCCTAAGGAATATGGGATAGCATATCTTTTCTTTTCGATTTTCCTGTGCGTCTTATATCGTCTTTTGGCTCCTCGATCTAACGCATCCTTCAGTTTTCTTATCGTGACTGACTACTGCATTTACTGGATTCATCGTTGGTTGCATCTTCCCTTCCTGTACAAACATATCCACAAGCCGCACCACAAATGGCTAGTGCCCACTCCATTTGCCTCGCATGCTTTCCACCCCGTGGATGGGTTCTCGCAATCTCTTCCCTATCACCTTTTTGTTTACATTTTCCCCATGCAACGACATCTTTATCTCATCCTCTTTAACCTCGTGAACATTTGGTCCGTCTTCGTACGTACTCACACCTAAACTAGCACTTCTTCAGACGCGGACGGCTAATTACGTCTTGCTTTATTCGACCCAGATCCATGATTCCGACATGTTCGTCTCCCCTGGCGGGAGGGTAGAGAAATATATCAATACGCCCGCACATCACACTTTGCATCACTTGTACTTCACGTGCAATTATGGCCAGGTACGTGTTCGCGGTCTGAGCCTCGCTTAGCAAGTCGACCTGACTGTGGGTTTGTATCGGGTTGCAGTACTTTACCTGGGCGGACCGTCTAGGAGGATCCTATCGCCCACCTCAGCCTGACCTCGACCCGTTGAAGGAGGCGCTGGCTGCCTGCAAGTCGGAATAATAAGCTATGATACGATCTGATCCCGGGCTACACTTTGATTTCGTTGTTTGGTATCTTAATCTTCATCTAACTAGTCGACCTGCCTTCGCATGAGTATGGACAACAATGATGAACACTGAGAAACGTATACCCGTGTTCCACAACGACTTACAACCAAAGCGGCGCAAAGATTTCGTGATGAAACGGGCAGGGAGCTAAAGTCATCCTCCTCCCTCGACCAGGATGACAAATCAAAGGCCATTGCTGGACACTGATGAACAATGAATAATGGTAGAGGAAGAACCCTCAAAAACCCAGAGAACTGGGTTATGAAAGCCGAAGAGACAAAACTATTGAGGGCCCCAGGATGACGATTTGAGTCGATCTCCACCGTTTACCTCGCATTCGATGAATCTGACATGGCCCACCCGGATACACACAAGTATATTATTACTAGATCATTATATAACTGGGTATGTTACAAAGGGGAATGCGCGTCTTTCGGTTCGACTTGTAACGAAAACTGATTTGTGTATCACGGAACTGTTTAATTGGCTGCCTAAAGTCCAGGTGTGCCGCGTCAGTAATCCATATGTGGCCAGTGGTTGATACAGTGGAATCAACAACATACCAATTAAACATTCCTGGAATGTCAAAACGAATAGAGAAAATCCAACACAAGAGTCGGCGGAACCTGTGAATATTAGTGGGCAAAGTATATGTTTAAGCCTTCTTATCAATTGTTATGCAAAATGCACACACACCTTTTACTTTGTGTGGAGTGGTGGAGGGCAGCGTTTACCACCTGGTCTGCATTCACAATCGCCCTCTTTCTTCCTCATGAGCCATATGGCATGGGGGAAAAACTCCTCTGGGGAGCGATACGCATGCCTTCCAAAGCCCCTAAGTTCGGCATCAGTCCTGTCAGGTTTGGCGATCCTGTCCAAATCAAACAAGGCATATCCTTCAGGAAAGGATTTGAGTTTGCAATATTTGTCTAGGAACGATATGTGAGATATCTTTCGCCCCTGATGGAAAATTGATTGCTACTTTACTTTTGTACAAGGTTTTACCAATATGACTTCCAATCTTAAGTTTCCACTTTTCCGTCATTTCCTTCCTTCTCTTCACTTCTTCAGAATTCAACCCAGCTTCAACGTTCGTGTTGTGGTCGTCAATTTTCGCAAGAGCATGAGAACCATGCTCTCGACGTATGGTATACGACCCCCAGTTCTCAGACGAACCATCCGAAATACCTTCCGGAAAGCTGATCTCTCTAAACTCCCTCGATTGTTTGACCTTTTTCGCGTAAATAGCGGAATGCTGGGCAGTCTCAACACGCTTTTCCCTTCGTCGAGGAGGGCTGCGAGCTCTTTGACGAGCAGCGTATCCCGCGTCGGACGATGTGACACGACCACCACTGGCTAGGATGAACCCCATTAGCTGGACGCGACGTCCGTGAAGGATATTGGTTGTTGTCGGGGACCAAACGCGCGAGCACGCGGGGACTGATTTCGCCAAGTTCGGGTTTTATACCATCTCCGGAAGCAATTTAAAATTACAGCTGAATGCATTGCGTTCCACGACGGACAGCGAATCAGTATGTTACAAAGGGGGGAATGCACGTCTTTCGGTGCCGTAACAGAGAAGCACTTCATCGTGGAATATTGGAGATCTTTAATTTGCTGTTTGAAATGCATGTGCGCCGTGTCAGTGATCCATAGGCTCGTGGTTCATACACTGTTGTTGGAATCTCCGAGTCACTGGAAACTTCCGGAATATTTTGGATTGTTATGGGGAATTCAGTAAATTGTTAGTCAGCGCTTGCGTACACTGCGCTTGCGCAAGTCAAGTGCATTTCGTGTATCACGGACGTGCGTTGAGCAAAATCATCAATAAAAAAACCGACGGCCGGTCGCGAGTCAAAGCCGCTGAGTAACGGATTGCCATATCTGGAATCCCCTCATTACGATAGGTATGGTCAACAACGTACCAACTAAAGATTCCCGGAATATCAAAAAAACAAATACAGAACATTCAACACAGGAGTTGTCAATGATGAACTATCCGAAATACCCTCCTCCCTGGCTTTCTTCGCGTAGGTAGCACGATGCCTTCCCCTTCGTTGGGAAGTGCTGGGGGCTCTTTGGCGATCATTGTATCGGACGATGTGACGCGACCACCACTGGCTTGGATGTACCTCATATATTCTAGAGGGGACGTGGCGCCCGGGAAGGGCAGCTGTGGTCGGAGATCAATTGTGTGATTGTCCTAATATTGCGGGAGGCTAATTTCGCGAGCTAAGCTCGATCGAAGTTGATCGAAGGTAAAGTAGCGAGTCATCTCCGGAAGTAATTTAAAGTTAACTGTGTTTTCTGGGGCGTGGCACCAGACGAGCCTCAGCGGCAACAACATCAAAAGTAAGTTCGGCAACTGTCTTACACTCAATCAAAAGTAGAGGGACAAAAAATTCAAATATGTATTTGCATAAACAATAAGAAACCCGGAAGGCGGGAACAGCAAGTGCAAAAGCGATGAGTCAAGGCTTTTTGTCCATTTTGAACTGAGGTTATATACATGTACATCGGGAGGAGACAGGAATTATGCTTCCTATTAAATACCATAGGGCCCAGTCCAGGAAGATTCAACCAGAGGATTTGTGGGTGCAGATAGGATTCCAGGCAGAGATGTATTAGCTGCAGCGGTTGCAGATGATGATGCACCTACACGAGGATTTTTTAATCGCTTTGCTTCAGCCTCGGGGCCTTCATCGCGCACGCGTTTTTTCGAGGGATTAGGAGGGAGAGAAGCGACGACATGCTTCGGGACGACGAAGTATTTAAGGATAGGAGAAGTAACGGGAGTAGTATTGAACTGAGATGAGCTGGGCTCGAAGGTCGGGTCAGATGTCTCCGTGGGGTGCACGAGAGAAGAAATGGACAGAGAACCACGGCGGCGCTCCGGAGAAGTCGAGGGCTGCGTCGCAACGGTATTGGCTTTTCGAACGCGTTCCTTGTACTTGTGGGTCGGAGGATCAGTTAGCAATCGAATTATGAGCACGACCAGATGATTAGACCCACCTGTTCCAATTCTGGTAGACCACGCCACAGAGCGACAGCTTCCAAGAATCGAAGAGCTGCACGTTCAACAGGCTCAGCCGGATATCGCTTCGCAAGGTCAAGCAAATGCGTGTGAAGGTCGGTCGTATGATGCACACTGGCAAACTGAGGATATGGATAGTTAGCAAGAGAATCAAGTTCGCCTTGAGGAAACTAACCTCGGAGACACGTTCGGTCATCTCGACCTCCCATTCAGGATCAGTGTCAATGGGGCGTGTGTTTCCCAAACGTGTGGTCTGGAATCCATTCGCATAGGAGTTGATAGCACTCAACTCCGACTGAGTACCCGCGACGCCAGTAGGAATACCACGCTTAAAGAGAATTTTCGCGGCCTCGGCTAACGTAGGCATGCCATCAGGCTCGAACTGGGCAGCGTAAGCTTCCGGAAGTGAAGTGTCAATCGATCCTCGCTTCTGGCTGACTCCATCATCCTCCACGGATTTCACGTCGGATGAGGCCGATCCCGAGCGGGCACGCTTTGCGGAAACATCCTTTTCGTCAGGTTTCTCAACAACCTCTTCCCAGTCCACACCTACCCCAATACCAAAAAGGATTTCAAGAGCCTCGGGCCCCAACCAACCACGTCCCAGGTATCCCTCTAAAGCGGCCCTAGTGACCATACCACTCAGTAAGGCATACCAGATGCGGGTGGGGCGCCCGTCACCAGTGGTGGAAGGAATGTCAGCAATAGAAGTGGCGTTGGAGGAAGAGGGCTCCGCAGGTATGACGGTCCCGACCTTCACATCAGCGATTTGCTGCTGCTGCTCACGCGTCTCACGACCAAGTTCTCGAGCGACGAAGGCAGATAGCCTGAGGAATCGCGGCAAAAGTGCAGCCATCCGTGTCCCGCTGATGGTGAGTTCCTTTGGTTCGCCCTTGTCATTAACGTCATTGAGGACAAACTGAGGAATAGCAGAGCGCAATGGAATGCCGGGGTCCGGCAACCCCGAACCGATCGTGGTCAGGCTTCTTTGAATTAATAGTGTAAGGAGACCATTCTTGTCCGCTGCATAGGCCTCTGCGTGAAGGCACTCAGGTGGACATTCATCAAAATCTGTCAGGTGACTTGCGCAAATGGGCCAACGCCTTTGAATTCCAGAATTGTACAAATCCCGAGAACGCCCGACAGCTTTGCGCACTCGAGGGCCTCGGCTTGCGTGCGACCCTGAAGATGATGAAGCAAAGGGTGGGCTAGAAACGGAGTGGGATGCGGATGTCGACTCGGGTCCCCTTGCAGACAGACTGTTCAATGATCCGAGCGCCCATGGAGACTCCATACCGGCCCCACGAGGAATCGAGGAAAAAATAGATCGCGCTGGAGGTCCACCTGACTTCGATTTCGAGGCAGGGTTGGACTTGACCCAGTTTGCTGAAAGGACGAGATCGGTGTGAGGGGGGCGAGGGAAATAGGAACGCCTGGCGACGGTTCAAAATCCATTTGGGCCCAGCGCAAGTCAGTGGAGGAAGCGGTGCCGCTGGCTACGATTGATGCAATGGACATGGGCGACAAATCACTTGACAACCCTGAAAGCACGTTCTCTGGTTGCTCATCGGGGCCAAAAAGGTGCTGATCGCGTGCGAACAGGTCGTTGACAAGCGCAGAAAGCACAATCCTGATCCTAACCCCATTTGGCAACACCCCCGGAACTCCAGGATTCACTTCGTGAGTGTGACGAGAACCAACGGACCGCTGGGTGAGTAAGGAAGTAAGAACCTATAGGAGACATCAACATGGGGTGGAAAAACATGCGGGGGAAAATGAATAGCGAACCTTCTCCATTCCTTCTGCGTTCGCCCTTTGAACTTTCGCGGTCTCAATGTCCACATTTGGTACATACCGGTTCGCATCAGCACTGAGGCCTTTATACCGATCGTCCCCGGTTAACCCAAAAAGTAGCTCGCGGGTAAGTTCATCATCGTCAGTTTCAGTGACGTCCTTTTCGGTTGGACCTTCTAGGGATCCAGTCTGCATTCCCAGCTCGGATCTGACCTGGAATACCAGCGCCTCTCATGTGAGCGCTACGGTTGACTTTACCAACAGGCAGCTTCATCTAACCTGGTTAAAACGAGTGCGTGAATGCAGCCATAACATATGATCAAGACTGGGAATGTTGCGTCAGTAACGGGCGTTTGGGATGTATGATCTCAAAACAAATACATCAAAGTCTGGACTGTCTTCTCCTTTGGAGGTATGCTATGAAGATGGTGGGCATGTTTGTGCGCTGGGGCTTTGTAGGTGAAGATGTTTGGGGATGGAGGGGTCTGTTCTGCCTTTACTGGGCTTGGGTGAAGGATTGTAAAAGATGGCTTGGCTTGGGGTCTGGAGGTAGTAGGCTGCTGCTGCAAATGGGGTACTGCTGGAACGACAAAGAAGGGAGACCTGGATGATGATGTAGGAAGGGTGATGCTTTGAAGTGATGGTAAAGCGCGCTGAGTGGACGAGGGTTGTTGTTGTTGGACTTGCATGGTCCAGGGGAACTTCCAGTCACGATTACTGGGCCTCTGGATGGTACGTTTTCAATACTGGCGGCGTCGTTGAGCGCTGTTTGAGAGAGGGACGAGACGGGAATTGTTGAGGTCGCCTGATAAGTGCCAGATGCGGCCAAGGACGCGGCTTCACCCGATAGGTTTGTGCCAATTCAATTTAAAAATTGGAAATATCATTACGCCACTCATTTCCAGTTCCTCCCGAGAAATGAAATTGTTCATGAAATAACATCAGAAGCTAAAAAAAGTGGGAAAAATATCGGAGAGTGCAGAAGTTTAGTTGATCGAATATTGGTGTTCCGCTGCTGCGTGTCCTGAAAGTTCAAACCAGTGCATCCCGCAACCATTGCAACAATCCTTTCGTGCCTGGTGCAACAACCGCAGCAATCACAACAACTGAATTCATGTGGAGCAAGTTCGCTTACCTTCTTTCTCCCAAACTCTCCGATTAGGTACCCGGAACTTATTTCCTTCGACGAGTAGAATATCCAAAGGCAACAGGCCAAGTTCAGGTGGCAACTAGAAGACACAACAAAAAGGATCGAGTTAGTCACCAGTGGGAAAGTACGAGGGTGATGTGTGCGAATTTGATCTGCACTAACGATGTCCCGACGACGGGAGCCCCTTTTCGCACAACCAACGAGTGATCGGTTGAAAAAAGACAATTGGGATCGAACGGTACAGTACCTTCGCAATACTATTTTCCCGAATGTCAACTTCCCACTGTTCCCCGGCTATCTGTCCCTGTCGGAACTTTTGACCCAGAAGCACCAGAGGCGCTAATCCGCCGTCATCAATCTGATTAGACCTCGCCCTCAGAACCTTGAGTCCACCATCATCATTGCTGCCCGCAACGCCGCTCGCTTCTGTACTAGCTAATGATGGAATGAATATTTCCTCGACTCCATCCAACGTTGTTAAATTATTGAAAGAAAGATCCAGGACTTTGAGTTTCGGGAAGAGTCGTATCAGAGCGCGTATAGTTGATTCGGTTGACGTAACCCCGCTTTTCTCAGGGGATGAAGTAGATGCCGAAAGCAGCGGTGACGAGCCCTCTCTGATCCGGACAGTGTCTCCCAAATTGCATCCATCTAGTTTTAGCTCTTCCAGCCCAGGTAGGATGTTGTTTACTTGTGCATCCAGAAGAGGTTGAACAATACATACGTCCGCTCGACGGTTGCTTAGTTCTAGAACACGCAGAGCAGCTGACCATGGCTGAGAAAGTATTAGGGGAAGAGGCATGGTTTGCAAGGGAACAATCGGATCACTGTTGCCTCCACCGTCTAACTGAGATAGGGAATGAAATACCCGTGACCTACTGTTCCCCAACCTTCCTTTTGGAGTGGGTAAGGCTGGTGGAAGGGAGAGTGTTCCACGTGCTGCGGTGTAGTATTTGTCTAGTGAAGGAACGGAATCAGACGAAGAATGCGGAGAAACTTTCTCAACCTCATTGGCAACAAGCTTCGCCTCTGCCCGCCTCCGACCTGCCGCAGTATTCAACCCCGCTTCAGCATCAAGCTCCCATTGTGCTTTCACGGGTGGACGCGGAACAGGAGCAGGAGTAAGAGTAGGAGCGGCTGGTGATGAGGGTGCTGATGCATCTTTGGGCTCCTGAATCGGCGTGCTGACTCTTTTGGCAGGTGTGCCCCTCGTCCCAAAACCCGTACCAAAACCGAACGGATCATCCTCGTTGTCCACCGTCTCGAGTTCTACGGGTCTTCCGCCCTTTCGTCTCAGTATAGCCCGCTTTTCGGCCTCTATCTCCCATGCCTCCCTGCGGATAATTTTTCCAACCGCAATTCGGATAGGAATCAACGAGTCAGCTCGTTTTGGTGCCTCATGGGTAGCTGTCATATCAATATCCTGCACGATATGGAGTTCTCGATCCCCAAACAGCTTGGCACGTACAGCCGCCTCGGTGATAGTTTCGTTCATACCCAAATCCATTGCTTCCAAACTGGGGAAGGTCCGAGTTGACACTGAAGCTTCCTTCGGAAGACCTGCATCCGAAATCTTGCACTCCCGCATCCTCAACTCCTTGAGACATGGAAGAGCAGCAAGTGACGCAAAGAGTGGCTCGCATTCATCACCGATAGGATTCTGTGAGACGTCGAGTTTGATTAATGACTTCGGAAGCGCAGAGTTGATTAGAGGTCCAGTGAGTTTATTGCCTTGCAATTGAAGGATTTGCAGAACGGGGAAGGGTGTGGCAGGCTGCCGGGAAGGTGAAGAAGGGCGAAAGAACGGATCTGATGAACGCCGAGCGGGCAACGGCGTAAGACCTAATGTGACCGAGGCAATAATGTTGTTTGACAAATTCAAATTTGTGAGCGAAGGTATGTGCGCTAACATCGGAGGAATGGTCTCGAATTGACATGATGACAAGTCCAAGTGTGTTAATGCGCCCAGATCGGAGAACTCGATAGGTAAAGCACTGAGTGGGTTTTTGTGGAACTATACGTGTCAGAGCTGGGTCAATTGTGCAACAATCAAGGGTAAAAGGAGACTTGCATCAATTGTCTTTAGTCCACCAAACAATCCAATCTCTTCCTAGAATACGGATGATCATCAGCACTCATTTAATTATCAAACGCGCATCCCACCTGAATCTCTTGAATCTCATTATCTGCAGCTTTCAGGATGGTCAAGTCCTGAGCTTCATACCACGACACTTCACTGGCTTCCTTCGTGGGGCTCTGAGGTTGTTCATTTTCTGCAGCTAGTCGTTTCGGTTCTACCCCAAGATGCATCGTGTACAGTATTCTCGGTATAACTTTCAGCTGCCTAGAAGACAAGTTCAAGTGGCCATTCGAACGAGCCTTCTCAATCGCCTGCCGAATGGTCGGCCGTCCAAGCAGTTCGTCCTCAGCATCCTCCATCGTTACTGCAGGTTTCTCCCAATGTTCTTCATTTGTTCCAAAGACATCATCCAGCTGTGCAAGACTTGCTTGACTCTCTTTGGATTTGAGTTCGCGTGCTCTTTTCACCTCTGCACGTTTCAAAGCCAAAAGCTCTTTGATGCTCTTCGGTGGAGCAGGCACCTCTTCCTCCGTGCCATCTGGGCAAGTGGACGTTGAAGATTTGAAATTTCCAGTGGAAGGTGCTTTGTGTATGGGTGTGTTCGTTCTAGAGATGTTCGCGGCACGTTTGATCGGCGTAGGGGCTGCGAATCGACTTGTTGGAGTGGGAGAGGCAGGAGAACGAGCGGTAGAAGTAGCACTTCTCAGAGAGCCAGTGGACTTCTGAGTGCGGATTGCGGCAGTGGGGGCTCGTGTGGTGAGAAGTGAAGAGCCAGATTGAGGTGATCTGGGCAGTTCAACCGGTGGTATAGCTACATATGCGCGTCCTAACGTCGAAGAAGAAAACTTTGGACGGAGAGTCGACGGCGTCTTGGAAGCACCAGCTTTTAGTGTTGAATCAACAGGAGGAATTCCCGAGCGAGTAATGGTCGAAGGAGAGCCAGGACTTGAACGAGGGAGCCTAGAAACTCTGCCATCCGCAGTAGCAGCGACAGGCATTAGAGGAATGCAATTTTCCGCTCGCGTTGGTTCACAACGCTTCAGCCTAATCTTGATCGAGACTACCACAACAAAGCCAAATAAACGGATCCTTCTTTTCGCTTCGCCGCCACTTGGGCTCTGGAGTATCTAGATACGATCCATTATCTCAGATATACTTGGACACGTTCGAACGGGAGATGTCTCTCTTCGAATTGCCCTCACTTGCACCATCCCATCCGCCTGCCTTTCAACGGCCAAAATCTCTGTTAACGTATTCAAATGATGCGAATCACAAACAGGAATTCACCAATTCCGCGCTGAACTACTTCATTAAGCCTCCATCTTTCGCAGACCTGAATTATGGCTATGACAAATGGATCAAGCGCCCGGAAACTCGAACACGTCTTGACGCGCTTCTCAATTGCTTGAATCGGGATGAAGCTAAAGGCGCTTCGAAAGTACCAAGTGTCGTCACTTGGCGTGGCGTTATAACCAAGTAATTGTGATCATTACTGCCTCGCATCTGGTTAGCATTACCTATTTGATATTAGGTTGTTGGTTGCACCTTATGAAGACAGGGACTCGTGGGCCATCAATGCCATGCTCGTCGATGGGATGATATATCTTGAAGAGCATGCAACTGAGTCCGATCTCCTGAGCAAGTGAGATTGACTGATTAGGGACCCCTCTACGTTGACCTGCTCAACCCCCCTGTTCATTTTCAAAAGGGAGGACATGGGACCTCAGCAGAGACTTTTCATGTACTACGGGTACTCCTTTGAGTCATGGTGCACAACACCAAATGCTGATCAACAGCCAGAGAAATTGCCTGATCACCCTCGAGGCTGGAGCGGCGATGTCAACACTAACATCCAGTGGTGCCAAGTTGTCAAATCAAAGCTTGGGAGGAATCGAATGATATTGGGTGGAGAAGTTGACTGTGTTCGAGGTACAACTCATGTCGGCTGGCTGGTCCAGTTGAATTCTTACCTCGTGCCCCAGGAGAGTACGATGGGACGACAAGCAATTTTGTGGAGCTCAAAACCTCACAGACTATCCAAACTAAATGGGACAAAGCCAAATTTGAAAAGTCCGCACCGAGAAACAACTCCTCATTACAGTCTTAGTGATAATGCCTTTTCTCCAGAAAATTACTGAAATACTGGGCACAATCCTACCTACTCGGAGTCCCAGTAAGCACACGATCACATCCGTTTGGGATATCCCTAACCTCGAGATGTCCCTCAAAGGAGATATTTGTCGGCTTTCGATCCAAAGATGGGATAATTCAGTCTACACAGTCTCTTCGCACCCTTGAAATACCACGAACGGTACGATCCAAGAGTCCAAACTCATGGGACGCGGGGGTTTCCCTTAATTTCGCCGAGACCTTCCTTCATTACTTGAGGCAAACTCTGGAGCAGTCTTCCAGGCCACCTGGAACCGTATGGCGTCTGACTTTTACCCCCAAAGGTGGTATATCTGTGAAAGTCGTTGAGGATTCGGGTATGTTGGATGACATTCGGAATGGCGAAGATCGGGTCGGATTTCTCCCGTCGGAGTTTTTCCGCGCACGGTGTCAAACAGATTGACTATCGGACTATCCCGGCTTGTATCACCATCGACATGTACGGAACTTCCCATATAATTCAATGTTATCAGCCAGCGGCAGGTGTGGAGCCATGACATCACCGAGGATTTTGGGATTCCTCGGGGTCGTCACTCACTCCAAGTTATTCATTTAATAAGATCAGGGATATAGCCCCAGTGAACGCACCATCATCAACACTACCCAGTTTCCTCTTCTATCTCAAGTATCATAGAACGAGCCAATGTCGACTCTTAACCCTCAAACCAGTTCAGGCAATCTCAACACTGGTGAGCGTTACGGGCAAGTCCCGGAGAACGCACACGACGTTCTGGACTCCAAAGACCAACGCTCTTTCGGGAATACCTTGTCGGCCACTGAGCAGAATAAAAAGGAACAGAAAAGAGACGAGCAAGAACGGGCGGAAATCAGACCTACTGGCGTTGCTAAATTGGTATGCTTAATCGAGACACTTAGTGTGGGCGGGTTCGTGCTAACGATGACACTGCGCGCCTTCAAGCATGGCAACAAGCCTTCCAGGGGTGCTGAGATAGACGAAGAGCTAGAAAACGAGGAGCATCACGAACTAAAGCGTGAAGGGAAAATTTAAGACCACAACCACCATCCAATTGCAGAATGAGGTACTAATCATCGACACTTGAAAGATGCTCTTACAAACAGTACTAATAATGAAAGGATCGCCGATTGTACCAGGCGGAGTAGTAATCCAAGCTCCAACTTCTCGTCACATACATGTTGCGAGGTTTCAAAATGTGGAGAATTTGTTCAACAGCCTAATTGTTGCGTTTCTCTTGCCTTATCCTCGCCATCATACCGGAATCCCCTTCTCAAATTTCGATTCCCTACCGAGGTATGCCACTCACTGTGGTTGAAAGGCGCGTGTGGTTTCCTAACCTGCAAGGACAGCCTAACGGAGGAAAGGTGACGGGGACTTCCAAAAGGTGACAGGCGAGACACGGTGAATCGTGTCATTAGTTCGTGATGGCGGATATGAGTTTCTCCAGTGCAAGAGCTCCGGACTTGCTCCCAGACCCTCGGGAGCAGCCAAGAAAGACCAGAACGAAGCGTAATCAGACCAGTGTAAGTTGGCTTGAAAATACTGTGTAATGAAAAATGGGGGGACATGCGACCAGCCTCTATCGTATAGTCGCTAGTCCAGCGGAGATGACCAAATAAATGCACCTTCCACTATAGCCACCATCCCAGTCAGGAGTCGGAGAAAGGGAGCAGAAAGGATCTTTCTCAGTGACTTTCTTCGAGACGTTGTGTTTGCAGCACCATTGTTCGAAGAATAGAGGGTTGTTCAGAACACTCCCAGTCTAACACTCCCGTCTAATGTTAGGCAACGCACACGGACCCCTTTATCGTTCTCTCATCTTGTAGCTATATGTAAATTCCAGTTGCCCGCGCTGTCGATGGGCGAGATTGTTTCCCACGTTCAGAAAGCGCGTGATCATATGACATGGCAAAACAACAGTCGTCAACCCAATCTTACAAAGCGAGAGAGCGCGAGGAACACATCCCTGAGAGTGAACAGTGGGGAATTATTCAAAATTCTGGTTTGCTCGACAGCTATGATGGCCCAAGAGCTCGGGTCCTCAAAAGAAACACGTCCTCGGGGAGGTTTCAGGAAGTAGACCCCTACGACATCGAAACGGACAATGAAGAAGAAGAAGACAGTGAAGAGGAGAGGGAGGAGGGAGGCCCTCAGGAGCCTCCGACCGACTTGCCCGATAAAATATTCGATGCTGTACTTCTCGTTATCCCGTTAACATTTCTCTGGCTCATGATGGATATGTGAGTGTTGAAAGACGTCGTCTTACAGGTGTCTGATACATCCAATGCATAGCCTCGTCCAACAACAGTATAATATAGAACCTACAATCATGGATGAAGTGCGTCGTGTAGGACGTGCCGTTCCTGGTGAGTCTGTTAGATCCTTTATTTCCAGCACCCCACTGAAATGAATCTTTAGCAATCATAATCATGGTTGGCTTCAGTCAGTTACCATCTTTACCAACAAAAAACGGAATTACCAGTTGACTTTTGTCCCACACAGCTGCACATCGCAAGGCGGAGAGGTGGCTGCAAGCACTTATGTTCTGGGCGTCCATCGCAGTGGGGATGCGATTGGTTTACGTTGTCAACAAAAGCCCACGGCTGACCGTCATTCGTCAAGTACTCAGCCTTACTAGTGGAACTGCCGTATTGTTACTAAAATCTACCGTACCAGGGACCACCGTTGACGGTATTATGGGTGTATATGATCATTCAGTTACACCTTCCATCTGCTATCATAAGTTTGATGCTTGTCGCGGCAGGAATCAAATACCTTGGTCTCAAAATCCGTCTCTGATTGCATCCCATATATCCATTTGACTAATTTTCTATCACCACATCTGGCACGGTGTTTTGTATTTGTAACGGCAAGTCCGTCGGAACACAGTTGAAACTCAAACGCGGGTCTAGGTGGCTTCGGTATCCGCTACTTCGGCTGCTTGTTGCGCTTGGCCTCCAGCTGTTCGCTCCCTCTTGAATCTCCCCTTTCCCCTTGCCAAGTCCACATTGCGCCATGCGGTCCTCCCTGCCTCCAGAATTCCGTTCGGACCGTACCATCCTTCTTCGTCATATATCTCTTTAAAACGTTCCACCTCGGCGATGAACCTATCCCCAATCGTCTCGTCCTCCCCAAGTACATCTCGAATCCCAACGAAGAACAAGTCCAGAACTGATAGATTATGTAGCGCAAGGAGGGTATGTGCAGACATTTCGTGAGTGTGTAAGAGATGGTGGAGGTACGCGCGAGTAAAAGGCGGAGCGTGGGTCTTGCTTCCCGAAAATTCGACGGATGACGGTTCCGATCCAGGGAGACGTTGATCAACAGTGACGGCTGCAGGGTCTACCAGAGATGGAGAGCAGGCAGCACATGGACATGTCCTCAGCAATTGTGGATCTTCTAGGACACCGTCGTCCTTCAATTCTGTAGCACCCTTCAGGTCATTGGCGAATCGGGAAAAATCTAATGCATATTTCTCATCATAAAGGTTGTGCCCAATTGCCTTTGTAGCGGTTGAACCTTTGGTAGCCGGGAACGTGAAATCGAGCGCTATACCCCAATCTGCCGCGTGCTGAACCCAGGCACTATCGAATAGATCAATCCCGGTCCGAACTATGTGGTGCAGTATATCGTGCGGTGCCGTTACTCCTGTTATCAATCGTGGTTTTGATGATGGCAAGGGGTCAAGAGATGATAGAAGCAATGTAGTATATTGCGACCGATTTGGAATGTTAAGGGGAAGGTCTGGCGTCCCAGTCGATGATGATTCGGAACCAGGGTGCGGCGGTGCTACCCCAGGGCCAAATTCGCCTAGCGAGAGCCGTATAGGGATGAGGTCCAGAACGTATCCATCCAAAGCCTCGTCAAGGTTGTTCAAATGAGGAAGCGAAGGGGCTGTCTTGCTATCAAATGGCTCCAGCAAACCCGCCGAGAAAGCGGATCTGGCATCATGGGCCGCGCCCCCAAGTAAATGCCCAAATATGGCAGGTATTACCTTTGTGTCCGCGCCAGCAGTATGCTGAGATATGAGAGTATTAGTCAGCCAGCGCTGGGTCCGCTCAATCGACTTTGTAACACGTTTTTGGGAGTACGGGGGTTGCGTGTACGGGATGTCTGGGAGAGCGAAGAGTATGTCGGGTTTGAGTGTCCGAGCGAAGGAGGTAAAAGTGGCGGGAGTGACCTGGTTTCATTCAAGATATTCAACGCTAAATTGCCTCCTTCAATCAGAACCCTCACCTTGCGGGATCCTCTGATAGTCTGAACTATCACGAAATCATTTCCGTTTCCTTTGAGCGTCCTTGGGTCGTTCGTGTCACGCAACCCTAGCGATAATATATGATTCGTCTGTGGGAACCCATGGAATTCATGCAGAGGATAATCGCCGGGTTGCAAGGTGGGAACCGGTGTGAGATGCTCTAAGCTGAAGTAAACGAGTCGTCTTGAGGGACAAGGCATCTCATTCTCTCAGAACGGGGTTTCATACTAGGATTCAAAGGAAATGTGTATTCCTTTAATGAATAATAGTCTCGAAACTTGATCCCTCGTCAAGTGCGGAATCACTCCGCGGGACGTATGTGTCCATAAGTTCGGGGTTGCAATATCTATTGACACATGTGATCCTGCCGAGCTCCGCACGAGCGAGAATTTCCCGATTCTTGCTTTGACCGACTGCTGATCCAATGAACCAGTCAAGGGAGGGCCAATGGATCGCACCCGGAAGGAAAGAGGAGGCGAAGCCATGGTTCTGTGAGAAGGTACCATTACACCGCCACATATGTCACCCAAAAAGGACAATTCCCGAAGCCACTTCCCATAACGCTAGCGATTTAGTGCAGTCTCCCAAGGTCTGTTGGTTCTGGTACTTCTCCAAGATCTCGACTTGAAATCCTGGCAGGTTTGTGCTAACGTAATCTTGCGGCTCCAACATGAGCTCCCGCGAGGAACGACAAAAGTGTTGGGATGCCCGCGACGCCTATTTCGCATGCCTTGACGGGCTCGGAATAGTCACTCCTGGGGAGGAGGTTTCAAGAAAGATGTGCAAGGTAGAAAAGAAGGCATTCGAGAAGTCATGCGCGAAAAGTTGGGTGCGCACTTACCACGATCTAGCTGAGCAACAGTTGTAGTTCACATTCCACTCATGCTCACAACCCGCATCACCACGCCACTTCTTATGTAGATTGAACACTTCAACAAACGCCGTGTCATCGCTGATGCTCAGAAAGAGATGCTTGCTGAAGCCGAGAAGCAACGGCTGGAAGCGGAAGCGAAAGACTTCAAACGGGATCGATAGCGTGCGAAGATCTCAGTATTTTTCGTCCAAAGACTCCTGGTTGTACCATCGTTCGACCTTTCGTTGGCAACGACTCGTGGTTAGGGGCGTGGTATCTACAAACCAAAGCCTGTCATTCAAGACTTCGGCATGTTACAAAGAACAAACACAAAAAAGGTGCAATATAGGACAGAAGGAGAGATATGTCAAACTGTCTTCAATTGATAGCGGTCCCAACTTGGGTATGAGAACGTTTCTTGGCCAACCGCAGGATCGATATTTATTGTAAGCGGCAGACACTGAATCTTCAGCTTAACACGATCAGTGTCACAAATTTCGAATGGTATCGGGCGATCATTTAGCTTATCAGGTTGCTTAACACCAGTGTATGATTTGGAGGATGTTGGAGACAGACGATGAGAGTGCGAGGATGAGGCCGGAGATGATGCTGTAGCGCGAGGAGAGAGCAGATTACCTCGAGATGAGCCCCCTTCATTTGGAGGGGGTGTACTCGTACGCATCATTGACGCAAGCTCTATGAGTGCTTCCTCATTTGACGGCTGAAGGACGAGTATCGATCTCAAGTCTTGAGGTGCGGTGAGCAGAACGATTTAGATTGTAAGGGAATGACGGCGTTCACCTTCTTCAGATTCTGCGAGTCGACCCATCATTTTGCGAGCTCTTGCGCGTCTCCAGTATGCCTTGGTGCTCTTCTGCTGTCTAAGCGCGACACCACACGCTTTCTCGGCCTGCATCCAGCTGGAAGGGCGGGATTCAGTGATCATGGAAGGAACAGCATCAGTACTACTGACTTTCCAAGTTTCAGATGCGCGGCTGCAAGGTTAAGCTGGTAATGAGGAATTTCCGCCTCAATGCTATGTGCTTTCTCGTAATGTTCAACAGCGATCCGATAATCACCTCGCTTGAATGCAGCATTTCCCTAGCGTGAATACGTGAGATAAGTGGCGCGAGACAGTCAAACACGTAAGGTCAGGCATGCCTTCTCCTTTTCGCGCTCGGCCTTAATATAGCGCCACTCCATGAGCTCACCTACACTCATGGCACCTTCAATATTTTCAATATCGTCAGATTCATCTCGGTGCGTGTCTAGCTCGTCTATCGGCAGGCCACCAAAATCGAGGTCCGTCTTCCAAGAGTCTTCCTCGTTTTCAGTCTCCCAGCCGATTACTCCGGCACCACGACCATCCCACTCTCTTTCCTTCCCTTTTCCAGCGGCTGAGGACTTGTGTTGATCACAAGATCTGACGCTTGGCTCGCAAACCTGGATCATATTCAGTCATGAACATTATGAAAGGGGCTTTGTATGCAAACAAACCGTTCCGAGACATCCGAGACAGCACCACTTGTCAGTAAGCTTCTCTCGCAGGACTAGGCCATATCCTTTCGAGTTTGACGGTCGGCATCACACGCACAGCCCAGATTGTGGCAATTTACATACCTCGTACGTCAAACTCTTGAGCCACCTCCCAAAGCGTCTCAACCATGCGATCATACCCTTCTTTAATTTTGACCTTCCAGTTAAGCCACCCTTTCGGTAACTTTCCAGGCGGGGTGCTCTTGACACGAGAAGTGCAATAGGTTTCGAGAGACTTCAGCCCGCTGGTAGTCGAGCTTAAATGGTATGGTTTGGAGAGCACTGGAGCCCCTCCACGCTCGAGAGTCTTGAGGTGTACGCGCATGTGATCGTGGAAAGGAAGTAGTAAATGAGAGTGAAGGCCTCGTTGACCACATAAGGGTACTTCGTGAGAGACAGCCTTACGGGAAGATAGGGGTATGGTTGTAAGTACGGCAAAACGAAGGCAGCGATGCGTTAGCGCCCGCCACTCACAAAGTGACGAATGGCGGTGTATGACCACAGCACACTCTTTGTTGCAACACGTTCACCCGCTTGACGGAGATCAAGTGCCAGGGCCCCTCGGAAGACTAACGTTGATATAAGAAAGTGAATCGGAGGGTTATGAAGCAAATAGCTAACAGTCTTTTACATCATCCGAATTCGCATTCAATGCTATCCAGCCAGGTGTAGCGATGATCAGAGCAGATTGGATAAGACGCGGTAGCTCGGTGAGCGCGACGCAGTGTATATGCTAGAGATCAGGCAGATAAATTAAATAGTAGCGACTTGGGGTTCAGTACGCACCGTCGAGAACAGACGCGCAATATCATATTCGAATCGATGCAACAGGATTCGGGAGATAGTTCTCTCCAAAGCAAGCTCAGCCTCCGGACCAGTTTTAGGCTTTGGGTGCCGCAAATGAGGGCTCTCGGAAACATCTTCCTTTACACGCTTCTTAGTATGACGCTTTTTTTTGACTGGAGCAGGCATATCGTGGTTGGTGAGTGTGGACAATCAAGTGCGGCGGTGCGCACGCGGTAAATGCCATCCCGGGGGAGCGCGCTTCTACACACGTGATGCATCGCGGCAATTGAATTGCCGGAGCTGGCCGAATCTACTTGGTCAGTCATTTGGCCAGGAGACGGTCGTCAAGTTGTTTACGTGTTACATATCAGTCGTTCCTGGGTTTCTTCAATTAGATCGCAAATCCAATTCTCCACTTGTTGTCACGGGACTGGATCACGTCCCATTTATGTTGGGGCTTGTTTGTGCCCCTTTGCCACGGTGTTCAACGCCTGCTTCGTCCCCAGTGTTCGTCGTTGGTGTTTCGCCGTATTGATACCCTTGCTTGAATTTTACGCCCTATACTATAAAACGGTAAGAGGTCGGCCACATTTCTGTGATAGCAGCCCTCACCCAGAAATCTTTAGTTCCAATCTCACAAGAAGCTACGACCATTTACGACCCGACGCCTTACAAGGAACGCCACTCTCTTAGAGAAAACCGACTGGTTAGAATCAAAATTCCAATAAAATAGAAATGACTTCCACATCGCAACGTCTCATTCTCCCGACATGGATGAGTTATGCAACCGTCACCATACCTCTGCAGACCGGCGGATACTCGGTACGATGGCTCACTATTCGTGTTCTGGTCTACTTGGATTCATTCCATACAATAGGTGTCTCTGACCATTGTGCAGTTGCCATTGACATACTACGGTCCATCGGTATGTTCATTGCAATAAGTGAATCGTTTGACGTTTAGCTGTTTTTTATTGTTTGAAGATTCCGCTTCCAACCGATGGATCATGGGTTTGGGGTGGTTATTCATCGCCCGCCCCATCCGCGTCATCACCGACCCCAACGAGCACAGAAGTGTCGAGCAGCGCCTCGTTCACCACGCCCACCCTTCCTACGACAACAGTGTCATCCTTCACGTCTCCTTCGGTTTTATCGTCGTCTTCTATATCTTCCGCCTTTTCTACATTTCCTACATCACTAACTACCTCAGAGTCATCCACCTCAGAAGCCTCATCACTGGCTTTGTCGTCGTCTGCTCCTCCCCCTTCCTCCACCAGCTCTGGTTCATCACGTCCAAGCAGGTTTTCCGGGGGAAAGATTGGCCTCATTGCCGGTCTAGTTGGCGGGACTGTGATTTTACTGGTGTTGGGAATGTGCTGCTTTGTCTTCTGGCGGAGGCGAAGGGCCCGCCGTATGATTGCACGTTCAGCTGGGCTTGGTGAAGACGGCCATGTGGGAGACGAAGATTGGGAGTTTGTGACCAGCGCAACCCCGGAACAGGCTGGAGCTTCTCCCGATGCGCACTTGTCACCTCGCAGCCCATCGTTTCCAGTGCCATCATCACCTTTCGCAAGGGATTCCATCGCACAATCAGTTGAAAGTGCCACAATTGGTGTCGTTACCGGGACAGCACGACGCGCGGTACCTACGGTGACTTCCACTAGTCGTGACAGCCATAGCACAGATTATGGGGAAGAGCTGCCTTTCTCCGTTGAAGCACGATCAGGCGAACGCTCAATGTATCAGACCTTAGCTTTGGAAGACGTGGGCGACCTCCCAGCACACCCTCCGTCGCCCCCAATATCGACAAGCCCCACTAGTCCCGTATTCGGCCATGATCGTGCTGCCGAGCGCGAGACTCTTCTCGATAACGGACGGAATAGCAACTCAGAAAACAATGGATTGTACAGCACACGCTCTTTTCGTGCATTGGTGGGCGTTTTGGAGAGCTACTTCCAAGGTCGCAATTCGGGTTGGTTGTCGACCCTCAGCCAACGTTTTTCCACTAGACCACCATCGGAAAGAGGGTCGAATGGGAGTTCTCGGAAGTCAGCCAAATCGTATTCTATCCCTCTTTCTGATCATCCCTCGCAAACAAGTGAGAAGAGTCAGTATGTCCCCGTCGCGCCTGAGAACGTACCGACGCACGATAGCACCGACGAAAGCCCCCCTACTCCGATGTCAGAGGCGTTCCCAAGCCCCCCCGATACTCATGGACACGTACATGCTTTCTTCCGTATGCGGCAATCTAGAATGGGATCTCCTGCCAGTTCACCTTACACCGGACACTCGGCGGCTGATCGACCCATCTCTGGCTACTCTGTAGGGGGGTCTGCAGCATCGGGTCAAACAATTTTTCATGACGCATTCGAGGAGCCTATCCCTACAACCCCGGAACCGCACACCCAACCCCAAGTGCTTGCACAAGATAGCAATAATCATCTTCTTGTGCCTCACTTGAAACCCATACGTCCTTTATCTCCATTATCCTCAATACAGCTTCCAGGCTCAGGCTCAGGATCAGCGATACACCGTACATACCCTCCGTCCCCTCAAATACCAACACCTGAACGCGCTCCTTTAGACTTTGATGTTCTCGATGAACCTGCGCCTCTACCTTCTGTCGTTCTTCAGCCTCCACGGGAAGGCAGTGTGGCATCTATGAGCAGTCACTCCCATTCATTCTCTAGCTCGCCATTGGGCTATCAGATGCCTCCTGGTCTGGAGGATTATAGTCGTCTGTTGCTTCTGAACCTTTCGCGAGACGGGGGCAACGGCCATTCAAGTAATTTGGTAAATCTTGAATCTGAGCCACCTGCCGCAGTAGGGGACTGGCAGAGGATCACATCTACGGGCAGCGTCCCAAGGCACAACCGAGGGGTGACAGTGGAACACAACGGGGCCATAGGGCATTTCCGCCGTGAAACCCTTGGTCAGGTAAGCTTGAATCAGGATCAACCTATTAGTTTTTTTGACAGAATTTTGCGTAGATCGTGTTCCACGAAACCCAGAGCGCAGAATCAGCCTCAGTATACGACACGGATGATGCTAGCCCCCCCACCCGTGATCATTCGCGCTCGCGTAGTCACAGCAGCGGGGGGGATCATCCTTCTGTGCACCCTCCCTCTCAGTCAGTTCAATCATCCCTCTCCTCTCGGGTACCTGGAGTGTCCATTCCACGCCCCAGCCTCTCTGCATTCGGCTCAAGACCATCAAGTGTGCATGACATGGAGTCGAACAGACATCGACATTGAGTCCTATGTTCCTTCAGAGCCAAGGGCTTCATCTGGGGATGTTTTCGTTTTTGTTTCCTTTGATCGCCAGTGGACATTCTCGTCTTTATTACGATGTCTGTTATCTTTATTCTCAAGCCTGTATGACCGTTTTGGATGCTACCTTGCTTCCTTTTGTTGTGCTGGGCCTTATGCACTGTTGTGACCCGATTTTGACCTGACAGGAAAGACTTTCGGATGTTTGGGATATTGATCTAAGTAGATGATTGGCATGCTTCTATCAATGCATATGTTGAATTGGATTATGGCAGTGACATATTACAGGAGACATACATGATGCAACTGTTGCATGGTGAAATGGCTTCAGCACTGCTGAAGCTGGCGAATATGATGAATCAGTATGTGGAGGTATTAAACAGAAAGTGATGTAAATTGATTTAAAGGAGCTCTCTGAGGGCCCCAACGTGCGCTTCACGACGCTTTACAAGCTCATTGTGGGGAATGTACGGTTTGAGTTCGGACTCGACCTGGCAAAGCTGTCAGCAAATCCGTACGCTACAGCGCAGTACAAACAGACCTACTTTGAGCAGTTTGTCTGGGTGCCACATCCGTGTCGTGATACTTTCTAACTGGATATACAGCGATGAAATCGAGTCACAAGCTAAGAGCTGAGTTTCGTTGATGCGAATAATGGCAATTGCGACTCGAAACAATACGTCCATTCCTTCTACAAAGAAAACGTCCCACACTCGAAACAGAGTCTACTGAGAAAACTTAAATCCAGTTACGGCCGGCAAACAAAGGCTTACCTCGACCGGGAGGCAATCAGTGAAAAGCGATAAGAACCACGAAAAACATATGGCTCCGAGATCAACACCTAGCTGCTGTAGGTGAGTATAGAGCTTTGGCTGGAGCTCCTGAACATAATCCAAAAGAACGAGCGGGCAGGCTCTAGAAACTAAGAGTGATTGTCCGAAGAAGTCTTGTGGCAACAGCTTTTCGATGATCGCCGCAAGCACCCAAAACGCAAGCTCCTCATCTGCATGAACAAGAAGCAGAGTGGAAGCAATGAGGTTCATTCCTTGGCAGTAACCCACGTCCGGATTGCGCCTATAGGATGATTCCTCAGATTGCGAAAATCAATGAGGTGATGGGAACATGCCAACTGTAAGCCTGCAGTACTCGACGCAATTTATTTACACCCACACCATCACCACCGAAGAAAATGTTTGTCGGCACTGTTGATAGTGATGCGTTTCAACAGCTGAATTCTAACAAACGACATTCACATACTCGTTCGCCGCACATCTTTGTCTATCTCGACTAAAGTGGGATGCGGTATTTCACTCCCACGAGTGGAAAGCAATTCCTGAAAAACGCCGGGTTCCGCGATCTCCAGAGCGCCGCTGCACTCTGACCAGATCTTTGCACGGTAGACTAGAGGTACGCCCCCCCGAACCAACCTAGAAAACTCCTTCCATTCTTCCTTGTTGGCTGAAAGGCCCATCTGAGCGACGCCGATAAGACCTTCCGAAGGCAGCAGTTCTTCATCACCGAGTTCCGAAGGTGACGCGCCGAAAAGTACTGCTGCTCCAGAACTTAATAGGTTCCCTTTCGCAGTTCGTTTCCTCTTTTTAAGAAATGTGTCCCACTCAGTTTTTTGAGCAGCCTGTTGCTTGTCATGAAGTTCAGTAAGTCGAGAAATAAGTAATGCAACAGTGCTTCCGCAAGCATGTGTAGGTGTGTCTGTCGGGGGAGCTGAACCATCCTGCGAAGGCTTTAAAGGAGGAACTGAGATAGATGCATCAGATGAGGAAAGCGGTTGAGACGAAACTATAGGTTTTGAAGGTGAGAGTGCCAACGTGGAAGTTACAGTCACAGAACGCTTTCGACCCTGCTTTCTTGGAACGTCTGCCGTTGGTGTTGATCCTGCAGCATCGTCACCAGTCTCAGCAGCAACAGCAGCTTTGGGAGTTTTGATTGGCTTCTGGTTGTTCTCGGACGTTGCTTGCGTGATATCCTTGGCTTTGTGATCTCTCTTATCGTGTAATGCGGACCCGCCACAAATCTCACAATGGCCGCGGACAATTAATATAGAGGTACGTGATGATAATCTAGAGCTGTCATCCGATTGCCAGGTAGCATCGTCAGTTTCCTTGTCTGGTATCTTGACACCGGTTAGGCTTGCAGGGGCCGTGCTGCTCGCTTCTTTCGCTCTTATTAAAAGATTTACGTCATATTGACTAAGATCCTATTGGTGTTAAGAGACATTGGTCATGGTCACTGATATGTGGTAGAAGGCAAGCAACATACATATATGAAGCCATAACGATCCGTCAATGGGTGTTCTCTGCTAGAAAATCTGGTGGCCGAGGCGTTGGCGTATGGGAACGTAGGTCTAAAGTTGGGGGATGAAAGTGATGAACCATGAAGCTTGGCAAGGAGCAGCGTAGGTGGTTGAGATATTTGGGGAATGATTGACTCTAACTCCACGGTCCCGGCCGGTCGCGCGGGTTGGATGACTGGTCCGCCCAAGGCGCTAGACGGAGTATTTGATGCCAAGGTCTCGGCACCATTCGATTTCTTCGCGACCGGTTCCGCGGTACCTTCTGAACTGGTTGTACCCGGCCGAGATGTCACATTTGAACCGCCAAGTCCTGCTGAGTTAACAAGGCGTGTTATTGATGGCGGCAATTTGGCTTTGACTGTGGACTGTCCGTGCCCTCGTGGGCGAGATGCAGACGACGAGGATGCTAAAGCTTTCCCTAATGATTCAGAGGCGGAGGCACCGTGACCACTGCTGGGGCTCAAGATAGCAGTACTGAGGAGAGTTGTATTTAGGTAGGGACCAGGAGATGATGAAATGCTTTTTGGGGGTCGGGCGGCAGTGATATTCAGCCCCTCTTCCCGTGCATTCTTCACTAGCCGAAGCGCGAGCTGAGAGACGACTGGAGAGGTGTTTTGAGCTTGATTAACCAATATACTACTGGGAAGTTCATTTGCAAGGACTCGGGTGGCGTTGAATATCGCATGTAAATGTGGGGGATGTGTCCGCACAGAATGTGTCGAAATTACCGATATATTGTCTGGAACAGAGAAGTGAGATGGTGGATTAATTAGATCAGATAGCGGGGCTTCTGCATGCGTCGTGACTTTGGGAATGGATGGAGATTTGAGTGGGGTAAGAAAAGGGACCACCAATGGTTTGGTGGCTTGAGCTGTGGATGAAACACCCGAGATGCCAGAGAAGCGACTTGATACCGAGGGTGCCCTGCCCCGATGAAGAGCATCATCTAACTGCATTGGCGGAGAGCTAGAGCTCAAGGGTGTCTCAAAAACGTTCATCAGCCCTCCTGCTCGCTCTGCGAGTCTTTGATTTGTAGGATCAACCGATGGCGATACCTGTATACTTGTGCCTGACATATACGACCCCACGTCGGCTGGCACCGGCTTAGGCGTTACGCCCTCTGGCTGAAGAACCTCGGGGGCAGAGCTCTTGGCCTTAGAACGAGTCGTCCACCAAGTTCCCATCCATTGCGAAATACCCTTATTTCCCTTCTGCTTCCCCACCACCTGACGTTCCTTTGGGTCGGGGTCCTCAGCCATATGCGTAGAAAGATTATCAGAGTAAATTGAAGGTGCCCCGTTCCTGGAGGGGTCTCGAAACGAGGACTGAAGCGAGCCATCGCTGTGTACTGATGACACAACGGGCTGTCGATGCGCCAATGGGGCAAAGGTGGCCTCCATAGCTTCTGATATCGACACTCTCATATTCTGAATGAGGGAAGAATAACAGTCGGTATTGCCTTGGCCTCCCAAAAATAGATAGACAACTCACAAGGTCGCCGTCAGCTTTCGAATTTGAAGGGTCCAACCCAGATTCTTCAGTGAATATGCTTTCGAGGACACGACGTGCCACATCCCGCTCTGAGGGTCGGAGATCCCACATGATCTTTTTGACACGTTTTCGTGCTCGTGCTTCACGACCAGCCTCTATATTTTTCAAGGACTGAAGCTCCCCGTAACTTTTATTTAAAGCCTCCACCTTTTCGGACAAAATGCGTATCGCCTCGATCATAACATTAGGAGTGTTTAATAATGCAAGGATGGTGTTATCATCTTGATGGTGCCAAGGGGTACCTAGGATATCAGGTGATGCTGGCGTTTCCGAACGAATTTCTTCAGCATATGCTGATGGAGGAGACGCAGTTGGTTGTTGTTGTGGTGGTGACTTTTCTGACTGAGTAGTGCGCCTCCATGAAACCTCCAGTGCTTCACCACCCAGGGCACCATTAGACGTTTGAGCAGTGGGGACGCTAATGTCACTGCCGTCCCCCCTAATAAGGGACAGTCCGGAGTTCGAATGAGCAAGCTCTGCGACACGAGCTTCAGATTGTGACTTGAGATCGAAGTAACTTGTGATAGGTCGCGTTGTCACCGAATTTGTGGTCCGCGATCTTCCACTCCTGGAAGAAGTCTCAGAAGGTAACAGCGGGTGAGCATGCAGCCTATCTCCCATCGTCCGCGGAGACGATATGAGCGGAGGACGAACAGAATCGCGTGCCCGACAATTGCGACCCGAGTCTAGTTTCGCGTCATCTGACCAGTCCTGAACCAAATGGGACAGCAGGACTCCACTTCGGCTCGACCAAACACGTCTCTGTGTGTGCTATCCCCCTTTGCGTTGTAGAACGAGCGGGTCTAGCATATCGAGTGGGAGGAATTAAAGCAGCGGCGTGCTCGAGACGAAACGAGGCCTCCAGGCCCCAGGCTTGGGGTTGAGTCTAGATCCCAAATTCCTGGCACAGGCATTCCCATCTATTGCCATTATCTCGATCATCGTCTTTCGCCGATTTCACCAATGAGGGGCAAGTTAGGGGAGTATGTCGTCGTCTCTGATATCGCTGAGGGTGCATTGTAAGTTCTCAGACTGTTGTTAGCTCTGCTCTTCTGCTCTCTAATCTAATACAAATCGCCACCACAACAGTGGAAAAGTTAAGCGTACGTCTAGGCTCTTCTAACTGTTCTGCATTTGCGACCCCCTAGTCACGCCGGCAAAGCTAATCCATTCATCTAGTTGCGATTCACACCCTGACGGGTCAGCGAGTCGCGCTCAAGTGTATTCGAAAAGCTACGGTCAATGCCCAGAACCCAAAAGCCAAGACTCGCGTTGCCCGGGAAATCGAATACCTTAAGATCGTCAAACATCCGCACGTCATCAAACTGTGAGTCTTCATTACCCTTGAGGCGGAACGTGGTCGGCCCCGCTGACACATTTCGCGCCTCAGCTATGAAGTTATTAATGTGAATTGTCCTCTTCCGTGTCTTTATCCATTCTAATGCCTTATGCACATTCTCGTCAGACGCCTACAGAAGTCATTCTTGTCACTGAGGTAATTGCCCTTTGCCACGTGTATTTTATTTCATTGTTCGACTGATGAAATCCTTGTCGGTTTTCATGCTTAGTACGCTGGCGGCGAGTTATTTAGGTACATTGTAGAACATCGCTCGATTTCGGAAGAGCAAGCGAGACGCTTCTTCCAACAGATAATGTACGAGGCCCGGATCATTACTTCTCGCCCATCGCTAAGATTGCCCCTCCAATACCAGGATGGCAATTGCGTATTTGCATTCCTTGGGGATTGTCCACCGCGATTTGAAGGTCAGACATTGATGAATGCATTCTGGACGCCATCTCACGAGTAATGCTTTCAATAGCCCGAAAATGTTCTTTTGGACGAGCACACCAATGATGTGAAAATAGCCGATTTCGGTTTAAGGTAAATGCTGGACCGATGAGGCGCATGGGCATCTCGCTTATTTCCGAGGATCAGTAATGTTATCACCGACGGGGATTTCCTTCGGACGTGGTGTGGAAGTGCCAATTATGCTGCTCCAGAGGTGAAAGGAGATAATATCAGTTCAGTTAAACACCAACCCACACTAATCGTACAGGTTATTAGCAATCACCCTTACCCAGGTCCGGAGATTGATGTCTGGAGTGCTGGCGTTATGCTGTATTTGTTAGTGTGTGGGCGTTTGCCATTCGAGGACGACCATACCCCCACCCTTTACCAGAAAATTCAGCATGGGGTAAGGATGTCATTGTCAAACTTGGCGCTATCGTTCAACCTTGCACATGAAAGGCATACGAAATTCCTAGCTGGCTATCACCCGAACCAAGATGGTTGATATCTCGGATGCTTGTCGTCGACCCTCTAAAGCGTATCACGGTTCCAGAGATACTGGCTTATCCATGGACGAACCGTGGTTTGCCAAAATATTTGTTGAAGACTGTGGCAGACCTCGCACCCCCGGCTGTGGTTGGCACGATCAGTTCGGTCATTGCGAAGACTCAGGATGAAACAATTGTCGAAGGTCTAGGCAAAGTGGATCAACCCATTATCCTGGAGCTCGCTGACGCCATAGGAGTGGTGAGTTCCTCAACATTAACACATCTAGATGTTATGATGATACATTTCCTTTCAGAATGCGGATGAAGTGATGGGGGCATTGCATTTGGATGGCGAGAATGCGGTCAAAGTCGCGTATATGATATCTAAAGATCAGAAGCGATCAGGCCGAGAACGTACGCTATGGACGGTGCAGAAAGACTCTGATCCTAACCCCACTTTCATTTTAGTCGCCCCTATCGAGGAAGAAAGGGACGGGCACAAGAAGAAGCAGAAGATGCTGGAAAAGGCAACTACTGTGGTAAGTACCAAATATTTTTCCGGTCCTGGCCACCGTCTGAGATAATCCCTGCAGATACCCACGGGTGTCTCTGGCCTGTTGAACACTCAAGCTGCAGGGGCCGGTGTTTTCGTTGATGACCTCGTGGCGGAGAATAGTCAGGAAGAATCCGAGGACGACCCCATTGACGCTGAATTCGATTGGAACGATGAGAATGAACAGAATCATTTCGAGCTGCTTGACAGTAGTCTTGTCTGGGATGGACGAGTTGATGAGCATGGTCGCCCTATCAAGCCAGACCACGTTCTCTTACTATACGAACGCAGCCGTTCTTCCAGAGGAAGGGTTCACACGCGGGCCGTGCGCGGCAGCTCCACTGGGACTCCTCCTGCCCAATCTGGACAATTGACACCCATATTTAATTCCAGACCCGCCCAGCCTCATTCGGCAACAGCATCTCGGACAAAGATCCGTCCACCTAGGTGGAATTGGGGAATTCGATCTAGCAGTCCGCCAATGGAAATCACGTACGAGCTGTACAAAAGCTTGCAGCATCTTGGTGCTGAATGGAGAGAGAAACGCCATCCATGGTATATTTGATTTCTTTCAAGATGGATGCCAATGTTTGATGAATTCCATAGGTCATCGACACAATTGCCGTACATGCCCCTGGACTACGATGATATCACACCAAACAACGATATCTTTCTCGTCGAAACTCGCTGGAAGTTGAGGGGTTATTACGTACGTATATCCTATTCAAGCTGCGCTGACTTCTCGTCTTATCTTTTCCTGGTGTATCTCCACAGATTCGCATAGACATTCAATTGTACGAAGTGCATGCTTCAAATTATCTCCTTGATTTCCGAAATGTCGGGCACATGCCAATTCCGTCTTCGAGGAGCCCCGATGATGGCAACCGCCTGAACGACGCTCTCTACAAGGTTGCTAATCCTTTCCTCTTCTTGGAATGCACCTGCAAGATCATATCCCACCTTGCTGAAGGAGCCTAGTCCTTCCTTGTCCCCGCATACTACTGCCTGCTCCACTCGCTGAGTAGGACAGGCCCCATGGTATCCACCCATCTGGACTTTGCATCCCGTCACACTTTCATGATTGAAATTCTCTGAGTCCTTTGCACTCATCCGGGGTCTAGAAGGGCTATACAAGGATGGGATATATATTTAGATAGACTTTACCCACATGTTGCTTGTTATACCTTTCATGTACTCGGATATATATGTCGACGCTGTTCTTGTGCGAATTATTCAGTGATATCGCTTCTCTAGACACACCAAACTCGATCGTGCCTGGCTTCACCGATTTGATCGCGCCACGACCGCTGCCTCATATGCACAGGCCAACTAAGCGAGAGTAGGCACCTGCAACAACGAATATCCCATCTAACAGTTTTAATAGTTACTTATATAGTCGGCATTCTCGAAGCACCAGACGTTGGCCCCGTATCATCCCTCATTTGGTTTGACCGCGATGTGCGGTGACGGCGGTGGCCGAGACTGGCATTCCAATCATCACCAATCCAGACACCCTGTCAGTGGGTTTACAGAATCTGCATGGTTGCTTAGATGAGTGTGTCACCCACACAGTTCTGTTCTGACGTTTGGCACATCAAGTAACGGACGATGCCAAAGGAGTTTAGCTTTAGAGCATAGATTACGATGATAGACACAATTGTGAGATACCCAGTTTACAACTCCGCCTTGATATGCTGCTGCACCTCCTCGGCCTCCTCGGAGTATCCTGCTCAAGGAAGGCAGCGAGGATATTAGCCTTAACTTTAATCTCGTCAAGCTTCTTCGAAGAGAGTGTCTTCTTTTCGAGAATAGTTGCCAACCTGGATCAAGTTGGATTGGCAAGGCTGACATAAAAGCTTGCACTAATCACTCACCGCTTGGCTTCTTTCGAAACGTAATCCTCAGTGCTGTTGACCAACTTTTTCATTACACGAAGATAATAATCGGCGGAAGAACCGAGAGCCTTGCTGAGAACAACTGCTTCATCGTAGATCTGCGATCTCGAGGCCGGGACGACAGCGTAAATTCGTGAAGCGAGTATATCCAGCGCAGCGACGCGCCCAGCCTACACCATGTACATGAATGCAAAGGTAGAAATGTGGCAAGAATGATACGTACAGCATCGTTGAGGCCACCGTCAACAGCGCGGTGGGTCCCGCAGTGCTTGTTGAGGAACTCGGTAAAATCGGCCTCGCTTCTTCCAATCTCGTACGCCAAAGGAGTTTGTTCAACACCCTTGGGGAAGAATTTGATCGTAGGGAATCCACTAACGCCGTATTCTTGTGCGAGGGGTTTGGTTTCAGGGGTATCAGCGTCGAGGTCGGCAACGATGCATTCCTCCTCGTTCTCAAAGTTTTTCGCAACTTTAAAATGAAGAAAGTCAGGATGATAGGTAATGCACATACAAGATACGTACCCTTCTCCAAAGTGGGTTTCATGGCCTTACAATGCCCACACCATGAGGCAGTGAAAGCTACACAATTTCTCTGTGGGACCGGCTGATGCGGAGCGTCCCTCCCAACTCACCGACAAGTGCATTCTTCGTGGGATCCAACGCGATCTTCTTGAAAGACGTAAGGTCAAGCTGCCTAGTTGCCTTCTTTGGCTCAGGCTTTTTCTTGTACTTGAGGCCACTTTTGCGGGCAATACTGGTGAAGGTGAGATTCGTTGGTTGCAGAAAACGAGCACAAATGCGACCCTACAAATCACCCAAGGCATCAAGGTCCTTCCTCCATCGTATTCTTCCGGTTCAGAATTGGCTCCTCCGGGGAACCACTTCAAAGCTGACTTATATGAGTTGGGTGCTTATAATTTTGCAAGGTGACCTAGCTAAACTCACTGGGAAAACCCGTAACGCCGTACTTCTGGCCAAGTTCTTTTCCTTCACCATCCGCATCAACCTTGACAATCTTTACCTTATCCTATATTGTAACCGAGATGCATCAAAAGCCAAATATGTCTGAAGTCATTGATTACTACCTTTGAACTGCTAAACGCATCGGCAAGCTGCTCGTATATTGGAGCCAAGTTCTGGAGTAGTACTTAGAGTATGCACTTCGCAAAACATAACATGCTTACCTTGCAGTGGCCGCTGAAATAAAGTATTAGCAGCGTCATCACTTATCAACGCGGTGCTTGACAAATATTCACGCACCACCAAGGGGCATAACTGTGTTAATGTACAGCGAGAAGCTCAAAGTTTAGCGCATCGAACGCGAATCTGATGCTTAGGACCTACAATTCGACCAATGAAGGTGTGTCTCCGAGCAGCGAGGAAAATGTCTTTGCATCTGCTTCAAGGACATTGGAGGCGAATGCTGCAAGTGGCCCAACAGCCAAGGCCAGTACGATAGAAGAAAGATGCATAATAGTCCAAGAGAAGAAAAGGACGTTTGTAATGCTTGTCGACGTGGAGCTTTACTTAGCAATTTAAATTGTGCACAGCATGTGACCTCCACATCTTCCAATATCAAATTTCCTTGCTCAGCGACCTGACACTCGGAGAATCCTGACTAATTTACCTACGATATAAGGTCCTGTTGTTAGCTAGAATCGTTTGCTTCCCTACGTTTCTCCTTATTCATCGAAATGTCATCAAATCTTGAACACCCGTCAGATCCCTCCATGGAGGATGAAAGTAGCAGCGATGAAGAACACTTCATCGATCCGAGTGATATACTGGCTGTGGATGAAGGAGAAGGCGATGGCGATGTTCCGATGGATGACGCAGACGATGACGAACATGACCCCGGCTCCCCTTCCCTTCAGCAGAGCATACAAGACAATGTCATATTCGAAGATAACTCGATCCAACAATTCCCTAACCACCAAAAGTCCGTCTTTTCCATTTCAGTCCATCCAACGCTGCCGATTGCCGCCTCGGGTGGCCAGGACGACTTAGGATATCTGTGGAACTTCCAGAACGGCGAGTTAATTGCACGGCTTTCCGGCCACACCGACAGCGTCTCGAAAACTGCCTTCAGTTTTGATGGGACACTAGTGGCTACTGGGGGTATGGATGGGAAAGTCAGACTATGGCGTCTATTATCAGGCGATCCATCTCCCAAGCATTGGGAGTTTCTGACTGAAATTAATGGTCCGGACGAAGTTTTGGTACGTGGATAATTGCACACCCATCGACGCACAAAATCTTGATGGCCCAATAGTGGCTAGAATGGCATCCTAAAGGAAGTGTGCTACTCGCTGGGTCTGGCGATGGCACAGTCTGGATGTGGCAATGTAGGAACCAAATTTGACATCATCCTCATTAGCTGACAATTTGAACCACCAGTACCCTCAGGGAATGTCATGCAAGTATTTGCTGGCCACGAATCCTCGGTTCAAGCCGGTGGTTTTACCCCAGATGGGAAGAAGATCGTCAGCGTCGATGCTAGTGGAAATCTTATTCTGTGGGACCCACGGTCACCCGCTCCGGTGTGGAAGCTCAATGAAGCCGCAGACGGCCGATTCTCATTCGATGGAGGGATTACATCTGTTAGTGCCAATCCATCTTCGACGCTGGCTGTTGTCGGAGGTGCCGACGGAATCGTCCGAGTCGTTAATCTCGCGAAAGGAAGTGTTATTGGTGCATTAGAAGGGCACCAAAAGGATGAAAGCGTTGAAGCCATCACCTTCCTAGATTTTGGCAGTGCCTCTGTTGGACAAGGATCTGGCATCGTGGCAACAGGTGGAACCGATGGGAAGATTTGTATTTGGGACTTGACAACAATGAAAATACGAACAACATTGGAGCACGAGGTATGTTCCAGGGTTTTTTGAATAACTTTCGTTCTCTAAATGATTCAAAATTCAGAGCTCTGTTACCAAATTGCTCACGCACCCAGTACCTCATGGGCATCTGCTCACGTCGGCGTCGGCAGACACCACACTTAAGACTTGGGATGCTAGAGCAGGAAAGCTTTTACGTCACCATGTTGGCCACCAAGGACCCGTATTTGACGCTGCGTTGGGTTTGGGTGGGACGGTGGTTGTGAGTGCAGGCGATGACGGCATTTGCTTGGTGTTTGGCACGGATCAACCGTGATGTATGTGAGGCAAGCGGATAGCCTGGCATCTGGCGCGGCGTCGATAATGCGTATAAATCGCCCCTTAGACGTAGTTATGGTATACTTAGTTCGTCGCCCTTTTTGGGCTTGACCCAAAAAGGAAGCGTAATCAGCACAGCCTCATGCATTCCTAATCCCAGCCAAATCTCAGCGAGGCCAAAAGACGCTGAAAGGGTTTCCGGACTCTACCACTTGTCGCAAGCAGCCACAGGAATTATCAACAGCAGTTGGATGCCCTACTAAAAACATACCTTAAGTGATGGATCGCCCAACTAATCAACCCGAGGGCTCCTCACAGCGGAACTCCTTCACGTACATTCTTTTGATAACATGGATTGTTTTCATGACCAGCGGCTTTGGGGAGGATGTGACTACGCGGAGAGACTTGGGTAAGCATAACGAAAGCTGATACTCTCGTCCGTATACTGACAGTTGCGTGTTCGAACGCAAATGGAAAGAGGATATCCTGGATAGGATGGAGGACAGGATATCAAACTACTCAGCTTGGCTGAATGGAACGAGTTCGAATTTTACTCTGGTTAGCTCCAAAACTGCTCTACGCCTGGCCACAGCGTTCATTTTACGCCTTCTCACAGACACCCGAACCTCCTACTCTTACACCCCTGCTAAATAATATGTTACCGCCCATCGATATCCCGGACCCCAGAACTCATTCATATTATCGTAACATCACTGGATTTATTGAAGGAAAGACCAAGGCTTATAATCTAAGTGACAAACATCTTGGATCGTCCTGGGCACCATTTGCTGTGCCATTCGCCAATTCACTCAATACTACAGAGACACAAGCAAACATCGGTCTATGGAATATCTCCGAGGCGAAGAAACTTTCTGCGAACGTGAGAGAGTATGGCGCGTTGACCTCAAATAACATCCACTTCCTTCGAGTCAGTCTGGGATTCATGTTGCACAAGCCTGCGCTAATCGTTAACTAGGGCACAGTGGATTTTGCGGATAGGGACTCCAGTAGGATTGTCAAGTACGAACTTGACGCAGTACACGTATTAGAAACTGGGACGTTGTACGGTTTTGCGAAGAAGTTGGGGTATGCATCAACTGGCGCTGGACCGCACAGTTCCTGCTTCTAACATCATGCTAGGAGTCGAACGGATATCCGTCATGTGTCGGCCTTGGTCCCTGAGAGATATAGGAATGAAACCGCGCAAGCGGTCCTTTCGGAGCTCGAGCAAAGACGAAGGAGACTGAAGGCATTTCTACAATCTGGACAATCCGTTGACTCCGACGCATCTCGTAAGTGGAGCGCATATAGCGGGGCAGCTGGTTTCAATCTCTTCATCAAAAGCAGACTCTGAGACCAAGCGTGGATATTGCTCATACATTTTCCGTGCTCAGCTGTTTCCTACCCCAGCACCTCAAAATTTGTTACGGGAATTCGAAGAAGAGATCATGCAACCTACTGGTCAACAAACTATTCAGGCTGAACCCGCCGAACTGGATGCGGTTTTCGTTAGCCATGACTGTGGTGTGCTCGTCGAGATGAAGAAGGGAACTACACTCAGGTAGCATGCGTCTGGTTCCAACTGAAGAAAAAATACTAAGCGGAAAGACCTGTAGATCTGATACCTTCTGGAGGAAGTCCGTTACATGTATGTCTTCATATCGTTATCTGCGCAATGCCCTAACCCTTCCAGATTCTTCGGTTGCGTTTTGCCTGTACCTTGTCATTGCATATTCCCTTGCAAATCAAATCGAGTGGACGCGCACCCCCGCTTCAATTTCTCGCGTTTCAAGATGGCCGTTTGTTATCCAAGCTCTGGCCGACCTTTACGCTTTCCTCCTGGTAATTAGATGACTTGCTCTTCATCGTCGGTGCTTACACTTACTTTAGCACATGACCATCGGGGTGACATCGAATAATCGTGCATCTCTTTCGTTGATAGCACCAGGTTTCGTGGCAGCTGTTCTATTCTTTGTTTTGGAGGTGGTATGTGACAACAAACTCTGAGATCCTGACGTATTCATCCTAACGTCTAGTAGCGTTATGCGGTTCTTATTCATCGCATTCAAGCTCCAGAAGATGCAGCCGCTGCCGCCGCACGACCGTCCCCTCCCCCTCCTACGCCCGCGGCCGCCGCAGCAACAGCAGCAATTAACCGTCGTCAGACAGCTGCGTCAGCTCCGCAAGTTGCTTCATTGCCAACCAGAACCCCTGAAGAGCCCGCCCGAACAACGCCTCGATTTCCACTCCTGCATATAATTGTAAATGTTATTAGCGAACCACTGATGGCCGGCTGTAAGTCTGACTGCAAAGATAGATGACCGATCCCCCTTGTATTAACCATTGTTGCAATATACATCTGTTGTTACAGGGATATCGATGATTCTGTCTATCATCATTCTGTTGCAGCTCATGGTCAATCCAAAGCTCATACTGGGTGTTCTGTACGCGTTCCATTCATTTTGGATACCTCAAATCGTCAGAAATGCAAAAAGGGGCACAAGGAGAGCATTACGGAAGAGATATGTTTTAACTACTACAGTCTGCCGCGCCTTCTTCCCTTTATGTGAGTTCTTCCCTTACAAATGAAGTCGACGCTTACACTACATAACTCGAAGATGCTCTCGCATGTCCGAAGAATGTGTTATTTTTCGATACAGATTGTAAGTTGCGCTTTGGGCCCCGGGGTCCCCATTGGCTGATTGCATTCTAGATCGGGTCTGGACCCCGATCGCCTGGATGATCGTTCAGGTTGGCATCCTCTTCGGTCAGGAATATTTGGGTCCAGCATTTTTCTTGCCCGTCGGTGTAAGTGCTATGGGTATTTCTGTAACCGTCCATCATTAATGATAGGATTGGACGTATAGTGGGAGCCTGCTAAGACGTACGATTACCACGCTGTCATCCCACTGCCCGATCCTGAGACGCCCGATCAAGCTCAAGCGCTCGGAGATTGCTCGGTTTGTTTGGAACCAATCGTGCACCAACCACCAGACGCGTCTCGCTCCGATAAAGAGAAAGACCTGGGCACCACTAGCCTCCTTGGGACCTCGTTGAGACTATACAGTATCGCACCTTGTCATCATATGTTTCACACTGCTTGCCTTGAGAAATGGTTGGGTGTGAAGAACATATGTCCCGTTTGTAGGAGGCATCTTCCGCCATTGTAATCCAATTTCTTCACTCACTGACATCGCGCCACACCTTGAGGGTAGCTTGCCGGGGAGAGGGAAGGCGAAGGTTCCGAGTCCAATCTGCCCTTGAATGGGAAATAACCAGGAAGAACTCGAGGACAGCTGTTCTATGAGCCGGATTAGGTGAGAGGATTAACTGAGCAGCGGAAGAAGAGATGCAAGGGAGTGTCTAAGACATGTTGGTTCCCTCGCGGTCCCCAAGCCTCCCATGTGCATGATCACCTCAGGGTGGGCTTGCTCGTTCCCAACATGAATGAAAGTATGAAGAAGCGACAGCTAGCTTAGAAGAGAAAAACAGCCGGATATCAGAAACAGAAGCGACCTTTCTTTCTTGATTGAAGAGCACTGAATGCTTGCGGTACGTGTGTTTGTGTATGATCACGGGCCGAAGATTGGTGACCGAAGACTTCGATCGCCCATCATCCACGTTCACAAATCAATGAAGGAACGGGCATCCTAACTTCCCCTACATATAGGGGATTACGAAGTTCGGACCGGGACAAGGTGGAATCCCTTCGTTTCGTTGTGTCGTTACAGGCATGCGAACCTTTGAGCTCGACATTTTTTGAGGTGTTCGGATTGCTAGCTGGGAGGACGACACGTACGTTGTGGCTGGCGTGCACACCAGTGCCAGCCCTCTTGTAAACCAGCTTACAAATCCACCGAAGAGAGTGGACACAGCAGTTAATTGTGCAAGCGATATCTTTGTCAGCTGCAGTATAAACCCACGCTCACACCGCCCTCCCACGCCTAGACTTTGTGCGAGTCAGCGAGGTCCTCCGGAGGGGCCCCTTTAAATTGTTTGACTGATGGAAGCCAGCTAAAGCCGCTTGCTCATTCCCATGGATGGACTCAGGCTGCCGGGGTCAATGTCAGTCTAGGAAGGGCCGGCAGTTGTGTCGACTCGAAGGCACCATAATCCTGCCAGTCCGGTGAAGGCCGTATCTGATCAGAGCGGCGTCCCTTATGTTCGTTCGCACTGCTAGGAAAGATGTATAGGCCCCGCCGCACTTTACCCCTAATCACAAAGAAGAGTAATTAGTTGGACTTCAGCCCAAAAGGAAAAGGATCTTGAAACTAGCTAGCAGTGGTCGCTTGCGACGTGGCCTAATTGCAATTGATCGGTGCTGCGACCCAGATCAGGACAGTGCCCACTTTTTCCTGGACAAATGTGACAAGGTCTTCGTTCTTCCGTATACAACCGATGAAAAACGTCGTTACGATTATCTTTTTCTTGCTCGGTAGGTCAGCAGGTCGTGCAAAAAAGCGTTCATGAGTAGCGTGGCGATCTGAGCTTCAGTTATAGGTCGGAAGTGGTGCAAGTCACCAAGCCCTGACATACACTGGCTGTTGCATGAACCGAGATTCGAATTATGTGCCAATGAGGTGCAAATGCTTCATGCACAATCAGTTGATGAAATGTTGCAATTTGCGGGAGAATTGGTCTCGGCCTCATGCTTGTTTTCGACTGTATGATACATTTCCATCGGTTCTGGTCTTGAATCGCGCACTTCTCTGTCCCTAAGGGTTTTGCTTCGCACGTTCGCGCGCGGCGGAAGGTCGTGCATTCCTCTCCATACTTTCTTTGGAATCCCAAGTTGCCACCACGCGCGTCTTGCGTCTTCGATCATTTTGGGAACGGAAATTAACAAACGTACAAATACTATGAAAAGTGGAATGGAGCCGCTGCGGTTCTAATGGTCCAAGTGCGGGCACCCATGCTTATTTTAGATCAATCCCTTCTCACCAGATCGGCGGCTGGACCGCGTAGGGTCATTCCTGTGTTCGGGATGATGGGTTGGCGGTTAAGTAAGCTAGACTGATATCGCGACAAAGGTTGCCTCCTCTCGCGACGTCTCTCCTCCATGGTGGTCGCACCGGTGGTCTGGACTTAAATTTTCAAAATCATGCTGGCGCACATTCGACCCGACTGCATGCTATTGTCCGAAGGTACTGCCTTTTTGGGCTGCCCGCGACCCGTAAATTCGTTCCTCTTTGGGATTCTTGAGAACAAACAACCTGGGTTCCCTCCAGGTGAACGTGTTCGATGGGTTTATCGGGGAGTCGATATAAATGAGTTCACTTCTAACACCCTATTCAATGCGCAGTCAAGACTTGCAAGCGAATAGCACGTAGATCTCAGACAGCTTTTCCGCGTTTGCCTCTCATTCTAGGATGGAGCTGGGGGGGAAGCATCCACCCTCAACGGGCTGCAGATAAAAAAGTTTTCCCCGTGGTTGGAATTCATGATCAGCAAATCCGGTCCCAATCGGCGATCATCAAAACAACGGTTCATGAGTATCCCTATACAAGTTCCCTAGGCTTGCGCTGCTGGAGAGAAGTTGTTCCTTTCTAAGCTTCCTTTGGGTGTGTTACATACTTTAAGACTCATCGCTGGAACCTGGTTTTACGCGCTCTTCTGTAATGAGAATGAGTTACCGAACATGAAATGTGTGTAAAAACGTCAGAATGACAAAGACAAAACAACAAAACAGCACTTGAATCGGATGCCTACGGTTCCTATTCATGGGCAACTTGGCTTGGTGCCCCCTTGCACATCCGTACATATGCCCGTAGCAGTGGTTTGGTGCGGGATACGAGTTAGGAAATTTGCTCATGGTCGCGTTGAACATTGATCTGCTTGCCATACACGCTAGACGCGATGAATTCGGCCACACAGTTCAATGGTCCGTTCGAATTAAGAAATTAAATCAGGCGCATGAAAAAAAGAAGAGAACACAAGGTCGGCAACCTAAGGTCAGAGCCGTAGTCACGAGATTCCCCAGCTGATCGCCCGGTTAATTCGCCTCCGACATCCGTCAAGGTCCCCAACCTTCTTGTTTGCTCCTTCACTTATATTGTGTTTCGTCTTTTTAGCTATCTCCTGTGGCTAGCTAACCCCCTTCAGCGTCAACACATGACTGTCTACTCATCGCCTTACCCATCCGTCGCAGTCCCCCGCACCTCCATCTTCAATTTCGTGTTTCCCAAAGATGATCATCATCTGGAGGACATTGCTTTTGTCGATGCCATCTCGGGGAAATCATATACTCGCGCCCAAACTCAGGCGCGTGCTCGCATGGTCGCCTTTGGACTGCGTAATGGCATGGAACGCAAGGGACTCATGAATGTTTCTCGACGCAGAACAGCCCTAGTCTTCAGTCCTAATTGCTTAGAACTTCCGCTGATCATCCTAGGGGCGCTTGCCGGCGGTATCGTAGTATCCATGGCAAGTAGCAATAATACTGCCGGGGAACTTGCCTATCAAATTGGGGACTGCAGTCCAACCCACATTCTTGTACACCCCACGTTACTGTCCACTACCCTCTCTGCCTTCGAAATTTTAAAAGTTCCGAAGGAGAACGTTGCGCGTCGGGTGCTGCTGATTGCCTCCGCAGATGAAATGACGCCCGAAATCCGATCCAAGGGATTCCTATGTATCGACGATGTCATATGGGACAAGAAACAATTGTGGCCAGAAGGCTTTGAAGGAGAGATGGCGGATATGACGGCTATGATATTCTACTCGTCTGGGACAACTGGTACGCACCCACTCGCGGCGCTTATTGAAGTTGACTTCAAATATCATCTTTTGTTTGGCTCAGGCCTGCCGAAGGGGACAGAGTTGTCACACTACAACATCGTTTCTGCCATATATTCCCTCCAGGTCCCAGATCGATACACCGGGGTTCCTGGAAAAGATGCGGTCGCTGGCGTCCTGCCGTTCTATCACATCTACGGATGTGTCATGCTGGTATTCGACCCATTAACGTACAAAATCCCGTCTATCGTTATCCCCAGGTTCATTCCCGAAGTCTTCCTCTCTACCATCCAAAAGTACCGTCCTTCAGTGAGCACCATCTTTTTTGACTTATCGGATCACGCGCTTTGTCAGCTCAACAGGTGAAATATTAATATTTTTCAAGTTGGTCTTTATTGCACCGCCTGTAGCAGTGTTCCTTGCGAACTCGCCATTGGTGGAAAAGTATGATCTTTCAAGTGTCCAAAAAATAACATCGGCCGCTGCTCCGTTACCAGTATCCGTGAACAAGCTCGCCGCCGAGCGACTGAAAAGAGCTGGCGTCAGCAACCCAAGGTTACTACAGGGGTACGGCATGACTGAACTCAGTATGTGGCTCTGATCATATGCACAGCCTTTCCGCCATGCTTATGTGACTTTCTGTTTCAAGGTCCGGCCGTTACTGACACGCCACATAACCGAACGGACAAGCCGTCATCTGTTGGGAAGCTGTTGAGGAATTTGGAGGCACGCTTGGTAGATGATGAAGGCAGGGATGTTGCTCCGGGGCAGCTGGGCGAATTGTGGGTTCGGTAAGCTGTCATCGATCGATTCGTAACGGGACTTGTTCTTATTTTTGTTTCATCCTCAGTGGACCGAACGTGATGAGGTATGATCCGTAGCAATTGGATTGTTTCTGCCGAACATAACTGCAGCGCTGCGCTCTTCTTAGGGGGTACTTGAACAAGCCGCATGCGACTCGTTCCGCTATAACACCTGATCGCTGGTATAAATCCGGTGATATCGCTAGGCGTGACGAGGAAGGCTTCTTCTACATATTGGATCGGAAGAAGGAACTCATCAAATACAAGGGTTATGCTGGTGAGTTGCATCTCCTTCAGCACCATGGATTCCGGTGTATTTATTGTGCGGTACAGTGGCTCCTGCCGAGATTGAGGACGTCATTTGTGCGCATCCCAGCATCCGGGATTGTGCCGTAGTTGGTCTTCCGGTCCCGGGATCTGGAGAGGAGCTTCCGAGGTATGTGAACAATTACCCCGATCGTGAACTGAACTAAAATGATTCCGGGCGGGCCAGAGCGTATGTTGTCCCTCGGGACGGCTCGGTGGTGGATTTACCCGGTGCACCATTGTCGACGGAGCTGAATCAATGGGTGAAGGAGCGGTTGGCTCCGTACAAGCAGCTCCGTGGTGGTACGTCTTTTCCGCGTGTCCTCCCTGTGGTGAAGGCGTAATCAGAGTTTTTTGACTTTTCTTTATTTTTTTCCCCAGGGATTGTCTTCATACAGGAAATCCCAAATCTCCTGCTGGGAAAGTTCTTCGAAGAGTTCTGAAAGAGAGAGCCATCAAAGAAACGGAACAGCCCGGCGCAAGACTTTGATTGTCCGAAATGCGTTTCTTCCAGTTCATCTTCCTTCTCCCTTTCCCCCCCCATTCCTATGTCTGTAATTGACTACTATGGAGTGTGGGATTAAATTTCCTAGTCGCACATATCGACGAATTTGATGATGTTGGGAACCACCAGAAACGTGATTTAGTGTGTCGCTGTTGCCGTAGTTGTTGCCTTCTCATGTTTCCCGTCCTTCTATCGACTCTGGCTACCTCCTCCTTTCGTATTGAGGCTTATCGTGATGTAATATCCATGTCGGGCACTAGATGCACTTGTGTAGGCATGGGTGGAAATTTTAAAAAACCAAGATTTTCGCTGGGGACTTGAGCGGCCAACATGGGGAAGCAGCGAAATTCGATTCCGACGTCCCTCCTTGACTCAGCGTTTCCCTGTAGATAATTTTGGGGACGGATGTGTTTATCTTTGAACGTCGGGTGGGCCTGATACGGGAGGATTTAATTAGAGAGTTTTGGCATCCATCTTTCCTTCAAAGGGGTTCCTTCCGTAGAAATAGGAGTTGAAGACGATGTTGAGGCATTGCGGTGCCTCTGGAACCGAAGCTGTACTTGTGCACGCTGCATCAACGGGTTGTGCTAGATTAAGGTGCCACGGCGAAACCACTCAGCCGTTTTCGGGGGTTTGTTGCCCATCTGAATGCACACTTCACATTGTTATCAATCAATCACAAAACTCAAGAATGCATGCGCAATGAGCGCTCTTTATTGTTCCACGACGTCATGCAGCCCATGTCTGGATTTCCCTCTGAGCCTCCTCCAAGCGCCTCAGTCTCTCCTGAAGCGTCCTAAGATGCGCTGCCACATGTGGAGGCAGTGCGAAGTACTCTCTGCAACGATCCTCGTCAGTTGCATTGAGCCGCCGTATCAGCCTTGCGATCAACTCTTCCCCGAAGCCTCGAACGTAGTCCATATCGATCGCCAGGGAAATATAGTCGTCAAACCGTTTGAATGCAACTGATAGGTTGCGCACAACATAACGGTAAGTTTCCTGGGTTTCTAAAATGAGGCCTAGACCTCACCTTGCCAGTACGCTCGAACATCTGACATGATTTCAATAGCTTCATCGGCGGAATCGCTAGGCAAGAGCTTAAGCACGTCTTCAACGCTACTTGGCAGACCAAAGTCCGTGAGGGCACGGAGGAGAGCATCGCGTTTGTCTCGCTCGCTGGGAGCAGGCACAGACCCTTCTGCATAGAAGCGACCATTGTATGGCTTGGAATCCTGGAAGCATTAGGAATGATTGGGACGCGCTCCTCTGCTTCATAAACCTCCATGGGGCCTGACTCTACCCCTGCATGACTCTCAGGGTGCAGTAACTTACGGATTGCATCGGAGTAACTAGTAGCCCTCTTACGTCGAAGGCTTTTGTACTTCTCTTCGAATTTGACCCTATAATTCTCCAGGTAATTTGTGTTGAGAGTAAATGTGGCCGTCTCCTCCACTTTGCGCATCCACTCTATCTTGGCTGCAGTCACTGCACGGCAAGCCGAGCGCTGATCGCTTAGTGCAATGCTTACATATTTGGGTTAGGCTCAAACTAGGAATCACGGGCCGACGGAAATCACTCACTTGACGGCCTGAAAGAGTGTCAGGAACTGATCAAATTGGTTGTGAACAATTGGATCGAAATGCTCCTCGACAGTGCTCTGCACCCTGCTAAACAGTGTTTCACATGGTTCTCTCCACCTGAGGATAGACCGGCGAATAAGCTCCCGTTTGACTGCGAAAGGTACATTCTTGGGCAATTCACGCGATATAGACCTGGAACGTATTCGGATTCATCGCCTAGCTCTAAAGAGAAACTTCAACAGAGCAACTCACTCCTCCGCAATTCTCTTGACTTCGTCGAGATAGATGATCGGAAGCGTACCCTTGTCACCTAAATCCCTTTCTTGCTCATCGAGAAACTCAATGAAGGGAACCTCACGAGCTTCACGCGATCCTTTGTCGAAAGGTACAAAGCGCGGTGCAGTACCGCGTAGCTCGTTCCGGAAGTCGATAAGGTGACGCCTAATTTTTTGAATGAGACCTTCAGATGATGGCGTGCCTTCAATTTCGACCTGCACACTTCTGCAAAATTCGCCAAGCATCTTAAGAAGCGTATTGACGGGGTCGTCGCTGTGGTCGACGGGAAGCGCTTTTATCTCTGCTTCGGTTTCCAAGATTTTTTCTGAAATTTGGGCTTGGATATCTGGCAGGCTAGATGAACAGGGGATACATATCAGACAATGCGTCAAGGAGCCCTTCATGGATTAATTATGAAACTTACTTTCCAGCAATTGCTTCCGATAACACCTCGCTGAGCCGCTCCACCAAGCTCTCCACGGTGAGTCGTGGCTGCACATCATGCATAGATGACCACGGCGGCTGCCCAAAAAACTGGTTCTCCCTTTCCCGGGCTTCAGCTCTACTGATGCGGTTGCGCAGATCCTCTGGTCCAGGCAGTTTGACACAAAACCATTCATGTTCAAGATGCTCTCTCTCATTTCGTAAGAGGGAAAACCATGGACCCTCGTTCCCGGGCTCAATTCGGTCGGGCTTGGTGAGAACACCTGTATTGGTCGACGCTCACTGAACGTGTTAGAGGCATGTTGTATAATCCAGAGACACACCAATAGTGCGAACGCCCTGCGGATCGTGGTTCTTGTCGATCTGCCACGCACCCTGATTTTCGAAGTCGGCTACGCAAAGAAGTGCACTATGAGTGAAATACAGAGGCGGGGCATACAACAAAGATACTAACTATCGCATGTTACCGCAAGGAGGACAATACTTTTCTGAATGGAAACGTAGCGGGTCGCAAGACTCTTGACATTCTCAATGTCGGACTGATGGCCCCCGCTGCCAACACTCGCAATAATGCCTCATGACAGTAAATCAGCCTTACGAACAAGCGACCGCCTGTCATTGCCAGTAGAACTCACCTGGGAGGTCGACGAAGGACAAGTCGACGACGTCCGGTCCCTTGATGGTCATGCTAATGAAATTATGTGAAAATGAAACGGTCCTGGCATTGGGAGCCCTTTCGTTATTGAGAAAGGAATCTGGGAAATTTGGGTCATCTAATGCGGGACTCAATATGGCTTCCTGGGCTCGTCTGAGCCTGTCTTCGACATCTGCTGGGTTAGTGATCTCTGCGCCAAATGGGATTCTACGGTGGGACGCCAGTTGCTGGCCCTGACCATCATACTGAAATCGGAGGCAGATCTCACAGGACCAAGGGCCATCTGTCTGAATTAGAATGCACTCAGTAGGACACCTAGGAGAACCATGAGTAAGTCTCGTGGGAGTTACACGATTCTGAGTTCACCTTGTGCATGTGCCCGATGCTCTTGGAAGGGGGACCTTGGTAAAAACGCGTGACCTCATGGGCAACGGTGGAAGGATGTGTGCACGTACACCTGAGATCGCCTCGATGAGAGATGATTTCCCAGCCGACTGGGATCCAAGAACGCATATCTGGGGGAGCGCTATGTCTGTGTTGATCCTGGGGGCCAACAATATAATGTTACAAATTCCTGGAGACACCAAACACCTTACCCTATGCTGTGCAATGCGTTGGAGATCGCAAAATTACGGCGACGTTGGAGTCGCTCAGCATATCTCGTCGCCCCCAGTGGGGCATGGCCTCGACCACCATGAGTCTCTAGAGGGGGGAGAGGTGGAAGGCTGCTAGTGGATCTGAGGCTGTTGGCGTAGCTTTCCATGTGTGACTGGGGGCCAGATCAGTTCGATACCTCGCTTCAGTGAGCGGAACAGCTGGATATAAGGAGAACGGGCAGCGCAAAGGCCAAGCATTCTCCATTTGCGGCCATGGTCTCAAAAGGAATTTCCCGGCCGTGCCTGTCTGAACCCAATTTAAATTTGGACACAGTCACCCTGGATGGCCACATATGCCTCGTGTTTGTCAATTTGATTCTCCATTACTACGTGTGATTCACAGACGGGTGACCAGCCTCTGTGGAGAAGCTGACCACGATTAAACACATCCTACCTATCAGGATACACCTGCCATGCTGTCGGGCAGTTCAAAAGGCTGTCTGGTGGGAAAACGCTCACTATAGAAGAAGTTCGCATCCCGAAGTCATCAACGCTGAGCATCTCAAGCTTCGTCTTTGTGGCTCACCAGCCTCCATCGAAAGCCTCCGACTGGCACGCAGTATTGTTTCCATAGTGCGACAAGCTCTCTAAGATTTTACACCCGAATACGCTTCCTGGCTTACACTGAGGCTGGTCTGGAAGTCCACATCGTTGTGCAAAATAAAACAAATTCAAATATTTGGATGAAGGGTCAAGTAGGTCATGTGATAATGCCTATTTAGGAAATGGCGGTCGATCGTCATTTATTTGCCGCCATTTTGGACAATCACATGACTTTTATGGGTCATTCATCCAAATCGGGCGCGCCGATCTTAATTCACTGTTGATGGGTCGAGACGATGATGATGATAAATCTATCTTAATACCCCGCGGCCTCGTGATGTCGTGGCAGTGCGGCTGTCCCGTCGATACACCGTAGCGTACATAAAGGGGACTTTCTATACATGATGTGTGGGTAGTCTGGTTGATATCGTCTGGTGTCAGTGATCCTCGGGTTATGTGGTGTCGGTGGGTGATGGGTCGAGACGTATTTGGTTCATTGGCCACTGTTCAAACCCTCAAAATCAATCCTGCTCCCCACCAAGCTGACTGCCAGCCGGGGATTTTCGCACTGATGGCTGGATGACTCGGAATTGCTTAACGTGCAAACGACTTCGAGAAGACTGCGATGCCTTGACTATGTAGCGAGGGGGTGACATTGGTAATGATGGCGGAATCTATAAGTGGTTTCTGTCCTTGGTGGATGTCCGGAACATCGTTCGTGTGGCAATGAAGTGATGATATTGAAGTCCACTTTCTACCAAAACAGTTCCAATTCTCCATCCACGAATTGTCGTACGTCCTCTTTACTTGAAGTACAAGATCCTCAAAATTGTACTCCCTTGTCCAGCGGCCCAATGGCCCGCACGATTCTCCGTGACAAGCCACTGTGGAACCTATGAACCCACTGCCTAAACATGGGTCAGAACATTTGGAAAATGGTGGACACTGGTGAGCTTGGACTGTCGTCAATCAAATTTACGTCTTATTCATGTTTGGTGACACTATTTCGTAAGCTTGCACACATTATTATGGGCTACTGCTTATCCAAGAAGAGTGAAATCTTCTTTTCTTCGAACAACTAAGACGTCCGCAGCAGCTTGGACCTACACTCAACGACCGAATCAAGTTCGCGGCCCAGTCGATCATGCCCCCGTTACAAAGTTCCAGAAAACGTAATGGAGAGCTCCTAATCCTTCCCCCCTCGTGAGAACCACTGCTTGTGATCCCCGCACGTTTGGTTTGTGCAACCAGGACATCTAAGCAACTTCTGCGTACTGGAAGGCCCTCGCGACTTTTCTGTAACACTCTTGATATGTTCAGCTGCAATGTCTGCTAGCGCACGAGCAAAGGTTGGAGAACCGTTAAGTGATTCCGAACGAATGAGGTTCATTCCCAACTGCAGTGCAGTAACTTCAGGCAATGGGCGATTATTATTGTCGTGTGCACGCACCTCCTTGGCTTCCTGGCCATACTCATAGTCCAGTTCGTAGAGCGTCTCAATATGGTCGCTTGTGAACGCAACGGGAATTAAGATGACGTCTTTCCTCCCGTTACGAGCCAAACCTTGAAGAGCATCTGGCGTTTTTGGGCCAAGCCATGGCTTGGGTCCAACTTGACTCTGCCACACAAGCCGGTATGGACTCTCGAACCCAGTCAATTTCTGAAGGTGCTGGATTACGGCCGTGACCGTTGATGAGACTTCTAAAGGGTAAGGGTCGCCGCGGTTTACTATATCCATCGGCAATGAGTGAGCCGAGAACAGAAGGACGACTGAAGGCTGAACAGAAGATGCAAATTCGGCCAGTGCCTTGAAAATGTTTTCCGAGATGGCAGTAACGAGACCAGGATGTGTCGCCCATCTATCGATGACACTCCATTCTATCCCGTGTTCCGACCCGGAGTCAGCACCAAGGCCCATGGCCCGAGCCCTCCGGTACAGTTCGTTCAGACTGCTGCCTGTTGTTGAACAGCTGTATTGAGGATACTGGGAAAAGGCGATGGCACGCTTGACGCCATCATTCTTCATATGCTGCAGTGCTTCGGTCGTCAATGGATCTGCATATCTAAACATTGTGTACGCCTTGTGAGGGGCTGTTTCAGGACTGAGTTCATCGAGTAACTCGACCATCGCACGACCTTGGTGTTCAGTCCATTTTCGAATAGGAGAGCCACCGCCAATTTTGGCATACTGCTCCTCAATCTTCGGGGTCCTTCTTTTGGCTATTATGGGGGCTATTATACGTTGAAAGGGCAGTGGGATGATGTCGGAATCATGGAACAAGCGGGATAGGAACGGTTGGACTTCGGATAGCTACATTACTTGTGTCAGAAAATAATTCCTATGAATTCCCAAGCAGTGACGCACCGTTGACGGCCCTCCCATATTGAACAAAACAACCGCTTTGTACGTGCCATTAGGACAACGTAGAATACAATAATTTAAAAAAATGGGCACAACACAAACCTGTTGGACTGCATGAGATAATCAGATGAGAGAAAAACACTGTCAAGGCATCACTGACCCTTTGTTCCTTCTCCCCACCCCTATTATTGAAGCGTGTCCAGCTTTTCTGAGTGCTGTGGACGCCATTGCAGAAAGCAAAGTGCAGTCGTACTAGGAAAACTAAATTTCCCACAGTGACGTGATCGCTTCACCCCGTTACGATGTTCTCCCAATAGCATACTTTCGACGGAGCGTACAAAGTCGAGGCCGACATATAAGGCAGACTGCAGCATATTCGATCAATTCCGTTCTTTGGTCTACACTCGGAATGCTTATGGTCGCCAAGGAACCACTGGAATGTTCAGGTTGAAAACATGGATTGCTCCGCGAGGATTCGCAGCAGCTCAGGATCTAACATTTCTCGAAGCCCTGTGCCTTACTCATTATATCAGACAATAGCAACCGAAGTAACTCTGCGGGTCCTTGTGGTTTTGCTAAATTCTCACTCGTCAATTCATCTCGATCATACTGGTAGCCCTGGCGTGAAAATCCCCGCTTTTCACGAACCTAGTGTTGGAGCGAATACTGAATGGCCAAGTTCGGGAGATATTTATGAATGAATGAACCTACTGAACTTCTTTCGACAACGGAAAATGTCCCCAACGTACCCTATTTGCTAGAGCGATACAGTAACGGTGGCTCTCCACTGTGGGCGCGTATTGGCTCCTAGGTATCCCCGTCACCATGTCAACGCTGTTAGGGTTAGGGAGTGATTGAACCGACCCTCCCCGGCGCTTTGGCTGCAGACACTAAGTGCCATGACGGACAGATGGCTTTTTGGATAGCCCAGCTTCCGCTACCTTGGCTCGTCGACGTGGTACTCATTAACCACCTATTCAATGTTGACTATCCTTGCCTTTGGTGCATTCACGAGAGGCACGCTTTGACTCTATTCTCTTAAGCTACTCGGCCAATCAATCCTTGGAAGGCTTGACTAGCACAAAGAGGAGTCGCCCTTGTCCTGCCACGGATAGTGTAATTCCCGACCAAGGGTCACAATGCCCGGATTCCACGCCCAGGTGCAGCGATTGAACGATCATGAAAGTTATAAAAATTGCAAGTCCAGGCAGCCCTGCCAGAAAATGACTGAACAGTTATGGGACTTCTGGTCGTTGATTGGGATTTGTGGGCTAGTGTCTTTCTCATACTCTCGGAGCCTCCAATGTCTTCGAGGCAGGATGAAGCACTCTCTGCCGAAGGAGCATTTGATGGCGAAGTTTGATACTTCTGAAGCTCACAGCTTGTGCTTTTGCCTTCGATGTCTCAAATCACTCCTCTTTGCCGATTCCATAACTTTAGATGTAATCTACATTTAGTGATGCAGCGTTACCCAATGTCAGTGGGGAGTCATTTGTCGGATCGACGGGAAGCAATATCGATAACGCGGCTGATACTGATATCCATACGGACAATCCTGAACGTTGATCTATCCCTCATAGCTTTCCATTCCCTCCAGCCTCTGCTATGTCAATCAGATATACCAGTGGTTGACCAATGCCCTTTGCCCCCCAAACAGTCAACAAGCATTCAAATGTGCCGTGCCATGAAGGTCACACTATTCAGGATGGTCCTACAGCTGTCAGGTGTACTGGAGCGGGTCGTGAGACGGTTTGGATATGTTCACTTCTGTAATACTGTCACTGTTTCTTCCAACGGACAGATCGGTTCCGCAGGCCATGTCATAGCCCAGAGTCCAGTATTGAACATGCGGTTCCCATTCGCAACGGTAATTAAGCGGCAAAAAAACTAAGGGTTCATGGCACGTTTTTGATAATCTTGCAACGAATCGTAAATTTTTGACATGTGGACTCTTGACATGTGGTTCCCCCGGTGGCTGTGTTCCACAATGCGCCTGAGGATCTAACGCAAGCCTAACCCCAGTCTGTCGTTGAACTGACCCAAGGAGGATCACATCTTAATGTCGGATTTAACAGCTGAATTGTCGGCATTCTCACTGACACATGTTGTGTGTACGTCCAACCTTCAGCTGGAGTGTCAACTGGCATGAGACTGACGAGTAGTTACGTTGTCAGACGATGCGAGCTCAAGAGGAGCAGCACTCGCAGCGTTCATTACCCTTGTCCCGATATACCTTACTGTCAGTAGCTAAGTTCCGACGACCGCGGTGTACCAGGGTAACGGAAATTTGGTTGTGCATTGCAGCCTGCCTACCTCAGCATTATTGTATGCACGCGCGAGTTGACCGTTATCAGCATGTTTGTCGGGCAGTGTATCTGCGATGGCTTAAATGTCATTATCAAGCACCTCGTAAAGCAAGAGAGACCAGGTAGTACGTGTGTTTCACCTCGAACTACGTCCATTAACGTCACGTTCAAGGTCTCCTCGGGGAAGGATACGGATTCCCTTCCCAGCATAGTCAATACATGGGATATTTTTCTACTTTCTTACTCCTTCATCTCGCTTTCAAGCATTCGTTCGTATCGCGTGGATTGGTGCCCGAGCGACTGGCAGCATCCCTGAGCATGCTATTGAAACTCACTGTCTCGGTAGCAATTTGGTTATTGGCGGTCGGAGTTTGCTACTCCCGGTGTGTTCTTATGCCTGACGTCCATGAAAGCATCGTTTAAGCGGCTCCCCAACAGATACTTCCTCTCATACCATTCTCCCGCGCAGGTTGCAGCAGGGTATCTGTTTGGGGTAATATGGGCCCTAATTTACTATTTTCTGGTTGAATCATCAAATCCGCGGACAGCTGCATTGCGTAGAGCTTTCTGGACTCTTTTTTTGCACGGATGGGGAGGATTAGAGATGGTTGGGCTGTTTATCCTGATGGGGGGACGGAGGAGGAATACCTCGTCTGGCGGTCATTATGGGAGGCTGCCCAAGGTAACCGCAAAAAAGTGGAATGATGGGTGCTAGGCCCACGAGCCGTCAGTTCGCGTCGTGCATTGAGATATTTGAGCAGAGTAATGACAATATTCCGTTGGCGAAATCTTATAAGCTAGTTGGCTCGGTCTCCTATCTGGCTGCGCTCTACGACCGTAAGTTCCGATTTGGTATTAAATCAGTATCTGCAGAGGAAACTCCGAGCATTTTTACATCCCACCGATTCGGAGTTGATCTCCCTCTGGCGTTTGGCGGTGTCTCATCTGGGAATGAGCTTGGCCAGTCCTTCGGCGTCCTGGAAGCGTGGCAAACCATACGGATCAGAACTACTCTGGTGTTCCATGGAATACCCCAAATATATAAGACGGTCACACGAGACGAATCGATAGAGACAGAGGTCAAAACCGTGCCATTCTGCTTAATATCCATGATGGTGTATCGACGGTGTCACCAAAGCTGGTGGCCGCGAACACACCCGAGAAGGTGACGGTGCTAAAGTTGGCGAAACGAACCATGCTGTCTCCCGAGTCGACAATCCCCTCAGCACAGAAGAGCGAGCTTTTGCTAATGGTTTTGCATTCTCAATCGTGGCGATTCCGGGTGCGCTGTTACACTGAGATTGACAGCGTCGCCGTGCTGATGAGAGTATTTTTGAAGTCGCAGGAAATCTCAGGGTACCACATACCAAGCTGTGATAACTGGGTGGGTCCGCTGCTGCGTTATGGATAGTCACCATTAACCACGGTCACACAATAGTGAAATCGACACCGGTTCGGAGGATAGCATCGCTGCAGTCATTGTAACTATTGGTACCGACCCATGCGGAGGCGGACTGACAGTCGCTTCCAGTCAGCACAGTGGTCCGATGAAGGTGGCAGTCACGTACGTGTCGGTCCCCTGGAAATAAGTCGTGCCCAATGAGGAAGTGTGCTTTTGTGGCAAGTGGGAATGGTGATATATATATAATCTGGAGACCAGCCCAGTTGGTGGAATATGGAGCATGCCCATAGTGAGTGGCGGGTCCATCGTGGGCCTGGCTGGAGACATGGCTGCCAACACACCGCTCTTTAAGGGGGGGACGGGCCAAAGTGACTGAGGCGAGAAAAGTGTTGACCAGGAGCATGACACCGGAAAATCGCCGAGTTGGACTTCGCGTTCGATAGTTTCCAGCCATCTTTATAGACGCTTCGGTCTATCGATCTCCCTTCGTTCAGATATGGCTGCCATATGTTGTGCAGGCTTTCCTCATGCTAATTTCACGGGAATAAGGATAGTGCAAGCTGTGAGCCGTGCGTGCCAGTGGAAATACCGAAGGCCAAGAAGCTACTAGCTTACTCAGGACTGCACACCGCACACGGGGTGGCAATCAAAAATTACAACTGGATATGGTCCTGCACGTCGAGAGGTCAATGTCTGTTACAGCCGATTCCAAAAAAATCGGCCATTTTGATTTCATCGAAAGAGATCTAGGAGGGTTCTTCCTTCCTAAAAAAGTTGGCCGGATCACGCCCCACGAAAGGGGTTTCCTTACTTGGATGGATCCGCTTAGCGCCGGGTCTTTGGTCTCACTGCATCCCCACTCTCGTGCGCGACACTATGGCAAGCTCGGGTTTCCGGACTCGCTCACATTATCCTCAAATTCAAGCCCTCCACACACATGCGCGCGCCGCATCTTCCAGTGATGCATATCGATTCAGACTCAGACGAAGGGTTTGACGAAGGATTGCGCGAAGTCAGTCAGGAAGAAAAGCCTGATGATGAGCTTGATTGGGACTTGTTTTGAGGACTTCTCACATGTATATACAAGTCCTTCCATGCTCTGAGCATAGCTTAGCCCTCATGTGCGATGAACAAAAAGTCTGGTGACGTTGATACACAAAATTCGGACTTGTTTTTGAGGGCATGAAGACTAGAATGTCTAGCGCACTCAAGATGTTTCCCCATGCTGATTAGAGGGGGAGAAACGGACGCAAGTGTACGCAAACACAATGTTTTTTAGGGGAGTTCCACGGTACATTGGGTTTGCCGCCTTGCGCTCAAAAGTTGCCGTTTCTGGCAGAGAATGAGTGCCCTAGATCTCTTTCGATGAAATCAAAACGGCCGATTTTTTTGGAATCGGCTGTAAGACTAAGTTGAGTTGAAGGGTCGTATAGCCCGAGATGCCAGGCGCAAGACCCAAAAGCAAGAGTAGGGACATCACGCGCGGCGGCAAGAGAACATCTGTGATACCACAATTTTTCCACCGAATTAGCAAGGAACTACTCAGTTGGGCAGCTCCCAGATAGCGTCCCACACCAAAAATCAAGGAGACCAGATATTAATTTGGGACTGATCAGCTTGGGGGCCCTGTGACGCAGACTGGCCTCACGTCAGGGGGTCGGAGATAGGTCATGCCCAGTGAAGGGGTGTGCTCCTGTGATTGATGGAAATAGTGATCCACTCACGGTGCGGGGATAAGACAGCGCTAGATTAGTTAATGTCAAACTGGGAGCGAGAAACGTTGCTGCAGTGAACAACGGGCTTTCCAGTAACTTGGAGACTTGGCTGCCAAGACACCACTCAACACGGTCCTGAAGGAAGGGACGAGTCAAAACGGCTGCGGCGAGAAAGATGTTGGTAACAACAGAAACCATTATGTAGGAAGTGCTGAGTAGAGTTTATGAAAAGTTTGACTGTCGAAACCCATTTTCTGTCGTCTTAAGGCGTCTTTTATCGATCCTTCCTCGCCTGGGTATAACCGCCAAACGTCACGCAGGTCTTCCCCATGCTGTAATAAGGCGCAATTTTCGAGTCATACGTGCCATTAGACATATTATCGAATGCTGAGGTAAGAAGTCATCCATTTAACGTAGGATTGGATATGGCCCTGAACAATGTCTATTGATGTCAAGAGCAATCCGTGATACCAGGTGCAATACTCAAAGAGTAAGAGCAGGGACATCGCGCACGACATCAAGGCTTGCAGAAATAATATTTGTTATGCCAGGCCTTTTCCTACTGAACTGCAAGAAATTCATCGATTGAGCAACTCTCAAATAGCAGCCAACCGATTGGCATGCCAAAGGCCAAAGAGACCAGATAGTGTAAACCAGATCAGCTTATGGATATAGACAGGCCCTGCAACAGAAAAGGGATTGCAGGGAATCAGAACTGTCCTAGCCTGGAGCTCAGAATATTGGTACGCCCTACATTAGCCCGTCACTAATGTGTTTTTGTGGTATATAAAACCATGAGAAGCGACGTCTTGCGAGAAGGAGGCATGAGTCGCTGGTTATTTCGATGATCTAAAATTAAGTAAAAGCCATCACGACCAATTGGTTGCTCAAGCGACAAATAATATCAAGCTATGTCATCACGGCAATCTAGCAGAGGCGTCGACATATCGTGTGGCAGCGAGTGGATCCGATCCGCCCCGAAATGACACGGGAAGTAGGTGCATCCCACGAACGAGGCTATGAGGTCGGACTGAATCCACCCTCATAAGGGCCAGAGGAATGATGTACAGATTCTATCGCAGAGCAGGCACTGATAAGCAATCCGCACCCCAATCAGGAAGCATATTGTCGAAGCCGAAGGCGCAAAGCATTTCGGCATGCCTTCGATTTAGGATCTAAATAGTCCTCATAGAACCCTACAATGAATTCTTCGGATTTGAACCCCAGTTTATTGTAAAGTATCTGTCGTCAACCAAGATCGACTTTCATGGTTGTCCCCATCTGGCGTATCTACTCACCAAAGCTGGGTTGTTAGCAGAAACATGAAGAATGATGTCACGGTCTTTGTTGGCTGTCATAAGGTGAAACAGCATAGTTCTGCGCTCAAAAAGTGGTTAAGGGGCTTCCAGGACCGTAAACCAACCAACTACACATACATTCCAATGGAGCATCGTTCCCAACCAACTCTCACGGCAACATATGGGATGTAAGCTTCGTCTGGAGGTGGAGTTATCAGGGCCACACCGACGACTATTCGCTTATAGACTGCAACGATAGTCGACCCTGGAGGATCAGCAGTTGCCTGAGAAACTTGCTCTGATTTAACAAAACAAGTGCCATTGTCAATTTCCCGGATAAGCTCACCATCTATCCCAGGCCAAAACGTGATTCGGAGGAGTTCGTGCACTTGTGGTAGATGTTCTGAGCGTAGCGGCACGTAGTCAATCGGCGCATCTGTTTTTGTAGCCGTGTCCTCGGACAGCCCGCTAAACGTAACGTTATCCACGATGGAAAAGCCTAGCCTACTGTCACGCGCACTTTCGAAGCCGGTAATGGAGTTTCAAATCCTCCATAAGTTGAATCCAAGGCGACCTGGTTTTCCACTCTCGGTAAATGTAACGTTCGGTAACAGACTCAGTGTCGGAGTAGGGAGTCGCGAACCCATACAAGCGAGATGCAAAGCCGTGGGAATAAGGTGTACTCTTCAGCGAATAAAGAGCGGTATGCACTGCAGATAGATCATGAACAAGAGCCTCAGATGCTGCAGCAAACGTGTCGTCAAACGATGAAGCCATTTGCATGGGAATGTTTTTTGGAACATCACGAGGAAGTCCAGGATCAATTATCCTGAGCTTTGCAGCCAGCAGCCGTGCAGACTCAGAAGCTTCCCCACTGTGGTCGCCACCATCGCCACTGGTCACGCTTTCGAGCACAGATAACGCTTCGGACGGATGAAGCATTCGAATGGGTGGTTGACTCTGCTCAAGGACAGATACATGAGGTGAAAATGGTGGGGGAAGGGGGGGCTTACTCCATGATCTTGGTAATATTCATCGTACTTATCACGAATGGACATGAATTCTGCTAGCCTTTTTTGCATGAACTCGTCGAAATCATCATCGCTACCGTCCGACGCATGAGGGTTCACCCGAAACGAGAAAAGCAAATCATCGAATGCAGAGCTCATAGCCTGAACGTCGCTCACTGATTGGCCGAGCTTGCGAGGCTTTTGTTACAAATTCGCGTGACGTGACAGTCACGGTGGGTTGATCTCCGATTCGGGTTGTGATTCAGTGTCGTCTTCCACAGTCGGTCGGATGTCCGGGATTGAGTAGGAATGAGCATAGTATGGGAAGATGTTTGAAGGGTGAAGCGTCCAGTTGCAATTGGGATTTGTAGTTATAGTTGCACTTCTCCTGAATATTGATCTGCTGCACAATTACTTACACTTCCGTAGCTTTTAGAAGCAACCGCATTCTTGCGCGTCGAAGATGACCAGCACTCGGGCTCACCCAGCTGTTGGCGACGGACGATGAATGCAATTGGCGCTAGATCCCGGGTGCGCATCAGTGCCAAGTTTCAGGTGGGGATTGGTAACTTAGAGCCAGGTATCATTGCCATAGGGTGAATGATTCAGACATAATCGATCCATGACGTCGCGTACATATGTGGTCAACGGTTGCGCGCTGCGCTGCAGCGGCGTGCAATGAGATTGGAAGCTTCGCGTGTGTCGTTGTCAATCCCCCAGTTTTGAATATCCCGGATGTCAGTTCGCATAAGCCTGACTGTTCCAAAACCTCGGATTTTAGCTCACTGTTAGTGCTTGTACAGTAGAAACATCTAGGCCGTGCATGCATTGCCATAATTTCTCGTTTGGAAGTGGGATTATATCATTAAGGAGCTCGATCGCACTCTTATCGGTAGGATTTCTTTTACTTTTGACTGCTTTGCGCCCTAGAAATGCGCAGTGTTTATTCAGTAGCCTCGAAGAGAATAAATGTATGCCTAGTGGCGTTATAATATACACCCCCCTATTCCGGTCCCACGCAACTGTCGCTTTTTGCGGATGGATTCCACCATCATTAAATCTTCCGACCCTATGAATGAGGGCCAGGGAGGAATTCCGACCAAATCCAGATGAAAATGTCGCAAGTTGAATAATGTGTGGTTTGACTTCGGGAAACACATCGTCATCAGGCCGATGTAGGATCTAGAATGTGATCAAAAACACCCATCGAGAGGCTAAACTACTTCTTCAAATTCCTCTTCGCCAAGGTATTTGGGCCACGAATTCTGGATACCTTTGCCTTCGGTTTCGGCGTTTTCTTCTTCCCCTTCCCAAGGACCGCTCCTATCTTACCATGGGATCCTGGATTAGTGCGCTCCTCCGCAATGCGCGCCCTGTATTGGGCCTTCTTAGCCAAGCGACGTGCCGAGCGAGTTGGGTCGGATTGCTTCATCTCAACACGAGTTTCCTTGTCCAGACCTCTGAGACGCTCACCGAGGCGTGGATCACCTCGAGCATTAATGTCCACTGGGGGGTTGTCAGACGTAGTTTTCGAACGCTTTCCAATCTTCTTGGCTTCTCCGTTCTTCCCGATCTTTGTTGTCGGGCCTTTACACCGTACAACTCGCAAGGTTCGTTTCCTCAGCCGTAGCTGCTCGTCGTCTAATACAAGGACTTCATCCACGCACTCCCGATTCTGTGTATAAATAACATGAGCAATGATATTACTCGAGTGAGCCCATTGACGTACTCTGAATTCAATGTAGGCAATCCCTTTTCCGAACTGCGTGTCGGGATCGCGGATGATTCGAACGTTTTTCACCCAGGCTTTTGGTCCCTGCTCATCTTCAGAGTTCTCTTCGTCCGCCCTGGCAGCCTCGCCCATCTCGGTGGTAAGTAAACCCTCGAAGAACGACCGAATCTCCTCCTCCCCGCATTCATAGTGAAGATTGCCGACAAAGATCGTCTGTCGTTCGTTAAACAGCCTGGTGCCAGCAACTCCCCCAACGAAATCCACTCTTAGAGTCCTCCCCATGAATTGCAGCCCATTGCACCTTTCGACTGCCCGACTTGCGGCTATATATGGATTCAAGACAAATGGTGCATCTGGTTCTGGTCTTGGGTGTGCAAATAGAATGTACGCGTTGATCGAGGTAGCATTGTCGTGGATGTCGCCCTTTATAAATGCAATTTTCTTCCTCTTGGCAGGAGAGAATATGACCTTATCCGTGCTAGTTTGCTTCAATTCAGTATCCTTTTGGGGGCGTGGTTGGGAAGGGGACGGTAGACCATTTTCTCGCTTAGGGTCATTTACATCGAGTCCAGATGTCGGCTGCTTGAATGCGACCGAACGGAATCGAAAAGATTCAATACTGGAGCCGAGGACATTCGATGTGACAAACACCATGAGTTGCTTTTCTCCGGGCTGGAAAAAAACGCGTGAGAATAATATTCGACGGCCTTGAATCCTTCGTTAGATTGCTGACCTTGGTCTTGGCCACATCAATAGGCAAGTTTCCGATGAAGATGGTCCGAGCGTCACGCTGCTCTGGAGTTTCGTCTTCAGGCACGTAAGCTTTCTTCAATCGGGGTCCGTCATTTTCCTCAATTTCAGCCATATCATTGTCCCCAACGGAACTCGGGATAGAGGGTTGGCTGGACTTTTTTTGGATTGGTTTAGTTGAGGCACGACCATTTGGAGTGGCAATTTTGCGGGATTGGTAGTCGGTGAGTTTGTGCTTCTTAGAGGGCGATTCCTCCTGAGAAGACCCATCTGGTTTTCGCTTCCGCGACGCATTAGAAGCAACGACAACGGGGGGATGGGTCGCTCCTGACTGAGAAACGTTATAAAATCCGCACGAAATGGGCGGTATGAACACTCACACTCGACTTGAAGATAGCATCGAGATCAGCATCAATTGTGGCCGCGTCAACTTTCAAAGAAAGCACACTGCTGATCACACCATCGTTCTCCCCGTTCGCTTGTTTCAACTTTTTTCCACTATCGGGGCTCTTGGGCTTCGCCTTTCCGGGAAAATGATTAATGCTACCATGCTCCTGCGGCTCGGGCTGTTGACGGGCAGTTTGAGCTTTGCGTACAGACATACTTATCCTGTGATTCCTGTCCCGGCAGCGCTTTCCTAGAAGCACTCAATGTTCCCACCAATTTCGCCTTCCGATGGCCGTTGGGGTGGGTTTAGGCAAGTCAGCAGCCTCTATTAGAATAGAGTGGGTTGGTTTTCAAAAGTTGCAAAAGTGACATCACGTGATGACATCGTGTCGTGGGAACTTTCTTTGTCCAAAGTCGCGCCTCAGATAAGTAACCTGCCTAGCCTCAGTCTCAGTGTACCAACACAATGGAATCCACTGTGCCGCCAAAACAACCCCAACTCATCCCGGCGGATGATGACGATGATATTGACGAGTCATCAATACCAGCCTACGTTGGTGCGACTTTACATCCCGACACCACCTCGTCAGGCAAGGGGAAAGGTCGTGCCGTCACTCCTGATATCCCGGACCCCACGAGTGGAGGCGTCTCTGGTTCTAGATCCCCTGCATTTTCTGGAAATATTGGGTCACCTGCTACTCCAAAAGCTGCTGGTTCGAGACGGATAGTTGGGGGTGTTCAAATAGAAACTAGGCAAGTGACACGCCTCTCGCAACAAATAATAAAGGCTACATTGTGACTTTAGGTATACTGGCACAGACACACTGGATGAACCTATCCTTGACACAATTGTGCGTCATTGACCCTACCTTCGCCTTAGAATGGAATAAACACCCTCGCGTCGCTTCATAGACACGAGACTTGAAGTCTATTTACGTGAAGTTGACCCAAGTGTTGTATCCGCGAAAGAGTGGCGTTGGAAGAGAGGCTTTGCGGTACTTTCCGTATGGCTTTTCGTATACCCTTTAAATAACGTTGACTTAAAGTGATTGGGACCTATGGGGACCACTGATTTTTTGCTTGGCTTTGGCTATCATGTTGAGTATAAATGTGCAATAGCTCTGCTCGAAGTGGAATTCTCGACTGACTTGGAAATTGCAGGCTCCTAAAACTCAATCTCTGGGAGTGTTTACTGGTGTCATCGCTATCGTCTCTTTGGGGTCGGTCATTGTTACATTAAATGCAAAATTGCTGGGTGGTCGGGTGTGAGTTTGTAGAAACGCTCTGCCTCGAGTGTCTAGTTGTCTCACTTCTCCTACCCAGATCGCTCTTCCAAACGCTGTGTGTTCTTGGATATTGTACATTCCCCCTTGTCATTGCTGGCTTGATTTCGACTTTCATCCGAATTTTGTGGGTGAGAGCCCCCATTTCGCTGGCTGCATGGGCGTGGTCCGTTTGGGGTAAGTCAGACCCGCAGCGCTCTGAATATACTCTGAGTGGATCCCATCCCAGCTTCTATCAATTTCCTCGACGGGACGAAAATTGAGCAACAGCGAGTCTTACTCGCGGTATATCCTATTTTGTAAATCTCAACTGATGTCTAGCGTTCACCAAGCTCACCGTTTCTCTTTAGATTATTCTATTTCATCCTCTCCTGGATGATCTTAATACAATAAGACCTCATTTCCCTGTCACTTATTCAATCTCATTGCTCTGACACAATCTATCTGATGGGAATTGATAAGGCCTGACAGCAACTGCCAAAACTTCAAGGCTGCCGATCGTTTGGCGCTTCAGTCTCCGAATGCCGGCTGTTGAGATGGAGTCCACAACCGTTGGACGGTAGTATCTATTACATATAGCCGTAGGCTGACGCACCACAACTCCGCACATATTGTGTTTTTGGTTACTTTGCACCGCCCATCACGGCGTAGTTATGCCGCAGCAGCGCCGGTCGTCTGCCTTGGCCGACGCATGTGCGGCCAAGGGGTTCGGAATCGGCGTTGAAGACATGTCCAAACCACCCACGCAGTCGTCAGAGCGGTGCCAGTGCCTTGAAAGGGGGAATTGAATCATGAGAACAAATGCAACACGTTATTGCCGGGGGGTTAAGCCCGCGCAGTGGTGGATATACATGTCATCATAAGAAAACGAGGCCGCTCATCGATGGACTTCCTCTTGGGACAGCCCCATTGGAAGAATTGCTTCTAGTTCCTCATTGAGAGCGGGGGTCATTGTACCATCGGTCCGAACGCGGTACAGGCTCACATCGATTGAATATGGAGGAGTAAGAGCCCAAGCGAGAGGAATGAAGGTCAGTTAGTATGACGTCCCGCGTTGGGCTTAGTTGCACAATTAGGAATGAAACATCGGTGGTCGGCGTCACAGAGGAAAGGCGGTGGCCATGCGCCCTGTTTCAGTGTTAAAAATCTGAAACACAATGGAATCTCGATCCAGCATGGTCTCCCAAGTGTTAACTGAAGAATGATGATAGATCAGGCATTGCAATAGGGAAACACATTTGCTGATTATATCGACGTTTTTCATCATCCGGGCACAGCTAGGAACATCACGATGCCTGTGGACATGCTCAAAGCGGATCAGCATTATATGTAACGTTTGGGTTCATGAATCAGGTTATTAGGAGGCTCGAGATTGACACACAAGCCACAAAATTTGATACACAAAGCCTAGCTCAGCGAACGAATACTATCAGCACACTCAGGGGTGTTGTGCTGAAACGAGAACTCGACCACTATAATGGAGGGAAAGCTTTTGCTTAGAAACCGCAGAATTGAGACATACCTACGTCAGACGACGACATGCAGGACGTTGGCAACTATGATGGAAATGAGAGAAATCATGCCGAAATGCATGCTCACCCTCGGGCGATACGTGATCTGACTTCCATCCTAATATAATGTTACGAAGGCTGGAATCTGCAAGCCGGACAGAATGATGGGGCATCCTTTGGCTTAGGTCCGGTTGGAATCAATTAGCAATGACCTAATTCGAGTCTACGAGGGATTTGTATTTAGTGCTGTAGCAGCGCCCACAGCATGTCTTTAACGATGTGTATGTTCACGCTAATCGGTCTCCCACTGAGCTCGTTGTGAAAGACCTCAGCAGCTGTAACAATGGTCCGCAAGAAAGATTCTTTGTGACGACCAGCTACGCTATCTAGTCTAATGGTCAGCGCTCATCAGGAATGGTTGATTGAAGCTTGATGGTGGTCACGGTGTAGGCATGATACTGGCCTCAACAGGTCATGATGGAGACATCGTGGGAGTAGGATCCAATTCAATTTCCTGTGGTGTCCAGCCACTTAAGTCTTAACCTAGAACTCGACTCCCTCACGGACCCTCTTGTCTTTATCTTGCTTTGCTACGGGTCACCCACCTGTGGTCCAAAGGCTTTCATTTCCAATGAGCCATGCGACCTACTCACCTTTGACGCGGAGGTCAACAGACTCCCAAAACGGCTATGAATTTGATGCGACCTATGCTCGCTCTCCCATCAAGCATACGTTTGAAGACAAAGAGCTTGATGAGCTAGACTATGAACTTGATAGTCAGGACGAAACAAGTGCCATATTGTTAGAGGAAATTCACAACGGTGTTCCAACTTCGCGTCGCAGAGCTACGAAAAATGATCCATTGGACGACTCTCCTGCTGCTATGGTACGCCGGGTGAGTGCTTGAGGCGTGTAGTTTTCTAGTCAGTGACCAAACGACAGTCTGAAGAGTGTGCCGGAGACCGACGATCCTATGCTGCCATCTTTTACTTTTCGAGTAGTTGTTCTCGGTACCGTGATGTGTACGCTGGGGGCGTCTATAAGTCAACTATTTTACTTTAAATCCAATGCCCCTAGGTAATCCTGCGTATTCCTTAGCCTCTGTTGGGAACCCGAAGCCCTGACATCCCTTCAGTTTCTCAGCGTACTTTGTGCTTTTGGTATCATATCCAATGGGAAGATGGATGGCTCGAATTCTTCCTGAATGGAATGTCTCGCTATTTGGCCATTTTTCTTTCTCTCTTAATCCTGGTCCGTGGTCAGTGAAAGAACACCTACTAGGTACGCGGACGACGCCCACTTCTGAATACTTATCGATGTTCTAATTTGTGCGTATGAAGTGGTCATAATAGCAGTACGTTTTAGAATGCGCTTCACCGGTTACCATGACCTCGTTTGATCTCGACTTGCAAGTAGCAATCAGGAGGTTCTGCATATGCATCGGATATCCGTGAGCTCTTCTTGTGACAGACAGTCGGGGTGACACTGAGTAGTGGCCGGAAAGTCGCCATTCAACAGCTCTATTACAAGCAAGACATCGGAATGTGGGCGGGATTGGCCCTCATTCTCTCGACGCAGCTAAGTAAGTTCACAACGATGCTTGCAAACATCGTGTATTTTATGTTGACACGTTCACACGACCGCTCTTGAAGTCGGATTCGGCCTCGCAGGGACATTGCAACGCATCCTTGTGAAGCCCATAGCAATGGTTTTCCCTCAAAGCTTGGTATACGTGGATCTATACCACAGTTTACATCAGGCATCAAAAGCCACACAGGAGAAACTACGATTATTCGCACTCGTATTTGTTGCATGTGTCATTTATCAGGTAGGTGATTGGTTGCTTATCCAAGCGGTTGTGTCATTGGCCATCCCCACAGACGTTTCCCACAGTCTTGTTTCCTACACTCAATTCGCTTGCGATCTTATGTTCGTAACAATAGCACATTTCCCTGGTCAAGTGTTGACTGCGATCCCAGGTATTATTGATAACAGGAACTCCGTTCTTCGGATTCTTGGGTCGGGCTTCAACGGTTTGGGGATGTTAGACCTCAGCTTTGACTGGAGTAGTGTTTCCCTGGTTGTAAGTCCAAGCCGTTATCGGGTTTCTGGGCACCTACTGATCTGAACTACATGCTGCGCACTAGGGCCCTTTGTATACACCGATATGGGCGCAATGTAACATCTACGCAGGACTTGCTGGGATGATGTTCGTGGTTATGCCCATACTGTACTTCTCAGATTTCTGGGATGCGACCAAGTTTCCAGGTCCCGTATCAGCTGGTCTGTTCAAGTATGTTTTTTGGATGGCGGAGTATTGGGCGGAGTTGACATTGACATCTAATTTTTTTTACCCTACTGCCATCCCTCCGTCTCAGCCGGGCGTATCAAAAGTACGAAACATTCTCCGGACTCTTTGATCTATTGTGCCAATGCCAATGCCATTGCAACTCTAGATTTAACGTTCAGTCTGTTCTCAATTCCGATTTCACTCTGAATGAGGAGGCATGGTCAAAGGCTAGGCCTCTTCTTCTCACCGTAAGTACAACCGTTTTTCTCTGTGTGACTTTTTGCTTAGGAGCCCCTAGCCCTACTTCGCGATCACTTACGGGATGAGCTTTGCAGTGCTTACTAGCGCCCTCATGCACGTTATCCTATGGCATTCCAAAGATATCAAACGGGCAATAAAGGGGTCGCGAAATGCCCATGATGAGGACAATATCCACAATCGGTGCGTCTGAGTCACAAACGATGACCGACGGTTGGGAGCTCACCGATTGCTTCGTGCACCGAAAAAGACTTATGCTTGCTTATCCCCCTGTACCGCCCATGTGGTATATTGTTTGCTTCTCCCTTTCCTTACTTATGGCTTTCGTTGTCATTGAGATGTCTCCACTACAACTACCTGCGTGGGGCTTAGCCTTAGCGGTATGCATAACATTCATCTTCCTCGTTCCTGTTGGAATCATATTTGCGGTGAGCGGCACCACTATTGGTAATGTTTTCTTATCGCAAAGTCTATATGGTCAGTACGCTGAATTGCATCCTAATAGGTTTGAACGTCATAACAGAGTTTGTTGCCGGCTTTCTTATACCTGGGAAGCCAATTGCGAATGTGGTCAGTACCTGATCGTCACTTGACACGACCTCCTGAAAACATTATCTGGGGAAATGCACAGGTCTTCAAATGTTATGGGTACGAAAAATTCAAAATTAAGGCCTAAGCAATCCTGAGACGTTGCTTGTTTAGGTATACTGCAATGCAGCAGGCAATGTCCTTAACTGCGGACCTGAAGTTGGTTGTTCGCTTGGGTTGTGAATTTTTCTAACCCTTCCGTTTATGTAGACTTAGCGTGTACATGAAAGTCCCTCCAAGACACGTGGGCATCTGCTTTCTAGTCTCTCTTTCAGAGCTGTTGACAATACCCGCCGGTTCGATCGTTTAGATGTTTTCCGCACAGTGAGTCTCGAACATTGCACTAAATGTGGAGGATTCTGTAACTTTTTTCCTTGTCAGAGTGTATGGGACTATAATTGTGAGTGTTTTTATTTGGAAGGTATTAAGACGTGTTGTGAATCCATTTTCCCCTAGGGAGGAATTGTAAATTATTTTACGCTTAATTCTGGTGAGTCTCCCTAAGAGACTAGATCCGTCGATTTTTATCTAACCCCAATCAGTAATCGATTCAAAACGCGAGTTGTTGGATGGGACGCGAATAGACCCGTAAGTGGAGTCAGCGGAGATATTTCGAATGGGTCATCATTTCCCTCCTTGCCGATCACAGTACTGGTCAATGGACTGGTCGTGGACCGTCAATCTTCTACTCCGCCTCCGTTATATGGGGACTCGTAGGCCCGTGGGTACATTTCTATGCAGAATGACAAATGAGGATGCTGACCTTAATGAAAGCGTGCGGTTCTTTACAGGTAAATACTCTATTTTATACTGGGGATTCCTGATCGGAATCGTGGTGCCTGTGATTCCTTGGTACCTGGTAAGCCACTTTGACCAAATTGAGGGCAGTTTTATTGATGACATGCTAGCACAAGAAGTACCCCAAATTGCCATTTGATAAAGTATGAGCCTACTCCTGCTGCCGAACATGAGTTTACCATTAGGCTCATGCAGATCTCGATCCCCCTGATTTGTAATGCTGCGACCTTACCTCCTGTGAGTCTAATGACAACATGCCACAAGCGCCCGGATTGACCCCGCGGGCAGCAAATCCCAACCAACGTCATCACGATGAGCATAGCCACATCATATTTCTTCCAGGGGTATCTCCGTCGACACAGGTGAGCTAATTCTGCGTGCCTGAGCAGCCGCACGGCAGATGCCGAAGGAAAAACACCGCACATAACTGGATGCGGTGGACGGTGACAGCCGAACCGAAAAGACCTCCCGCAAGCCACCAGACCTTCGGTTTTTCCGTCACTCTTCTGAATCTTCTCTAGCGATTCCATTTTAATGCATTCCCCTTTCTTTCATATAGAACGGAATGGTTCGAGAAGTATCGATACGTGTTGAGCTCCGCCCTTGACGCCGGGTGAGTAAAAGATATTGGCTTTGTAAGCAACACACTGATTCTTGAACTTCAGTACGAGTGTCAATGCGTTGTTAGTTTATCTGATTTTGGCTTTAATTTTGGGTGGTTGGGAGGCACCTCATTGGTGGCTGAATTCTGCTCAGGATGTTGAGCATTGCAAACCTGGTTCATAACTGCGCAGATAATGAATACATAGACACAACCTGACTGAACCGTGCGCGACACAAGTAAAAACAACAACGAATCTCGCACCCTCCCGCCCACGGCGCGAAAGAGCCCTGGGTACAGGATGAGTGACAGCGTGTGCCTCGGGGAATATTAATATTGCAACCATATCATATCAGCGCTCACAACAACGGTCGCATCAAATAATTATGCACAGTACATAGAAAGCGCATCGAATCCACATTGTGCTCCGTTAAATTATCGCCGAAGTTCGATGACAACCGCACGTTAAGAACACCGGCGGCCAAGTGGAAATGGCGGTCACATCACCTAACTCAAAAAAGAAACGTCGACCTCGGAACGGGCTTATCACGGGTCCCTTAAATTTGCATCCGAAGGTTGATACCCTCCCTCTCCTCCCTCTCCCCACCAACGAGAGTCGCAATACTGCAGCCGTTTTCTTGAGGGAACCGCGCCGCAAAGCGGTGATGCTCACTGTGTGGGACCATGCGCAATATATCCAATGATATCATCTTCCCTCATCTGGGTGCCCGTGTCATATCATCAGTTGTCCATTTTGTTGGTGCGTGCCGTACTGTTGCATCACCCCGCAGCAGCTCTCTCGGTGATTGTTAGTCTATGTGAGGCATGCTAATGCCGTATTTTATCATTTGTACGCGACGACTGTTGGGGAAATATAGGCTCTGCTGTTCTGGCATTCTGCCTCGCTCGCCGGACAGCTGAGGACGGCTTATTATCCGACCTCCGCCGCGATTGGAGAAATAGCTCATACGCCCGTCTCTACGTCATCCTCGTTTTCTTCGACAGTCTCATCTTTGTCGTTTTCACCGGCATTCTTATTCATGGTATTGGTCTCGAGTTAAGCCATGCCACCTGCAGTTTAGGCATCTTCGCATGCATCTTCTTGTATACCTCGAGCAAGATACTGATATACTCTTTTCTCTGTGAGTTCTGGGAAAGCCGCTTATCGCGCTCTTCCGTCTTCGCTGGATGGAGTAGTGATCGACTCACACGTGTTCACCCCCCCACTCTTAGCGGAGCGTGTTTGGCTCGTATGGTCCAACAATGCAAGTGTGACCAAACGGAGTCGATGGTCATCTCCGGTGTATCGAATATGTGCTGGCAGCATCATGGTCTATTGTGCCTGCATCACGTTGCTTATTGTGTATCGAGTGGCCACCCTGGATCATGAAACTGGCGTATGCCATATCGGCATTCAAAAATTTGTCTCCGTGGCTTTGGTTGTTTACGACACGTAGGCTTATCTCAACACTTCTAGTGCACTGACTGACTGGTCCTCGTTAGGTACATCACACTATTGTTGACAGGCCTCTTTGTCTATCCGATGTGGCGTGATAAGGTCAAGAGTCCCCGCTTACGCAGGATGGCCCTCCGAACGCTAATGCACGTCTTTTCACCTATTTTGCACATTCAACACTAACCATCGGTCATGCCTTCCCACAGCGCAGCCTTTGTGGCATTGGCAACCTCCACGGTAAATGTTGGGATTTTATTGGCTCTTCATGGGCACGAACTCGGGTGGGTTTGCTTGGCAAGCTGTGGTACCGACGTGAGCTACTTCTTTGTGTTCTACAACCGACAATTCCTCACTTCACTTCAACTGGTGCAGGTAACGGTAAATGCCCTTGTCCTTTATTTTGTCACTGAACGTCGCCCGAGGCGTTCGAATGATTCAAGGAGAGCTCCTAATCAACGTAATGCCAACATGGCCGTCCTTGACGGTCTTGCAGTTTTGGGAATCGACGGCATAAAAAATTTTACTGCAGATCCGACTGATGGAGGACGCCGGAACAGTGCATGGTCGAGGCGGAGCAGCGCATTCAGCACCAGACTCCGCCGATTTGCAAAAGATGCCTCGGGCGCTGGCCGTGGAAGGTTTTGGCAACGACGTCATCAACTCCAGTTCCCTGATCCCGCACAAAGTGAAGCTTCCACCGCAGCCGTCCCAGATCCTCCCTCGATGCCGGAAATAATTGAGGATGTCGAGCACAATCAGACTCATGTGATCGCTCCCTTCCATGAGCCCCGCTCCGCGTTATCCCCTGAATCCCACCTTGACTTTGCGAAGAGACCGAGATCTTCAGATGATGAGCGTAGCGTAGCCTCGAGTTGTCGGACAGGGGGATCCCTCAGCGGGGAGAGCTTGAGCCACCAGAAGCACTCGTCTCCCCACCCACATCGACAGACCTACACTGACCCTGTCACTGCTATGCGTGATCAAAGCAACCCCCGCGGTGAGCGTCTCCTGTCTCTGGAAGATATGCTACAAGAGGGTGCTCTGGAGTGTCCTGAAGGCTCTGCAAGACTTTCTTCCCCATCGCCTCCCGTCCCACGAGTCGACATGCAAACTTCAATGGAGGACCTGCATGCATCGCTCAAGTCGCGACGACTGTCCGCGCCGGACAATCCCCTTTCCGTGCCTTCTCATTCTTCACTCAAATCTCCAATTCCATTTTTCTCCCAACCCACCCTTCCAACTTTAGATGTCCCGCCACCTCGGTCCAGCATACCGTTCTTACCTCGGCAGGTCCCAAAACCCACCCCTGAATCCACTGCCTTGTTTGGTACTTGGAAGGGGTTCCAGCCCACTGCAACCCCGATGTCACGATTCCCAGCGTCTCCGAATGCAAAAGGCCCCAGAGACGAACCGACATCAACCAGTCAAATGATTGATCTACCACCAGCGCCCGACACGTCCTGCGAGGTTTCTGGTGTGGCAGCCGAGATTGACATAGCTGATGTCAGGATGAGCATCGATCAACGATAGTCTCCGATCGGTGGCTTACTGGATATCGTAATACCCAAAACATTGGTGTGCCACGTTATATATCCCCTCTTGTGTCGTTCCTCCATGTTGATGCCTTTCCGACGAAATTCACTCCTGCCTAATTCTAAAGACTGCTGCAAGTTTCCGGTCTAATGTAACTTTATTCTGCCCCGTTGCAATCCGTACATTCTTCATACACAATTACTCCCTACATCTTCCCGATGTCTCATGCCCCGCACAGTACGCTCGTCGTCCATCCCGTTCAACTCTTAATCACACTATCATTTTCTCTTGTCACAAATCACACATTCGTTCAGTCCCCGCGCCTTCATCTCTTCCGTCTACTCCCTGCGGCTCGCTTTTTCAGTCTGGATTATAATTTTAATTTTGCTAGGAATGGGTCTCGCGCTCTCGAATGTAACACTATCCTTGGTTTAGTTTCCTTGCTCTGCTTCGATAGTAATTGACATGCTACAACCCTACCCTCTCACGCTCACTGCGCTTCTAACCTGGAAGGCTAGTTCATTCAACGCAGGTATTTTTATTTACGGCCGTATTTCGCCCATTCGAGGAAACTGGCGCTGTCAGCTGCCATGGTACAAATTTTACTTGGGCAGGACGACCTTTATGTGGTCATGGGTAGCAGCAGCGTAGGTCGACCATTCGTGGCGGGAAAGACGGACTTTTTAAGATTGTCTTGGTTAATGCTGCGCCATGGCCATGCGAGCCCCAGCTGGTACTGCAAGACAGGATCTGACAGCCAAAGGCACATGTCTTTCCCTCTTGGAGTGAGAGTCCGGCAGTAAACTGAATCTCCTGGAAGTCCATGTTGAGAATGAAGTCAAGCGAGAGCTAAAATTACGACTACGTTGTCCATGTGTAAGCAAACGCCTCAAGTTTCCGATGGTGGGCCATGGTTGCTGAGATGAGAATTGAAATCGCTCGACACGACGTGTCCCGACGAAGACTAGGAAGGATGAAAGGAGATAGCCTTGCACAATAGCAAGTAATGTAACCAGTCCCACAGTCCTATCCTAGAACTGTCGTATGTTCCGGGACTAACTCGGACCCATACTGACCCCAAAATCGACACGTAAAAATCCCTCTTCGTTTCTGGTTAGCAACCCACGATACCCCACGATACTGAATGATAATGGTTTCCGCTCGGGCCCTTTTTTGGAAGCTTCGTCGTGTAAAATCAAGCCATGAGGCCTCATTCCGATAGCCCTCTCCCGCAGACCCTCCCAGCTTCTTGATGCCGGGGGCAACACGGTCGCAGCTGAAGCGGTCAGCTTACCTCCGCCACTTCTGCCCCCCCTCTCTTTGAAGAGCTTAGTCACCTCCAGAAAAATTCGCGCTGATTATACCACTAAGCAATTATCGAGAGGCCGGGACCACGGACTCACCGGATGAATGCATCTTCTATATTCAACCCATCAGTCCTGTTTTACTGCAGCGCAGCATTCCATACAAGAGGGTCGTTCAAGTTGTGGCAGAAAGTAACACGGTGCCGTATCGCCTGTGGTTCGGGCTTGTGACCAAAGGGTTTGCATCCATGAGCCAGCCACCACGGAACTCGAACATTGCACCCCTGCTGGAAAAGCCAATTTTCAACGTCCTGATTCAGGAGAATTGCACATGGCTGCGCGATGGCATTACTACGCCCTGAAATTTCCCTGGAGGCTTTTGTTGTTCGTACACCACAAGTCCAGTGAGTGGATCTCCGATTCACTCACTTGCGGAGGGACGGGCTTTATGCCGATGCGCCCTCTCTCTAAACAGTTGAAGGTACACCCTGGGGTAGGAGGCTGGATTTAGCTATCGCCCTATTTCCGGACTCGTCCCGTTTAGGGCCTGGGGGAAACACTTGGCCGATGCACCGATTCGGGGCCTTAGGCTGCTTCCCCCCCTTTAAATTATACTATGAAATCCAGTCGAGGTGTTGGATTAGCGGGTGATCTGTATTTACTTGTGTTTACGTCGATCATTCTATCTTTAGCCATCCCGCAACTTTGACCATCTCAATTCCTCTAAAACGATGCCCATCTTCCGGTTACCAGATGGTGCTCAGTTAGGCTATGAGGTCATGGGAGCTGGGCTCCTTAGCAATGGAATACGTCCTCTTGTTTTTCTGAATGGGATGTCAATGATATACGAAGATTGGGCAGCGCTCAGTGTCCCTTTGAGCAAGCTAAGACCAAGTAAAGTGCTGCCTGCCCACTGAAACATCCCATCTTGCTTATACTGCGAGTCTTCCCAAGCACTCCTCCTGGATCATCGGTGAGAGCGAGGGATTTGGTGCTGAGTTGGGTGTTATCATTGAAAGCCCTGTTTTGGATAGCGATATGGGCACTTCCATCCTTGATGGGCGCCAACCCGGCGAGCTAAGCATAAGGCTGATGGCCCAGGACGCCATCGCCCTCATCAAGCATCTTGGTTATGAAGACATCGATATCCTAGGATGGTCCATGGGAGGCGCAGTTGCACAGCAACTTTTGATCATCCTCGCGTCTGCCGAGGATCCAGAAAGCTCCGGGGAAAATGATAGAGCTGCAGCTCCCTTTAGGGTTCATCATGCTCTTTTGACGGCTACTTTTGCAAAAGTTCCCCATGCGGAGCCAGTATTTGAGAAGTGGTGCACGGATTTCGTCAGCACGTACTTCCCACTGCTATTGGCGAGAGACGAGCCCGAGGAAGGGAAGGGAGAAGCAAAGATGAGTGATGAGCAGAAAAGAGACATAATGAAATGCGCCGTGGAGACCTTTTTTGATCCCGAATTTCTCAAGACTGAGAAGGGGAGGACGGTATTCGATGCCCATATGCATGCCATTGCCTACAAGCGGCCCATTGCCCAGATTGGTGCGTGCAATTTCTATCGCGCCAGTGCACGCGCTTTCGGGGGTACTGACTTTCAACATTTTCTCCAGTTCGCCAAGTCCTTGCGGTAGGTATTGGTCTTTGCCTGTCATGCTCATTACTAATTACGATATCCCACGTGCAATTGAAGGTCCATAGCCTCGACCTCAGGCCTGGACTTCACCTCATCAAACCTTCCACAAAAGTCCTTATTATTCACGGAACAAAGGATGAGATCGTCGCACCATGGCATGAGGGGAAAGACTTGGCAGACCATATCAAACATGCACAATGGCTGCCTATCGATCCTGATGGGAAGATAGAAGGGCGCGTTCCGTCAGAAGAGTTTGGACACGCTTGGTGGCACTATTTTGAGATAGAGGTTTGGGTCAGGGTTGTGCAGACGTTTACGAAAGACGGCAAGAAGTAAGAAACCTCACAGGCGATCACGCTGTAAGGGGCATTTCTCGTATCAGTCACGCTCTTGGACTAGGTGTAACAATTCTCATAAGTGAATTCAGGCCAATAGGCCGCAACGACGCTGAATTCAATGAGAACTCCAAATGAGCGGATAGATGGTTCATGTACCTCTCTCTTCGATACATGAGTGTGCATGCGCCAGGACGCTAAACATCGCGGCGTTCACAAAATCCACATGCACATGAATCTCGGCATAATTCAATAGCCAGTCTGAATTGACGGAGTTCTCTGGCCTCAGAGGTGTACTAAGTTACCATCGTGTTGTTTCGTGCAAGAAATGCAACTAGTTCTGGTCCCGGAGGACATCTTCATAGCGTTTGGGATGTTCTTGTCCTTTGGGGATGTGTTCTCATTGAGACTCGTGAGCAACCAGAAAAACTCCCCAGTATAATTGAAATGATTGATAGATCTTCGCCAGTGTGGTTCAAAGCATTTATACGAGCTATCGCTTTCGAGGACGTTTTGGAGCGCATGGATTCATGAGAACATTGTTAGAGTCGGACTCTGGTCGCCAGAACGCTTCCTTGGTTTGCTTGGTTTACCGCAAACCGAATTGGAGCGCTTGGCCCTTCGGACTGTTTGCATTTGGCACGATCAGCATAAACTTCCTACTTTGCACCCCAAGCGTCTGACGAGGATCCGGTATGATGGTGGCATCATATCTTGGGTCACACTTCACGCTGGTCGTTGGGCCTTCCTCGCGTCAAGTGGAGGCCATTTAGAGCTTTGGGATATCCTCGCTCTCCATCGATATAACGTTGCACTTGACTTGAAAGGGGGTTGGGTGTATTCGGGACTTGTTCATGCAACTAAAGATGTTGATAAACATCTACTCGTTCTTTCGTCAAGGTAGGAAGTACTCACCCTGCTCGGCGCGTTTCTCATTGCCCAATAATAGCCTTCAGAAATCTTACCTAGTGCAGTGTGTGCTGGACAAAAATCCCGCTTTCATCCCCTTGAGGATATATGAAGGTTTATCAAAACCTCTTGCTGCCTCCGGGAACCTTGTTCTATTCGCAGACTCGACCACACCGCAAACCGCGGTCCTTGCCTCATCAGAAGGTGTAATGTGCTCTCTGAGTTTGTTGGTGCACGATACCGCCGTAAGCCCACATGATCTTCGTGATTTTTATCATTATTGACCGATTTTTAGCCGCAACTTGCACAGTCGGCTGTTTTTTGCGAGTCCAACGTTTTTATCTTCAAATCTTCCGCTGTCTGCGTCTATGAACACGACATGATCAGTGACCCCTCTGTTTACGTGGCACCGAATCTTTGCATAAACCCGAAACACATCATAGAACTCAAGTCCAGGCTCTTTCAAATTCAACCTTGGGTTGGCGAGAACTTGAACCATCCTACTATCCACTTAGTCGCACGCGACGAAGGAGAAAATTTTTTGCTTCTCCAGTTGAAGGCTCATGAAGACACTGGCTTGATGACCCTAAGTCGCCCCACTGAAGAGGTGCCAATCCGGTCTGTGCCGTTAGCCTGCCGCAATCTCGCAATGACTTCCAGTTGTAAAGCCTGCGTTTTCTCTACCGAGGATGAACGCCACCAAACTTCAACGATCGTCTCCTGCATGCTGGAAGGGGATCGGATCGGTCGACCTCGAATTCTGTGGCAGCTGCCTAGTTCGATCAACTGGTCGGCCGGCGTGCATCTGTTGGCATTTGACGATGTTATTGGCATGATGGCCGTGGGTACAGTCGAACCTGGGCAGGGTAATATGTGGCTTGTTGATTTCGGGTAGGTAGATATTCCTGGTGTATTCACCATCCTCACACGAGCCGCACTACACAGACTACCAGGGGAGGATTCAGTGTTTTCCATTGACAACAAGCCCCCCCGGAGATGAAGGATTCAAGTATAGCATAACGATCCCTCGGACTGCCACACGGACGACTCTTCATCCCTGCCAATGACTCGCTTTCGGTAAGTTTATGATTTAATAGAGGTACGAATTGGGTCTCAACGGTGCAAGCACTCACCCTAATTTTCCCCTTTATTCAATTCGCGTCCACTGTACGCATCGACTCCCATGCCTTCATCCGTCACGCCATACCCACTATCGGCTTAATTCACATGCCGCGCACCTCAGCCATGCGATTGCTTGCCTTTGCATATCCTAGACGTATGTCATATCGGGGTTGCAGTCCGCATTGGCTCCTGGGCTATTTATTTGCTTTATGTCTACCCGCTGTGCATCGATCCTTGTGCCGATTTTTCCTTAGTTTCGGGATTATCTTTGTCTGCACTACTGATTGCTTCGTCCTGTTTTGCAGTTGAATGTGTAAGTTATCCGGTCTTCCCGAAGGTGGAGGTGTTACGACGTTTGGGTACCTTCAGCTAGTGGGATTCCGGGTATCCACTTGGTCTCTGATGCGCATCAGTTTTCACCTGTTTTCCGAACTTCTTGCGTGTTGCTCATCGGCACTACGCTGCTTCTCCTTGTTGCATTTGTATCCGGGTCGCGCTTTGCAATTCAGAGAAGCTTTGACACCTGTCGGGGCTGCCGTCATGCTGCATTGTGCGTACGTTTTCACTAGGTCCTTAATTCCTTCATGGTTATTGTATCACTGAATTCCAGATGGAAACATAGCCAGTGCGCGGCGGTTATGGTTTGATCACATACTACAACCATTTATGGCGCCCTCTGGCGTTCCCCACCGCCGGCTCTTATTGGAGCTCCTCATCGTGCTTCCCAATGGCTAGGAAAGCACAGGATGTACTTCCCACCTTCATCGGTCTTATTCCAGAAGGATTGTCCACAGATGAACCAACATTGATGGGCATCACTGGGTTTTGGAGACATCCGTATCGACTTTGAGTGTAAATGAGAATCTCCGCGGCGAGCTCGAACTATAACTGGAGGCTATAAGATTATATGTTTCGTAATGGACCTGCGTTCCGTTGGTGGGATCTGCTCTCGTCCGGTTCACTGGTGATTGGATATTTTCTAGTCATGAGTTCAACAATGGGCGTTAGATGAGCTCAGCGACCAGATGGGTTTCGAAAGTGGTATTCGGGCATGATATGTCCTAGGTTGGAGCTATTGAAACATTTGGCCATGATTATCATAGGTGAACTCAGCTGCCTCGGGAGATTGCCTGTCCACCAAGAAATCCCAGAGATTCTGGTCATCGTCGCACATCTGTATGATGTAGCGTCAGGGAAATGATTTTGGTGGCATGCAGCGATTCAGACAGACGTGAGTCGAATGGGCCACACATAACACTTCAGGTCTTCTATTTCATACTCCTATGATGTAGGATAAGAAAGCGACCTCTTCTGCTCCCTCACCAGTGCATGTTTCATGATCAAAAACAAGAATGGAAGACGCAGTCCGCACGAGCCCTGCCTCCAAATGTTCGGTTTGAGTTATAATTTTATGACCTAAATTTCCTTATTTGATCACCGACATCGAGAGCACGCCGCCCTTCCAGCCATTCCATAGCTTCTGTTCAAGGGGTGAAAATTAGCGTTGTATAAGAGATAGAAATGGTCAGTTTACCTATATAAGTCACCGGGATGACTGTCTTGTGCAGAGTGTGATCGTCGCCCCAAGTGAATTGGAACTCATTTGTCGTCTTCTTATCTCCTGTCTTAACGTCCAGGACATCGGCTTGCACGCGAACGTTCTTGGATCATAAAAGTCAATGTTCAACGATTGATCAATTTGTCGGCGCGATACTTACTACAAGGGAGGCATGACGGTCACTTCTGAAGTTGGCCGCACCAGATTTAGTATGAGTAACTTTGCTTTGTAACCGTAGAATACTCCCCACAGGGACAGGAAGCTTGAAGGTAGTGTTGTCCAGGGAAAAGAAGCGAAGGGGACGGTTTGCAAATAAAGTAGCGGTCGAATATCCAATCTGTAGGAGGGATATTTGGGTTGTCACCTGCACTGGAGTTAGGGTATCCGAACCTCATATGCCAGACGCATCAGGTAACCTGAGAAGTCGTCAGTGGTGTGAAAACTTCAGGTTGTATCGGGTCTTGCCTCCAAAGATCTTTTGGTGGACGCTAACAATAAACGTCTTATCATGACAGTCTTGGGCAGCAGTACTACAAAACATACTTCCTATCTTGTGGATGCATCAAGGCGGTGCTCTCCAGCATTGTATTCCCCATTGGGGTTGTCTCCAATGGCCTCCCTTTGCTATCAGTGAAGGGTTGATGCACAACAAAGAGACTGTGAATGAGAGAACTTTCGTCCTCGCACGGCGGGGAACGACTCAAGGACAGGAGACTGATTTTCTTTTTCCGTTCCTTTCCAACTGAAAGATCATATCAACACGCGCGGGCACTCTTGATGAATAGAACTGACCTTTGCCGATATGAAAAAGTTCTCGCTCTGTCTCCGTCTCAAGTATGAGTGGGTTCAGCTTCTGCGCCTTATGGGTTACTGCATCTCGACAAACCATGGAGAATCTACCTAGATGACATGCAGGGTGAAGTTTGCGATGGACCCGGCAGGCAAAAGTTTCAGACTCACCAATCATTACAGTTTTCTCCTCCCCTGTGGTTTCATTCACGCTCTCCAACTTAATTGCTACTTCCATTGAGCTAGCACCTACGAAGATGACTTGCCCGCTTATTCGAAGATCGCTGGTGTCCTGCGGCGTGAGTGGTTGAAGCATATCCAATCTGAGGAACCACGTCAGGCCACCTGACATGCACAACCTGTGGCATCGCCCACCGATCAATGGACGCAGTAACAAAGTAGAAGCCTTCCAGAACTCATAAAACAAATGATTAAATCCTAGAACCTCGGAATGCTCACCAACATCACTAATTGAGCCGAGAGACTCTACTGCAGGACCAAGCGCATGTTTGTATGCCACAGAGCCTGCAAGCGAGTCGAGATGTTCCATTATCTTCCCGGTGCGAATTCCCCCGTTAGCGTTCGTGTAGCTATCGAGGAGGTGAGGATCGGACGCGAATGGCAGGGTCACTTGAGCGTAGCTCTCATGCATACGCCTTGGCATCAGATTCGTTCCGGCCCCAGCTGGAATTTCTGTAATTTCGCTCCTAGGGGAAGACACAGCCGTACTTAAAAGGTTATCTCGCCAGAGGATTGGCAGACGCAACGGCATTGCGCTAGAATCAAATGAGGGCATGAACCGATCCTGAACGTGACAGAATGCCTACATCCTTGGTAACCCACCAACGAAAAGCCGGCTCAGATCTTTCCCTCACTGTCTTCAATAAGTTATCAAGCATCAATAGGTTGTGCGTTTCGGTTGCTGGTTTGATGATGAGCTCTGGAGGGACGCTGGAGATCCCTCTGCGGGGGGAACTAAAGAGAGAAACCCGGTGTCTGGGACCAAATGACGCGATCCGTGCGCTTCCCAACGCAGAGGATGTGCGTTGGGCCCAAAAGAGGGGATTCATCTTTGCGAGAGGCCCAACTAGAGAATCGAATGTGAGTGGCTATGCATTGGTCGTGTCGCCGAACCGTGACTGTCCCTGAGCTCATCGGCATCCCATAATGTCAGGTCTCGCGTTCTTGGTAACAGAACTCCAGGTATGCGCCTTAAAAGTGCACATGGTCACTGCAGGGACCTTACTTTCTCCCTTTACAGTCGCTGGCTAGTGAAACTCGGAGGAAATACCCTGACGTTCGAGATGTGGGTATTGTTTGCAGTCCCCACTAAGGCTTCCTCATTATGCCGCTCATCCACAACCCCACTTGAAGGCTGCAGAGAAGTCCCTCTCTATGCTGAGAGCTTCTCCTGAACAAGCATCTGCAAGTTTGCTCACGGGTGCGCTGTGGTCTAGCTTGTCTTTATTTGAGCGGAAGATTTGATCCAATTCTCCTAACTTGATTCGTAGATGGGGCCCAATCAGAGGAGTTACTTAAGCCAATATTCATGGGATGCGCTACCAAAAATCCGAAAGTCGTCACTATTTCGCTCGGCTCACTTCAGCGCTTAATCGTCATGAAGGCTGTCCCCCTTTCATCCATTCCTCATATCGTATCCACAGTTGCCGATTGCATGTCTCAAGGCGTTGATGTGCAGCTCCGTATACTTCAAACATTGTTGTCACTTCTCACCAATTATTCTGGTATCCATGGGGTGTTACTTGGGGACGTGCGTGGCATCCACAACCTCTCACATCCTTACATCCTGACATAGATATGCTCACAGGCATTATTGTTGTGTTTTAGACTACAGGAGTCCAGAATTGCCGTCGTTTCATCTACTGCAGCCGCTACGCTGCGGCAGCTCGTGATGCTAGTATTTGACAAGGTGGTTGATGCCGAACGGATGGACGAGGTTGACGAGGATGGGAAGGAGCGAGAGAAGACAGTGTTTCCTAATGGCACAGAAGTATTCCTTTCTCCATCCTCCAGGGATGCATTTTGCGTGTTTCAGGACCTATGCTTGCTAGCGAACTCAGAGCGCCCGAGTTTCCTCAGCCTCGAGTCCCTGCCAAAAACCTTTGCTCTGGAGTTAATCGAGAGTGTGCTGGCTAACTATCACTCTATGTTCAGAAAGGTATCTAGTTTACGACATCATGTCTGATCAAACCTGACTTTTCAACTGGCAGCGATCCGAGCTGCTCTTGCTGCTTAGGCATCATCTTTCACCGTTGCTACTAAAGGCCCTTTCAGATAAACCTATATTTCCCTTAACCCTCCGCTCCACACGAGTCGTGTTCCTTCTGCTCAAACAGTTCCTCGAGTTGCTGGAGACTGAAGGGGAAGTATTCCTAATGCTATTCATAAAAGTCATCTCGGGTGACCATGATAATCATGAAGCACCTCGTCCATCTTGGATGCGGGTGCTTGCCATGGAGATCATCCGAGGGTGAGTAGTACACTTCAGCTCGTGTGTGACAACTAACTGTTCTCATGCAATCCCACTTTACAGACTATGCAGTGATGCCGAGATTGTTCGCCAAATATGGGATCGTTACGACGGGGCCAGAGCAAAAAGCTCCTCAAAAGTTTTCTCATACCTTGTTACGGCGTTGAAACGTCTCGCCACTGAGAAACCTGCTCTCCTGGGTTCATCCTCTCAAATATATGGATCCGGGGTGTCTGCCATCCTTTCACAGTCTACATTAGATTTGGGTCTTAGCGGAGCTTCGGGATATGGGATTGAAACCGTCGCTGGTGTTGTTGCGAGCGCTGCCAATATGGTCGGAATCGGTTCAGGCACAGGGCTTAGCATCCAGGGTGCCTCAATGAAACTGCAATGGTGCGTACATTTAAGATGTAGAAGGCCCACCGTTAAAAACCGTGCACAGCATTGATCAACTCGATAAGGCGGATGCACCAGCGATCCCCGAACTTTATGTCTATCTTTTGGCTTTGCAGTCCTTAGTGGCGCTTACCGAAGCCTTTGCCTCTCTCTCTGTCCCCCTCTATACATCTATTGCCATTCAACGTCCCCGTGCTGCAGGGGATTCGCCTATACGGGCACCACCGGCTCTTGACATCTCGAAATTACCGGATTCAGAGTCCAGCACACAGCAGCTGCGATCGGTGTATGGCATGATTGAAGCCGCTTGGCCAGCTACACTGGCTGCATTGTCCTTCTTTATCACTACGACTCTTTCAGATGACCTTTTCGTCGAAGTACTGACTGGTTTGCAGAGCATGGCAAATGTAGCTGGAGTAGTTGGACTGAGCACCCCTCGGGATGCGTTCTTGACATGTCTCAGCAAATTCGCAATTCCGTCTGGAGTTGTCTCCGCCCTCGATTCAGCTGCTTCATCAGAAACGCCTGCGACGCCCCGTTCAGCAAGTGTGCTCTCGGCCGCCACAGAAAATTTAGCTGCGTTAGCTAACAGTGTAGGGGGCAGCGGACCTGCGGCAAGCGTTACCCCATCCCTCTCAGATCGCAATATGACCTGCTTGAAAGTGCTTATCTCAACCGCACTCTTCCTTGCCGGGAGTCTCGGCAGCAGCTGGTTCGACGTGTTGGAAACACTTCAGAATGCCGAGTATGTCCTATTCGTCAAAGGTCCTTCTGCCACTCGCCGTGCTTCCACGGGGCCCTCGGGACTCAGCCCAATCAAATCCCGTACAGCCTCGATGACTCCCCCTGCTGCAGCTTTGAGTGTGGGATCCCCATCGAGCCATACCAGGTCTTCCATAATGTCTGACATCGACGTGGAGAGTGTCAGAGCCATGATGAATCGACTCTTTGATGCGTCAAAGAATCTTGATGATGAAGCTTTTCAATTTTTCATCACGGCTCTCTGTAAACTGAGTTCTGAGATGATTAATATGCAGGCAGGACTAGCGCCCACGGAATCCCAGAATGAGAACAGTGTAGACGATCTCTCGTCAGGACTGTTGCCACCACGAGTGGAATCACCTCACCGTCGTCGGGCTAGTGGGATCCAGCTCACAAGAAACATTGTAAGTAGGAAGAGAGCGTTTTTATTTCTATCCTACTCATGCCCTCGTAGCGAGGCGGTGACTTTGGCATTGCCAGATTAGGTTCTGTGTCGAAGCTCAATATTCATCGTCTCATCTATCGGGATCCCGCTCTCGCATGGAATATTGTTGTAGGTCACCTCCTATCAACCTTGAAGAACCCCCTTGCGCCTTCACCTATCCGTCTCCAATCAGCCGAGGTTCTTGATGACATCTTGGTTGTTGTTCCAAGAAACATCACAAACCTAGGCGATCAGGCTGAGATGCAACAAAGAATGTTCCGTGCTCTGAGTGAGCAGGTGATTTTTGAACCACCGCAGTTTTCGTTCACTGTCACAGAAGTACGACGTCTGGGTCTCGAATGCCTGCATGAGATACTGCAGTTTTCCGCTCACACCCTAGTGACTGGATGGGAGACTATTTTCGAGGTTTTGTCCAGCGTCTGCATCCCACCACCTTCGTACTCACCCTTGCCGCCCTCCCCACGATCCCCCTCCGATCAAGCCGAGAGTTCGTCGCGTCCTCGGCCGCCTCCACTTTCGTCTCCTTTGATTAAGTCGAATGCTTCTCTACTACGGATCGCCTTTCAGTCCTTGACTCTGGTTTGTGATTCCATCGACGCCTTATCCCCTGACAACCTTCGGCTTTGTATCAATACCATTGGTCAGTTCGGCACACAGCCCGATACAAATATAGCGCTGACGGCCGCCGAGAGTTTGATGTGGGGCGTATCGGATTCTGTCCAATCCAAGCGGAAAGATTCAGACAAAGAACCTGTCTACAGCAGTCTGTGGATGTTCCTTTTATCGGAGCTGCTCCAACTATGTGCCGATCTTCGTACTGAGGTTCGGAATGGCGCGATCCAAACGCTTTTCCGCTCGCTTCAGCTTTATGGGGCAACTTTGAGTCCTGAAATGTGGACGGAGTGCCTTGAAACCATTGTATTCGCCCTATTCGATTCCCTATCATCCTCTATCCGTAAGCTGCATACCGATCTCTCCACATCATCCAACACGGCCGTGCTGGCGATAAATGAGTGGTATAACACAAAGAGTCTTGCCTTTCAGTTAGTCGGATCAGTGCTTTCAGAGTTTCTTATATCACGCATCATCCGCCTCCCCGCCTTTGCGAAAATTTGGCAGCGGTTTATTACCCATATTACACAAGCCGCTTTATTAGACAACCGGATTGTTACTACTGCCGCGCTAAGATCCCTCGAGGCAAGCATCAATGCTTCACGGACCGAGGCGGAGGATCTTCAGGACGCTTCGAGAACTGCACGTGAGGCTGCATGGAGCAGTCTTGAAGCGGTAGGGTCGGCGGTTGCGAATCAGCGGGAGGCATCGGGAGCACCACCAACGGAGATCGGAGCCACCCCTCCTTTCAATCAAGACAGTTTGCTTGCTCTGGCGGATGTGCTGAGGGTCTTGTATGTCTTTAATGGAGATCAGTGGGAGCTAGGAAGGTTGCGGCAGATGATGTTCATCCTTAAAGCCATCATGACATACACCAAGTCGCCAGAGTATCGACCAGATGTTGACAAACTCACCCCTGTTCAGGCGAGATTTAGTCTGTCGATGTCGAAGCGAATTACTGACGCTAGTCTTAATAGTTAGCAGTTATACAGGCTGTGGAAGCTATTAAACTCACTGTTCGTTTCTCACCTTCACTTGTCTTGAGTGATCTGTCCGAGTTTGCCACCTTGGCATTTGTTGCTGCGTTCGAGGTGGAGAGCAACTCGGGCCCTCAGAACTCAGCCGCTTCAAAACAAGTGACATACATAGCCTTAGCTAAGTACGCAATGCCGAAGTTAGTGGATTTATACCTCATCCATAAGACTGAGTTGGACATCTACAATGATGGGACGTTGGAGCGTGTTCTCTCGGTAAGCCATTCGCACTGTCTGCGCATTGCCGTGTCTCAACTACATACAGTCATATTCCATCCCTATGAAGTTGAAGTACGACTGTCCAGCACCATCAAAATTCGGATCAGATGAACCCCTATGGAAAACTGCGACGACGAACTTTCTTAAGATCGTGAGGGAGTTAGGTCAGAGCATTAAGAGCTTCAGTGACAGTACGTCGTCGAAACTATGGGAGCTCGTTTAGTTGATCTGTTCAACCCGCTATCCAGCTATCCTTCCCGAACATATGGAGGGAATTTGGCGTCAGGCTCTGGATGTCTTCCGTGGCGCGCTTCTCGCTGATTGGTACGTTTGCTTTACACACATCCAGTTTGCGAACGTCTGAATCCCCTTAGTACTGCTGTCACCCAATTCTCACTTGAAAAACAAGATGCGGAAGAGAAGTTCGACCTAGCACTACTTGCAACATTGGAGATCGACGTGATCCCATACGTTGGTGACGCCCGAGTGCCTGATCCCGTGATTGTAAGAATCTCGTAGCGTCCCGGAATGTTTTTGACCCTTTCATCCTTACAGATCCAGCTAGGGAAGACTTTGCAGAACGCCTGTGTACTTCACGACCTAGAGTCACATTTTGAAGCGCGCATGGACTCTCTACAACGACCTGATAATGGAGGGAAGAAGGGCAAACCAAACGGTCTTCCCGTGGAACCGTTGCCAATATTCGGTACCACAGCGCAGGCTAATCTGCTTCCTCGTGAACGCTTCAACTATTGGTGCTTCGATTTGCTGTTCTTAGCGTGCTCGGCTTCCACTCAAGGCACGTCGAGTCTGGTAATGGCGGGGCGTTGTTAATGACCCACTCTGAATTAGACAATGCCGCAGAACGGCAGAGGATTGCTGCTCTTATATTGCCAAGCCTGTTGAACAGATGTCATACTGTTCTAGCGACATACGTTGTAGACGAGGCACTGCGAGGAGGGGTACCATTTCCAAGGTGAACGTTAGAAAAACACCCCCGACTCCACCCTCTAACACATTTACAGGGCAAGAGAAGAAGAGCTTCTGTACGTGCTTCGCAAGCTCCAGGAACTTCGCCTTTGGCATGGGTGTTTATGGGCAGCTTTCTCAAATGATCCTTCCAGGTGGAGTGTCAACGTTCCAGGTATTTCACTATCTTCTCGTCTGTCATTCGTGTGGCTGACAGAGCCCCATCAGACATCGATACAACGTTAGAACCTCTGAAGATGATTGCAGATGCAACAAAACGATCGAGTCAGGCCCACCTTTTTCATTTCTACACTTTGCTCTACGAAATTGCAACTATACGCCGGGCCCCTCCGTCAATGTGGGTTGCTTCCCCATATTCACCAACGCATTCGCCTTCTGCTTCGGATTCCAAGGTGAACGGATCAAAGAGTAAAGAAAAGAACAAGAGTAAAGAGAAGAACAAAAAGGACAAGACACATAGTCCCGCTCAGTCTATCCATGAGCGGAGAGGGACGATTGGAGCCGAAGTCGACGATGAGGTTGACGCGCCAGGCACTGTAATTGAGGTAGATACTCGCATCCTTGCGAAAGCTTGTTTGCGGCAGATCGGCAGGGAAATGGGTGCGGAGATCTAGATTGTATAGCCAATGCTCGGTTTTGGATGTGTGGACTTTTCGTCAATTGAATTCCCTTCAAGTGTAAGGTTCGCAGCAGCAAAGTACTCATGTCATAGACTCCGCTCGACAGGGAACCACCATCGGACCTCCTCGTCATACTCTTCCTCGACAGTCCAGTATGTCCTACCAAACCACGCTTGCTCAAGGTAAGGTTCCCAGAATTCAATCTCACATACGTTCTTCGTTATTCGATAAGAGGCAACGTGTGGGCTAGGACCGAGATACTCATGCCTGGCTCATACATGTGAGAACGAATGAAAACAAGATAAGTGTTCAGCAGTACCTCTTAGGAAGAATAGCGCCAGAACCATCTGATGCGACCTGCTGGACGTAGTTAACGGCTGAGATCTCGATGGGAGTGTTGTAATGCCTGTAGGTAATGGCGCTCAAATCATCGCCACGGTTGAAGCGGACCTTGAGAACAAGATCCTTCGATTCACCCAGATCGGGCAGATTTACGGCTGGTGCACTCACAATGTCATGTCCGCTCGTTGAGTTGAGATTCCTGGGCAGTAGTAGTTTCCCAGCAACAGGAGCGATGAACTTTCTGACCGGGGGCTTTTCGAGTGCCCAGGCCTCAGCCTTTAATTTCTCGAATGCAGGGCCCTTGAGAGTGCCTTTCAGCTCATTTATAATCTCCTCCTGCTCAGCAGCCGAAAGAGACGACCACGGGCCTTTCCCTATTCTTCAACATGATAGAGCATTGTCTGGCACTGGAGCTGCAACGACCCACCTTTTTCGTCCGCAAGATATTCATCTCTTTGTCGGTTAAACGTTTCCAAAGCGTCGGGTGTCCAAACTCGATCCATTTTATCTCAAACTCCAATTTAGCGGATTTTCAAATTTTCACCTTCGTTGGTCAGCTCGCACAGCCGCAAGTTCTCTTCTGGACTCAAATCGGAACCCGTTCACCGGGGATGATCGATAAACACTGTACTCCATTGGAACTTGGGTTCTAACATCTTCTATCCATCGTTCACCGCTTTTACAGGATGCCTCCCGTTACGGATGAGAAAATACTTGAAGGTGTTCTGCAGCACCCGGCCAATGCGGTCAAAGGTGCCAAGGCGGCAGGGAGTAAAATAGGCTACATCGAGCTTTCTGCTCTCACGTATGCGGCGAAAGAGGTGTCAGTCTATCATCAGCTGCGAGACGCGGGTGTTTTGGATGTTATTTTGGGCGCCTTTGTAGACGGATATGACAGAACAGCTGAGGACATCCAGGCTAGTACTGTCATCCTTCCATGTCAGGTTGCATGACATCTGAAAGCGCGAGGCTTTTGGCAGGACAAAACCGTGGCGTCTCCCCATTGGATTCTTCCTTTTACTGGTCTCATCAACTTTCTCGTGTCATTGAAGAAGGACGGAATCCAGACTGAGGCCAATGCAGGAGCGCTTAAAACCATCGGGAATGCATATCCTCGTCTCGAGAGCACAATCGATAAAGAAGTCCAACTCCTCAGCGCTGAACGTGAAGGTCTGGACGCTATCACCAACATTTTGTCTCTAGGACTTTACCATCTTTCACGAGTGCCCGACGTCAGCGACAGGTTGGTGTGGGTTGGCCTCGAGAGAAGCAGCATTTTCTCACACGGATTCCTACTCCAGAAAGCTGATGTATTCTTCAAAGTCGTTGTCGATACTGTCAGCATGCTACCATCTTGCGCGACCCATTCAGGCCCGGCGGTTACTTTGTGTGGTAATCCGTCAGCTCCTTGTAAACGAGTCTAGGAATCCAGCTCTAAATCCCCCGCCTGATGCATTGGAAATATTCTTGAAATCTCATGGAGGGGTTGAGGCAATAGCTGTCACTCTCCGCCAGATCCTCATTAACTACACCGTGCATCAGCTTAGCGGCGATGATCAGAGCACTCCAGATACACCCAAGCTGCCCGAGAATTACCAGATCGATGCGACTCAGATTTCCGCTGAATTTATCGCCCTGGACGCGTTTGTTGAAATAACTCATCCAAGCAGTCAAAGGTTCTCACAGCTCTCGCTAGACGAAGATGCGGTTCGGCTTCTTGGCACACACTTTGCAATGGCGAAGGATAGTGATAGTGAGGAAGTTAGGGAGAATCGTTGGATGGTTGTCAACAACGTTGCACCGTTTATCAAGTAAGCACTTGTGCGGGGTATTTAATTTGTCTGAAGTCTTGCCCTGCGGTGATAGTAATGTGATTAACGCGGCACCGAACCCGGCTCAACGGATTGCAGAGCTCGTTATTTCCTCTAACTTCCTAACTGTTGCCAGCCAATCGCTTGTCATGGCTGCTGCAACAAAAGATGCTCACAACTGTAAGTAATATTACCAGTCACTCTATGACCCGAGCGGTTTATGGACGGCCACGCCCGTAGCCGCGTGGTACCGTATCTTCAAGATGATCATCCATACCGTTCAATGTAAAGACTTGTCATGCAGGGTTTACCTCCCTGCGATCCCCTCGGAGCCAAACGCGCTCTCGCTTCAGAGGACCCTTGCCAACGCATTCCGCCCCCTTTTCCTCCCCGTCCTCGATGACATCGATGTTCTTATCTCAAAACAAGCCACAGATGAAGCAGCCATACCTGAAAGCTTAAAACAGCACTTGAACATCGCGGAGGACGAAGAAAAGGAGAAAGAAAAGGAGAAAGAGAAAGAAAGGAAGTTGCGCGAGAGCGCAGCTCTTTGGCAGACCGTGTTAACCTGGAGAGCACTTGCCACCGGACTAGGCTTCAACGAAGAAGTAGAGAGAGGGACGAGAAAGGATGTCGAACGAGGGGCCACTATTGATCATGCAAAATTTTGCTGGTGGTACAAGTGCGACACGAAGGACGCTTCCGAGACGTACAAGCGATGTTCGGGATGTAAGGCTGTATCGTGAGTGCTTCTTTAATTTCGCACACTGTTCGGGAGCATGAACCTGATTTGAATCTGATCGATTCTTTTTTTTCTCTTGGCACCCGAAGGTATTGCTCACCCGACCATCAAAAGCTTGACTGGAAGGAGGGCGCACACAAAGATGTATGCATGATTTTGCAAAACGCCTGAATACATTTACAATTTGATTCCTTATGTGAATGCTAAATTTGGGTTCGGGCGCGTATATGACCATATATAATTTTACGTAATCGGCCGATCCGAGGGCTAAGCGCCAAACATCGCTAGCAGCAGGAACGATGGCGCTACGGGTTGGGTACATCCGCGAACAGTTCGCATCGCCACTTCTTCAGGTAGGCCACGCGACCATCCCTTTTCGCGTTCATCCTAGCCTAATACCTTTCCCTTGCTGGGTCACAGTTTGCAGAGGAGGATAGGGGAAGAACGTTCACGCTTGTGGAATGTCCAAGTCCGTTGATAGTTCGTCTTTTTGAGAGATACGAGATCTCAAGGGCCTCTTTGGTTCCTTTCGAGTCTTTGGCTGTTCAGCCTGCCCCCTTAACCACTGAACCCTGATCATAGGCGGCACCGGTCAAGTCATCTCTCGCCTCACGAACAATGAGGTAGATGTTGCGATAGCCCTTACAGATCCACTGCTTGCTGGGATTGCAAAGGGATCGGCTGCGTATAAGCTCGTCGGAAGCTATGTCACAACGCCACTGAATTGGGCTGTCATTACGAGTTCGAAGAGCAAGCATAAAAAGATCGAGGACCTTCGAGGGACGACGCTGGGCATTTCAAGGATTGGAAGGTCGATTAACACTCTTCAGGTTCGACAGCTTCTGATCAAGGGTTTTGCAGTGGATCGCATGTGATGGCGTATGTTATGGCGCAGCAGCAAGGTTTCTCGGCTTCCTCAACCCTGATTGAGCCCATGTTTTTATGATCTTCCCTATCTTAGGCTGGTTGGATACTAAAACAAACCAGGTGGAGGAGATGGCATTTCAGGGTAAGAGTCACCCTGCGAATCCCTTATACTAACGTGTTTGACGGAACCTCCCCCCAAAAAGTGAACAACAATATCGAGGGCCTGGTTCGTTCCGTGAACGATGGATCAACATCTGCGTTCATGTGGGAATGGTACGAAACAGATCTTTCACAGTATTGGTGATTGACTAACCGAATTTCAAGGTTTACTACCAAACCCTGGGCTGACCGAGGAGATGTCCGGTTTGTACGTGCAAATACGACTTCACACAGCTGATCTTTTTCATTCTCGTCTCTTGAGTTCAGATAGATTCTGTTCCCACGCCCTGGCCATCGTGGATGATCGCGGCTCAGACGAAAGATCCTTCCGAGTCGGAACCATTCGACTTCCTTGTTTCAAATTGGCTCGAGTCCTTAACTGTGTATATCAATCGTTTTACCACCGCTGACACTGCAATCCAAGTCAAGTATATCAAGGATACCTTTGGGTACAAAGAGGAGGATATCAGGAGTTGGCTCATCACAGTCGCCTGGACACTGAAGGCCAAGGACATCAGGGAAAGTGTCTTGACTCATACATTAGAGTTAGTTAGCTCCTTCCTAAGTGAGGAGAAAGTTTCTGGGGGAAGCTAACCTTTTTCCCCAACGATAGTGTCCTCCACAGCGCCAATGTGATACCAGCGTCATATACAGCCTCCTATAGCCATTATATCAATACTACAGTGGCGAATATTATTCTGACTGCGAACGAGTTAGCTAACGCTTCCAAGTATGCTATGATGAGCATGTTGGAATAACAAGCAAGGACGGTCGCAGGGGCATGAGCTTGGGAAAGAACTATCGAGATATGAATGTGTTGGCAAGGTCTATAAAGAGGCATATCTGGACGAAACATTATTGAACTGTAGTCATTAACTTGCAAAGATTAACTGAAAGTCACTTTGTTGCCGGTCAAGCTGAACGTCGGTTGTGAATAGCGAGTTCGGCAATCCAGGACTGCTCAAGTGCAGAAACTGTTCTGGCATATGTATTGTTCGTGAAGATCTGGGAAGAATAAGGACTTGTCACATGAAAGAGTGTGTTGATCCACTACATACTAGTTCGTCGTAGACAATTGCGGGTACTTTGCGTCCGAACAGAGTTGATGAAGGGTGTATTTTCACGGGCTGTGTTCGAGCCAGAAGCGCGTTATAACGCTGACGTTTTAAATAGGATAAGTCAAAAACACACCAATCTTGACACTATTTGCCGGTACGTTCCGTCTTGCTGTATCAAGGCACAGTTTTGGAAAGTGCCACGGAGAATACTTTTAAGGACGCCATCTGTCTCATCACCACATGATGTGGTAGGGTCGATGCCCACGCGTCTGCAGGCAAGTGCAAGCTGTTGCGCTATATCGCCCGCTTCTGCAAATGCACGTTCGTTGATGTAGTGTTTCTGACACCAGTCTTTCAACGCTCGCTTGCTACCTGGACCATCGAGGCCGCCATTGCCTGCCTTCACTTCTTCATATGCATGAAGAATATTTAAATGGGTGAGATGGTCGCCAGAAGAGTGCCGGAACTTGTTTCGCATATCGGCCACCGTGTCACGCTCCTCCGAAGTTGGCTCCATTAAGAGTTTAGATGTGGAGGATAGAAATGACACAATCTTGATAACCTCTGCAGTGCACGAGTACTCTTGTGAAGCCAAGAGCGCACATGCCCACGGAGGGTCAAGTGGGAAATTCGCCATTTGCTTTCCTAGAGCAGTTACTTTCCCTTTCTCATCAAGCGCTTGTAAGCCATACAGAATCAGGAGGGAACTTTGTACTAAAATTCGGCCGTCATGAGGAAGTGAGGAGAATGCTGATCGAGGGCTCAAGCTGACCACTTTCTTCGCTGGGAGGATCCAGATATTCCTCCGAGGTTGGATCGATGTCAAAACACTTGAGTGTCAAGACAGCAGAGGCAAGGTTGCACCGTTGTATTTCTGGGGTAGCTGCTTCCCGGAAGTTCTTAAAGGCTTCTTCTGTATAAAGACGAAAACAAACACCAGGCCCCTGCACAATATAACCAGTCTAGTGTGTTGGTCCTGTTATTCCATAGGCGAGTTCTCACTCACCTCTCGACCTGCTCGACCAGCCCGTTGCCGGGCAGATGACTTGCTTATTGGTTTTACGAGCAATACATCCATCCCTACATTGGGCACAGAGTACGCATAAACAATTGCCACCGGAGAGAGTTGAATAGTCAGCTCACCGGTTCCTTTGTGATTCTGTGTTACAAAACTCTTTTCCTTTGCAACACCGGTATCAATGACAAACTTGATCCCTGGTATTGTGATGGATGTCTCAGCAATGTTTGTCGCAAGCACAACTTTCCGAGTGTCAGGGGGAGCTGGTATAAATATCTTGTGCTGCTTGTGCTGTGGGAGAGCTGCATAGAGTGGACAAGTCAGAATCTAAACAACGATGAGTTCTCTTCTGTGAATTATGAAAACGTCAGGGGACATACTTTCATTTTTCCCTCAGGCATTTGGTCCGCGTAAATGTTGATGGATTTATTTAAACTTTCGATCTCATCCTGACCTGGTGAGGGGCGGGTCGGAATCGAGTCTGAGGTCAATGAACCAACGCACCAGATAGAAAAACGAGTACGTCGCCTTTTCCATGGCTCATATGAATTTGATACAGCGTGCGAAGTGCAGATTCCACGTAGTCTTCCTGATAGTTTTCGGTGTAGTAAACTTTTACGGGATGTTGTCTGCCTTTCACGTACAGCATCGGCGCGCTGAGGGAAGAGTGAGCTCAGTGGTGCCACTCATCCGCAGACCTCACCCGTTGAAAAAATTACTAAATCGCTCGGCGTCCAGCGTAGCGCTCATAATGATGATAGTCAAAGGGTTTTCCTTATCGTGCTCTGGAGCTTTACCCTTAGTATCTGCTCGTTTTCCCGAATTCCTATGACGCTGAATCCTTTTAAGGGCTGAGAATAATAGGTCGGTTCGAAGAGTCCTTTCATGAGCTTCATCCACGATGATGACGCTATAACGCGATAACAATGAATCGGACATTAACTCGCGCCCAAGCATGCCGTCCGTCAGATACTTGATTTTGGTCTCAGGACCGCTCTTCTCGTCGAACCGTACCGCATACCCAACCCTCTCACCCAGTATGGTGCCCTGTTCAGCGGAGACTCTGCCGGCTAGTGAGATGGCGGCAACCCTTCGGGGCTGCGTGACGGCAATAACCCCCTTAAAATTCTGAGATTCCAGTAAGAACTGGGGTACTTCTGCTTATAACGCTCAAAAGGTCGTACTGGACGTTTGTAATGGTCACTTACGAGTAGTCTTGCCGCTTCCGGTTTCCCCCAAAATAACAACAGTGTCATTGTTTATGACGGCTCGCACAAGACTCTCCCTCCCTAGAGACCTCATATTGGTCACATGCATCATTCAAGAACCGATGACAGGCCCACCACTCCAAATTGGCAGAGATTTCCTTTGGGTCAATAGTTCTGCAGTTCGTTGAGACATTCTGAAACGTTTCTTCGAGGTTGCCTGAGCGGCGAGATTTCCACCAGGGCCATGTACCCGGTCGACGGGCACACCAATGTCGTCATCTTCTAGCTCATCCATTGTGACCGTCCGTGGCCGCTTAAATGAGGAAATTCCATGGCTGCCGAATTGCGATGCAGAGCTTGACGCTTCTATGCACCCACAATTGTAGGTGAGTTTCTTCCATCCCCCCTCCTCAATGGATCAGCATGCTTACTTGCACTGAGCGAGCTTGACGGCGCTTGCATGGGTCAAGCGTGAAAAAGAAGGACAGCCAAATACTAAATAGATAGCAACATGTATAAATATCACTGCCACTTGGACCTGGCCTTCATGCACGTTTCGGTGTTGCATTTCAACGACGTTTACCGCGTCGGGAAACAGAAGATTCCATCGGGGACGATTGACGTCACCCAGTTTTATGAACTCGTGAACTCCATACGACGTTCCTGGAGTGACACTCGAAATGGTCTATTGCTGTTTTCGGGGGACGTGTTTTCTCCTTCAGTGGAATCCTCTGTCACCAGGGGCAGCCACATGGTTCCAATAATGAACATGATCTGTCCTGACGTAGCCCTTACCGGTGAGCGATGCCTTCGCGTTTTGAGATCAAGTAAAGAGCCCATCTTATCACCTAAATGGAGGCAATCACGATTTCGACGTAAGTGAACTGACACTTGCCAGTTAATGATGAACAGCTTGAAGCGTTCTCTACCTTCAGTTTGGGGTTTGTCCCTCCCACGCTCCCCACGCGGAAGCGTGTCGTTGATGAAATGCTCTGCAGTATCCGCATTTGTGCAAGCTAATCGCCGATTGCAAGTTTGTGCGTCGCCGAAGGCTCATGTAATTTGGATAGTTTATGATACCTCTTCTAGCCCTGGATTCTCAGCAATATCATCGACGCCAGATCGAATGATACTCCTGCTCAACTCGAGCCGTACCGGATTCTCACGATGCAAGGGGTTCGCGTGGGCGTGATTGGACTTGTCGAAGAGTAGGCCTACATCAGATTTGAGGACCAACAATTTACCTGCATTTCCAGGAATTGGATTGCTACAGTCCCTTCTTGGCCTCGAGAGTTCAAGTATCGGGACATGGCCGAAGTTGCAATCGAGCTGTCCCGAGGGTTACGGGACCCAAATGGTGAACATTGTTGCGATATTGTGATTGCCTTGACGCACGCCAGGTACAGTCTAACCGCATATAATGACAATCAGGAATTAAGGTAACTTCCTCAGGTTACCGAATGTAGATTTTCCAGTATGCCTATTATCCGCATCAGGATCAAATTGACGTGCAAAATAGGACATTAGTCTTGCCAAACAATTATTTGCAACAAACAATGTCGATGAAGCCAGGAATCATCATGGCGTGGACTTGATACTTGGGGGTCACGATCACATTTATTACATCGGTAGAGGTGTCGAAGAGTGGAATAACTATCAGCATGCACCACATGAACCTGGGACAGAAGAGGACAATGGTGTGAGGTGTGCACTCATGTTGTTGTGGGTTGCTTTTTCTCACAGCAGGTAACTTCAGGTTAATTAAGAGTGGAACTGATTTTCGCGATCTGAGTGAAGCTGTACTCGAATTGGAGGACTCCCCCATTGGGAGTATTCGGAAGAAGGTGGTTGCACGAGTCAAAGGTACAACTGGTCCCACCAATGTTATGGCGCAATCTCACATTCAGCAGGAAAGCGACACCAAATTAATCCTGATATGCCTTCGTCAAACGAGATGAAAGTTATGTTGTCCAAGCTTCTGTCTGATGTTTCCGCCTCTCTGGGTGCGCCTATCTGCTACACGATTACGGAGTGGGACGTCAGATCAGAGGTTGTTCGCACGGACGAGGTGGGCAGTTATCTCGAAGCCCGTTCTGACGGCTCAGCGGTCAAATATCTAGTCTGCAATCGGCAACTGGATGGCTGATGTTCTTATGCATGCGTACGATGATGCTGTATGGGACACTGGGCAACGCGAAGGCGGCGCTGATGGCGTTTTGATCTGTGGGGGAACTCTGCGGGGCGATTCACAATATGGGCCGGGTAGATCCCTGCAGCCGCATTTCAGACGCGCTATCAGCACTTACGCGATCTACAGGAAACGTCACAATCGGGGACATCTTGGGGATTTTGCCGTTCGAAGACCCGATCGTTGTTATCGAGATTGATGGTGCTGGCCTTTGGGATGGGTTGGAGTCGGCTCTCAGCATGTATCCCAGCCAGGAAGGGTACGTGTATTCGGAGATGCTGTGATTTTCTCTAATAACACTTCCTGCTGCCGATAAGACGGTTCCCTGTCATATCCGGTTTCCAAGTGGAATGGGATTCTCGCAAACCCCCTGGGCAGAGAGTACTTGGGATTTGGCTGACTGATAGCATCGATTTGACATCTGCACAGGCGGATGTACGCAGAGGAGAGGCTGTCCCACGGATAGAGGGTGGTCGATTGTACAAACTTGTCAGCCGCCAGTACATGTGTGAGGGGCATGATGGGTTTCTCGCGCTCCAAAGGCGCCGTTACCTTGTTGACGAGGAAAGTGGCGTTATCATGAGCTCCATCATACGAAAATTCCTTCTAGGTGTGATTTGCTCATGTCACCCTATGCTGATTGCGTGTCTGATCGACTTCCACTACCAACCCAGGTTCACAATACATCTATGTGATGAAACAGTTGACAACCAGCGCATTACAAGATCAGGAGCACTTTGATGACCAAACTAAAGAGGCGATAGCGCATGCCCGAGCAGAGTGGGAACACGGTGGCCATTCACCCATGACTGAAACGAAAATGAGATGGGTCGAAGCCACAACAAAGATTTTAAGCTCATCCCAAAGACATTCCCGTCGAAACATAAAAAATGCGCTGCGCGTCGGGGGTAGAGAACACATGTCAACGGTGGATCCGTTTGATGGACAAGGTGCCCGTGTAAATGACTGCAGAGTCGCTCAGTCACCTATGGTTGATGGAGGGGGAGAGAATCTGATTCATGTTCAACCTGTGAAAGATGGTAGATTACGAGATATAGGCCGTGCCTGAGTAGTCGTGTTCAGAGACTTAGACAATCCCAAATATGAACACGTCCCAGATTGTTGTGGAATCGATATGAAGGCCCCCATTGAGGAGATTAAACCCCCGATTAAAGGGGAGATATCATGGAAGGGCATCCTCATGAAATGAGACCAACTCTGGCCCATGACCCAGCAACGGAATGTTTCCAGATGCGTTGGGATATGTCCGGACTGAGAGGATCAAAGTTTGAAAAGAATCCGTTCTCGCTTGCATGGAAAAAACGGTCATTGACGATTGTCACGCTTGATTCGGTATCAGCACTGGGTGCTGTGTGACCCAGTTCGTCATCAACGGTGAAATAGCCCAATTCCGCCACCGGGGAAAGCAACGTTGAAGGACCCACGACTGAATGCTTCGTCATCTTGTCGACAGGCGAACCTCGTGCATGTCCATATCCTTCTTCACTTCGCCTCCTGAAGAACTGCGCTCCCTGGTGTTAACTACTCGAAAGTCTCATAGAGCTGTGCTTCGCACTAACCTGGACGGGTGTCCCTAGGGCGGGGGCGGATTCAGCGTCTAAGGATAAGGCCCCTCGTTTAGGATCCCCCGCAGTGATTCTTGAAATCCTAACGACGGTCTAGGGCAAAATCGCATCCACTGGAATTCCACAAGAGGTGAAAGCTTGAATACATACGTTGTCTGGGGTGAGCACCCCGACCATATAGTCGACATCTCTGGGATCAAAATGGGAGTTAACAGCGTTTGAGTTCGTCACAGACAATTCATTGAGCAAAAGTGCTGTTGGATTCTTGTCGTTCAGAGAGTGAATGAGGTTAGATTGCGTCCTTCAATAGCATATGAGATACATTCAAGTTGAGCAGACAGACGCTGATACACACCCTGTTACTTTGAAAGGTGGCCCTACTGCTTCAAGGCCATCACAGCCTTGAGCCACGAGATACGAATCATTAGAGATGGAAAACCCGACAGCGCCCTCGGATACGATTTTGAGATTTCGAAACATAGTCACTGGACGGCCAGTGATGAATGGAGTGGAGCTAGCTACGAGGCCAAACTAGGGCCGAATGCGTCAGGCTCAGCGGATGGGAAACCACCAGAATCCCCCGCATACCTTATTGTAATTTAGAAAGTGGCGATCCAATAAAGATATCAATCCTTCCGACTGAAGGTCTGTAAAGAAGAATATTGTCCTTTTATTCCTGTGATACCAACTCAAGTGAGGGGAGAATGTAGTCGTTCTACAGGGTGCCGTACTGTAAATGTTTCAAACCAGGGGGAACAGAAGTATCTGGTTCTAGATAGCTAGTGACGTCCGGCCCAGTCCTGTCCTGCTTTCCTGATAAGGTCTGGTCCATTTTTCTCTGCCACGCTTCATCTGACTTCTGGTGCCGGTTGGTGTGCATGTGATGATATCGGCCCACTTGCACCGTAGGCCTTCCAGGCACGTTGGACACAAAAGGCGATGAGATGCTGGTGGACATCTCGAGTACAGAACAACTGTATTGGCCGAGTCCCGAAGGAAACGGTGCAGCGATGCAACCAGCAGTGTGGCGACCCGACTTCGATAAATGAGTCACCAAGGATGACAAGTGGTCGGTTGGGAGGTTTGCAGGAACGCAATATGCTACATTTGAGCCATGTGAGCATTGGATAGTTGAGACCACGGATTTGAGGAGAGCATCAGAGTTCTTAGAGAAGAAAGTGGTCGCTCTCAACATAGACTGGCAAACGCACTGGTTGCTCGTGGCGGAAACCTCCGTCCCTCAATGATTTATTTAAGCGCCAGGTCGGGCTCCATTCAGTCAGCTTGATGTCGGAACAAGCTACTGCAACTGTAGGACGACCCTTGGGGGTTGTCATTGAGCCTTACGGTCTCAAGAATATTGTCCTACGATCGCATGGCAGGTACGCTTAAGCATTTATCATCACTAGGGTAGCCTCTACGCCGTCCGTTCTCACTGTTGCATGCATCAAGATTCCCTTGGTACACGCAGGATGGTCAGTTGATCAGCCCTGCATTTGTGATTGGAGTAGCGGGTGGAAGCGCGAGCGGGAAGGCATGTTTTATAAAGTTCTGCTTTCAGCTTGCGCCTGGAATATTCAAGTATGGGATGCCGATTTATCTAGACTCATGTTGCTAGGGAGATCGTCAAAGCTCTAGGCCACATTCCTTCTGTGGTTATCATGTCACAGGTGGAAAGATCCTAGGGCCTTGTCTTGAAACAGATTTTTGATCTCAGAATGAGCAGGACAGCTTTTATAAAGCCTTGACCACCGAACAGAGCAAGAAAGCATTCGATAATAAGTTGAGCAATTTTCCACGGCAAGTGACCTTGCTATACTATGGGCTGACGCCACATGTTAGTTACGATTTTGACCACCCCTCTGCTATTGACGTGCCCTTGTTCGCAAAAGTCAGTTCGTCAGGAGAGTTGTTAGTAGCTAATTGCTTCCATTCATTTACACTGTTCAGTGCCTAGATGACTTGAAGCAGGGAAGGCAAACAAATATCCCCGTTTACTCATTTTCTCTGCATCAGCGTCTCTCTGAAACTCAATACCTATATGGCGCGTCGATTGTTATCGGTGCGCCTTCCCTGCGAGTGCACGTTATATACTAATGACTTGAGAACGACGTAGCCGAAGGTATCCTTGCCTTGAGTGACCCGGAGCTTCGCACTTTGTATGATTTGAAGATATTTGTCCAGTATGCGCCTGTAAGCAAGAACGTTCATTCCATATTGATGGCCTTGTTCAGGTGTGATAGCGACTTGATGCTAGCGCGTCGCATACAGCGTGATGTTAATGAAAGAGGTCGAAGTGTTGAGGGTGTCTTGCAACAGTGAGTGTAGGAAACTTGTTGACTGGCGCAAGTGCGTAGACCATCACATTTTTAGGTATCTGCGCTTCGTCAAGCCCTCTTATGATAACTTCGTGCTTCCAAGCAGTAAATATGCGGACGTCGTAAGTGCATTATATGATCTCACAGTGCGACTACTTATTTTCATCGTGACAGATTGTACCTGGCCAGAATAACCACGTTGCGATCGATCTTATTACCACCCACATCAGGAAGAAACTGGATGAACGATCTGTGAAGTTCCGGGAAACCATGGCAAAGGCACAGATGAATCTTTGGAAGCAAAGAATGACTCCAGGGACAGAGAATCCGCCTGAGATAACCGCACCGGATGCCGGAAAGGATGTACATGTTTTGCCGCAGAGCCCACAGCTCAAGGTATTTCCAGATCCAATCCCATAGTCTTGCACCTTAGATATCTTCCCTTAACAGGGGATCTATACCATGTTACGTGATTTCAAGACCAGCAAGTCCGATTTTATCTTTTACGCTGATCGACTTTCCACCTTGGTCATCGAGAAAGCCATGGAGTTCTTGCCATTCCGTGAGAAGATCGTACGAACTCCTGTTGAAGTTGATGCCATGGGCAAGGAGCTTGCCTTAAAATCTGGGGCCATACACGACCTTCACCAAGGTACAGGGGAACTGTGTGGGGTATCCATCGAGACTAGCGGGGGGCCGTTACGAAAGGGATTAGAACGAGTGGTGCGGGATTGCCTGTTGGGGACTATTCTGTGAGTCAACGCTTTGGCGCCTCAATATAACGCCAGCTTATTTGACCTATATCTAGCATCCAACGTGACGCAAAATCGGGAGACCCATTGCTTCTCTACTCCAGCATTCCGTCCTGCATTCGACTTCGCCCCCGTGCGGAGAAAACCTGGGTGTTCTTGTTGGATACACAGGTAGGCGCTTCGACCCATCATCATTGTCCTCCACTCGGTAATCCGTTCAGATCGTGACAGGCTCAGCAGCCATGATGGCGATCAGGATTCTTCTTGACCACGGAGTTCCGGCTTCTCAAATCATTTTCTGCACCTTTCTTGTGGCGGCAGATGGTGGTGTGCACCAAATCCAGAGGGCGTTCCCTGGGGTTAAAATAGTTACTGGCGCAGTGGATGGAAGGGTGGTGGAGGCTTGGATAGACGAAGATGTCATTCAGGTGGGATCCAACCCACGGCAATCAGCGACTCGCAGGAAGGTTTGGAACCTTGAGCCTGGCATGGGTCATATTGGTGCGTTTTCAGGCCTCTATCGAAGGCTAGGCGAACTCAAGTCTCTACCCAGGAGAACGTTATTACTGATAATAACCTCGCATCTTTCGTCGTTCGGTTTCTTTCTTTGGGTTAACTCGCTAGAACACCATTCATCCCGGACATTCAAGACTCGATTCACGCGTTTTGACTTTCTTTCATTGTTGCGTTTTCGAATAAAGGGCATCCCATGAGTTGATATTATTTCTCGGGGTCCTGTTCGAATAAGGCTACTCATCCCTACATTTCAAATGGACTCGTCAAGATTTTTTTTTTTCTGGTTACTTGGCACTCTTGGACTATCATGTCCGACCATGTTATTCTGCAATCTGAAGCTGTCACAGGATCCAAACGGAGCCGAGCTTGTTTTCCCGTCTGTACAGGCCACACACTTGCATCAATGATCAACCAGACCAGATATTCCAGCTTCCCTCATCCCCTTAGTGGGCCTGCTCACCCCCAACCGGCAGTACGCCAACTGACTCATGGGATTGCCTCCGTTGCTCAGCAGCTGTACACTTCTGAGCTACATTGCTTAACTGGACAAATCACCTTGTAATATTATCAGGGGTCCGTCAGCACCGAACGTGAGTTGCACATCTGCGGAGACAGCGACGAGGCCAGTCCAAGCTAGTCCCAAAACTAGTGTTCCGAGCCTCCACAGTATCCAATCATCACAGCTCCCTTTCTAATACGTTCAAGCAAAGGACCTGCTGGACGTACGATAAGAGTCACCGCCAAGCGCTGATAATGATGTCGCCATTGATCACCGACGACAATGACCATTGTAACCGGATAAATCCCGAAAGCCCTTAACGATACTATCCAGATGCTGGAACTGGCATATGCGACTTTTTGATATGTGGCCGCAGTTGAAACGACGACCTGCACAGTGCGAATAGGTATAGGGCACAAGCCTTAAACGAAAAGAGTGCCGGTCGCATCGGTTGCGGGCTAACTACGATATCGCCAAGCAACAGTGAAAATGCAAAGTCGTTGGGAACTGACTGGGTGCACAAACGCCGTTTTCGAACGACCTTGGTGTGATTCTCGTTTTTGCTCAGAATATGTTCAGACTGAACGTATACATACATATTACGAAGTTGAATAGAGTAAGATGCCTTCATAAGGTTGTTTTTGATCTTACCGGCACATGACATACTTGCGCGCGGTGGCCAGGGGTTGGGGGTTGGGGCTCTGCTTTCAATTACCCACAATATGGGAACTTGAGATCGAGATCAGCAATAACCATAATGTGACTTGTATCGGAAACAAAACGTGAGAACGGTTGGAGGCGATTTCGTTGGAAAAAGGAAATCGCCACGAGCTCCTGCTCCTGCTGGGTCTGATCCTTTTCGCTTTTCGCTTTGGCACACTCCATTCTTCATATGTCCGACAACCCAGCCAAATGTGGCTATTGGCTCACGATCAGTTAGCGATTCTGGTGGTCTGCCTAGCTCGGATTGGGGTGTCATTCACAAGGTTTGTCATGGTAAACCTGTACTAAGCAAGGGCGTTCAACTCGTCTGGACTGTTTAACTTTTCTCAAATCGTCACTACGACTTGATATTCGACATCATCGCTTCCCCTGAATTTCCGTGAAGTGCTGCAAGTCTGCAATCATTCTCAATCAGTATCGCACTCGGCCGAAATGCCTCTGGGACCGACCTGCCTTTCCAGCTTCCTGACGCCGGTGTCTTGGATTAAAAGAGCAGTGCCTATTGGAAAGCTGATAGAGCTGACAATAGTGAAGTGTATTAGCTTTCCAATCCTTGCACGCATCCACTAGTGACGACGATATGGACGAACTGGGTAAGAGTCTGGCCCCGGATCGAATAGGATTCCCATTAGAGCTTGCTGCGGTAATTCACGCCTTTGTGATTTCCAATGAACAAACACAACGGGCATGACTCGACTCGCGGTGAGATATCCCGTGTGCTCATTAGGTTGAACATTGTGATAATGCGGTCCTTGACCCCGGGTTTGAGGTGTCTACCCATTGCGATGGGTCGGTCTAATCTGGCGGTGCCATTTGAACCATGACGATGAACGCTCATGTCTTTGCCAAATTGTCAATTGATGGGTTGTGCCCGATACATCCTTTAGAATCAGATACGACCGCGACTGCCAGCCTCGACTGCCGCAGTGGGAGGAGTGGGAGGAGTGGAATTTCAAATTGGTGTATGCCTCACTCACTCACTCACTCACTCACTCACTCAATTCAATCGTCAAATGTGTTGAGAAGCTGGTGACTGTCATTAAGCGAGGGAACCCTGTGGCTTGCTTCATCCCCGCCTGGTCATCTTCCCCCTCAGCGGTGTATGAACTTGGGTCCTGCCACAACCGGCAATTTCCTCCCCAGCTGCTCCCATCACCACTGCTCCAGTGTACAACTTTCCGTCTGCTGTATATGCAAGTCCTCTATGATCCCTCCTAGCTATATATCCCCTTCGATTTGATCTACTTGACTGTCGCTGTGCCCTTCTCCTTCGCTACCTGGTGTTCGCCTCATTCCATTAAGAATCAATTAAGAATACTGAAAACCTAGAACTACCCAACCTCTCTTTCCCATCTTGAGAACTGGTATCGTCTGAACTGGTTAACATCGTCACAAGGACTTGCTTCACTTCCCCTGAATTGCTGGGAAGCTTGAGTCTCCAGCCGATCTAACCAATATCATATCATTATCAGTCGGGAATTGCCTTGCCCTAGATTGGGCCGAAAATATCGTGCGACCTGCCTTTTCTAGCTTCCATCATAACGCCCAGCGCCACCATCATTGTCAACCCAGGTACATATTACATACTAATCGGGGTCACATGTGCATCAAGATTCTGAATTGCTGGGTTTCTAGTAGCAGCTCTGTTAACAAGAATATGCACTTTCCACTGCTGTGAGTTTTAATATAACACCCTACCATCCATACCTTATGCTCGATGCAACCAAGAACTGTCAAGTCTGACATACTTCCTCCCCCTGATTTACTCCAGGTTAGCTAGCCTACCTACCACTAACCAGCAACAAACGATTGTTCCTATTCCGGCCTGGTTTGTGAGACATGTCGCCCTTGACTTGCTCACTCTATCCAGGAAGCGTCATTTTCAATTGATACCCCAATCATTGTTTACAGCGCATATCGTAATCGCCTCCTAAGGGTCATCCAATTCCTGTTAGAGTAATTCACGCCTTCATGATTTCCAATGAACGAACAACAACAGGCATGATCTGCTGAGATACTTATCATCCCGTGTGCTCATCGAGTTGGACATTGTGATAAGTAAGGCCCGAGTTGAGGTGTCTGCCGTGTGTAGCGGTGAATGTGGTCAAAGGGATGTGTACTATCTCTTACATAAGTATTGCTCTCTTCCACATTATCAATTAGATGAGTTGTGCCCGATATACTCTTGTGTATATGCGGCTGGATAACATAGGAATATAATTCCGCTACTCTGTAGCGGTCTTGTAAATTTTTCGACCCTGATTGAATGCGTTTGATGACAAGGTCCTCTATTATTGCCAACTCTAGATAACCAGGTCCTTATACCGTACCGCTTCCTCGTTTCAATGTTTGCCCTTTGTCCGCGTGTGTCCATCTTTGCAACCGATTTCCGGATTATGACAGATATTTTCATGATGTATTTACCTTTTTGCTCTCCTCTGTATGCCCTTCGAATATCAAAATGGTCCTCCATACTGTACGCACTTCACGCTCTTTCAACCACGATGACGTCCATCTTCCCTCCTTCGATTTTAACAAATCACCTGCTATTAACCAGACTATTGTTCATACCTTGGAGTCTGTATCTTCCTCTGACCTCTGTGCTCTCTGTTTTTGCACATCGAGTTGGACATTGTGATAAGTAAGGCCCGAGTTTGAGGTTTCTGCAGTGTGTAGCGGTGAATGTGGTTAAAGGATGTGTACTATCTCTTACATAAGTATTACTCTCTTTCCCACATTATCAATTAGATGAGTCGTGCCTGATATACTCTTGTGTATATGCGGCTGGATAACATAGGAATATAATTATATATGTAGCAGAACCAGGGCAAAGCGCAACTAGAAACACACGTGACGCACGGAGATCGGTAGTGTGTGCGCAATCTCTCCACGTGGCAGTGATCGCTGACCTTCGCGAAACCGCATCGGGGATTTGTTGACGCTCGCACCCAATTCAATCGGACAATTATACTGTTTTGCGCTCTCTCAATTCAATGAGAAGATACTGCCAATGTTGGCCATGACTTCGGTACTTACCCTGGTGTATGGATTGGTCCCGCAAAGGGGAATGCTCAGCCCACGTCTCTTCTCATACCACAGCTGCTGCTGCTAACCACACACACCTATCTGCTATATACAATCCTATGATCCCTTCTGGCTATATACACCCCTTGTCCGACCTTCGAATCAATCTACTCGACTCTCGCTGTGCCCCTTCTCCATCGCTGCCTCAGCTCATTCCATTGAGTTGAGAATAGTGAAAAGCTAGAGCTACCCATCAGCCTACATCTGCAACGTTCTTCAGCTTCCACTCTTTCGTCGCGTCCGTACGTCCTCGATGGATCGGTCCCATCTTGAGGATGCACACCATCAACTTCTCTTCATCCGATCCATGCCACCGATGGCTCACCTCTGGCGTATCTTGAGGAGGTCCGCCACGATGATGGTTTGATCAATCGTGTGACGTTCTCTGCTAGAGATAGGGGACTAGCGCCCATCGGTATTCACTTCAGGACCGAGGGACCGAATGAAAATGAGCTTGTCCGTGTGAGGGGTTGTTCGAATGCTGACATAGACATGCTGAGGATGGGGGTGCGTCGGGACATTGTCTGTTTCGGTTTATGTGCAATTAATAGGTCCCTTCCCCCTTCAGCCTGATGATAGGTCGTGTATGGGTGTATCAACCATTGACATCGAGGGCCACCCCCATAACACAGTCGTACCCTCTCGCTTGTTCGACGTACTGGTTCATGTGCCTTCTTCAGCTCGTACTACTTACCCAACGCATATCTACCTTGACGCGTTGAGGGGAGTGCCTACGCACAGCACGCATATATCACCTCTGTCAGGCGTTTCAGAAACAATGACGCCATACGACATCGGTCCCTTATACTACAGGTTGCTCGAGATGGGATGCCGGACTTCAACCTTCGGATCGACCGTCTCCGGGACCATACTCTCTCATTTCTTCAATTCCTTCTTCGTCGTGGACGGTCTGATGCATTGGATACAGTGGGTACTTGGTTCTTCGTGACATTGTTCACATCACTTAAAATCTCTTTTTTCCCCTCATAGATAACCGTGTCCGAGAATTTGCAGTTACTCTACGATGCAAGGTCAAGCGAAGAAGCGGTACTGGACCTACCTCAACCAGTCCCACTCCTCGAATTCGGAAGAATCCTCGAGGTCGTACTGGGTGAATCCTATTCCTACAATGTGTTCGCGGTAAGCACGCAATTTGTTCTCACAATTACTAGGTGTAAGAACTGAAAGACTTTGGGGAAAGGAAAACTGCTGGTTCGTCGTTTCGACTCTTGAAGAGGCATTCGTGAACGTGTTTGGTGCTCGCTATGTAAAAGGTAAAGCGAGTCATTCACGTCTTGCTAGACGAAGACGTACTGGAATTTGGAACGAGCTTGCTCTTCGAGGATCCAAATAAAAAAAAGCCAGTTAGAGTGAAGATTCGATGAAAAGATCCCCTGGATTATGATTCATGTGTAACACGCACCGTTATTTGGGGCAATAGGTCTTTCAGGTTGCGATTTTCTCCGTTCTTCATCCCAAAGTACATAACTCCCTTGCAGAGTTGGTTTCCCCCCATCCGTCATCCCTCCCCCTTTCAAAAAAAAAAAAAAAAAAAAAAAAAAAGAGAACCCAGCGTATACATTGGTTACATGCGGTCGGTCTCGTTCTAATTTTTCCGTTTGAAGTGCATGATGAACGTGTTGTCTGCTTTTTTTTGCGTCTGCTGTAAGTTTACGGCCTCGCGATTCTTAATCGTAGGTTGCTTGGAATGTAGTACTATGCAAACGGGTCTTACCTTACTACGTATCTGGATAACCTAAACTATGTATTGCCAGTGGCCTTTTTGTTGTCGCCGACTTAGCTGATAACAGTCACTTTCACAGCGGCAAGAACAGGACCAGATTTCAGTCTGTAAAAGATTCAATCCTCCGTGCATGGCATGCGTTACATTTCAAGGGGAGGACGTGTGGTTGGAGATGTCACAAGTGAATCATGCAATTAGGTATATGGAATCGTGTGAGATTCGCGGCGCTTCCGCCTTAGCTAGTAACAGATCGTGGGGGGCGGGCTATTATTTTCGAACAAAGGAGTACCATATTTACAGCATCCGCAAAGGGAATAAACAACAACAAAAAAAATTCCCGAGTGCTCATAGCTTCGCCTTGGTTTTGGTTGTCTCTGGGACTTGCAGCGTAGCAGCAGCCGCTCCAAGAACGATCGAATCGCGTTCTTTGGCTTTCGTAACTAGTTGTAAGGGAAATGAAAAAATGAATAAAATGCACAACGAGGTTTGAAAACGTAAATATCAGCGCACCGAAGATAACTTTGTCACTCTCTTTCCACATTGACGTGACAAGAGTCTCTCCGGGAAAGCAACGCCGGCGAATCTTTGAATACACTCAATGTCATTTTCATTAGGGGAGCGGTCTTCCCACTCACCTAACTTTGATATCTTTCCACGGGCCGAAAGTTTTTAAGATATGTTTCCCCGAAATACCAATGAAGCAAGACCTGCGAGGCTGTCACTCAGAAACTACTATCAAACCCGCGAGGCACAAGGTGACTGACCGTGGAGAATTGGGTTGTCAAATCCACCAATCGCCGCGAACTCGGGTTGAATCTAGGATCAAGAACTAAGACTCCATCGTCGAGGGAAGTCGATATGAGACGTACGTGAAGTGGATTGTAGTCGCCACTCAATCTACGCAACGATGACCACTTAGTTCAATGATCCCAAGAAGAATTTGATACGTATTACCGGTAGATAGCTGCTTGCTGCGGCAGCGTTTTCTCCTCGACCACTGCATCAGGCTTGCGCTTTGGAGGATTATTGGCAGCCGTAGCTGGACCGCGATCTATGGATGACAACACCACAATCAACGATCAGAAAGCCACCTCCGTCATCAATACATGCGACCGTACCTTTCCCGGTCTTTCGCCCACCAAGCCCCCCCGAACCTCGAACGAACACAGTCGACTGGTTCTCACAGATCAGTTCATTAGAGGCTTTATCCCTTGTCTCGATGACAACAGTAACAGCTGCAGCCTTTCCCTTGTCAAGGACTTCCAAAAGGCGTGCAGTACTGACAAGAGTGCCACTCGTAGGGATAGGCTTTTTAATCGAAAGGTATTGCTCGCCATGCAGCAACTTGGCCTTGAAAAGAAAGCACGGGACCTCATGAGTACTAAACTCGACCAAAATTGGGCAGCAGAACGTACAGGGTTGAAATTAGGCAAGAAGTCTAACGGCAAACTCGAAGAGGTGGGGAATTGAGGAACGACACCAAAGCTAGGAAGAACCTGAAATTCCTCGTGATTCTCAAACACCCACTGAAGTTCTTTCTCAGTGGCACCAATACCCAGGTTGTACAGATGACATCACGCTCGGTGTATGTGTACTCGCCGTCTCAACAGAGGTCTTCTTAGCCTTGGCGACGACCTCGGAGTCCTCAGGGTCGGCGTAAGGGCTATCACTCTCTTCCTCTCCCGTGTTTTCAAAGTTACCCATAATCTTGAGGCATCCATTAGTACGCCATGTCCCATCCATTCGTAGTCAATCCTAGTTTGCTCACCTGCATAAGCGCCTCTTGGGTCGAAGTTGGATGCGTAGCCCTTCCATCTAAACATAAACTAAGCACCTCAGATAAATCAGGAAAACAAGAAAATTTACCAAAGCGAGTGATGACATCCCACTTGCTGAGCACCCGCTCAGGAGTGAGCGTCTTGTCGTTGGGGAAAGAATGTCCGAAAGCACGTTGCCACCTGGTCTGAGCAGCCCAGCCGCCAGAAATCTCGAACAACGAGCCAGTCGTCTCCTCGTTGGCTACGAGAGAAAATTTTAGTGCAGTGGAGACACGAACCGCGGAAGGTTGCGCTACCAGAGCTGATAAGATAGCCCACGACAGGGGCGATGTAATCGGGTTGAACATCTCGACCATCTCTGGAGGCCTGTATCAAACCAGTTGAGGAATGGCCCCATTTCGGTTCAACGACTCAGAGGGAAGAAAGCATACCAAATAGTGCTGGTCATGGCAGTTCCAGCGTTGGGTGCAATGACATTGGCCAAAATACCATATCGCTTGCCTTCGATAGCCAGGGTTCTAGTAAGACCGATGATGGCAGCCTTGGCGGTAGAGTACTGGAAGGAAGAGTGAGAACAGAACCCTTAATTCCCTTCCTCTAATGGGGACGTCTACCCACGTTTGCCTGTCCAAAGTTCCCATCTATATCAAGTAATCATCAGCTGACACTGACACCTTACATCCAGCAAGCCAACTCACAAATCCCAACACCCGAAGCAGTCGTCAAGATCCTTCCATATGTCTGCTTCTGGAAAATATCCCAAACAGCCTTACAACACTTATACGTTCCCTTCAAATGCACTGCAATCACATCATCCCATTCCTTATCACTCATAGCAGTGAAAGATTTATCACGGAGTATACCAGCATTCGCAACGAGTGCATGGACACTTCCAAAGCTATCGAGAGCAACTTTGACGATCGCTTCGCCATTTTCGGCAGAGAAAACCGCTGGAACAGCTTTCCCACCGGCTGTGTAGAGCGTGCGTAAGACCGTAAGCTTCTTGAAAAGGGGAACGATTGACGTACCCTTCTTAATCTCCTCTACAACGGCATTGGCTCCTTTGGGGCTAACATCATTCACGACTATATTTCCTCCAAGCCTAGCAAACATAAGGGCATAGGCACGTCCAAGACCAGCTCCCGCACCGGTAATGATGATCGTCTGACCATCAAAACGGACTGGAGGATCAAATTGTTTATTCGTAGGCAATTTCTTCGATTCCTCGAGGGTGGCCTGAGTTAGGAACAGCAACTCAGCCATCAGGAAGACTTCCTATAATCACGAAGAGACAAGAACATACCACCCCATCTTTACTAACCATACTCTGCGGATATTCCGGCCTCGAAAAGTCAACGATCTCATCCCATCTCGCCCTAACAGCACTAGGCGAAAACGACTCATCCGTCTTGAACACAGCCCCTCCACTCCTCTCCCACCGAATCTCAGCTACAAACCCAGCACCAACTTCGAAACATTTCCCAGAAACATCATCTGGACCATCAGGATGAGTTAGCACCCCTATAAGAGGAGCTACGAATTCGGGTTTAAGCCCTGCCAGCATTTCAGGTGACATGATGGTCGCCGTCATTGGGGAAGCTGCTATGGGGGCGATAACAGAGGCTTTGATGTTGTATTTGGCACCTTCGCGCGCAAGGGTCTTTGTGAACCCTACGAGGCCCATCTTAGCGGCACTGAATGGGAGTAATGAAAAGACAGGGTTTCATGCCAAGGATAAAATGGACGCGCATAGACCCTGCGTACCTGTAATTCGCTTGACCCATGTTACCGTAAAGACCCGCCGCACTGGCAGTATTGATAATACGACCAAACTTTTGCTTTCGGAAGATCGGCCAAGCAGCTTTCGTGCAAGAGAAGGCACCTTTGAGATGGACTTCGTGAACTTGGTCCCATTCCTATGGAATAGCCGTTAGCACGACAGTAACGGAATCGCTTCTTCGTGCAAACCTTATCTGACATTTTCTTAAAACTCTTATCCCTATTTAATCGCGTACAACATATCATTTAATAACTCAACACTGTTCGTCGGATTTGTACGAACCGAAGGATGCCGGCATTGTTTATTAAACTATTGATGAACAGTGAGATGAAAAAAGGTCACTTATGGTCAGCTCTGAATGCAGAAAGTAAAATTTAATTTCACTGACATCGTCACGGTTCCAAAAGCATGAACAGCAGCCTTAACCACAGAAGCACCATCCGTCACAGATGAATTATTCGCGATTGCTTTCCCGCCGGCTAACAACAGAAAACATTGTGCCATTCATCGGAATGGCGGCTTGGCTCAGTGCACGCACATTTGACAATATCATCAACAACCCTCTGAGCGTTCTCTTGACTGACGTCATTCACCACGACGTTCGCACCCCTCGATGCGAAAAATTGTGAATAACTATATCATCCCAGAACATCCACAACCCGAACGTTAGCAAAACCGTTGGCACAGGACAGAGACGACAAGCAGCAATGGGAATTATTCCCTTGCGGCAGACAGAAGTGAGGCGCACGCCGACAAGTGGTTCGAGTAATCCGGCGACATCGGGAAGAAACCAATACAGAAAACTTACACCTTCCAATACCGCCCCCAGCACCAGTAATCACCACCGTTTGTCCATCAAATCTAAGCAATGACATCCTTGGCTTTCTTCAGAGGCGACGAGAGAGCAGTCCAAGAAGATTATGGGGGTTCGAGCGAGTTGAGCCGGGAAATTGAGTTCCCGATTCCCATGTGCGCCCGGATCTGGGGATTGTTCACACGATTGTCGGAAATTTGCGTGCATTTAATTTAAGTGCAATTTTAAATTACTACCTTATTTCACGTGATAGCTTCGGGTGGCTCTGCGCGTCGTAGCGATCGATGGGCGAAAGGCTCTGGTCCTAACTTCTTGAATTGTAAATACTCTACGGGTTTTAAGTAGCTTCTGACCGCCTGCCGCACGCTGCTCAGTTAGAACTGGTCACTGCGCAATTACTCCGCTTTCTCATCGCTATTGGTAGCGCTGCTGTGAACCACCGTCTGCTTTCTAGCTTGACGTTTAGACCCTCGTGATGTACCATAAATGTCATTTGTGGTCAAACCCCACGGGATCGTTTTGGGGACTTCTGACATAAAGTAATCCAAGTCAATTCTAACTGGGGATAAGCTATATTGTATGGACATCGATAAGAAGGGCTTCCCCGCCACTTGGGTTAGGGGACCAATCGAATGGCCCATCAACGATTGCCTTACTTACCCTCAATATGCGTTCTTCCTCTCCCACTGCTGCTACCGCATTCTGAGGTATGTGATATTCGGATCTTCATTATCACTGTCAATCAAGTCCCTGTCCTTGTCTCCCGATCTGGATTCTTCGCCCTCCCCACCATCGAAAAGCCGCTCGTCATACCACTTTAATGTATCGTGATACATGGTCGATGACATTTTTAGTGCTCCAAGCCTTCCGTCAGTTCCCGCCGATAAAAGTTGCTCGAGTGAAATCCCTGAGATTTTCAACTTTCCTGAGGTACTCCACTCCTTATCTGGCAGGAGTAGGAAATATACCTGTAACGAACGCTTCTGATGACCAGTGCAGCCAGAATGCTTACCAAAGTTACCACACCAGCGATCAAACCAACAGTAACCTTATTAATGCCCCATCGCTTTGCAACAACGTTGGTTGGGCTATTTGCCCGCGTTGTAGAAATGGCATTGCCGTCACTGTCTAGGTTGGGGAGAGCGCCTGAAAACAGCAGGAAGAAAATTGCCTAGAGTGTTAAAGATAAGTGTTCTACACTCGCAACCTGTCCCTTCGTAGCTAATGAGACCAGGTACACACTTTTAAGATGTGGGATGAACGATATTTCCCCGCTCCTTTTTGTTGGGAAAACGAGCGGGCATGGCCATACATATGGCTCACCATTCGATATGCCAAGAAATTCCTTGGCTTCGTGGTAAGCATGAAGGGGCGTTTCATCATTTTGATAGAATGGAAACAAAGTGGCTACATCTGCTTTCAGTGCGTTCAATCCCCGGCACCGAACCTCTCCGACCCCATGTCTACCAAACTTCGAGTGGCCACATGCAGAACACAACTGGCCAGGCCCATGGGACTCGGAGCGGGTACCCATGCTGATGGCCTGGTTCTTTTTGGCATGGGTCATAAGCCGGATTCGCTCAGACGAGCTTCGCTGAGTCTTGCTCGAATGGTGCCAAATTGCCAATATTGCTGGACACTTACACGGACGCTTCTCGCACACCCAGTGGTTTTGTGGTGGGGACACATCCGAATAAGGACGTTCCTGCCATGAGTCAAATCGTGTAACAGTAATGCAACCAATTGGGAAGTTTGGTCTGCGGGAGCTAATCTAGTAGACCTCGATTAACATTTCATACACAGAGCAAATTCATAAGGATTTGTCGTCCTTAGTTGCGCTCATGTGGGTGGCGATTTGACTGGGCTCTTCTGTATTCCTCCCTGTTACACCGAACAACGTACCTTCATGGAGCGACTCACATCATATCCTTTTCACTCAAGCCTCATGGGTTTCTTGGTTTCTCGAAGCGAGGGAAAACTGAAGTTCTAATCTTTGCTGTATCGTTAGACATGCTTGACCCTTTCCCCCACAGCCACTTCCCATCAAGAAGCGAGGTTAGATTACAGTCAAGAAATGAATACATCATTAACGACAGCCTCATTGATGACAACCTACAAACGAGATTTCCCCTTGTCACTAATAGATCTACATCCAAGGCCGAACCTCAATCATCAACAGATCCTCCACACGTTAGTTAACGACCATTATTTACTCTTTCAGGTACTTCTCGATATACGGAGTGATTTGATCAGGCGTCGTCGTCGAAGCCCATCTCTCAACGACCTTCCCCTCCTTATTTACCAAGAATTTCTGTATCAGAGGAAGGGCGCAAAAACAGCTCCTGTTAGCAACTCCCGTTCGAAAGAGGGGATTGTAGCATACGGAAATACGAACCTCAAAGTTCCACTTGATGCGCGTAAGACCCAAGATCCCCGATTTCTCGTTCTTCAGCCATTGATAAACTTCGTTTGTATTATCTCCGTTCACATCGCTCTTCTTCATAAGCTATATAGCGTGTGATTCACGTCAGTGTGTTAGTTATCCCCGATGCTGGTTGGGGATGGAATATGGATGCAGCACGTACAGGGAAAGTAACGCCATGGTTCAACGTGCAAAAACTAGCAATCTCCTCATCGGTCCCAGGTTCTTGTCCACCAAACTACATGCAAAGTGTCAAGAGTTGAACAGTTAATACAGATCACCAACACCAGGTGCACTGCAAACGCCGCCGCGATATTGGACATGATTATGTAGATACCTGATTACTCGGGAAGCCTAGGAGAACGAAATCTTGATCTTTGAACTGATCCCAGATCTTCTGAAGTCCGTTGTATTGAGGAGTGAAGCCGCTAGGGAAGTCCAAATGGGAGAAGAGAAGGAGGTAATACGGATAAGCATTGTAGTTCGTTGGGGTTTTACGGAGGCGCACCATTTCGAAGCGACGTTCACTATCAAGACCTACGACACCATGAAGAGCATAAGAACGTCTAAAGCGTGGCATTTGATAACAAGAGCTGGAAGGATAACGTACCACTTTCCCCTTAAGCTGGTCGAATTTATACTCCCCTTTCGGAGCCTCAGCCTAGCATCGCGCACACACAAGCCGTCCCCCAATTATGACGAAAAGGCAGGCACAAGTTTCAGCATAGAAAAAAAAAAAAAAAACCGATGTATTCGGAGCGAGAGAGAGAGCAGTGATTCCAATACAAGAGGATGTGAATGCCAAAGTCAGAGAATCATTTGGAATTCTCTGAGTGATGCGGACGGACCTTGAGATCATAGAACTTGGAGGATGACAAGGTGCTTTGCATTCTGGAAAGTTGAACTCGAGATAAGGGTGTAAAGGCTTGAGAAGGTCGAGGTAATATACGTGTGGAGAAGAGGTTGATGTGTGCGCAGCAATTGTACGAATATATATAGTGGCCAGCCTGATTACTTGTGGTGGATTGTTACTTATGACGCAAGTGGTTGCTTACCAAGCCGAAACCGATCATCTCCGTCAGGCACCAGTGAGAGATGTCCGTGGGAAGAATGCAGGCTCCGGAACCGGCTTTTCTTATCCGGATTGACCCAACACAAGAAACTTAATATTCCCCATCACACCTTTTGCCTTCACCACTACTACCACCAGTACTGCACCATAGTCCAGACAAAGATGCCAGATATTCGTGAGCCAGGATACAAGGTTAGTCCATCCTTCAGCAATGAGTAAATCGAGGCAATACTGAAGCGCGAGAACTCAATACCCCATGAAAAATCATATGAACACGCGAACCAAACATCGTGGTCGCGTAGATCGGAGAACTTCTTGCTTCTGTCCAGGAGGTATTTGCGAGTGATGAGAAAGCCAAAAATGACCAAATCAAACGGGTACGTACCAATCATGGCAAATGTCTCAAAGAACTCCCAGCAGCTAACAAATTGAAAAATCGGCAAATTCGACCACTTTACTCGATGCTGCGTGTGCGCGCTTTCATATATGCGTGAAAAACGTTTCTTTGCCACAAAAATGAACGCACGAACAGGTGAACGGAATCTTTCAGCTTCGCGCGAGTAGAGATGGGAAAGAAGCTATATGGACGGTCGATTTGAAGAAGGAAGGCAAGGTTTCCAAGGGCGAAGCGGGAAAAGCAGACGTTATCATCTCCACCTCAGGTAAGTTATAAACAACACTAGTTTTCCATCTAACCATTCTCCCCCCCCCCCCTTTTCGCCCGCGCGCGTTATCGATCCTATGCATATGTGCACTGACTGTAACTACCCTGATTCAATTCCGATCCCATTAACCGCCAACCCATCACCGCTCATGCAATGTTCAGATGAGAACTTCATCCTCATCTCCCAAGGGAAACTCAGCGGTCAAAAAGCTTTCATGACAGGCAAACTTAAGGCAAAAGGAAACATCATGCTCGCCACAAAGATAGAAAGCGTTCTCAGCGTGAGTTATTATACCTTTCTCTCTTCATGCTTGACATCTTGACGCGTCCGATTTTGATTTTGGTAGGCCGCCAAGGGGAAAGCAAAGCTGTGAAAACTATTTTACCTGCGCGTTTCTCTCACCCACACCCATCTGGACGTTACGTTACGCCGTCCTCGCTGCTGCACTCTAGCCCCGAACCCTTTATCATTTGAAAAAATTCTTTTTTTCACACCCTTAGATCAAATGTAGTTTTCCTAGTGTTGCGTGCGCTGCGTTGCAACCGCCATTATAATTTAACTCTCAATGATTTCTTTTCCTTTTCATAAGATTCGGATTTGAAATAACATTAAGTCCTAAGGCAAATCGTCATTACAAAAATGTTGGAAGGGAAGGCTATGAAATGAGAAGCAATAGGTAATATGATACCCAATGGTAGTGAGGCAAGGAATGGACATAGCTCGAGGGTATGTAGTGATGCGATAGAGAGAAGTGGAGGATCAGAAGAACAAGACTCCATGACAACTATATATCAAGAGGGATTAGGCATGTAACGGAGTGCGCGTGGGGATAAAGTTCAAGTTGAGAATGAGATGAAGCGTAACCCACGAAGATGTGGGGACTAGTGGAGTCATCAAGTAAACCAAGGAACATGAGACCACAAGAATCAACATTTTAGTTCGACTACTTTTCCTTGAAGAAGTTGCTGAACAAGCCCTGTTGTCTCCTTTGAGTGGGCTGTGGATCCTGCCGGAGATTCGTCAAGCTTTGAAGGGACTTCATCACCTTGAGAAGCAGAAGAAATGAAAAAAGGGGACATCAGAACCCAACCGCAACCCCCGCAGTTTGCAGATCATGGAGGAGACTTCTTTCGTACCTGCTCTAATTTGTCCTTTCGCTCTTGAAGATCCAGATGCGCCCGAATCGCTGGGTTTTCCCGCGCGAATCTTGCAATCTCGTCCCGATCAAGGTCGTACATTAGCCGCGAGTCGATCTCCCGGGGGAACTGTAAAAGAAAAAAGGTCAACGTCAAATCGTAATATCCGTTTCCGCACCAGGTGAGTGTAAATAATAAAAATTCAAGGCTCACGAACGCACCTGGTAAAAGAATTGATCTAATAGTTCAATATTTAGGAACATAGTGGCCGTATACGCGAGTTTGTCAGCAACGACACTCAGGAATGCTTCAGGACAGAATATGTCGTTCCGTGGACCTGCACGGCACCGTTTAGACTTGAGGGCCATTATCCGGAGTTTCAGGATCCCTATACGATCTTGACACAACAGGGCATTACGAGCTAAAGGGAGAAGAGACCCACAACGAGCATGCTCACATCAACAAAACCAGAATTATCCATAAGGAGCGGCACACGACACGCACCGTCAATAACGTTCGCCGGACTGTACCGATACGTGTCGGCAACAATCGGAACATTGTCCTCAGATGCAGGCTCCTCTCCCTTCCTAACAGCAACTAACCGCCTTGCTACTCTCTCCTTCTCCCTCTCCTCAAGACCCTTCACATAATTTGTCAAATTATTCAGCCTCCTGCCTCCACCAACCCTTTTCCTCAACTCAGCCAATTTATCCTGACACAACACAACTTCGCGTTCAAACAGCGCAATACCTCTCTCTCTCCCACTCTCCCATTCTCGCTCATCAGCTTCTACTTCGTGTTTATAAGGTTTGATACAATTTTCCACTTGGTCCGAAGCGATACCCAGTCGTTCGCGGAGGATTTCGTGTGAAAAATCGATGATGCGTTCTGCAGCGGAGGGATGATGATTGAATGGTTCTGCAGCTGCGATGGAATCGATAAGAGCTCGAAGACCGTCTGCAACAAGGTTCGTGGAGTCACGTCCCACTCCAGACTTGGTGAGTAGCGAGCTAGCCGCTTCCAGCTTGTACCGCCAGTAAGGGTCAAGTTCTTCAACATTAACTTTAGGATCTTGACCCAGCTGATGGAGTTCTAGTGTACGTTTGTCTGACCAATATAGTTGTTCCAGAATATCCAAGACTTTGTTGTCCAACATTGATTTGAGCTTGGCACGGATCTCGGGTTTGGTGAGTTGGGAAGTATAAGCCTTGAATCGGGCTTTGAGCGCATCGACGGTCTCCGCAACGTAGGATTCAGCACTGATACGGCGATCGTTGTATAGTACCTTGAACTGATAGTTCGCTTCTTCGAGTTCTAACTGGACCGCGTTTGAAATTCCATGCAGGGAGCTCGCCATACTAGATTCTAGTACATCCATAAGACGACGACGAAGTGTTTGAGTGCCAGCCAGAACCGAAGTCCCTTTCCCGAAATACTCGGGATGTTGGCCAAAGTAAGCATCCTCACGACGAGCCACGGCTGTCGAGATGTTGGATTTCTCCTTCCCAAGGAGTGATTTCTTCTCATCCCTGGGGAGCGACTTGCAGACGACCCCAACATACCCTAAATGGAGAGGATACCGATTTCCGTTCAAGATTTGGGCTCCGTGTTCGGGAGCCACAAGGTCCATTTTCGTAATCACCCCAATAGTCCTCAAACCCAGCGGATCGACCTTCCGACTCGCTCTCAGTGCGGGAGAATTGGCAAGATCAACATCAGCGGCACAAATGGCAAGGATAATGTTCGGTTCGCGGATGTACCGCTCACAGAGCGAAGAAATCTTCTCTCTCAACTCTTCCGGCTGGTCCAGTGAGCTGAGCTGAATGTACCCCGGCAAGTCAATAAGCGTGAGGTCAGGAACATGCGGACTGTGTATTCGCAAATCGATCGGCTTATCGGAGACGGCTTCCTCTGAAGGTACAGCCAAGTTCATATCCGTCAGGGTCTTCTGGATATGGGAAAAATCATAGATTTTCCCAGTTTGTAAAGCGGGGAATTCTCCATACTCTCTCGGCATCTCCTGGCCGGGCTTTGCGGGTGTGTGGATCAGAGTCAACTCAATCGGACGTCTGGTCACCATATTGTCTCCCCTGTGGAAATAGATTGTAAGAACAGAAAAGCATAACCACGGGATGATCGACAATGCGTACTTGGGGAGAAATTGGTGACCTACAATGGCCTCTAAGACAGAGCTCTTGCCTGAACTCTGACTTCCGATTACCACAATGCTCGGCAACTTCAGCGTGTCGCTTTGGTCAATGCTGAGCAGCACCGATCTAATCTCAATCAGCTTCCGAGTGAGATGCATCAAAGTGTTAGTCTCTCCAGAGTGATCATCCTTCTCTCTTGAATCAGATGGAGAGGACATGGTGGCCGCGACCAACGAAGCCATAGCAACAGCTTCCTCAATTGATCGATCTTTGGGAGATCTGGGGTTCTCATGAGAGTCAGAACCCTTATTTCTACCATCACTACCATCATCGCCAGAAGAGGACGAAGCAGAAAACAAGTGCTTCAAGAATTGGGGCGCCTTCGCCTGTGGTATCTCAATTCCTTCCAGATTCGAGGATATAGACTTGGAAACGGATTTTAGCTTGGAAGAAGCGTCTTCAAAAAGTTCTGTTGCAGTCTCTTGGGCGCTATGCACCCAATCCAGCGAGGTCTTACGAAATTCTAAATTGAAGAATCATCAAAACGAGTCGAATTGCATCTACGGAGACGCACCATCGATGCGATAATTCGCGTATCCAAACGCTCCTGCTCCAACTGTGGCTCCTGCAATGGGTACGCGGAACGCACGCGCGACGAATCGTGGTATCGCGGAGTACGAAATTGCTCTTACGTGAACATAACGAAGGGAACTTCTACCAGCCAAGAATGAAAGTCGTGTCCGACGCGAAGGTGATAAAGCGGAAGAGGGCACGATGGTGGATATTTGTCGCCGGCCCGTGGTGTCTCTTGCCAGACGGCGGGTTACGAAAAGCATTGCTCGGGAGCGGCAGGCTGAGCGGCAAGTTCCATGGGCAAGGCACGTGGTGGGGCGCGTGTTGACATGACACTCAGTTGACACGGGTGTCAACCGTTGATTGATTGTCAACTCACATATCTTTTCTCGGTCATTGTTTCTGAAGGGCTCCGCAGCCATAGCACCCTGGGAATGCATTCGATAGGGTCGTCTCTGACTTGCCAAGACCGTGTGGTGAAGAAAAGTTCTGGACTTTACAACGAAACCTAGGCGCATTATCATTAGATCAGTCCAAACGTGGTGGCTCCCCGCCCCTTTACAACAACGGAGCACTCTTCTGAGAACAGTGACTCAAAAGCTGCTGTTTTTCCAGTCTAGGAAGTCATACCCTACGCACGGCTAAAATCATCCACGCGTTGATCATATTTCAGCATGAATATACGAATGTATTGAGTATTGTCATGCAGAACTTTGGTCATGGAACTTCTGTGGAGAAGCTGTTTGGATCTGGGATAGTCTAGGCACGTTCAGCCCACCACCACTCGTTTCGAATCCCGCTCAACTTACCGCGTTGGGTTTCACTCTTCGCTGGCCAAATATCGCCGTACCTACTCTGATCACCCCTGACCCTGCCCGAATAGCTTGCTCGAAATCGCCAGACATTCCCATGCTCAGCTCCAGCGCACCATCCACCCCCCAGTTCAACTTTCCATCTTCCTTTCTCAATAGATCTTCCAGAATAGTAGCAGTTTCGATCAATCTGGAAAAATCTTCATTTCCTTCACTCGAAGCAGATTGTTCAATTGAACCTATTGTCATTAGCCCGCGGAGATAGAGCTGGGGGCAGTCACTAAGGATATACCGAGTGAGTTGGGTAACTTGGGCGATATTCCTCGCATCGGGGTCGTCGGACGTTCGCAGGGGCGGAAGCCCTGATTTGCTGTTTTCTCCAGAAGTATTGATTTGAATGTAGACGTTGAGTGGTGATGCCCGTGTGGATGGAAGTGCTTTATCCAGCATCGTTGCCTTTTTGGCCGTATCAAGAGTTTGTATTGCAAATAGGTTAGGAATGGCTGGGTAACTCGTGTCAATATTTACCATACGTATCTAGTAACCCTGGTCCTGATCGCACCTGCTAGTACTTTACATTTATTGCTTTGAAGTGTCCCAATGTAATGCCATTGAATACTTTGGGGGAGCTGTGCTTCATGCACATCAGGATCAGGTGGTTCGTCCAGAAGGGCGCCGAACGCACGATTGCTGCCTTATCCACGAGCTCCTGAACATAATTCTCTCCAAAATCCACTTGGTGACCTTCCTCGTGACAAGCCAAAATGTCTTCGGCTGGCTTGTACTTTGACACAGCAACGAGAACAATGTCTTTGTGACGGAATGCAGAAGGTAGAACTTTCTGGGCCTGTCGAAGAATGCATTGGACAACACCCAGTTAGGTGGATACGCGGCTACGAACGGCTTGGGACATCCGCGCTCTGACTTCGCCTAAAGACTCTCTGAGCTCCTCAACTCTCTCTTTCGTGGCGTAACCGAGAGAATGGGTGTCGATGGTCGAGTCCATTTTGCTAAGATGCGCAACAACAAATCGCCCAAAAGTTAGAGGTGATATGTGTATGTTCCGTCTCAGCAAGTACAACGAGCAAGTTGACACGCCCCTGAGCATGCAAGGATGACCCTTAACGGATGTGGTTAAATTGATCGTCAACAACTCAATTGGGAGATTTGACTCGCGAGTTGTTTCCCACAGTGCCCAACTGATCACGCTTCTCGGCAGAGAGCAAGAACAACGGAGCGACTCAAGCCAAAATGGTTACATCCCATGATGAAGCAGGGACTCCCCTACTGAACTGGGGAAATGTCTGGTTTGGGTTTTTGTTTATTGTGCGTGGACACGTCTTCACGTCCAACTCCACTGATGACAGTCTCGAGTTCCTGACGCGTTTCCATCCTTATAAATCTGCCGCAGGTCTTGGATATCTTTCTTTCCATCATTCTCGGCGTGAAGATAGGGGGTTCGCTCTTGTCTGCGAGCGTCCGATGCGTCCTTCAACTTTCTCTCCTGGGACTTGTGCTCCAGAGCGTGTTCAACGCCCGCAATGGGTGGGCAGTGTTCGGGATAACAGGTGCGCGTAGGTCCCCGGTATACCCGGGCCTTCTGACTGATTTTTTTGTACCGCGGGCCACGTCTATGCCAGTGTTGCTGATGTGTCTGGGCACATTTGAGGTTGGTGCGTGGTTACGCTTTTGCGGCGTAGCAAACTCGCGGGTCTTGACGTTGCCCTCGCTTCAGTTATTAATAAAACGAAGATGAGATTCACAGGCATGGTAGGCAATTTGCGTGGAATCTGCAATTTCTAATCGCTGGATGTGCTGAGGCTCGCTCGCGGACTTTGCTGTTGTGAAAGGTCCCTGCGATAATGGCTTCCATGATAATTGGTACAGTTCCCGTCTCCATCATTGGTGGGAGATTTGCAATGCGTAATCAACCCTTCTGGTATATTCGCTTATCCACTTGAATGGTTATGCATGCTAACCAACGCAATGGGCAATAAAATATTCCCTTCGGGAATTTCCAGGGCCCCTGAAGAGTACAGTGAGTGATCGAGCGGTTGTGGCTAAAGTGGACACGGGGCTCATTACGTCCTGCAACTCCCATCAGTACCTACTATTGGAATGCTCTGTGGAAATGCCATCTCCGCCATTGTCGTTGCAACGAATTCAGTGCTCCGTGAACTAGAGTCAGTGCCCTGATTGCCGTTCATTCCCCATAACATTCATGGATCCTTTCGAAAGGACAAAGCGCGAAAATATTGAAGTCTTCCTTGCATTTGGTGCCACGCGTCTCGAAGCATGCAGGCCTATTGCAATCGAGGCGCTACGTTTGGCCCTTCTTCCCACGATTAATGCGATGAGTGTGGTTGGGCTTATCTCGATCCCAGGTGAGGGATAATTTACCTCTTCTTTTCGCGGGGGCTCCAGGCAAATCATGGGCATTAATAATGCTGCTTGGAGCCAACCCATTTCATCCGATTGCCGGATTATGATAAGCGCTCCTGATGCCGTGATTGCTTCAATAGGAATGATGACTGGTGCACTGCTCGGTCAGTTGTTCTGAACCCCGTCTCTTGATGCGAATTGAGTTTCCTGGCGTCTGAACAGGTGGGTCGAGTGTAGATCAAGCTGCAAAACTGCAGAGTAAGTCTTTCGTTCGGTTCACCTCCATCATTTCTTGTGTGCTTCTTTATGCATTGCTGCATGACTGCGCACGGGCTGATCTACATCTCAATTATAGTGGTTATCATGTTCATGATCGTGAGTCTGCGGAAGATTCCCGGGATTCGATCAACTCACTCTCCGATCGAATATCCGTCTTTTGGATTGGGACCTATTGCTCTAGACTGCAGCCTCGTGAGTTTTTTTGTTTTTTGTTTTGTCTTTTGCCTATCGTTCTTGAAGACTTTGGTGTTTGCTTCAAGACGAAGTTTAAAGCCAGAATACTAACAATATCCCTTTTTTATACCGTACCAACTTGTTGGGTGACTCACAAACAGGGCACTAGCATCCATTACATCGACTCTTTGGGCACTAACCGTTACAGTAGATGACGAGCATCGTATCCGGCCAGATCGCATACAGACACAACAACACAGCATATGGCGTGCGTGGGATCGTCTCGGTAACAACCTCGGTTCAGGGATTCGATCTGTGTTGGCAAAGGTACTCCCTCCCCGAATCAACCCATTCGCTGATGGGAATCGTAAGAAGAGCAACGGGAAGAGTGTAAGTGGGGAAAGAACCCCGCTATTGAGTGTGCGCGAGGAGGGACCTGAACCCACTCACTCGAATGGTCTTGCCGTTAGGGGGGAAGATCATGGCGATCAGACGATTGGTCGAGGCGGTGGCGGAAGTGTGGGTGACGGTGGACACGATGCCCGAGATGTTGAGCGCGGGTAAAGGGGGTGAGGTACTTGAAGCATAGCTGGTTATTACTTAAATTAAGGGCTCTTACCTTGATCGGAAGAACACTCCGAAGGTGGGTCTTCGGCTTCTTTGGAGTTGGTTTTTCTCGGAAACATGCGTACCATTGTGTGTACTTCCATATATTGACATACATAATGACATGATCGCGTGGGGCTTGAGCACGTTGTATATGCGGTTCATTGGCGGTGAGATGAGGTGACAAGCTGCAACAAGCGGCCTCTGAGGCCACTATAAAGCTGAGCCCAACTGGGGTGCCGAAAGGAGCTTGTTACCAAGGGATTGACGATTAGATCCCCCCTCATCTTCATTTACTGATCGTCTCGAAATCAAACGAATCATCATATCAAATCTGCCCACAAATTATGTGCTTCCAAGTTAAATGCAGTACCTGCCAGAAAATTACATGGAAGGTACTCGTGCTCACAAATTTCACAATCGTTCTCGGCCACCATGCATGCAAGGTCGTAGAAGGAGGGAGAAAGTCACACGACGCCTCAGCGGCGTGCGCATGGCCCCCCTCCCTTGAACTGGGTGCTTCTACTTGATCAACGATCATCGACGTCGCGCCCGCCCACGTTCCCTTCCCATAACACATGCCTTTTTTCCTTTCCAAAAACAAAAACATTGAACCCTGAGTTGACTTTGTTTTGATCATTTCCGTCTACTTTAGGGTTGCGGGAAGCATGTCGACCAGGTAAGGAGAGAGAGAGATTTTTGCCATAGAATGTTGACACCTTATTGTCCGGTCATGAACACCACCGTCCTGGATTATATATTGGTCGCTCGCCCCTTCGGCCCCTTTGCGCATCCATGACGGCCCGCTGCCGCCGATACACATGCGCTTACAGGTGATGAAGAACGTGGATGAGAAAGACAAGTGCACCTGCACCCGCGAAACATCATCTGCGGTTTCAACGACGACGTCGACGTCGCCTCCGCAAAGTTGGGGTTCCCGATTTGCGCCATCGTGGTGGAAGTCTTGACTTATAAGAAAGGGGGACGTTGCAAATGATGATTAGCCTGTCCGCGGTGCCGTCATTCTGGTTGCGTCCTGCCTTAACTGATCGATCCTGTATTGTGCACTCCTGAATATTGACCTCGTTCAAATATTTCTCTTGTTGAAAAACCAAAAAAGGGGTGAATAGATATTTTTGATGTTTTGAATTCAATGATTTGAATGGGTTCCACGGATTAGGCTTCCTTAAAAAGTCCCATATGTGAAGGGGCATTGGGTCATGAACTTTGTGCCCTCTCTTTTCTCGTCCACACTGCATCAAGTCACTTGGGACTACTAGTCCACAATGTCAGCAGCTCCAGCGTCTGCAGAGACAGACGAAAGTGTGATTGAGACTTCTGTAGCCAACGCAGCCAAAACTCGTAAATATGGACGGCGGATTCTCAACCAATACGAAGTGTACGGGGAGATCGGGCGAGGGATGCATGGTATCGTTCGTCGTGGCATTGACACCACTACTGGCGAGCAGGTCGTAAGTACCGCGATCCATTGTTATCTTACCATCTCTTCCATGTTCCGGGTGCTCGCGCTGACGGAGAATTCCAAACCTTGCTCGTTCTCTCCTGAATTCTAGGCTATCAAGATGGTGAGACGTGTTCCTAAGCGCAAGAACTTAACGTCTGCTCTCCGTGCCAATCGCGGGGGTGATCCCAAGCTCGACTCTCAAGAGGCAAAGATCAAACGCGAAGTTGCTATCATGAAGAAATGCTCCCATAAGCATATCGTCCGGTTACGTGAAGTCATCGATGATGCTCTCAATGAGAAAATCTTTATGGGTACGCGCGCGCTCGGGTTGCTAAACTTCCATGATGGCTCATCTTCTATTGTCTCAGTTCTCGAGTACATGGCGGGCGGTGAAGTTAAATGGAGAACAAAGACTGAGCCGTCAAGGCCCGTCTTATCCGTTAAACATGCTCGTTCCATTTTTAGGGGTGTTCTCCTTGGTTTGGAATATTGTTCGTACATTCTTTCGCCCCTTTCCCGTATCCTCAAACTAATTTCTTTTGGCGTGACGTCACCTGTCCTGACTCATCTTTTCCAGTACATCACCAAGGAATCATCCACCGTGACATCAAGCCGGCCAACCTTCTTCTGGACCAAAATGGCATCGTCAAGATTTCCGACTTTGGCGTCTCCCATTACTCCCATACTCTTCGTCTAGCAGCCGCTGACAATGAGAGCGAGGAAGAGGAACGTGCCTTATTCGATGAAGCCGTGTTAAAGCAGACTGCGGGGAGTCCTGCCTTCTATGCTCCAGAGCTGTGCTATCGTGGCAACATAAAGAAGAAAGACGAAGGGAATGATCTTACTTCTCGTGTAGAGGCTATTTCTATTGGCGGAGCAACTCCAAGCGATGTCATTACTCTCCCACCAAAGCCTACGATCTCAATGGCTGTTGATGTCTGGGCTTTGGGCGTCACATTGTTCTGCCTTCTGTTTGGGAAAACCCCCTTCGACGCACCTACCACGTTCCACCTCATCCAGGTTATCCCAGTCGAGGATTACGTTGTGCCCGACACAATGGGAGAAGATAAAGTATCAACTCACGAAGGGGAGGGTCTAGAAGTTAGGGAACTTATCGCCTGGTTCTTGGAAAAAGAACCAGCTAAACGGATCACGATAAAAGAAGCAAAAGTGAGGTTCTTGCAGCCTTTCCTGTTCCTTTCTTATGCCTTGATTGTTTCTTTCTCTTTCCAGCTTGATCCATGGGTCCAGCGCGGGCTAGAGAACCACTCAGAATGGCTCGAAAAGACTGCACCTGAACGGCGTGCTTTGGTGTCGGTTAGTGCACAAGAGGCTGAGGTTGCCATCACTAAAAAAGAAAAGGGGCATCGCTTTCGTATCGCCTTTAAGAAGGTGAAGGGAATTCTGCAGAAGGGCCAGCGTGATTCACCCAATGAAGCCGCTGAAATGCTTGGCACCCCCCCTTCAAGCAAGTCCGGCCCTTCTGGATACAAGAGCGCCCATCATGTAGCCCCAGCCCTTCGTATCGATACCTCCTCTAACACCAGTAGAGCTTCGTCGTCAACCTCAAGACAGCAAGGGTATCGGCCAACTTCTGACCTGGGGTCCTCCTCTGATGTTGTATCAAGTCGTCTGGGGTCTCGTTCTCGTTCTCGGCTTCCAGGAACGGTGAACCGTCTCACTCCAAATCAATTGGATGTACCACAGCATACGCCTGCGTCGGTCGGGGATTTGATGACCCCGCGCTCCAGTTCTCCAGCTGGAATTGGGGTGCAATTTTATGACCCTAGTCACGCGTTGTCCGCTTCAGCCAAAACTGAAACCCCGACGCAAGCGCGGCTCAGGTCTGAGATATCTCGTCCCCATCCCCTCCAAACCTCACCCACACGCCATCAGCCCGAAGGCTTTTCGCCTCAAACATCGCCTCAAAGTCCTAAAATCATTCTTCCGCAACAACGTCGTTCTGTGGATCCTGGAGAAATGATGTCCATTTCACCTCCAAGGTCCGCAACTAAGCCTCGCAGTTCATCTGCGTCTCTCCTTGCCACTCCACTTTTCAATACTCAGCGCCTGCGGGGTCGGAGCTCCAATGTATCTGTCGTTTCGGCTGTGAGCGCCGCGGATGAGCAGCCCTCCTCTTCTGTTGGCAGTGGCGGGATGAGGAGCCTGTGGAAAAGCATCACCGCATGGAGGCATCAACCAAATACGGGACGGTCGCCAGCTGGTCAGCATCATTCTCAGCAAAGAGATCCCCCGTCCACCGCATCTTCGGAATTAGAGCTGGAGTCTGGATCCGAAGGATTGAGGTCGCCTTTGAGCTCGTCGGCGGGAGGTGCTCGTACACCATCTTCTACCGCACCGAGCATGGCTCGAGGGCGGATTCCCAATCCTCAGTTTAGTATGAGCCCTATGTCTTCTGGTGCTCATGGGGCCGTTCAAGCTCAAATCGGTGACCGTAGGGTTGGTGTTTCGCCTCCTGTGGAGCATGAGGCGGATGCGGGATATGACGGTGAGGATTGGGAGCCAGATAACTGGAGTGATGATGATTCTTTTGGAGACCCGAATAACGCTGTAAGTATGTTCGGCGCTGGGGGGCTACTTTCTGTCCAGAGTGGAGAACCGACAAGACGATACGTCACACGTGGCGAAGGCGAAGATGAAGCATGGGAAATGAGATCGGGCGAAGAGGCTGCACCTTGTGATCAACGACAATCGGATGATCCGTTAGAAGGCTATTGGTCGTCGACTTCCCCTCTCGCTGGGAACCATCCCTCTAGTCCGTGGACTTCCTCACCACATCAACATTATAATCGAGGTTCCCCTTCGAAGTCTCAACCATCTCAGACTCAGTCGCGCGTACCGTCTGGATCGTCCAAATCTGAGTCCTCTGCACATCCGCTTCATCAGTACGCGGCGGCTTTGGAGAGACGGAAGGTCCGTATTGTTTTTTTCGCTGATCGTGGTTCGGATATGGTGCTGACTAGCAAATTGTCAAGTCCGAGTCCGCGCGTCGTTCACTGTCGCGCCCGAGAAACCTTACCACGGAATGCCCCCTTGCGGAGAGTGGCTCGGGAAGCAGTGACGATGAAGGCGGTCTTCGACTCCCAAGAAAGCATCGATGAAAGAATCTAAGTGAAATCTTTACGGATTCAATCAAGGATGAAGAAGAGGTAGAAAATGATCTCCACCTCTCTAACTTATTGATTTTGGATTAGAATTTGTGCATGGGGGGGTCTCTCTGCTCATTCGAGGCTGTTGACTTTCTTTTTAGCTTTTATCCCTTCAGTTGTTGTTGTTGCCTTATTTATTTGTTTCTATATTGTTTTAGAGGTGCCTCTCACTACGTAGTTGTTGGGGGTCTTGGGGTTGGAAAAACTTCGTCCAAAACTTACATACATAATGTACTTGCGTTTCTCTGGCAGCTGCATATGGTTTCCCATTTATAGTACTGTATCTGTACAGCCACTTACCCACGCTTAGCATACGTTGCGTGGCAGCCTCAAGTCAGTCTTTCGGTATTCTCAGAAACGATTCTGTTGTGAACTTCCCTTCATGCCTGTCGGGATCGAAGCATGGGTGTTCGAAGTACCCCCGATAACTAGGACATGGTTAGTTTTGAGTGTTGTTTTGAGCGTTGCAGTGGTATGCGGGACAGTTCTTGCTTGGATTGACGATCGCCAGCTTACTTATGATACATCCTGTTCTGTCCACCGACTAGCAATGTCAATTAGTCACTCCGCTTCAGCTGTATTTCAGCTACAAATCCGCTTTTGATAACTTCCAGGTGAATTGGCTCGGGACTTCAAACCGTTGTCAGTCCGGGCAAAGATTGACAAAATTCCAGATATGGCGAGCAGTGACTACCTTCTTATATTTTGGAAACTTATCGCTGGACTTCGTGTTCCATCTGTTCTTCTTGTGAGTTCTTCGAACAAGTAATGTCGGGGGATATTTCTTGGCTGACTCCCGGCGATTATTCTTCTCAGTATGCGCTACTCCCGAATGCTAGAAGAGTCCTCGTTTGCAAATAAACGGGCCGATTACTTTTGGCTACTGTTCCAATCGTCCGCTTTGCTCCTTCTTGTATCCCCCCTTTTCACGCTTCCTTTCCTTTCTGCTCCATTGGCATTCGTTCCGATATACTTTTGGTCACGAAGACATCCATCCACACAAATATCTTTATTTGGGCTTGTGACGATAACTGCGCCATATCTGCCACTGGCACTGGTTGCGTTCAGTTGGATTATCAATGGGACGTGGACGGCTGCTGCTGGGGATCTTCTTGGATGTGCTGTTGGCCATTTATGTTGGTTCGTTCGGGATGTTTGGAGTAGGGAGGCAATTGGAGGAGTCAGTTTCATTAGCAAGGCGCCGGAGCCGTTGTGAGTCCATTTTCTTCAGAGCCTATAGCTTCTTGCTGATGCGGGCGACGTGCAGACGAAGACTGTTTGGTGATCCATAGGTTTATTTAGTCCGACAGACGCTTGTACAATGTCAGAATATTGTCATTAAGAGTTTCCTTGATTTTCCTACGCTGAGATTGCATGCCTTTCGGACGGAATGTAGCTTTCTGTTCCCAACTGGTGCTGTGGTGCCGAGTCCCACCAGATCTCACCGGAGTCAATTGCTTCTCTTTTGGCACCATCATCTCCAGGAAAACGGAATATCTTGTCTTCCCCGCCATTCTACGACGTTGCATCATCAGGGCATCGTACCGTCAAGCACCAAAATGCGCGAGCTCACATATTCTATTTCTAAATAGATGAAATCATCGTCTCCTTCATTAAAAATGCAATGCAGAATTCCAGTTCCTCCGGGCACAACAAGGAATTGACCTTCTCCAAAAGACTCTGTCGTCCCGCTCTCCCAGGATCTCCCCTCCCCCTCTATTGCAACGTACATTATTGTTCTAGTATGCGCTGTGGGTGGAGATGCGCATGCGTTTGGGGGGAGGACAATTTGAGACACGGACATCCGACCCGAGAGAGACATCAGCAAAGTGAGGGCCCCAAGTTCGTATCCGAACGGGGGTTCCATCATGTTTGGCATAGTCATAACGAGTGAATGGAAAATTTTAGATGGCCAAAATGGGTGCGGGGGAGGATTTTTACGATCCGAGGCCGAATGTTTGACATTGCGAGGAAATGGTCGTCCATCGTGGGATCCAACCTCCACAACGGGGGGATCTCTCCAGGTAGATTCATTTTCCTGATTTTATTCGTGCATATATGAAGCGGGTGGTGATGTTCGTCGAACACAGCAAATAAAATACCTTTCCAGAGAGAGGGTAATGTATTTGGTTTCCTTCTCGTTTTTCCGAAACGAAGAGGACTTCCATGACATCGTCTTCATCGTTTTCTGTATCCTGTCGCTCGCTAATGAAAGCAAGTGCACTTCCTGATCCCCCTGCGACTCCTAGACAATCACTGTAACCTAATTCATAAGTTTTCCCATCAAGCCAGCACGTCCCGCTCCCCCTAGTAATATAGGCAAAGATATCATTGTAGGAGTGAGCGACTGGTATAGTACGGGCTCCTCGGGGCAGCGAGATAAGTTTCAGATCCAAAGGAAAGTCAAGCGATCGGTCAACTCCGCAGGCTGCAGAAAGATCACCAACCAGGTATCCTTCGTCACCCTGGCCCCCACTTGGAGAAAGTAAGGGGCGATAGCTTATTACCTTGCTACCAACGTTGAAGCCCGGCGTGTACGGCGCTTGCATGAGTGGCGATGCCGGATCCCCGGAATTAGCCGCTGTGGCCTTCCCGCGTTCGAATTGTCTTCCTGTTGAATGCTTTTTGCGACGAATCGCGTTTCCCAGAGTAAGCCTTGAGAGGCTTGTGGGTCGTAGAAAGGTGCTACCCGAAATTGGTAACATATTTGCGGCTCTGAGCGAAAGGAGAGGAATATTCGCTCTTGCTCATGTGCTCCAGGAACGAGCTCGCATTACCTCGTATGTTACTGTATAATGTTCCGTTGCTCCTTCCCTCAAACTTCTCGACTGGGCGCGCTTGGAGATGGCTTACACCACTGCATGCTTTTCTATTGCACCTTCGTGCTCTGAGAGCGGTTGCTCATCATTCATTGACCCTCAATCCTCGTTCTACACGAGGATGGGCTCAGACTCGTGACTACCCAGAAAGAAGGCCGAAAGAGGGAGTGGCTTTCATATTTCCCTCGCTTAGCCATTGGTGCTCTCCATTTCCAGTGATTTACGCGAGTTCATTCATGATATCCCAGATGACTATCCAGCTAGGGACCAAGCGCGTGCGTTTATTCCTCTATCAGGAGCACTACCAATGATAAATCAGTAACGTTATGACTCCAAATAAATTTGTTGCATTACCAGTCAGTGCAACTTGAGAGGCGCTTCTTTCTCCAAAGACGCTTTGTTCATTCCACGAGACGGATTGTCTTAGCGGCAGAGACTGCGACCAAAGGAGAGGCAGAGCCGCATCTATCGCAAGATCAGGCACATACCCCTGAAGTCCGGCTTGAAGGTGGGAAATATATACTCCCGTGCCACAATCCACTGCTCAAGCACTCGCTTCTCCACCCACAGTTATCCCACCCCACTGCGAGATGTCGAAAAAACCATCCTCTAGAGTACTTCTCGTTACAGCATTGGAACAATTATATCATAACTTGTCCCTCACTAGCAAAAGAGCTCGTGCAACTGATGCCCGACCTGCTCTCCACCAGTCACCCTTGTCTGTACCACTGCGGCTACCACCGCTTTTGCCTTCGCCACAGTCTCTTCTCTTGCTGACACCACCGCCACTCGTTCCGGTACCACTCAACCCACCCATACTGTTGCCCCCCCGCTCATGCTCTTGTCCCTACCGCCGCCACCTGAGCCTGCACCGACAATTGATGGGACACTGGCGCCCAGACTTACGACTGTACCTGCACCCGTACTTGGATCTGGGCCTGGCCATGCCCAAGTGCATCAACTTGCATTCCCACGTGCAACTCCCCAAATAGAAGCATCACCAGCACCTATACTGTCAGAATCGGTGCCGGCTCCAGAGCCGGCAGTGCTGCGTGCTGCGTCAACTCCAACCTTACCATTTCACAATATTCGATCTGCAGCCATGATGTCGGAGGAGGTTCCCCACTATATGCCGCAGAGATGGATTCTTAGAATGATTGCACTGCCTGGAAGAGTAGCTTTGTGTTTGCGTCGCGTTGTGATAGCTAATGTGCAAGCTCAAGTCACCTTGAGAATTTGGCGATCGCTGAGACACTTTATCACCACTGAGCGGAAGTTTCAATCTCGCGAACGGGAATGCGTACAAATACTTCTGGAGTGGACAAAAGTCCAAAGCGCTGGGATCCATCGCGTCTGGAATTCTATCGGGTCGTTATTCCTTCTGACGTGGCAAAAAATAGTTGAGCGGCCTTTCTGGGGCCCACTGGGACGATTCGTTGTTTCGCTGTTTTCTGTCAAGCGATCATTTCTGGATGTGGCTAAATCCATCAAAAAGAGTGCTTACCCTCCGCCTTCGCCTTCAGATTCACCACCGCTCTCACCGAGGTTCCCTTCTCTTGCAAAACCTGCTCCAGCTCAGGTTGTGTCTGTGATACGGAAGGCGGTCGAGCGAACAGGTGTCCGCGAATTACCTGAACCAGATGTACTGGCCATTGCACGTCTCAGCGCCTTGCGTTCGGCCCCATCGCTGAACATTCCCTTGCCTCGTGTGCATCAGGTCTCCCGCCCTCCGAATGTCCGTCGCCTGAAAAAAGCTTTCCGGAAAACGGGATCCACAAGGAAGGAGGATGCATTGGTTACTCTAGGTATGGATCAGCTATCCTTGTTTCTAAACCATTATCATAATGAGGACGTGGAGGGATCAACACTTTGCAGTGCCCAGAGATTGCAGTGCCTAGCACTGCTAATGCTTCGGGAAGTCTGTATCGAGCCGATGATGAGGATTCGTATCTGCAACTGTATCCTGAACTTTCAGCATCTGCACCTGGCACAGCATTGGACGATCTTGGGACGTTCTCTTCACTGTCGCCTCTCAAGACCAAAGAGGGACTGCCGAAAGAAGGTTTGCTTCTGCATTCCAATAATGGTTCTTGCTGATGTAATGCTGTTGTTTCATTAGCCTGGCAGCGCGTCCGCCGCTGCAAGGATTCTCTGAATCGCCTTATCACCATGGTGCGCGGCCTCGAACTGCGCAATGAATCCGCGCTTCCTCCGAATATTCTGCAAGCCCTCTCTGTTCTCCAATCATTGATCGGGCACGTTCAACATCAAGCACTGGATGCAATAGTTCGGCATGTTGTGTTCCAGGCGATGATGGGTCGTGTGCAACATCTTGCCACTGCCGATCGGAACGGCCACGGCAATCTTGCATCGGGTTTGTTCCTCCCTTTGTGGCAACTGCTGAAGCATGACGCAGTGGCACTTAAAAAAATGATGGAGCCCGACACTAAACCTAACCAACCATCTTTTAAATCCGTGGAGCGCCAGCAGCTAACGCCACGCTCGGTCAAAACCACTTCTGCAGTGAATTCCTTCTCATCCTTCTCAGCGAAGTCACCCGCAGCGCAACTGAAACATGTTCGGGAGAGGATTTTTGGAGAATTTACATCACAGGAGGTTCTCATTAAACGTAAGTTACCTAACCTACCCACGGCAATACCTTGATTACTCAACGTCACTCTATCCAGCAATTTCACGGAATGATGCAGAGCCTCCAATCCCCCGACTGGCCCACCAGCTGGATAGAGTATTGTTCAAGTGCGTTTCAAACTCCTGATTTTCCATCATCTCTCACAAGTCCTATTCAGCCCTGCCCCTTACATGCTACAGGATTTCAAGACGGGGGTGTACAACTTCGATTCATACCTCCAAACCATACCTCCAGTCCAAGATTTTAGTTTCGACAAGATATCATCCTTCGTACCCAGCTCACAACATACCGTGCGTCCTCCTACCCAAATGAATACCGATGGCTGAGCCCTGCGAAAGGAATTGCAACGGCTTGCTCACCAATTAGGCAAATCGTTCGTAGGATCGACATCGTCTCTCACCCCACTACTCTCTCACATGTACTTCCTCTTGTCACGGATGAAATGGATTAACACTACCCAGCTAAGCAGTAACTTTACAGAGATGGTGTGACTTCTAATTTGCGTCTCTTCTGCGTGATACGCTAACCAACTGTAATGCAGCTCCGAAGTTTCACTCCAGCGGCTACCATGCCGGCAGGGGTCATTATTCATCATAAGGATGGCGTATACTCCACGGACTCCGATAATCTTCTGAGAAGCCCTGAAGCGGGCGACACAAGGAATATCCTGGCCAAGATGGTCTGTGCTCCCCAGTGGAACGGTTCCTCTCCTAACCGTAGCATGTAGGGAACGATGCTTGAATATTTTCTTACGAGCTCGCCAGATGAGTTCTCTCAGCTCGGACGCCATAAAAGGACAGATGACACAGTTATCGTCCGTCGAAATGCGTTTCAATATACGGAGGTTCGTATTAGAAATTTCTGGTTTGTCCGATGTGAATCGATACCTATAGACCAATGGTTTTGTGATGCGATCTCAACTGGATTGTCATGATCCCCGCCTGCCAGGGACGGGTGTTTTTGATATCAAGACTCGAGCTGTGGTGGCCATTCGTTTGGATCTTGCGAACTATGAGGTACAGGTCATCTCGTTTTTAGTATATGGCCGTTCTGAGGCAATATTCTGCTCCAGGAAAATTCAAGTTACCTTATCAAGTCGATGACAGGCCAATACAGCAGCTTTGAACGAGAATTATACGATCTTATGAGATCTGCCCTTCTGAAGTACAAGTATGTGCTATGTGCCCAACCTATTGGTTATGGCGCTTGATATGTCCTCGGGCGACGTAGTTTCCAGGCTCGCATCGGTGCAATGAGCGGAATATTCATTGCGTATCATAATACCTCTCAAATCCAGGGCTTCCAATACATGTCCCTAGCTGAGATGGATCAACGGCTTTTTGGTCACCATAGACGTGGAGATAATATTTTCGCAATGTGTGTGGGCCTGCTTGAACATATCATGAAGGCGGTCCTGGAGATTTTCCCCAAACAAGTTGGTGACTTGCCGGAGTTGAATTCGATAATTGCTGACACATGCTTTTTCATGTAGTCAAAAAGAGTCTTATTCGAAACACTACAATCTGGTACCGTCACGAATGTTTACATCGAGCCTCTCGAGTGGGCAAACCAGGGACCACGTCCTGTCCACGAGCTCACTGTCCTGACCCGGGTTTATTCTAACAACAGATACGATTCAACTCCGGACTTTGATTCATCCAATTGTATGTGTCTCGCGAAAGGCTAGGTATTCGACTCTTCTTAAAGTAGAATTTTTTACAGGGAAGATCCAGTATATGATTACTCATTTCCAACCTTCTGTCTGGACAAGAAGAAATTTCAGTATGGCAAGGTCGAAGGCGCTTTCGATTGGTCTTCCGCCTTCGGACCATTCTGCTTCACCACAGTTCGATGCCAATGATTCTTCGTCGCAGCCGTCATCCATCACTCCAATGCCCCGCCCTCGGACTTCGCGGCCTCGAGGTATTATCCCGCATCTGCGGCGAATAGCTCAGAGGGATCGTGCTTATTTAGAAAAACTCAAGCAAGCCCCAGTACAGTCCCTCACACGTTAACATCATAGTAGAGAATCCCTAATCGTTGCGTTCATACACTGTAGAGAGCAAACATTCTGTTGCACGTAAATTAAGCTATTTATGTAGAAAGCATGCATATCCCTGTGTGTGGGCTTCAGAGCGTTCTTCGCGATTCCCTAACCGTACAGAAACCTTGTCTGCGACGCTGAGATAGAGCAGGCACGAGTGCACAGTAAGCGTTCGGTGTCCATTCGTCGTGCTAACACCCTTGTCAAGAGTCTACCTGGCCTGGCGCTGAACATAGATTGAACCAAAGCGGCTGACATCCTTCACTACCTGCAAGTGAGGAATAACATCATCCTGGTACCGTGCATTCTCATTATTCAATGGATGCCTTGTGTACCGTACCAGCAGTATTCACGGGTAGAAGTAAACGGCGAATCAGTAACGTTGAAAGCAGGTCAGGCTTGGAGGGCTCACAGTTACAAAAAATGTCGAAGTCAAATCCCCAAACCTGGGAAGACTCACGCGGGTTGAAATGTGAGAAATCAAATGACAGGATTCCTTTCCCCCTTTCTGGTGGGTTTTGCATGTGTCACTGTGTCCTATTTGCTTCAGAATACTTCGGCAGGAAAAGCCCAAGGCCGGACCATGGACGTCGACGGCCAAGGACATGCCGAAAGCGTCGCTGCCTCTGCAAATGACTTCCTCAGCATCGATTGGACGGGTAAACAGCACAGCACTGATACCGTCGGTGACGGACGTGATAGCTGTTACTAGTGAACGAATTCCAGATATTCCCGAGTGGCGTCAGGGGCAGCAGGCCAGTTTAAGCCCTCTTGGGCAATTATTTCAAAAGCTTATCCAGAGTAATCGAGCTACAGAGAGATGAGGAGTCATGCCATTAATGAGTAATGGTGAGCAGGCGTATATCTTGAGTCCGGACTGTTCAACATAAGGTAAGGCCAGCCAGGCTATTCAGGGAATTCGAATCAACGTTGGGATCAAAGTACAATGCAAGCTAATGTACACCTAAACAAAAAGGATCCATCTCCGATACAAAATATTCCCTATCAAACACTGATATCATCATTGCAAAAAGCCGAGATTGAGACAGGATTCATGCGAGCTCAGCATCACACTCCATATCCTGAGCAACATTTTGATGGTTATCCCTCTCACCAGACTCTGGCCAAGTCCTTTCCAACAGAAGATTACCTCCAGTACTTAACGGAGATGAATCAGTCGCCGTTGGCTCGGCAGGGCCATGTGTTTCTGAGGCCGAGGGTGGATTGGCCGACTCTGGCGATTCAGGTCTTCCCACGGGAATCCACGAATCCCAGCCTGGGGGGTCTGGGTCAATGAGTACATCAGCGCCTATCGGGCGGGTGGGCTCAGGGGAAAGTGGTCGAGGCGACGGTACTTCGATTGGAGTATGAGGAACAGTCCCGGGTCGTTGTGAGGTAGGGGTAAGAGAAGAACCAGAATAATAAAGGTCATCGAAAGTAGTGGGCCCGTTCATTGAAGGATGTATCGTTCGTGAGCGACGTCTTTCTCTCTCCTCTCGTCTACTCAGATGTTCTATGATGCGACGCCGAGATTCCTCAGATGATTCCGACGACCTAGCAAGGGGGTACCGGTAGTCATGCGCGGGAGATATAGGACGACTAGAGAGGCGCTGGGGAAGAGGAGGGAAAATGCTCGAGAATTGCGGAGAGTATTCTGTGGGAAAGGACAGGGGATCCCAAGGTGAAGGGGGACCGCTGTCTGCACCATAATTCCTAGTCGCTCTAGGCCTAATATCCCGATCGAAAGTTCCCTGCATATCGAAACTCTCATGTTCTTGCATTGGGTCGATTAAGTTTTCATAAGATGGCATGCTTGGTGGAAGGATGCGCCTTCGAATAACCAAGCGACCCTCGTAAGATGTGCTCTCATCTTGACTCGCTGGTTCAGTACTAGCATCTGGTGTCTGAATTGGGCCACAAGTCCCTGTGATAGCATGGCAATCTGGTGACGAAGTCACACGGGACGGGAGGAAGCAGTACACAATTCTAGCTTCTCGCCAGTCCCTTGCCGAAGGGAGAGTCCGCTGTCGATGACTCGGACATATTCGAAGAAACGTCCCAACAACATTGCCGCTACGCAAACGAGAAAATGATTACGGGTTGAACTTTGGGGAATAGTTGTCATACCACACAATACAGCCAAAACCCTGTCTATGGCACCCGCACGATAGCGAAATCGGACGACGCCAAGTGTTTTCCGTCGTTGATAAGATATCCGTGTATTGGTCATCAAGAGGGGCTGATGATAAGGGCTCTTCGGTGATCCAACAACCCATGGTGATGCTGTAGCAGGCCTTGGTGTCTAGCAATTGGCCACACCCATTGGATGGGGATGGGCCAGAGGGCACAGGTAAAAACGACTCAGCATATTTCCTTTTGAGTCTTTGAGAGGCAATGGGCAAAGGGAAAGGTCTTTGCGGCACTGGATCGGCAGATTTTGAGGTGGACGGTGAGGCAGCATCAGCATATCCGCAATAAATGCGATATTGCCGCGCCGGCGGGTTGAGCTGGAATTGAGATAATTGCATAACTTCGTCAGGCGTGGGTACTTCGGCATCCCTTGCGGAATGCCTTGTTCCAACCCGACGTTCTGCGCCTCCCCGCAACGCGCCTCTTCGCCGAAGCTGGGATGCTTGCGCGGTACGGAGCATTGAGAGCATATCAGTTTCGTTTTGGTCCATATTTAGCTGACTCTGTTCCATACTGGGAGTTTTCGCTGAGCTCTCTGGCCAACTATATCATGGAATGAGGAGATTGAAGACGAGAGCGAATGTTTCGCCCAGTTGACGAGCTTTGCACGGGACGAGGACCGGGACGCCGGCATGCGCCGATGGAGATCACTTCGGAAACCTTCCACCTTCGGCCCTCGAATTTGGTTTTTTTTTTTGCCCCATTTGGGCCTTCTAGCGAGTCGGATCTCCCAAGAAACACTAATTCGGCTCTCAAAACATGTAGGGAAGTTTTTAAGCCCCAGTAGAGGCTGGGATCATGCTTAGCCCCGGCAGCGCTTCGGCAGCTTCAAGCAACAACATTCGCACAAGATTCAAGAATTCTATTTGGTGGGACGAGCACCTGCCTTTCTGAATCTTTGTAACTTCTGTCGAACTTGGAACAAACACTTTGGCTACCTAGCCTGCATTGTCCTCGCTTCATTTTTCGTTCGCTTACTTTTCCGTCTTCTCCGTCCCATGCCCAGTCGCTAAACCCGCACCCGACTCGCGTCATAGCTTCGTCCCCGATTCTCAAACGTCGGCTAAACAGTCTTCTCTGTTTTTACGCTCAATTAATAGGGCATTGAGTGATGGGTCCGGATCATATCGTATGAGTCGCGTAACGGCTCCAATGTTTAGAGCAAGATCATTTCAGTTTCCCTCGTCTGAGGGAATTCTTAGAATGCTGGGGTGCCGCTTTCATTGATACTGCTTCCCCCGACCAGATATGCGGTATTAATCGAGTTCGCGACACCCTCACTTTAGAACCCCGTTTGTGGGTTAAATTGCGATAACGCCTTTAGCTCCTGGGTCGTTCGACCGCTCTCGTACCTTACTGGTCGTGCCGCTAACGAGGTCTATTATCTTTCTGGGTGCTGACAGTCGTTTCGCTGAGGCCATCTTGGGCACCATCAATTATCTTGCCGCCGAACACAAACCAATCCTGACTCACAGAATGATTTGAGATAACCTACATCTTAGCATTCACGCCAGGGAAACCGCTACCGCTTTGGCTTTTTGGCTAAAGTGAAGTACGCATTTCACCAAATAGCTCGATTACTTGTGTGAATAATAAAAAGTCCAGATACATGTCAAAGACTGACTCGCCAGAAGGCCCGAGATCGGGGTCCAAACGGAAGATTTCCAAACAGATTTCAGTTGGTGTGTGCTTTGGTCCTGCACAATTCAATGTGTCCCCCGCACCTTTCAAGTCACTGATGTTCTGAGCATGGAAACTTTGCGACTGAGATCTTTTAATGGTGCTGCTGGGGACCCTTTCCGCACTGACACTGTCTTCCCAAGCCGACGCCGTACTACAATAACTCGACCGAAAAGAAAATGGGCGAGGAAAGTTGTGGATATAGGGGTGGATGGGTCATCAGGTTTGGAGGGACTGGCGAGGAGTGGTTGAACACATAACAAGAGGAGGATGCACGCTGCCCGTGGAGTGTGATCAGGGGCGGTAGTCAATGACAGAACAGATGAATATTAACATTAACATGGTATGGAAGAGAAAGTCGTAATGAGGATCTCAAGGAGGGAAGGAAGACAGAGGAACAAAGAAAATGTCTAAGAAATCGCATTGCCGTTTAGAGATGGTCGTAACTGCAACATGCTGCGGGGTATCAAGACCGAACAATCATCACAGCAAAAGTGCAGTCCTAGGAAGGAGAAGCAGGATAGGAATAGGAAAAAAACTGCGAAATTGCGTGAACAGAATACAGTATGTACTAATTTTGGTGGGTGGGAGGGAAGAAGCCAAACACTAGACGAAACGGGTTGCCTATTTTGGCCGGTCGGGGGAAGAATCCGCGCCCGCACGCCATCCCCCCAAAGTTGAGGCGATTAGGATGATGTCGATAAATAATCGTGGTCGGTCGTCCGGCGATTCGATGGGCTCGGTGTTGAGCGTCACTACTTGTGTACGTCGTCTCGGATCCGTTCCTCCTCTCCTCTCAGGCCTTTTATACAGCGCAGTGTATCTTACGTGATCCTTTTACCCACACCCACTTGAACTGAGCTCAGAGATCCGATTCGCATCACTGGTATTCTAGTCTTTATTTTTCGATGACCGGTGAATGTTTCGCATATTTCACTTGATCGTTCTGCTGTCAATTTCTCCTTTTTCTCTCGCCGTCTGTATCTCTGCGCTCTTGTATGTTCTGTGTGGTCCAAACTCTGTACCACGCTTGTTTGCATTCTAATTGGTTCAGCTACTGCATGAAGCTATTTACAATTTCAACAAAGTTCGTCCTTGGTAATCTGTAAATTCGCGTGTGAGATCCGTTCCGAAATCAAATCCCTCCACTCACACAACGTGTAATAAGGGCTCTCTGTCTACTGGCGAACCCATTGCTGTGAACCATTGCTAAACATCATCGGCCTGATCCTAGCTACGTTTCAAGTCTTGATGCCAAACCTCAGACTGGCGACCTAATTTTTGTTCCTGGAAAATAGGGCTGTTGTTGAACTCAATTGTTACCCCGCGGACGTGGCAGTGCGTGCGGCCATCCCAACTCAATACAACGTCGATCTGTATTTTGTTGACTCGAGCCAACAGCAGCCGCACTTTCCTCAATGAATCGGTTTTTGCTATAAATGTACTGCAACCTGCCAAGGCGTGAGTGAGGCGCGGGATATTAGTATGAGAGGGGAAGGAGGATCCACACTCGTATAAACGCGGAAGAAATGTATCATTTGACAATCACATTAAGTAAAAATAACCTTGAGTATATTGAGATAGTGTGGTATGTCAAGACCTCAACAGCAATATTGGGGCTAGAGTGGGCAGACCAGAGTCAGAGCGACACAATGGTCAGAAAGCGAATTGATCTGCCTTCCGAGAACAGCTCAGCATATTCTGATCGTAAATCAACGCGGACCTAGCAGAGACGTTCACAAAGAGGTGGCGAGGGGTAAATTGCTCCTGAGAGTACACTGACGAAGATGCCACATCGCTTGCTTGGATTCAGCTGGAAAATGGATTTTACAAAGCTACCCGCCTTCTTTGGAATTTTAAGATGCAATTGAGTGCCTGCACACCTACATATGTAGACAAGCCATTGACTGTAGCGGTCTCGTTTCCCGAGACGAAGAATGTAAAGCAAGTAGCAAGATGCTCCTGAATTATTGGGGTGACCGTCACAAGCATCCACGACATGTGAAATCAATGATCATTAGGGAAAGGATCAAGTAAAATTCTCCGACCACTTGGCTAGGGATATACGACGAACGAAGCTAGTTCGTCGAATGTTGGTAACGGGGCCGTGGTTGCGTTGACCAAAGCAAGGGGACATTAAGTAATGATCCAGGAAGGAATGAGTTTTCCCACGCCTCTTGCGCCATCGTGTCCTTACGTTGGATGCTATCGAAGCTGACAAGATAATCAATTGCCAGTGGTGGCTGTTCGCTTGCAGCACTGAAGGCGCCGCTTTCTAGACGCTTGCCACCAAAGTGAAAAGCGAGACAATCTGCCGACTGGCAGCGCGAACGGTTTCTGAGCTGGGGGGATTTTCCAGGTGCTCTTTGGTGCCAAGCGCGCAACGAATGGCCGAACTGACCTTTCCCGGGAAGGGCTAGAGGCTATCGATGCCAGATCACAGCGATGGGCCAGGGGAATGTGTCGAAACGTGGAACGGAATTGACCGACTGAGGGCGTGACATCAGTGACTAAGCGCCGGCCTTGGCTCTTTCTGCACTATTCATGGAGTGGCCGGAAGCGTTCAGCACAAACGTGGTGTTTGCTGCTAATCTGGTGGATTTTCGTCTTTCATCTGCTTTGGCCCCTTCATGGTTTACTTTGCGTCCGTTAACCGCAAAGTACTGCAACTCACCCGAAGGTCGCTCAGCTAATTTTTACAGTTTTGTATGAGGAGCTGACGCGAGCGTTTAGGATGGGGTCCAGTATCGCCTACTCGCGACTTCGACCTCACCCCATGCTTTGAAATTGGCATAATGATACCATTTTGCGCCATGCTCTTCATTGTCGCAGGCGTTCCTAGGGTCTGGCAACTAGTTGGAAAGGCCAAGACTGGTGAGCTAAATGAAAACTGCCGAGGCGAAAAAAGTGGACGTCTTTTATACGGCAAACTGGTGCGTATAAAATTTCATTACCGAACACCCTTCTCAGGTCCTTCCACGCTTGTGCATCTAGAGTCTCATCCTTCTTGCTGGGCTCGCTGCGTTCGCAAGAACCATGATAGTTGCTGTTGTCGCGTCACCTTCTCCTTTAGTTGATCCCGCGCTGTATACCTCTATTCTCGAAGTCATCGCGTTCACGGTCGTCGTCTCGCTCACCTACCTCAATCATCGCTTCACTCGTCGATCCTCTACAACCCTTCTCGTATGCTACCCAATCTACTTCGTTGCGTCCTTCATATATCTTCGGACGCTCTTTGAAGTCCATGCGTTGCGCCATTCAGCGAGCAAGCTAGGACTTGTGTACCGGAACCTGGCCCTGACACAAACCATCTTCGTCTTCGCTGCTTGGATACTGGAATGTGTTGGCCCAGAAATGGACGATGCCGTTGAGCTCACCAAGGCTAAGAATGGCGTGAAGGAAAGTCCCTACTTAACCGCAAACTTTTACAGCCGGTGGGTTTCAGCTCCCGTTGATTGGTATCGCAATGTTTACGTTCAAAGCAGCCTCGCATTTCTTTGGATGGACCCATTAATGAAACTTGGCTACAAGCGCTTCATTGTTCATGAAGATTTGTATGACCTTGAGCCGGATAACTCATCGGGACGTTTGGAAGATAAGTTATCGAGGGTTTGGGAGAAACAGAAAGGAACGAAGGAGAAGTGCGTCATTCTTCGTCTTTCTTTGCTACATGGATCTTAGGGACTGTATTAATTAGGCCATCTCTCTGGCGGGCGATGGCTCTTGCCTATGGGGGTCCGTTTGCACTTGCTGGTGTCTTGAAGGTGTTTTCGGATCTCTTGCAATTTGCTCAACCACAATATCTTCGGTTTCTCCTTTTGTTCATTTCCGACTATCAACGAGGCAGTGAATCCGCGACACCCCTCCGAGGATTCGCTCTTTGTGGATTGATTTTTTTCTCGGCTCTGGCACAGTCTGCCATTCTTCATCAGGTAAGACACTAGCATATATGCTGAGAGGACCGATCTTAAAGTATGGAATATTCAGTATTTCCAACTATGTTTTGTTACCGGGGCGCGTGTACGCGCAGGTTTGGTGATGACCATTTATCGGAAGGCGCTCATCCTCAGTAATGATGATAAAACTGCAAGGGGTGACATTGTCAACCTCATGAGTGTGGATGCTACTCGAATGCAGGACTTATGCGCATATCTCCTCATGATACTTTCCGGACCGTTCCAGGTCAGTGTCACAACTCTTTTCCACCACGTTTAGCTCACCCCCTTCCCCGAAGGTCATGCTTGCCTTCATATCCCTCTACGACCTCTTAGGGTGGCCGTCATTTGTCGGCGTGGCTGTAATGCTAATTGCTGTCCCTATCAACGCGAAGATGGCTCGTTTCCTTAAAACACTGCAAGAGAAACAGATGAAGAACCGGGATGCTAGGACCAGAATGATGAGTGAGGTCCTTAACAACATCAAAAGGTCAGTCTCCCTCGGTCACTTTGGCTTGAGATTCATGAGTAATGGATCACTACGCCCCTGAAGCATAAAAATATATGGATGGGAACGCGTATTCGGCGACAAGATTGCTGGGATTCGCAATGGTCGCGAGATACTCATGCTTAGGAAGATTGGAATTGTTAACGTAGGCATCTCGTCTTAACGCATTGAACCATCTAAAAGCTTTAGTTCAGGCGATTATATCTGTCTTCTGGTCCACGGTCCCTCTCTTCGTGGCTTTAGCTTCCTTCGTCTCAGCAGCTTACGCAGGAGACAGGCCACTCACGGCTGATATTATCTTCCCCTGCATAAGTTTGTTTATGCTGTTACAATTCCCTCTTGGCATGGTGGGTTTCCGTACTGCTTTTATCATCATACTACTTGACTGATAGCATCTTCAGTTCGCAATGATTACGACCGCTGCCATTTCGGCCTCAGTTTCGGCGTCGCGCATGCGTCAATTTTTGCTCGCTCCGGAACTCCAGGAAGATGCTCGTGTGAGCCACGCCCCACCTGAAGAGAGCTCTGATACAGTAACTCCCCAGCACCTCGCGAGTGGCGACAAGGCGGTGTCCTTCAAGGATGGAGAGTTCAAGTGGTTGAGGGAAGCCGTGAACCCAACTCTTGAGGATATCAACCTAGTAGTTAACATGGGCGAACTGGTTGGTGTCTTTGGCCGCGTTGGCTGTGGAAAGACAAGTCTACTCTCCGCCATCGTCGGTGAGATGATGAAGACGGATGGAACTGTGGATGTCTTCGGGAGCGTTGCATATGCTCCGCAAAACCCTTGGATTATGAGTGCGACTGTTCGTGACAATATCACGTTCTTCCGTCGTTTCGATCCAGACTTCTATGAGATTGTGTTGGAAGGTTAGTCGTCAAGTTGCTGCACATCTGTGTTCCTGAGAAGTCTTACGACGAATCCGTGATTCCATTTCTAGCATGTGCACTCAAACCAGACCTCGCTCTCCTCCCAGACGGCGATATGACGGAAGTTGGCGAGAAGGGCATTACGGTAAGTCCGATTGCTCCTGCCGAACTAGTCTTGACTTTTGGTGTCGTTTTACAGCTCAGTGGCGGTCAGCGTGCTCGGATCTCGCTAGCTCGTTGCGTGTTCGTCCCAAGTTTTCTGGCTCTTTTTAATTATTGATTTATCACCGTTAGGTATGCGAGGGCGGATGTATATTTGCTTGACGATGTACTTGCTGCTGGTTGGTCATCATCTCGATTATGGCGCAACCGATAATAATCCTTTGCTTTACCCCAAGTCGATGCTCATGTGTCTCGGCACCTATTCGGTGCGTGGTTGTCGTTGTCTGGGACAGGATTGTCAGTATTCTGAAATAGGTTTTGTAGACAAAGTGATCGGTCCTCGGGGATTATTATCTCAAAAGGCTAGGATCGTCGTGACTAACAGTGTTGCGTCCGTGAGGGAGTATGATAACCTGATTCTGATCCGACGCGGTATTATCCTAGAACGAGGCTCATACGAAGTAATCATGCAGAAACCGGGATCGGAACTCTGCAAGCTCATGTAAGGGCTCTATTCTGGTCAATCTACGTAATTCAAATTGATTTTTGGGTCAGTACGGAATTCTCCTCCAAGGGGGGCTCTTCGAGCAATCCCACATCGGGCTCCGCCACTCCCATCACTTCGGACAACGGCTCGACGCTTGCAGGGTCTTTAAGGGGCACAAATTCCATCTTATCCGCGGACGGATCCGCTGGTCTACAGTACAAACTCCAGGCATCACTCCAAGCACGGCCGCCTATCCTTTCCTCGGAGGAGCAACGGGAAAGATATGCATCCAGTCTTTCGCTGAAGTCAACGCAGTTCGTGAAAGAGAGCAGCGAACAGGGCAAGGTTAAGGGGGCTGTTTATGGTAAATACCTGGAAGCTGCCTCAAAAGTAGGAGTGGCTTTGTTCGCCTTCAGTATCTTGGCCCAGCAAGCACTTACAATCTGTGAGGCCCATGAGCATCTCCTTGCCGAAGGGGCTGACTGTCGTTTTTAGGGTCGAACCTCGTTCTCCGCTCCTGGGGCGAGAAAAACCGTGAGACCGGGACGAATACAAGCCCAGGCCATTTCCTCTTCCTCTATAGTATCCCGGTCCTCGCGGCGTGCGCAGCGTCCCTTCTTTCGGGGATTTTATTATGGGTATATTGTGCTGTACGATCGGCTCGTGCTCTCCATGACTCGGTATGGAACTGCTATGATTTTGGAACCGTTGATAACATCCACCCAGATGCTTGGCGCCATATTTCGTGCACCGCTAGGATGGTTTGAAAGAATACCTCAGGGACGGTGCGGTCGAAGTGTCTTCCAATTACGACTGTCGTCTGATTTTATTTCAGTGTGATGAACTTGTTCACCAAAGATGTGAATGTTGTAGACGAGACGTTACCAAGGATGTTCTCCCAATTCTCCAGAAGTACGTATCTTTTAGCTTCAGAGTTACTGGGCAGCGTTCTAACTATGAGACCAGCACTAGCAGCTGTGCTGGGTGTGTAGTTTATAATTTTAACCCCTCCGTCGTGCTGAATTTGCACACCAAGGTATCATTGTTGTCATGGGCGCAAGCCTCCCTCTATCGCTGATTGCAGTGGTCGTGCGTACATTGGTTGCAACTGGTTGTCAGCGTTCCTTACCACCCCAATCTCAGCCATTGGCGATTGTTTATCACCGATATATGACTTATTATTTGGCGACTTCAAGAGAACTCAAGCGACTTGATGCTGTCTCTCGTTCTCCCATTTTTGCATGGTTTCAGGTACGTGGACTTGTGCTAATGATGCGTGCTTGGTCTTTGACAGCCTGAACTTTAGGAGAGTCTTGGAGGTTTGTCCACGATCAGGGCTTTCCAAATGCAGGGCATCTTTAGGCGCGTCAACGAGTTGCGGTCGGACACAAACCTGCAAGCGTACCTTCCTTCAACTTACGTCAATAGGTGAAGCGCCCCCAAGTTTGTCTATTGGATGTTCTCTCATCTCGAGTCTTCGCTCAGATGGCTGGCAGTTCGTTTGGAGTAAGCATTTATCCACTTCGCACAGTTGTGGTGGGGTAACCAACCTGGCCGGAACTTCCAGATTCCTGGGATCTTGTGTCGTTCTTGTTGCTGCTGTACTCTCAGTCACTACTGTCGTCGTATCCGACAATATAGACAGTGGCTTGGTCGGCCTCGTCTTGTCGTATGCAATCAGTACAACCGGAAGCCTGAACTGGGTCATCCGTAGTGCAGGTGATGGTAAGTGCTTTCAAACTTGAATGTTTTCTGGAGGGCCCAAAAAGCCAACCCTTTACTATTTAGTTGAACAGAACATTGTTTCTGTCGAGAGGATACTTACGTATGTCAACGTGGAGCCTGAGGCTCCATCCGAGATACCTGAAACGAAGCCAGCTGATGGTTGGCCACAAACTGGGGAAATCCGCTTGGAGTGGGTCTTTTCATGTTTGATAAGTTCATTTCTTGACCCGAAAGCACGATGTTTTGTAGAAACTACTCCATGCGCTATCGTACCGAGCATGATTTGGTGCTACGTGATGTGAATCTTGTTGTAGTACGTGAACAAATGGCGTGTCTCTCGGACCAACCTCAATTACTATTGCAGAGACCTGGAGAACGGCTCGGAATTTGTGGAAGAACGGGGGCGGGGAAGAGCAGTCTTATCTTAGGTCTACTTCGAATCAACGAACCCGCCTCAGGGACGATCTATGTAGATGGCATCGACATAACCGCGATTGGCCTTCACAATCGTATGTCAATGTGTTTCGGATGATCAATCGTCTCTTCATCTACCTCTCTTAGTCCGCTCTACTATAAGCATCATCCCTCAAGAGCCTCAGGTACAAAGTCGAACCAATCAGCGTTGGCTTACTCATACTCCGCATAGCTCTTTACCGGGTCAATACGACAGAACGTGGACGTAACAGGTTTGTAGATATGTACTGGTTGTGTTCCTTTATGTGAGAATCTCACTTTGAACTGCTGTCAGAAACCAGCAATGATGATGCCATTTGGCGAGCTCTAGAGCAGGTACCTTTTATCTTCATAATGCGACCTGATCGGTTTTTTTACAGTGTTATCGGCCAGGTTCATCTCAAACAAACAGTGAGCTCTCTTGGTGGCTTGGATGCTGAAGTGCGAGAAGGTGGAAGTTCTCTGAGTGCTGGGCAGCGCCAGCTCATATGCTTCGCTCGAGCTTTAATTCGGAAGGTAACATCTATTATCTATTATCTTCTGGTTTTGGTCTCAATAGCACTTGATGTAGTCGAAGATCTTGATACTAGATGAAGTAAGTTCTCTCAAACTGGCTACCTTTCGTTTCACCTAAGGGTCTCTCAACCTCACTCTAAGGCGACAAGTGCTGTCGACCTTGAGAGCGATCAGGCCATTCAAGATGTCCTGCGGAGTTCTTATTTTGAGGGTGTTACGAGATTGACTGTAGCCCACCGCTTGCATACCATCATAGAGTCGGATAGAATCCTAGTCTTGGATGCTGGAAAAGTAGGCCTCCTATGACTTCTCCGTTACGTGTCATTGATTGTTCGTCTAGGTCGCCGAATTGGATACACCCCAAAAATTGCTATCTATCCCGGTAAACAATCTCGAAGCTCACGATGCGTACATACTGACGAAGCGTATTTGTCAGGGATCTATCTTCGCTTCATTAGCTGCTGAAGCGGGTATTTCATGAAATGATTTAGGGTTAGCATTCTCGAAGACAATTATCAAATGCTCTCTGCCTTAAATATGGGGTTGAGAATCGGGAGGGCTTATTGTATTTCGCTTTTAAATACAATGACGGAATAAGTCTATCACCAATGTGTTAGAATCGCCCTCCGGAACATTTTTACAGCTATTTGTACCGATCGTTCTATCTTGAGAGTCTACCACTGCCCCATGCTATTGACCGTTTTCCGACGCAACGTATATTCTTTTCTTTGTTCAGATATTTGGTGGGTGACGATTTGGTGTCGTCTGGAAGTGTTTCTTTTCTAATCATTGCTCCACGTTCAGCCCTGCTCCGATCCACTCTATTGGGATACCTCGGAGTAAATGGCCACGCAGTTGTACCTGGGGAGAATACCTGGGTATTATACCATCTACAACGTACTCAACCCCGATCTTGATTTCGTCTAAGTCATCAAGAACGTCAAACTTAAGTAGATTGAATGCATCATAGCCGTTACATAATGATAAGTGTTTCAGCACACAAGATCTAACCAGCCACAACATCTCTTTCGTCCAGTAACGATCCCCCACTCAACTCCTACTTGTTGAAGATGCTCCCCAATCGCCGATCAGCACACCAACGCTGACAACTATTCATACTTGCGTTTGTTGTTCGGTTGGGAATGGCCCTTCACCAACGCGGATCGTGTAGGCCCTAACGATGCCAATCACTTTACTGAGCTGCTTAGGAGGGATGCCGAGACCTGTACAAACGCTTCCAATGCTGGCCGATGATGACGTTACATGGGGATAAGTCCCAACATCAAGATCAAGCATGAGTGCATTAGCTCCTTCTACGAGAACGCGTCTGGGAGGCGAAGAGGTGAGGGCAGAGTGGACCAACAGCAAAGTGTCAGCAACGAAGACCGAAGACTCTGCAAGTCCCTTTGTATCGGAGAATCTCGGCTTCAACGTCATAGTTGTCGCTGGAAGTGCCCCTTCGACGATCTTGCGAAACTTGGTGGCGAAGCTTTCGTGGTTAAATAAATCAGGTACTCGAAGGCCCGAGCGGGAAGCCTTGCTAGGATAGGCTGGGCTGATACCTCTCTTGGTGGTGCTAATACTTAAGGAAGGCCATCTCCAAGGTGAGTACGAGATACATGCCACTGAATATAGCGAATAGCAAACCTTGAGCCATCAGCTTGGGGCTCCGCTTCTAGCAAGCTATCTACGATCAAAGACGAGCTGGGCTCTGTCAAAGATAAACAAGCGGCCACTGCAATCTTCTCCTGAGTAACACAAGATGACCATCAGCAAGTACAGGGTACATTTAGTGAGTCCCCTCGCCTTTCTCCTCTAGCTCCAGGGCAGGTGAATTACAACCCCTGACCCTATGATACCTGTGCAGTTCGGATTGATACGCCTGCACAAATAGAGGGTGACATTTCGAAGGAAGAAAAAATTTGTAAGAACATCCCCCAATAGGTTAAGGTGCATTCACTGAACCCACCACCAGGTATGGGATGGAAAAGTATACCGTCTTGGGTCTATCAGCTGTGGCAGGGATAATTACTGTGTGTGCTGTAGTTATACATGATAGTTTGGGTTCCTGCACACTTTTTCCCTTCAACACCCGCGATGCTGAGTATCCACCACTGAAGGCCCCGATGCCCTGCCCATTCAGCAGGCATTATAGCGCACATAGTTGACACCACAGTACTAATCTGACATGGGTAAGCTGTGTTGGCATGGCTCCATTGAATCCTCCCACGCTCAATTCTATGCTTGGTAACGGTGTACAATACCCATTCCACTTCCTATACATTGAAATACGTTTATTTTGATTGTTGTTACACAATATGGGCTGAAATGGCAGTCAGTAACATCCAATATTGTAACAGTACTTGAGCTGTCAATGGTGCAAATGCGTGTCACGTGATGCAATGGATGATCTGCTGTAACTTTCAAATTTTTGGGCAGTGGTTGGACATAAAAGGTGTGATTTCTCACGGCTTGGGCGCACCGTGGTCTGTTGCGACGTGCAGGTGAAAGCCGTCCTATGGTCGCACACTGGTTGATTCCTGAATTTGCTTCCGTACACCTTCGCAAACCCGAAAGTAACATTTCTACATAATACGAAATTACCCTAGCTCTGATTGCGGGAGTGCGAACCATCTTCAAGAGGACGGCTCGTTTCAAGGTGACGATTGATCAGAGGACTCGATGAGTGGATACATAGCGCCAGGTGCTCCTTCGAAATTGGATCGCTCACAGATAGCAAGCTTGCATGGCGGGTCCGTCCGTTTGTCGCGGATTAAGTCAAACATATGTGAATTAATGCCCATCTCACAGCGCCCCCTCTAAATTTTGGAAGGCAGAGCCAACCACAATACCACAACCGGTAAGTGACCTTGAGGCTGCTGGCCAGTCCATCCCTTTAACCCAAATTTATGCAGTCACCTCAACCCGCGTCAGTGAGTTGCACATCTAATCATCTGGCGTTTCAAGCCCCTGACTGTTGAGCCACACCGCTCCCACAAATATATCTTCCTAGAATCCCAACCCCTACAGCAAAGCCTATCATGGATCGGGGAATTTTACCAGGCACTCGGATGTATTTACGCGAAATGCTCCACCATCCACGTCCTCAAGCCAAATTTCGTTACGACGTCGACGTCCTTCTGGTTCATCACTCCATCTTTCGGCCGGAACAAGGCCCTCTGGTGCTACTTCCGAAACTCTTAGAAGACCATTCGACGCCCTCGTCGACGGCGATGAGCTAGACCCACTCAACATGGGTGCCTTCGAACAAAGCCGATCCTCTCGTTCTGCGCTGGATAAAGGAAAGCAGAAGGCATCGCCTGAAGATGAGGACGAAGTCATGCTAGTCGAATCTAGTGCTGTTTCTGCTCCGCCGACTCACAGCAGAAAACGGAAATCCGGGGATGAAGACTACCCATTTTTGGACATGTTGTCAGTTATGAAAACTAGGAGCGACCGCAAAAAGGCTGAGCAGGCAAAAATGGCAAGTACAGCCAGCGTATGTACTTCATCAAAGTGTGAACTGATTGTACAGAAGGAGATACGCACAGCCGCTATAGCCAACGAGAAGCCTTTGGATAAATTTCGCTTTAATCCTCGATCGTCTCCCGCCCCAGCACCACCCGCATCCCGCCCTGTCTCCTCGAGGCCCGATCTCTTGCCTATCCGAATACTCTTCTGGGGTCTGATAAAACATGAAGCAAATTCTTCTCCGGATGTACCTAAAGTATTGAGTTGGCCGCAGAATCATCCGGCCTTTTCATTGCGTCAAGCCCACTCTCCTGCGCCAGGCCAGAAGCCCCTGATAGTAGTCCCAATGAAATGTGTTCGTCATTTTGAAGTTCGTCGCTTATTGATGAATGTATTCTATGTCAGAGCTCACTAACCTACCTCCAAAGTATTTCTCCGGGAGCTCACAGATTCCTCCTTACTTGCACTTTGATATTGAGATTGACACGGACAACAAACCCACCTCGACCTCGGATTTGTTTAAGAGTGACAGCGATACATTTCGGCCTCGTATGTCAGTTAACGTAGGTCTTCCTTCTGTTTACTGATGAACTCGCTATCCTCAGGCCAAAAGCACATGCCTTATCTGTCTCGATCAGACGAACACCTGTCTTCATTCGCAATTGAAGTCCATGGTAATTCGACCATGCCTCAACAAATCTGTCGCGACATGGTACACAACATGGTAAATCGGTTCGTAAAGAATAGAATAAAGGCTACAAGATTGGGGTAAACTTTCATTGGTTTACTCTGAGTGCCCTTACTGATCTTCTCACATCTGCTAGGGAACATGAGGCGAGGAGCCTCAAGTCCAATCGGGAGAATCTAGATGCGAAGTACAGGGGTGGTCAGCGCGAACACAAGACCCCCAGAAAGTCTGCCAGAGTGGCTTCTCCGGCAGAGGAACTGCCAACGTCCGTGGCGGGACTATTGTCGCCTCAAGACGAAGAGGTGGTTTCACCGGACGACAAGGAAAAGCCTCGAACGTGAGTTTACATTTATTGGATCATGACAACCCTTCTCACATTCCTAACACAGGAGAAGCTCAGCGCGTTTATCCCAGCGGCAAGAGCCTCCGCGCAAAGTGTTGCCTCCTCTGGAAAATCCTAATGAATTGTGAGCGTTTTCGAGATCATAGGGTCAATAGTTTACTCACCGCTCAAACAGAATACTCGTTTATCCACCAACTGGCAAGGGTGCCATAGAAATTACGGCGGGCGATTATCGCCGTCTTGAACCGGACGAGTATTTCAACGATACGCTGATTGAATTTGGAATGAAGTAGGGATCCCTAGTTTTCTCACATATTATATTCTTAAACTTTCATGCAAGGCGTGCGTTCCACAGGATGCAGGAAACGAATCCGACACTCGCAGAGCAAGTCCACTTATTTAACTCATTTTTCTATGGGAAATTAAGTTCGAAACTGTAAGGTTTTCATCTACCCAATGCTGTATATGAGTTTGCTGCTTTCACTCCGTATGCCGTCATGCAGGCCCTCAGACGGCTACCAAAGCGTTCGTAAATGGACTTCGAAGTTCAACTTCTTCGACAAGAACTACATTGTAATTCCCATCAACGAGAAGTATGTCCTCGTCAACTCTTCCGGAGACGTCTCAGAGTGCTTACTTGCTGCAGTTTCCACTGGTATCTTTGCATCATCTACAACCCAAAGAATTCGCTTCCCCCACAAACCCCCCCTCCAAAGCCTGTGGCCACGCCAAAGAAGGTTACTCGTGCTAGTTTGGCTGCACAACAGTCAGATCAACCCGAAGCAACCCCTCCAGCGCGTCCCAGACCCCGCCCACTCAAGAAGCCCGTCACTGGCCAGGAACAAATGAAAACGCTCGAAGTTATCGACTTGGAAGCTGACGACAACATGGACATTGATGCATCGACCGTCACTGAGAACTCACCTTGCCCCCTCATTTCTGATCTTCCCCCTCAGCCGCACCCTGAATCCGAGCTCAAAACTGGATCTAGACTGCAATTTCCGGACGAACTTCCTGCTAGTGCATTACCTGAGACGCAAGAGAGCGTAGTGGAGGTGATAGAGGAGGATCAACCAATGCCAAGTGAGAAGCAGCGAAGCGTGTGAGTTCTTCCTTTCTTGTGATGCCACATTTTTGAAGTATCTTCAGGCCATGCTTGTTATTCTTTTTGGATTCTTTGGGCTCCGTCTCTCCCAGAGTCCCGAGAAAAGTCCTCGTGAATTACCTCTTGAATGAGGCAATAGACAAGAAGCTGGTTGGAAGCGAATGGGACGCTCGTGAGCTTGAAAAATGGTTTCGAGATCACGTTGTTTCGAAGGTGGCTAAGGTATGTCTTGGATATTTAGGGCTACAGGGGTGTACCATTGATTCGGATCTCTAGGTGCCTCAACAACCAAACTTTTGCGATTGTGGTGCGTATCTGGTGCACTTCGTCGAGATATTCCTGAGCGATCCTGTGAACGCGGTTGAATACATGGTACATTTACTAGTTTCTGAGCCTCCGTGAAGACATCCTTATATTCCTTGTTGCAGGCGCTCAGGAACCAGCCAAAGAGCGCCGACGAATCTGTCTGGAATAAGTTGGGGCTAGACAGAAAGCGCATCACCATGAAAGAAGAAATCGATAGACTGGCCGTGGAGTGGAAGGAGACAAGCGGGTCTCGTACCGAAAACTCAGCTCTGGACGACGAAACTCCTGTAGAAGTGCATGATTCCGTGGTCTTGCCGCCCGACAACGCTGGAGCTCGCGAGTCACTGCAAATTTCCCGCTTGTCCTCGCCCGGCACTTCCGGTCAACAAAGTTCGGTGCGCGAAGATGAGAACACGGTTGCCAAATTATTGTCTCCTCATCTGTCTTCGTTGGTGGACCTTGATTGTGTGAGCCTGGGCCCTAATTCGTCAGATATCTCAATGGACGGCGTTTCGAACGAAATCGAACCCCCTTATTCCCGCGCAATGAGCGTGGAGATTGGAGTACCGCCATGTGAGCCTCACGTTCAACGTGCTCTCTCAAAAGCCCAGTTTTCCAAATACGCTTCCCGAGAAGCTGAAGCTGACCTGAAGACCGATAGTGAGGCAGGGGACACAGGAACCGACCCGCTTTGCTCCACCTCTTCGCTCCAGGTAGAACCACCACAAAGCCAGGTGCAAGAGGTGCATGAGACCCCAGTGTACGTTCTAGATTCCGATGAGGAAGAAAATGGACCGGAATCCGTAACACGAGCCATCACCACTTCCAAGGCAAAGTCGGCAATCATGTCCTCTGGAACGGAGGACACCGCCGCATCGCTTCCTCCTTCACACCGTCCACGGTCAACTCTTACTGTCGAGATTCCCGCTTCTCGCCGAGCAGGCAGGGGTATCGTCTCGGAAGACGAGGACAAAGTGGGAGTACGTGAATTGGAGATTCAACAGATTGGTGCGACTCGGAAGCATAAACCTCTACGATTTTCTCCTCCTGCCAGCACCTAGCCAAGCTCCGCCTCATTTTTCTGTTCCTGATATTTTACAACTCATTATCTAGTTCTTTACATCATTGTACGACGACGTCAACTCCAAGATTTATTAGGTCAGAACGCATTGTAATATGCACATTGCTCGCGTTGTCCATGTATATTAGAACACATTAGTCTCCATCTGTTTTAATGGCATGAAGATACAATAGTCCTGCTTCCTGCTTGATCCGCTCTAGGTGAACTGGGATTACTTGAACGAATGTAATGTGACTGCATAGTTTGATGCTACCGGAACGATCTATGACTCCGATGAGTTGCGAGATGACCACCATTTGCCGACCTTCGCGGCACTGTAACGAATGCTTTTGTTGAGACCTGTCGTGACTAAACCTTTAAGACTTTGGACTGTTGCCGGACCTCTAACAATCTCCCTAAGTTCTGCAGAAACCAATGTGAATGGCAAAGTTGGAGCAATGTAGCGAATGGGCCGTACCTTGCTCGATGACGCTGCTGAGAGTCTTATCACCACCGACTGATAACCAGAATGCCGAAGAGTCAGCGTCCGGTGAAGGAACGGGATATTTGCGCGAATACTGTGTTTCAAGGCGATGGAGCAGATTTGAGGGGAGTTTTCGCACAAGTGCTGAGCGTGCACGAGGAAACATATCTTGCTATATGATCCCAAAATGTTTCGCTTCCTTAAGAATGAAGGGCCAAAATAGGACTTACGTTGATAATAGTTGAAGTTTGACTCCAATGTACATCTGGTAGCCCACGAGCCAACCGCCAATACAGCTCCTTAAACTGGGCTCTTTGTGCGCTGACAATATTTTGCACTTTCCTCGGGTTCTCGCCTCCAAATCTCATCCGAAAGTCACCTCCATAGCTAAACGCGGCCATTTTCTCAAAGAGCAAGTCCTCTTCAAATGACTCCGGAAGGGTAAGAAGGGCAGTGCGCAGGGCAGAGACTAGGTTCACTTGTTGAGTGAGCCGGACTCGAGTATCATCCTTAATGATGCGAATAGGCTTATGCATTCGCCCCGAAAGGTAAAGGGTGTTCCAGTTGATGAGGTCAGAGCACAAATTGTCTATCGTCGTCACTCCATACTTGATCATCTACAGAATACGGTCATCCCGTAGCTCACCAGAGATGGGACAGCAAACATACCACTCCATTCATCGGAACATAGGCATTGAACCATATCCCTGGTTCTATTCCCTGGAACTGGGCGATAAAGGAGGAACCCAAGAACCGTGCATGCAAGGGATAATGTGATGGATTCTGGTGGATATTGATCGAGTGCCAATGGGATGGGTGATTAACCGCAAATATAAAGTCAAGGAGCGGGGGCGACGCCTAATGGAATGTAAGTGCCGGCCTTTCAATTGAGTTGTCAGCCGTGACGGACATACATCTGCCTTTGAGTATCCCTTCTGCGCGAACACACCACTACCATAAGCGAATGCATAACGTATTGGTGCATCAAAGCTCCGCGTAATTTCCTCTAAAAGTGCTCTTGTAGAATCCGGAACACTCAAGACTTGATTCCGCCCGAAGTTTGGAGGCTAGCGGGAAGGAGCGTCACCTAGCGAACATGCAGCCCATGCATATTCAATATTTACCAGAAGGTAAGGGAGGCTTATTTGCACTCTGGGAGAATACGAAGACGGCTGTGGTGGCCTCGGCGCAGGCGAGAAGCGAACGCGTGACCGATTAGAAGGCAACGGAGGGGGGACATTGGAAAGTGAAGGTGATGGAGGATTAGTTTCTGTTGACAAGGGACGGGAGATGGAACGAGTAAAAAGAAGAGAGCGACGTCGGGCGGACTGTAACATCATGATACGTTGGAAAGTCCAGCGGGTTTGCCGAACCTGATCACGTGCAATGACATTTGCGAAGAAATAATGGCAATGCTCAATTGTGAGTAAAATGTGCGTAGTATACATGATGCCCGAAGTGGATGGTGAATAGCCTTGTTAATATCATTTTTTTTGTGTAGGTCACGATGCACGGCTGGAAAGCCACTTGAGGATAATATCGAGGTTATGTTGGCTTTTCATTGAACACTGAAAGTGATTCGAGATCAGTCTTGTCTTCCCGGTCGAGTCAAGTGGAACATACCGAATAGCACTGAAAGTTGTAGAGCATGGATTAAGATATAAATGTGAATTCGTTTCGAACGATTGACGCCACTCACAGAAACAGAACGGTTCTGTATCCTGTCCAAGTCACTTGGGTCGGAGTGCAAATGATCAGAATGCAGAACGTAGACTCCCCAGTGGAACTCACAGTGACCGTATTAGTTCTTCGATAGGCGCATGGTTAGGTAAATCGTTCTTATTTCCAAGCTTTAAAGTGCATCTCAGCATTTGATTGGGGCCCTGGGTGAGTAAGAAGAAACTCATACCACTAGTAATGGCACTCCGGAAAGTGGAGATCTGTCCAGTAGCGTGTGCAGCTCGAATTTGGCAGTAGGAAAACTCTCCTTCTGTAACAAGGTGTCCCCCATAGATTGCCTCTCACCATAGAACTTAGGGGAATGGTGACTTACATCGTGCGAGTCAACCACGAAACTGCAAAGAATATGAGAAATCTAGAGCAGTGGACTGTCATCGCACATACACGATGGCATCAACGCCTCGGCAATATCTGTCCCACCTAGATATCATATGTAGATATTAGAATCTCTAAATAGCCAACATGAGTAACGGACGGCGCTCACATGTTACGGAATTTAGGTTGACCTTCAAGGGGTAATGCGTCTCAATGTGCGATACGCTGTCGGGGAAACTGAAAACCAACCTGCGACGTCCCAGACTTTCAATGTCACATTTCCTCTTCTTACTGGGAAAAGCGCGATTGAATATTGGATCCCGTGTGCATGAAAGTCATGATACCTTTCCTCAGGTTGAACGCTACAGTTGGGACAACTTCTTCACTCCATTGTCCTGAGCCAATAACATTCACGAATGACGTCTTTCCAGATGCCTCGGTTGGATATTCCGTCAATAACTTTGTAAAGGAGTTCAGAAGCGCGCCGGTACCTGCCACTGCATGAACATCATTCGACCATAAACATTGATTATTCTTACCTGTAAGCCAACGATGCTAATCTCCGCAGACTTGCTGAAAAACAAGTTCGAGAAAAACGCGATGATTGCGCTGAACCACGACATGACCATGCTGAAGCCGAGCAGAAGATGGGGTTACACGTGATTCGGGCTCGGAGATTCACGTCTAAGTCTGACGCGTTCCGTCGTTTGCATTGGAATAAAATAATGTCAAGAACAATCTACGGACCAATCCGCGCTGGGAGAGCATTTCGACGCTCGGAAACCAGGTGGGCCAACTCAAATGAATATTCGAAATGGTGTTGAGTTTCCCGTCTGGTCAGCAATTTTGTGGACTCGGACGCTGCTCCTGGTGAAATCATCATCACTGAAGGCGAGGATGGACTCACTCGGTTCAACTGGATCAACCGTAATACTCGAACCAACGATCTCGTACGCTACCGATATCTTGATTGTCTAAGCCTGTGTGAACTTTCAGGTTCCATTAGGAATTAATTATATTTCCAGCGGACGCGTCGTTTGTCGTTGTGCCACAGTCGGAAGGTGGGCGCACGCACGTCCTGAAGTTTAGTTCTTCGGATCAGAGATACTTCTTCTGGTTCCAAGATTCTCATAGTGAGCCTATCATCTTCAGGGTGGATACCATCTGACGACCTCCTCAGCTGGAGCCTTTAAGAGTTACGCAAAAAACCTGAACGGTATCCTCGATGATCCAAGCTATGAAATAGACCGGGTGGGAGATGTAACTGGCCAGGATGCCCCGTCTTCATCCGATGGTCCTGCCATATCGACCGACGCTCCATCTACCGGTCCCTCTACTGGTGCAGGCGGCAGTCTTCCACTTGACCGCCTTGCAGAACTCCGAGCTCTCGTTTCCAATCTCCCTAATACCACCGAAGGGGCTATCCCACTTGCACCTGAAATGTCCTTGATTGACATCCTCACGCCCGCCAACCTTACACCACTATTTAATACCGCATCCCCCGAGGTCCTAAACTCTATATTCCCAACACTTCCATCCGATATGCCATTCCCTCCAAGTGAGGATGTTCTTCGTAGCGTGATCGAGAGTCCGCCATTTCAGGCCCAGGTCCGGGCCTTGGACAGAGCATTGCAAACTGGTTTAGTTGGTAATCTTGTCGTCGGTCTAGGATTACCTGAGGAAGCTGGGCTGGGGATACGCCCTTTTCTTAAAGCGATTCAGGACCAAGCGAAGAAAAATCAGGAATCACAGGGCCTAGTGGAGACTCCATGGAGACGGATTGACAGCACCCAGCGAGGATCATGTTCTCCGTCCGTAGAATATAGAAGGTGGTCATAAATTTGAAAAACAGAATAGGATAATTTACATAAACCAGCACGTCATACATACCCAAGGTGTAGGATAGGATTGAAGGTCCCAGAATAGCAACACTGACAAAGACGATCATCATGAATTGTCAACGCCAAAACGTTGTCTTTCTATGATCGATTTTTGAGAACGATCACGCATCACCCGCCTAACAAAATCCTCAGTGCCATATCGATTGACGTCGCACTTCCTGACATACCAATAATATTCCATGACATCGGCTTCACCAAGCTTTTGTAAGAACTTCTCGTCATGAGTGATGACAATGAGCTGGAAGTTAGCCATGCTCCGACGCTCCTTAATGATACTACCGAAGTGGAGTTGAGCACGTTATTAATGGCAACGGGCGAAATGCATACTCAGTTAGCGAGTGCGCTAATGCGTCGATATTCTCCGCATCTAGAGCATTCGTGGGCTCATCAAGCGCAAGGATCCCACAGTTCTGCCCAAATGAGTCGGATAAAGCAAGTCGAATAATGATAGATGCCAGCATCTTCTGCCCCGCACTACATCGCCCTCGCATGTCCATTTCGACTTGGTCTTTAGTCATAACGACGCGATAGTTATAGGTACGCCTCGTTGAAGAGACACCGTCGTTGTCCGAAACAACTTTGATGCCATCGATATCTATGGAACGTTTGTTCACTCTAGCGGCTCGAAAAATTGACGGTACTAACCTGTCCCTTGATATGTTTTGTTCCACAGATGTCGCATGGTCTCGTTGACTTCCTCCATCTTTAATGAGTGGTATTTCATAATCGCGCTGGGGAGAAGATCAGATCAAACAATGTGAGTGCGCAAACCAACTCACTTGTCAAGAGCTTTGGCATATTTCTCCAGATCATTGTTTGCCATATCCGACATCTATGGAGGTGTTCCCTTTCACTTGGATCAAGTACGAAATCCAGATCACCACACCTTCACTTTGACAAGCTGTTCAGTATATTTCTTGTTAATGTCTTTGAAATCACGCGAAAGATCCTTCTTAAAGCTATCGAGATGTACGCGGTCTGTGCTCATTTCTCCTTCAACGCGAGAACACTTCGCAGCATCCCCCGATCAAAATGGGCGAGGTATGGCGACATTTTAGATGAACATACCTGTGCAACTAGCTTGTCCAACTTCGCCTTCATGAGGGGGTACAACTTGTCAAAATTGCGTTTTGCTCGAGCAGCCTCCTCCAAATCGAGTTTGGAGATGTCATCGTTGATTTTAGCCAATGTAGCACGAGATTTGCGCAGCTGGATGTTGTTTTGGTAACGCGCCAGCGTAGCTCCGCCTTCATGAATTTCTTTATCCAGCCCCGCAAGGTTAGTCCGTTTGCTTTCGATAATGGCGTTGAGTTCGGTAATACGTCGCTCAGCCTCTGCCACGCGTTCCTCGCATTTTCTAAGTTCTCGAGCCCGTCGTTCCGTAACGAATCTAGAACGATCTCCTGAGTCAAACTCTATATAGCTGGGAGACAACCAACCGTTCGATTATTCGTGATACGTTCTCAAGCTTCTCCGAGCTCAGGGATAACTCCTTTGAGAGCTGCGTCGATTTGGCAGTTGCGGCTTCATGAGTTGAGTTATGCTGGGAAATTTGGGATTCTAATTGTAGAATAGGTGCATCCCCGTTCTGGATCTCGACTTCCAGTTCCTACAAACGACATCAAGATTCAGAGAAGGACCCACTTGAAATCCTGCCTACCTTGCAACGTTGTTGGAGTAATATCACCTCGCGCTTTGAACTCTCTATCGAAGCCTGAACGAGATCTCGCTCTTTAACTTTGTTCCTCAACTCTGCATTTTTTAGCTCTAGAGCATGAAGCTCATTCTCGAGTGTCCTTTGATGTGTGAGGTCCTGTTCCCGAGTTGAGACGAGGATTTGCCGAGTCCGGTCGGTTGTCTTTCTGCAACGAAATCAATGGTTTGTCAATACCAGAAAATGCGTATTCGCTGGAACCAACATTTTCGTTGATATCTCATCAAGCTCTGCCTGGATGTCGTCCGTGGTCCGAGTTGATCCCGAAGATTGAAGCTCAGTCTCAATATCCGTGATCTCTTTTTTCAGGCGTTCCACGTCCCCAAGTGCTCTTGTGACGAGGGTTGCGTGCGTCTTCAAGGTCTGAAGATCGCGAAGTTGGGTTCTAAAACTTTTCAATTCCTCCGAAATCTCGATATTTTCCGTCAGCATGCAAATTTTCAAAATCATTGGCTCTGAGATATGCTCACCGTTTCGACTTCGTGTGACAAGTCCCCGAGTTTCCCCTCCTCTGCCTTCAGTTCGGCATCGAGACCTGGGATAACCTTTGATCGCAAGTTGTCCCTTGTCGCTTCCTTGGGGAAGAAAGACTGAAGACGTTTAATATAGTCCTCCCAAGTTTTGACTTCTTGCAACGCCTCCGCAATACTCTCGTCGCTTGATTTTTCCGCAAGCCCAGTCAGCTATCATCGCCAGCCATTATTTGTGTGCCCGATAACAGAAATCCTGAGAATACCTTGGCTTCGAACTTATCCCACTCTGCGGACGACATCTTACGATCGCACAATTTGCACATATGTTCTTTCTTCCCAGACTTCAGGAATTGCATAATCATACCCTTCGCATGGGTCATCTGTTGATGGCGGCTTGAATAGGGGTTAGTGACGGAATCACCGATAAGGGCAGCTTAACTCACTCTATTGCAGCGTTGAGATCCTTCTGAATTTCTTCTATGGCAGCTGGAATGTTTGGGTAATCAACTTCATCACCTTGCAATAAGGGTCTGAGTTCTTTGGTCAACGCTGGTTACAGGGAAGGTCTCAGTGCCCGAGAAACAAAGCAGACAAATGAACAAACCAGTGATTTCGGCTTTCTTCCCACTAATTTGATTTTTGAGGCCAGAGATATTTGACTCCACTTGATGTAGATCCATGTTTTCCCTGTTATACTTGGCCTCGATGGCAGATGTTGCCTTCTCCTTTTCACTGCAATTACGATTAGAGGTCCCATGCCCATCATTCGGGCACCCTCGACTTACGCAATGGCCTTGTCAACGTCTCCTTCCATCGTGGGCGCTTGAGCCTCCATCCCAGTAAGATCTTGGTGTTTCTGGCCATAGCTCTCGAGTCTACGTAAGAAGCGTCTATTAATTGTCATAAGCAAGAGACAAGATGGGGGCTAACGTCAAATCAATTTCGGCTTGACGCTTTTTGGCCTCGTTCCGCTTGAGAGCTAACGTCGCTCGAGCATTCGATTGCGTTGTCAAAGCTCTCAGAGCCTGATTTAGCCTGTCCTTCTCATCTTCAAGTCGGCGAATTTCTGCTGTCTTAGCCTCGATCCCAGCTTCATGCTTAGCCGAGAGGAAGTCCCGTTTCGCTTTGTTCAGCCGGTCTCTGGTCGAGTCTAGGTCGGAAATATTGTACTTAAGTTCGGCGTCAAGCATGTTCTCCCTATCGGCCTTCTCCACTTGGGAAACAATTTGTGCGTTCAAGCGATCCTAGCGATGGAGACACGGCATGAATGTGAGACCAGAATCATCTTAGCGAGTGCTTACAATGCTTTTCAGAGTCGTATCACGTTCGATATGGCGTGCGTCCTGATGCTGGCGAAGTGTCCGAAGCTTCTTCGAGAGCTCCTCGCTCTTCGCCAACCCAGTGGCTCGGATTTCTTTGAGCCCTGAATTCTGCTTGTTCAACAGGGCATTGAGTTTATGGGCGAATTCTTCGACGCGATCATCCTCCAAGGGAGTATGATCATAACCCTTCAAGCTGTATTTTGTGGCCAACTCGCGAATCAGACCCTCCCGGGCCTCAACATTCCGTCTATGGGTCTTCAATGGCCCACATGAGTGCGAAGATGGTGAAGGGAAACTCTAAAGCGTACTGTGGCCTCAGCTTGCAGGTTACCCTGCTCACTAATGAGCGCAACGTGCTGTTTGCGCTCATCAGCAAGCCTTTCTTCCTCGTCCCTGACGTCCCGTGCAGTAGCGTCCCTTCTGCGTTGTAATGTAGACCTATGCATCTCGAAGTCTCTAACTTTCACCTCCAACTCTTCGTCAGTGTCTGGAAGCTCTTGAGTAGTTGATTGCTTTATTCCAATCTCTTCCTCAAGCTGTGACTTGCGTGCATCGTAATTTTCGGCTTTGATATAAACCTCTTTGAATTTGGTGGCGCTTTCCATGAAGCGAATATTTTCGGCTTCGACGCCTTTAATTTCTTGTTTGAGCTCCTCCTGTTGAATCTGTTTGGTTTGCAGTGTGGAGGTAAGACCGTCGATCCTCTCTCGAAGCTGCGAAAGAAATCAGTTCCAAAGCATGCTACAATAGCGTAACACTTGTATTTGCCTTATCTGCGTGCGATTTTTGGACTTGCAGCGTTTGAAGCCGTTCCTTATCTACCTTGAGCTCTGCAGTACGCTCCTTCCTGATAGCTCGAATTGAGTCAAGGGCCTTAGTGTACCTGTCGAATTTCCTCTAAACCCGTTGTTTTCACGCGGAAAGATGAACCACATACTTTGTCGCTTCAAAGATGTCATCAAACTTCTTCTTGAGAACAGAAGCCTCCGAAAGGGGCCAGTACGAATCCTCTTGATGGCAGAATATCACATTTTCCAGCACAGCTTTCGAGACGCCCAATAAGTGTGGGATTTCCGAGTCCATCTCAGCACACTTTGTAGACAACACTCCACGCTAAGATAGGTAAAAATAAAATGCGAACCATGCCGATTAGCATCAGAAACGAACCTTTGTCTTCCTATCATAATCGTTGGCAGCAAGAATTGATTCCAACGTCTTCATTGTCAAGCCAGTTTTCTTAACAGTGACAGATAGGTTACGGATGGCAAGCATTTGCTGGCGATTAGCAGCATTAAAGCGTAGCTTTACTTGCGCTTTGACTTCCTTCTCGTTCGCGATCTATAGATTGAGTTTCGGTGAGATGGCCAAGAGGAGTCGGAGCCACTGGGCGGACCTTGGGGTCATGAATGAAGGCGCCTCCTTGGTATTTGGTGGCTGGTCTCCGGTAGTAGCATATTTTAGGCATTCAATGATCGTCTTCGTGTATAACACTTTAGGAAGATGTCGATCTCAGAAGGGTAAATTGAAGGCATACAGTCTTGCCACTTCCATTATGACCAACAATGACGGTCACCGGGCTGTAGAACTCTATAACAGAAAGTTCTTTATCGCCAAACGACCTGATCCCTCGGATAGCAAGCTTGTCCAGCGATGCCCTAAGGTTCAGCGGGTCGGTGCGGCACCGAGGATTCAGTCAAAAAGGCACGAACATTGAAAGTCGTCGGCCGTTTGAACTTCAGTGCAGCGGCTGGAACCTTGTGGGTTTTATAGTTCCTTGGAACGGTTCTGTGCCTAGGAGATACGCTTCTGACGCAAATTAGTCCAGAAGAGGTGAGGGTGAGTGCACGGATAGATGTCACGTGCAAGGACGAGGCCTCTCACGTGGACGGTGTCATCACGACCGAGATAGCCTTCGTTGAATGAGTTGTTTGTTTGTTCCCCAACAGTTAGGTTCAAAAACTTGTCCAAACTCACTTGAAAAGCCCTCGCCTTTCGGCATGAGTAACACTCCCTCTCGAGCGTTCGCTATCTTAAAGGTGGGTCGACTCTCTCAGGAGACGAATAGCTCACGAAGCTTTTCTCCGATCCCAGGCAGGATTCAGCTTTTTCGGCACCTCTTGACCCTCTCCTAACCCTTTTTAATAGCCGAATTTTGTGCAGTATAGGCTAAATATTGAGACTGAGATTGCGGAGGCGGGTTTTGAGATCGTCAAGGTCAGGGGTCTTTGTCGTTGACGCTAGGGTTAATGGGGCATTAAACATGTGTTGAATACCCTTCATACACATATGCAGGCGCGTCAAATCCATTTCAATCCTGAGGACGAATCTCTCGAGGAAGTATTTGGTCATGACGCTAGTTCACTCAGGAAGTGAGTCGCATATGATCCCATCGAGATGCGTGCTAAACCCACGCTTATCAGTGGTCCTACATGGGTGTACGTCGTCGACAAGGAAAATGCTATCCAGGACCTCGTGACGCTCATCGGTGACGAAGACCCAAACATCGCTCGCATGAGCTCTCCCAACTCGATCCGCGCCAAGTTCGGTGAAACTCTGGAAGAGAACGTGATGTACGTGGCGCCCGACCGCGACGTTGTAGAGCTTCTCATCTCTGCCGTATTCCAATCCTCTCCTCCTTTCCCTCCCGCGGCTTTCCCCAATGAGGATGAGGATGTTCTGAGGATTGACGACCTTACCCTCGATGAGGCACCTTCCTCTCGCGTCCTATCCGATAGCTCCAATGGAAACGGGAGCCGCAGCACAGAACGTGCCAACCAAGGGCGGAACAGCCTGTTTAAGGCGAGGGCGGTGCCTCCTACAACTGCAGCACCTTCCATTCAGCCCCGTACCACGAAGGCAGCTGCACTTCGAGCAGGATTGATAGTTCCTAGTCGAGCAACATGCAAGCCCCGTGCTCCTCTAACCAAGGAGGAGCTGGCAAGGACTTTTGCCAATGTACCTGGACATAAGCGCTCCGAAACGTATGTGTACCGCTCACCTCTCGTATTTACCAATTAAGCTTACATCTTTCTCGCAAGGATTGCCGTTGCCTCCACGGCTCCTCCAACTGTGACACCTCGCGCAACTCGGGCTTCCTTGCTCCGGCAGGGAGTGGACGTTCGACAATCACCTAAGACCCGCCCATCCCGCCCATCCACTGCAGGTGTCTCCACCACTTCGGACACTCCTGGATATAAGCGTCAGCTCAATATTCAAGTTGCCAGCACAGCACCGCCCGCCATTCAACCTCGCCCCACCCGAGCCTCTGCCTTACGAACAGGCCAAGCTGTCTCGCCACCTAAAAAAACTGTTCCTCGAGACCCCAGTGATATTGCAGCAGAAATTTTCATTGGAGTCCCGGGGCATAAGCGCAGGGAGTCCATATCTGTTGCCAGCACACGTCCTCCTGCCACCACACCCCGTCTTAACCGCAGCGCTACTCTTCGTGCACGACGCAGTCTCTCCGTCTTGGGGCCACCATCTTCGTTTACCCTCAAGGAGAACACTCTACCTAATGATAACGTCCAGGCGACTTCTACGACCTCCAAGGCACTGTCGTCTTCGTCGACCCTCTCTGTAGCTCAACCACAACGCCCTGCTGTGACACGTGGTCGGACAAGCACCCGTGCACCTCCCAGTGCATATCATGCCCCAAAAGCCTACTCAACTTCTCCCCCACCTACCACATCTCGCTCGTCGAGTGTTGCAAGACCGGCTTCCATCGTACGCCCGCCTTCTATCGAACCAAAGACAAACAGGAGCGCCATGCTTCGCGCTCGGAAAATGGGGATAGCCATCCCGCAGGTTCTGGTTGCTTGAAAGCCGTGTCAAACAATAAGAATTATTGGCTTCTTTTTTTTTATCAGGCATTTGGATTGCCTTGCTTGCTTACTGGTCACTTTTGGTTGGCAGCTTTTCTTTGTTGTATTACGGTGCAATAACCCGCCTCTGTTATTTTGTGGAAGTTCCTTGTCATTTCACGTCTGAATAGCCCCGAATCCTCAAATGACTTTTCAGTAAAGAGACTCGAGTCCGAAGCAGGAGGGTTCCCTTCGAACTGAATGACCGAGCTTGCGGCGCTCAAAGTGAAATTAAGGGTCAAGGCTTCTTTGGAATAAATACACGAAAATACGGTTACATAGTCCGATCTGCCGCCCTCTTCGTTATATTACGAAGTCATAGAGGCCGGAGTCCTGCCTACCTCTTCGTCTGGGTAAAATCTAATTAGAAACCACTTAATTCGGATATTGGTTCACCGGTCTCCTGCCTAGTCTTTCATTACGGATGTCCTATTCCTCATCACAGGCACGATCAGTTTTGATCTGAGCTTAATTAAGTTTTAAATTTTGAGGGTCGGCTGTGCGTCAAAGACACACTATGCTCTGGTCACTTGCATTAGCACTCTTACCTACAGTGCTATCGCCGACTCATTCAACGTTACCCGACTCGCTACATGCTCAATCCCAGCTTTGCCCTTTGTCCGGTTTCGTGGTGCGCGAATGTTGAATAAGAAGCTTCTTTGCAACTTCAATGGTGGTCTTGAGATCCAATCATTTGCGGGTGTCCGTTGGAGCGTGTTGCCTGTGATGTCTATACCGTGCGAGACAAAATTATGGTAAGGTGAGGAGCGGAGAACTCTTCGATCTCTTCTTTGGTCAAGTACGGGGGGCTATATGGATCACCTACTTCAAGCAATCCAAAACCAGCCTTGTAGGAGTTACTTAGGCTAACTGAGCCCCGTACAGAGAATGATGGAGGTGACAGCCGAAGGAGTGCCGCGATGTGACCACCCTCGTGGCAGGTGCATTGAGCTCTTCTCGACAAAGGGATGTGTTAGAAGTGTCGTTACACACCCAACTCAATAAGGGGAGCGCAGAAACGGACAATAATGTCAATGAGAGAACTATTCCGAGACCCCTTTGGTTCAAAGGACGAGGACGAGGGACACAAGGCGCTTCGCAACGAGGTTGTATGTAATCCTTGAACCCACCTTGTGGGCGGGAGAAAACTAGCCGCACGGATGCCTCTGAGGAACATCCCTGAAGGGAAGGAAGTCCTCCAAGCTGGAACTGAAATGAAATTTTTATTTTCCTTCTTTGGCACATGACTCCGGCGAATCACGTCGCATGAGTGTTATTGGACTGAACAACATTGCCCCCAGCTGGGCCTCTCAACATGGCAGGTCTCCCTTTAGAGTCTTACGCCCTAGCGCTCCTGAAGGTGATGGGAAAGCGAGACAACGCGGAACGTCCGCCGCTGGGATTCGCCAGTCGCAGCGGAACACTATCCTCAACTTTCAACGCGCCAGCTCACAAACTCCTGCAAGCCGTTATCGAGTACTCCCCATCTCCGGAAACAATCGCTCGAGGATTTTTGGTGGAGCTTGGGAAGTGCGGAATCTTAGCTGTGAAGGGATTCGGTGAGAACGCCTTTACATGACAGTGATACCTATTTTAATTATTATCTGTTGCCCTAAGTCGACGCCTTGGACAACGATCGCTCTGTCAATTCGGACGACTGGGCAGCTATTGTGCATCAAGAGCTTGAACAGAATAACGGTAATACCACGTATCTCACAGAACTTGCAAGTTACTACTTGTCTCACCTTATTATCGCATGTAAGGGCGCAAAATCTCCATTTTTATCTTGTAACTTAGATTTGTTTTCCTAGTCAGAAATCCGGGTGGAAAAAAGATCAACATTCCATACATCATACACCCAATCTTAGGCGTATAGAGGATATTGCATCGTTGTTAGAGTCGGCCACAGTTCGTCGAAGTCAATCGGCTTTGACAGACCTTGTGCATTGCCATCTACTGTTGATTATGACTAAGAGCTTCTCTGAAAATACTCTTTAGGTCTTTCTTCGCGACGGGACTCATTGCCCTCTTACCCGTTACGCTTTTCTTGGTGATGATAGGATTGTAGTACCCCGCTGCGCACACATCATCCCATTTTCCATCCATTCCAAGGTAGAAACCACTTTCCAGGCACTATTCCCTACTGATTCATGCATAGCCTTATGCACATGCTGCGATTGAGACCTTCACCGGCCAAACGTTGAACGCAGAGCTCGTTCAGCAACTCATAAACCATCCTGCTAATGCCATAAATATCGAAACCAATGCCCACGATTCAATGGATCAGAAACTAGCCTGGGGGATTGAAGCCAGATTAGTCGATCATAAAGTGGGTACGATACAAATTGGTTCGACCCTGATATAATTCAGTGAATAGTGGAACTATTATTTCCGAGTCGTTCGACCAAAAGAAGTAGCAGCTACCATTTACCTTCGTGATGGGGATGAAATGGGATTTGGGCAGGGAGTTGGCAGCGATGGGATTCCATTACCTGACCCTCGGATTTGCAATCTTCACCTAGCTATTGCCCGGGTCTTTGCAGCCTCAGGTGCCGCGGAAGTGTTTGATAAATATCTGGAGGATGATGATGACGATTACATGACCCAAGTTCCTGTCTACTTTGGTGGCCCATTTGTTGATGATGACGTACTCATGCGTAAGCTTGAGGTGCTAGCTACCTGATACGATGCTGCATGTCAAATCACTCGCTTGCTGATTTCTCGATTACTACTGTCTTGCATAGTACCATCACCATTGTCGTAAATAATAATGAATTCACTGAAAAAAGTGAGATAAAATCGTGTTCTATTCAGCCTCCAGCGAAGCCATGGTGACGGTCTGTGGAATGCCACGATTAAAATCCTGCTCTGCTCAACCTCTGGCAAACCAAAGGCGAGAATCTGGGGAACAACACGATCATTGAAAAAATCCTGCTGTGTTATCGTGGAATCAGACTCAGTGTTATATATAGAAATGGGATTTTCCCATTTAATAGCGGTATGTCAAGATCCACTGAGCCGATTGGGACAAATCATAACCGACGGAAAGCTAGAGTCAAGGCCGGGGAGTCCAACGGTGATGGTGGAAAGGCGTTCGAGACGCTAGTTGGGAAGAATGACGGGTTCCTTCATCCATCATACACCTTCCCGGGCCCGCTAGCTCACTCACACACACGTTTTTCCATTCTCATTTCATTCCTTATTTTATTTGCACTCGTTTCAGCGTCATCCATAGTCTTATATAGGGGACAGATAGGTAGGGTGAGAAGAGAGCTTGAAGCCGTGAAAAAGTCCAGGACTTGAGATCGCCACCAATTAACACCAGCTAGCTTAGCCGTTAGGGCAGAACGCTTCGAAGCTTGAATTTGGGACAGTGTGCATTCCGGACTCGAGTGTACACGTTCCCTCTCACGCCCATATACTCACTCAGAATTGGCTTCGGTAGGCAGGACCTGGGCCCGAGGGGGAGGGGCGGAGCTCGGTCGGCGGATGATCACCCGGACATTACCGCTGGTCAACTTGATCCTGGTCACATGTCCTCGATCAGCAACTATAATGTGTTTGTTATTGGACATGCCCAGGACTCAGGAATTTTGAACTCCCGAACACTTAAGTGAACGGACCTATGAACGAGCTACGGGCTTCTACATCATGATATCATGATTCATTTGTCATAAGGTCTATTCAACTCCTTAACGTGTATTGCAATCCCGCCATCTTACCGTGCATAAGTTTGACCCAGGATACGAGGATAAGCGATTGTGCCAGATCCACGTACTTATAGGACGCACCATCGGCGTTTTGGTTCTGATGCTGCACGATCTGGCCGAATTTCCCGTTGAGGATAGTACGACCACGACATTGCGGCAACATGACGATGTTGAAGGATCGACTTGAATAGTGAGGCTATTGCCAAGTAGCGTCTCTTATAGCACCTATCTCGCGGAGGGTCGCCTTAATGTAGACACCCTATCGGTTCGCCATGATAGACGTGGATACGGGATGCTCAAACACGAATATCCCCCGACCCCCATAACAAGACCCAGAAGGTATGAAATAAGTTGGTAAGCTCGGGTGTGATGAAAGGTTACTCGGGAGTGTACTATTACGGGTTCAATGGATGTCTACGCAAAAGCGGAACATCGCATAGATGTCAATTGCCGTCGATGAAGAGGGGCTCATTCTCCGCGCGAGCCGGTGGCCGTCCTGGATCATGGGCCCAGAGAAATTTGACGTCTTGTCGAGACGAATCAGAAAAGGCATCATGAGCCCCGAGGTTTTACAGCGCGTATAGTTTTGCCTGGCCGGCGTGCCTGCATTGTGTTGTGGTTACATCTGCCGCTGGCTCAAGGGTGATCGTGTTGCCCAGCGAGTGCTCCCTCAGGCCACGATACTATGGTATAACAGAATACGGGCGATTAGACATACAACTCTCCTTGATAGTGCTGTAGTTAATTCAACGCCACAAGGCGTATGAAGGATCAAAAGGAATTAATCTAATGCCAATATTGTAGCGCGCACACACGCTTCTCTCTACCATGCGATCGCGTGAGCTCTGAAGCTGTTGCCGAATACTCGCAGCTGAGTTGGTGATCACGAGATTTCAATCACGCTCCGACATGAGCTCAGCGAAGGTTCGTATCTTGATGTTTGCCAGGTCTAAACCATCTGACTCGAGGGTGGTAGGAAGTCTGTTTCTGATTACCTCCCACCTCTTACACCTGCAGATGTCATTGCATGCCAGTTCTCTTCCTGGTACCCTACATTTTCGAAAATCACTTTTAAAGCAACCGTCATACGAGCGTTGCCTTCTAATTTTCGAGAATACCTGCTCTCTGACGGTGTCACGCTCCCGAAAGGTTCAGAGAATGCGTAAGCTGATGATGATGTCACCTCAGTGCACAGTTGTAAATTGCTCTACAGTTTGCAAACCTCTACACTCTCAGATGATGAGCTTTCAGGAGATGAAGAGTTATCAATGTCCACAGAAATTAGTCCAATTTACGAGTTTCCTGAACTTGATGCCAAGATTCGTGAAATTATTGATGAGTATACCGCTGTCTTTCCAAAATTAAATTGGACCTCGCCTCAGGTAGGTGGAATCTGTCGGAATGGTTCTGGTTAAAGGTTTACGTTAATTCACTCTCAGGACGCAAGCTGGGTACTGGTGCCTTCTTCTCCCTTGAAGTGCACATCCCCAGCGGATGTGTATTTATTGCTCAAGTCGTCAGACTTTATTATCCACGATTTAGAGCCCGAGAGGGTCTTCGAGGGCTGCGGCCTTGATATACAAGCGAATGTACCAAGCTATGAGCTGGAACTAGTCCTGAAGAAATGGTATCCGGTAGAGGGACCAAGGGAAATAAGGTGTTTTATAAGAGATGGCCGGCTAATTGGTGAGTTTGCCCCTTGCTTGTGTGCAAACCGAGTACGCGGCATTGATTCACCGTATTATTATTTCCACAGCACTCTGCCAAAGAGATCCTAATTTTTTCGATTTCTTGAACGAACCAAGCACTTTTGAGCAAATACGTCAAACAGCCTTACGATTTTGGACCGAAAAGGTGAAAGACACTTGGACTGGAAGTCCGAATTGTCAGTGCTCCTTATTTGCCATTATCTCTCTCGCACAAACCTAGGCCCCTTGTTCAGACGTAGTAGACATCTACCTCACTCGTGATTTGTCCAATGCCCATATCATGGATTTCAATCCCTACGCACAACGAACGGACCCCATTCTCTTTACTTATCAAGAGTTACACGAATTTTACAGTTCAAATGCGGCACTCATGGATCCACCAGGAATAACTTCGCCATCACAAAGTCAAGATTTAAACAAGACGACGCCCTCCCCTATTTTTCGTGTCATTCCGTCGCGTGCACATGTATTGGCAGGGAGGAATATTCCGAGGCATGCACACAATATGATGCCCCGGGAAGCACTGGAGTTTAGCCAGGGACGGACCGTGGCGGCCCTTCAGGAAGTTTGGAAAGAGGAAATCAAGCGCGCCATGGAGAACGACAGCGAAAGTGATGGTTAACAAACATGGGCGATATTGACGCCTATAGGAACGTGTGGAGGAAGCTCTGTAGCATAGCATGTAAACACGAAAAAATTGTGACTTGTACATCTTGGCATGATTAGCGGGCGGATCGATATGTTTACTCTTCATCTTCATCTGAGCTATCGATAGTCTCTGTGATCCGCAGATCGAATGCTTTCTCACTTCCGAGCGTATTCCAGACCCGACCCCGTTCTCGTTGCCACGCTCGCTTCCGCTGCTTGACGCAGTGGGCACACTCCAATTTGCTCCAATCCGTTTCAATGAGCAGATCGATCCCCAGAAGGATATCAAGCAAGCCGATGGAGAACAAAGTCGCAGAATCATGAGTCTCATCTTTAGATCTGCCCATTGGCGCAGCCCTTCTCTTTTTCAATATCTCCAGAACCGTTGTGGGGGGGTTAGAATAGATGTTGCGAACCCAAACCTCAGCCCTCGCAGTCTCGATCCCCTCGGCATTTCCGTCTCCGAACATGGTCGCACAAGTGCACATATTAGAGGGTTGCGCACCATTGTCATGTGAACAAGCAGAGGGATCGCACATCTCGGTCCACTTGAGTACCATAGTTTCTCTTGCTCGTATCAAACCGAGGATATGACGGTCCTTCAGCCCCTGACTGGCAAAAGATATGTCGGAATGGGACACACGAGTCGATCTCGGATTCAGGCCAAAGGATGGCTGCCGAAGTAGATCGTACAATGCTGGTTTCAAGACGTCGTCGAGACCGCATTCCTCGGCGAGAGCCGCTGCTTTGGCTGCGAACGGTCTTGGTGTGAGGGGAAACTCTGCCTTGCTATCCGTCATCTCGGGAAACAGATCCGCAAGCGACTTGGTAGCCCAATCCAGCTCATGGGGAAAGTCGTGGAGTTTTGCTGCGCGAAGCACGGGAGCAAGCATTTCAAAAGTAGGCTTTCGGTTCCAGGGACTGGATATAAGACGGTTTTAGTTCAATACGAAGCGTGATTGGAACAACATGTCGAAGACATACAAGTTTTTGACCACCCCCAAAAGCTGGGTGAAGTCTTCTGCAAGCCCTTCTGCCTTGTATACAGGATAACCATCCATGGTTTCCGATGCTGGTGATGTGGTAAATAACATCCTAAGTTTCTCTGATTTGGAAATCAGCTCGGAGCGAGGGAGACGAAATCTGGTGTTCTCGATGTGGAGGATGACAAGAGTGTCCTCAAGTGTCCTTCGAAATATGGGTAGGGCTCGTAGAACCTTGATACATACAACTCACCAGAATAAGTCCGACTTGCGATAGGTTGGCGGTGGTTTTAATGACGTCCTTTCTCGGGTGTTTGGTGATTCGTTCGGCTGAGTGATCTTTCTTGGCTTGTGATGTTCCAAAGGCCGAGTGGAAGGTCTCTCGATAATCTCCACGGATGGGTCTCGTGAGGACGAGGAACGAATTGGGGTAGCAGGGGGGCAACGCAGAGGTTGTTGCATGGGTGGTATATGTGGTGATTTTGGTAACAATGGCTCGTTTGACGCATCTTGAGCCGCGGTCACTTTTGAAGCATCCTCCTTCGCCAACGAAGAGTAGGTAAGATACCTCGCATAAGTGATGGCACCTTTGACTCACCGGGACCTCGCAATCGTCTGGTTCAACCTTGGCAATTTGTGCGGCGCGGGCAGAAACTTCTCTCCTCTCCTTATCGCGCTGACTAGTAGAGGGGGTTGGGGCGTTGGATTTTTGAGAGAGAAACATGAGAACCTCGTCGGGTTCCGGAGAAGAGTCCGGAGACGATTCCACCAGGTTGGTCCGGAGAATGGGTGGATCATCAAAAGCATTCTCCCCATCAGCCGTCGCAGTATCCTCTGTATCCCCCACGAGACTTTCCCGGGATGCCTTTTCGCTTGGCGAACTCGACTCGTGCCCTGGTGTGAGCGAAATAGCCCCAGCTACTTGATCTTCATCGTCAACTTCATTCTCCTTTAGCCGTTCAGAAGCACCTCTCTTCCCATGACCGTCTCCATCGTTATCCTCATTTCCATGTGCATCCACAGAGGTTGGGAATTTGAATGCTTGTTGTGCTGTCAGGTAAACCGCGATAGGCTGTGACAGCACGCGTCGCTTTTGGGATGCATGAACTTGTTGATCCCCTTCAGTATCATCGCGTTCGCGTTTCACGCCTTGAACCGGTGGATTCCTTCCACGCGACGAATCCAGAGAGGCTCGTAGTTTTGAAAGAGGCGTGTATTTGAGAGTTCCAGACTTGCCCTGAGGGAGAGTTCCCCGTCTACCTGTAATCGCCGATGGCGAAGCGGGGAGACCAGGCATGGTTTCGTTGTGTGGTGCCTGTCGCAAGCTGAGGCGTGCCATGGAAGGGCTGCAGGAACGAGTCGCTAATTCCCAAATTTGGGAAGCAAGTCACGCTCCAGTGTCCGAGGATGTGTTATTTTTCCTGAACTATTCCTGTCACAGTCACGGTCATGCCTCGCAGCTCCCCAAGTCGTTCTCAAAGAGAAGATGAGAGTAGGCATCTAGAAAGGGATAGAAGAGGCATGCCTTTTACATTCATCCAGATTTAGGAATGCGCTAATCGCCAAGTTTAGATCGTCGTAGCCCGCGTGAACGCGACACAGACAGGGATTCAAAACTCCATCGTCATCGTTCATCTCGTTCCCGAAGTCCTACACGTCGCAGATATGAAGCTGAGGCCTCTTACGGGAACCCAGCTTATTCGAAAGCAAGTGCTTCCAGGAGTCGGAGGGATAATCGCGAGAGACCGCGGTCGTCACCCCCAAGACGCCGCCGAAGTCTTGAATCCCGTTCGCCTAGACGCAGGCGTACCCCCCCGCCGCGATCCCCTCCCAGGTCACAAAGGAGTCCTGCGCGCCACTCCCGCTCAATGTCCCCTCGATCTTCAGAACGCGATAGTAGGAGAAAACTAGAGCCTGACTTCAGACCATCAGGTGCGTGCCCAGCATGTGATGATAGTTTTTTTTCCACCTGACAGTCAATAAGGGCTACTCGCTGCTGCAACTAAAACCATCAAGAAAGTGGATGGCAGTTCAACAGTCCTCAAATATCACGAACCACCAGAGGCAAGGAAACCAAGCTCAGGATGGCGACTGTACGTGTTCAAAGGAGAGCAAGAGTCAGGTGTGCCCACCTTGTTTATCGTTTCATAATTTAAGTGTTTTATCACCCATCCAATAGATGTTCTCCACATTTCTCGCCAAAGCGCTTACCTTTTCGGGCGTGACCGTACAGTAAGCAGACTGAACCCAAACAGCCAATTTTCGACTAATCCATATTGAAGGTTGTCGACATCCCAACCGAGCACCCATCTTGTTCTAAGCAACATGCCGTAATCCAATTCCGCCAGGTGGCGCAGAGGAACGAATGGGGAGAAACAAAGAACACTGTAAGGTAAACGTCGTCGACGACACCTTAAGTCCTGCCTCACTCACAATTTCATTTAATAGACCGTTTGTTATTGACTTGGAGTCTACAAACGGGACCTACGTTAATGGCTCTGAAATTCCGACCTCTCGCTATTATGAGCTTAAGCATCAAGATCGTAAGTAACCGCCAAGATATTGATACCAGCATGATGCCCATTATTCCTTAGTCTTAAAATTCGGTGAATCTAGCCGGGAGTATGTTCTTATGAACGTTGACGAGGCAGGCTCATAGGATACAGTAACATGCACTTAACTCGTATTTTGCCACGCCATTTGTTTTGAATACTGTCTGCCATATCAAACTAATATTCTAGTAGTTACATCTCACGCAATGCAACACCGAATGGACGTCCAACAAAGCACAGAAAGGATAATTGTATGTCTAAATCAATCACAACAACTGGTATTGTCAACGTGAACTGTCATTGCGAGTCATGAAAATGGGTAAATAATCCTTGGCGAACATTAACTAGTCCGAAGTGGCTTTTTGTCTCCGAGCTGCCATATTCTTATGTACAACTGCGAATGTCGCGGGTAGTTGTATTTACGGGTCAGCAGTTGTCCCTCCGCAAAGTCTTTGATGAGCCTGAATGAGGGGCCGTTGCATCAGTGATTAACATACGCCAGTATGAAGGGTGGCATACCACGCAATAAAACGTTGTTTCTGGACGTTAATCAATGGCTTCAAGGTTGCTCCATCTGGTAATTCAGGAAGTTCGTCAAACAGTTCGGGGTGAAGGAGGTTGTCGTTGGGGCCAATACGCTTGTACAGTGCAGATGGATCGATGTAGTTAGGGAGAAGTAAAAGATCGTACATGGCATTGAAATAGACAGCTAAAGGAGAAAGATCAGTCATGTCCAATTTACAGAAATTGTTCACCTTACACAGTAGAGGGATACATGCCAAGATTTGAGTCTCTTGATGTTTAGGTAGTGAAGGAGGATGATTCCGCATACCCGCTAGACTCTCAACTTTTTTCCGAACGTAGCTGAAGTTATCAGCTTTCGAGGTGAATGCCATCAAGTCCGCCAATACACGCGATTCCCATATTGGGAGCGTGCAATTGGCTTCCGCCATGGCAGAACGCGTTTGACTTTTAAGAAGCCCAGCCAAAACTGCTACGAGCGAGGAATAATTGTTGATAAGATACAATTTCTACCCGGGTCAAGTGTTGAGTAAGGATGCATTGAATTGCGGGTCAAAACTTACCCAAGCCACTCGAACAAATTTACAAAATAATGACGATCGTTCACTCAGTAAAGACTGTGCAATTTCGGTCGAGACAAAGCGAGTGACGCTATGAGCACGAACTCTCACAGCAGCAACATCATTAATTTTCTGTATGTTGCGTTCAGGATATTGACCAGCCTCAAACTCCAGCCGGCTGCGTTCCTTAATGAACTCGATCCATGACTTCGACAGTAAATCAGGCTTTGCCCAGTCCAGGGACAGGAGGTGATGGAACTGAATCTTCTCGAACATTTCATGATCCACAACCGTCATTTGTTCTGCTATCTCCTGCGCACTGAAATCCAGGATGAAGGAATGATGTGGTGAGCTGGGAGCGACCTGGGGAACCTGGGTGGCGACTAGACGAGGGCCGGCTGTCGCAGCATCCGCCGCATTAGGGTGAGTGCTTGTTCGTTCCTCACTAGTCTCCGGCTCGGGAAATGTCAGATCATCTGACTTTCCACTGTCCAGCGCAGGTTCTTGACTCCCAGCAGGTACGGGTGGGGTGTCTGAATCGTCAGCGGCAGTCGACTCGTCGTGAATAACATCCACGGGAAAACCATATTCATCCTCATCAGAATCCGACTGGAACTCATCGAGCGATCCAGTGTCGGTCGCCTCACCAGCCTCTCGTCTCTCCACCCAGTTGAGCCAGTCATCAATCTTCTGGTGATTTTCTTCAATCATCTTAGCATCTACCTGGCCTTCGAGCCTCCGTAATGCATCCTCCGGGTCACCACGACCAGATTCCTTCTGTACGAAATTGCGCTGTACAGGCCTTAGGTGCCACATCTTGAGGGAGCGCTGGCCTATTCTCCTGTCTTCGGCATCATGAGCGCTGGACGCCCCTTCACTCAATGTTGAGTTGACACCTGAAGATGTAGAATAGACCGAACGACGAACGAAAGTCGCATCATCACGCCGCGGTAGCCTGCGTCGTGTCGGCCGCAATTTTGAGCGCGGATCGGCGTCGGAGCCATCAGACTCATAATCATCGATTGACACAACATTCAGAAGCCCTGGAGGGTAAGGGTAAGTAGCCTGGGCCACAGATCTGCGAGGTAATAAGTTGCCGAGGCTTGACATTGAAGACCTCCATGAGGTGATCGAGGAACGAGCATTTCGCAAGAAGACAGATGAGCTTCTTAGGCTCTGCGGGGAATGCTGATGCAGGCTCATCGGGGCAGACATGGACGACGACGCCTCTTCGCTTTTTCTTGCACCTTCTGGTTGTGCTGCCTGCAACGGATTAGGGTCGCCGAGAGAATCCCCCCTTCGATAATCTTCGGAGGGACCCTCTAGTCGCATCACGGGTCATCAGCTTGGCAGTTGAAAGGAAGTGGAGTGAACACGAACCTCCTCAAACCGCATCGACCTAGAGTCCAAAGTCCCACTAACATCGGTGAGCGAGGGTGTGGACGGCGCTTCTGAAGTCAAGAACAGTGATGGAGGATTTTTAAAATGAGTATCAAGGGAGGCAAGGGATGAACTAGTTCTGTCATCCTCAGTGACCTTAATTAGGTTACCATCCGCATCCAACTGCAAATCATCTTCTGGCAAGTCATCCTCTTTCAGCGGCAACCCAGAACTGTGACGATGACGACCGATACGAAAAACTTTGCCAACCGTACCAAGGATCACACGTGAGAGCTTTCCATGGCGATGCATTGGCGGAAGAGGGGGACTGGTCGGGCGAATCCCTAGAGAGGAGTGGAGCCTCATGTGCGCGTGGGCCTCGAAGTCATCTGTAAGCAAGTCATTCAGGTCATTTACATTCGTGGACGAGAGCAGCCCGTGCGGAGGGATAGCTTGCAGTCGAAGTGGACTACCTGCATCGTTCTCGCCCCAGCCATCCGGAGGGGGGATTGAGAAATCAAGGTCGACATCTTCTAGGTTAATCCGCGATGGATGTTGGAAGATATCGTGACCCTTGAAAAGAAGTGGTAGTAAAACTGAACAACCAAGGGATGGTGGAGGAAGTGGTTGAATTATGCCATCGATTATATTCCGGCGAATATGTGACGGAAGTCGGGAGAAACCTTCGTCCCAATGCCTGGTTTTCATTCGAACAATGAGCTTAGCGAGCTTCTTGGCAAGTCCCTGGAAAAAAAGGGTTAATCGATATGCGTGTAATTAACTCAAACCCTCTCCGCTTACCTGGGCATCAGCCCGCGAATCCAAAAGCGGACTGCGATGGAGTGCATTCAACCATGTTGTAAGCACGATGCCGAGTTTGGGGTTTGATATGAAATCGAACGAAAAGAAATGGCCTAGCCAATATTCAAAGAGGAGGAAAGTCCGCATACGGATGGTGGCAAGTACACCATTAAGATCTCCGGAATTGTGGGGGTGAGGTAGAGAGGTCGAGGAAGACGGATCTAGAGTCCAGTGAAAGCGAGATATGAGAATATGTAAGAGATCCATTGATGAGATGAAAGCTCGATAGGTAAGGAAGAATATTTGCAGGTCTTCAGCGTTTCGTTCTGATGACAGTTGTGCAATCCATCTTTCGATGGTTGCCGCAAGGACTAATGGCCGCCGCCCGACGGATTCGATGCTCCTGCAGGAGTTTCAAAACGAATGCAAGCGTGATTATATCGACAAAGAAGAAACAAAACAAAAAGCATACTCAGGGCGGGATGATGAACCTGTAGGGTCGGAACCAGAACGCAAGCGGCTGGGGCTCTGTTCACGTTGAGGAAGCTCGAACTTGGCCGGCAAACCCCAGAGGACAAAACGCGGGTCGTCATTAGGAAGAACGGTGGAGACAGCCCGTGGAGGGAGCTTCAAAACTCCATACTCTTCATTTACGTAAGGGTCATTAAGCATCTGGAACGCGTCAAATGCGGCGAAAATGGTGCGAATGGATGTTTCTACGCCCTGCATTGTGGAGAACTTCGGCGTAGGTGTTGAGGCCCCTGGCATGCGAGCAGTAGAAGTAGATTCGAAAGATGGAGCTGCATGAAGCACATGCTGGGTGTAGGGGTCGGCAGCACGAACTGGGTTTTGGATCTCGGGTTCAGCGGTTTCGGCTCCTGCTTCATGTACATCCTCGATAGTGGCCAGCGGAGGACGCATTAATCCATAATGCGTAAAACCACCAAATGGGTCCGCAGCTGGATTGGTAGACATATCACGTTGGGCTTCGAATGATGACCTTGCAAACTGGTGGACAGCCTCAATAGCGTTAGCAGCACGAGAGCGCAAGGATCCTGTGTTAGATGAATATGGCGAATGATATGCTTGGATGGCTTGAGTTTGGCTGTATGGCGATGAAAGGCTTGGGGGCGGCCTCAATGACAAGGACACCATCGATGTTGTTGCAGGAAACCCAAAGCTCGATCTTCCTCGATTGCGCGAGAACCTGGGAAGAGTGGATCGCAGCCGAGAGGAAGACAGCCACGATGTACCATTCGGTCCCTCCGTATCACGCACCAAAACAACGTCATCCTTGGGTTCCGGTAAAAACAAGTGATCCAAATTGATAATGCGCGTGTTACGGTGACTAATGCCAACAGCGATGAGGCGGAACAAACTGAGAGGTCAGGGATATGTGATAAAAAATCTTACCTAACACGATGAACAGTGCCCCCAGTCTGAGCAGTCAAGGTTGTGACGGAGTATGGACTGCGTATACCGTCCTTGCCAACGTTGCACATTTGGTCGTATCGTCGTTTCAACTCTCGAGCCGCAAGAGGGTCGGAAGTCTCAAGTACTGTAGCATCACCTGGAAGACATAGGTTGACACCCCAACGCGTGATGAGCAAGTGGCGGGGAGACTTGATCGAAAAGTGCGTGCAGACCATTTAAAATAACTTTGACACCAGTGAGATCGCGTAAAATAGACTCAGGGGGTTCAAGCTGCGAGAAGAGACGGGGAGAGACCACCAGAGTTTGGGCTTCCTCCTCTGTCATCGGGATGGGAAGGAGGGATGTTCCTACGTCGGGATACGATGGCTGGGACATTGCACCAAAACAATTCACAGGTAGCGCTATTGAAGAAGAGTCGAGGGGGAACGCCCGACGCGTGGCTTGACGGCCTTGGCAGTGTCCGAGCTTGCCTCTCTTTGTGGAACGCAATTTGCAAGTACGGCTGCAGAGGCAAACGGAGTATGCCGAACTCACAGGAAATGAGCACTTAAAATCCGAAATATGATTGACAATATTGTTATTGTTAAGTAGGCCCGCAATCTCAGCGCATTATACCGCATGTTCAATAAAATCCCTATGGACTCTACATCCTGGGCTCTTGACGCCGTCAATGGGCCGCCCGAATTTGCACATATTCAAAACAACTTTCAATGTCACATGAGACAGTCACGTGCTCAAGAGGATCTGAATATTCATGCTTGGTGAAGCCTCATCCTCTCAGACTGCGGGGAAGAGTCGAGCGCCTAAACGAAGTGTTCTCACTGCCCAACTAGATGCAGGTCAGTTAAATGCTTTTTGGGGTAAACAATGTGCCTGTATCTCAATTGACAAACTCAGACTCAGAATTGTCTTCCAGCAGACGCGCCGAGAAATCCCAAAGTTTCGAGAGTCGCATGCTCAAAACAAGTCTCGAGAGGCGCCTCATTATTGCTGAAGACACTAGGCGCGATCTTGAACGCTCTTTGAGTGATGCTAAAGCAACCATTGAGCGGCTGGAAGACGACCGAAGGTGGCTAGCTGAGCGCGAACAACAGGAACGGCAAGAAAAAGAGGAATTAGAGAAGAAATGGGAAGCTGAGCGAGTGAGTTGATTTAGAATTATCGTCAGGACTTATTCCCAGTGGTCACCTTTCAACACAGCACGAGCATCTATTAAACGCAAAATCTCAGCGCACCTCTATCCTAGAATTGCAAACTGAGCTAGCGGACCTCAAAGATGATTTTGAGCAACACGGACGATCTTCAGCGTCCACCATCAATGCCCATGCTTCCCACTTGATCACGGCGCGACGTCAAGTGGAAATGCTCGAGGACGAGCTGTCGCGAGCCAGACAAGCGGCCCAAGAACGAGACCGGACCGTTGCCGAACTTCGCTCTCAGCTAGAAAGTACGGGGGCGTTCGAAGAATGCGTTTCAAATGTGTCTATGAATGGTGGGCTGGATTCAAAGGAACAATGGCAGATAGTGCATGAGGAATTGCAGCGTCAAAAGGAACAGCTTCGAGCTTCCGAACGGCTCAATTCTGAACTATCTTCTGAAATCACCAAGTACCGATTACGGAATCAGAACGTGGAAGTCCTAATGGAGGAAAAGAGAAGCCTCCAGCGGAAGCTGGCGCAAGTCGAGGCAGCAAAAGAGCGGGTCGCCATGCTTGAAGGAGAGTTGGAGGCAGCCCGCGTGGAGCGTCAAGGGTGGTGAGCTGCCTAGTATCTTGTCCGTCGGTGTTAGATCCTACAGGGATTCGTTAGGCTCGCTTTCTTGAATGACCCCTCCAAAGAACCCAGCTCATCTACCCCAACGGCTCTGACGCAGCATCTGATGTCCCTTCGGCAATCGAATATGTCACTATCTTCTCAATTAACCACCCTAACTTCGACACTGCAGCAGCGGGATGCAGACATATCAGAACTTCAACGGAAAATATCAGCATTCCAAGGGCAGGTAACGCTGTTGGAGGACGAAAAACAGAAAGCAAACATACGGGCCGAACGACGAGCGCATCAGTCGTCCTTGCTGGAACGAGAAATTGCAACCGCCAACGCTCTTTTGAGAACATTCGAGGAAGAAGAGTCATCACCGGAAATGGTGCCAGCCACTCATGACCGACAGCTCTTATCTCGGATACGTGACCTTGAATCGTCGCTTTCTCAATACAAGACTGTCAACAACCACTTGCAAGACCAGCTTGACAGTATTTCCCTCGGCCGGGACCCTAAGACGGTTGCGAGGAACTCAGAATTGACGGCGGAGCGTGAGGCTCGGAAACGAGCAGAGCACGGTGCGGCGGTCCCTTTCTTGTCGGTCTTCGCTGAGGCCAATATCATGTTGCACAGATTTATCTGCCAAGCAATCCCGCATCCAAGAACTTGAGGCCTCAGTGGCGAATCTCGACCAGAAATTATGGGAGGCGGGAGTGAATATATCATCTGGAGCCTTGACGCCACGAGATACGGTGATCCTGCAAATGCAAGCAAATGCAGCCTCCGAACACTTCGCGTTGCGACGTCAAGAACTCAATCGCATTAAAAATGAGAATGCTGCGCTACTTAACCGAATCCGCCAGCTGGAAACTGCTGAAGGTGGGGGTAGCGAGCTTGTCCCGAGGGAAAGCTGGGAGAGCGTTAATGCTGAGAAGGAAGAGCTACTGAGCACAGTCGCTCAGAAAGAGAAGCGCTTATTGCGTTTGAAGCAGGTACTTTATATTGCCTGCACTTTTGAGGTCAACCAGAAGATGCTGATGGTATTATTGTAGGTATTCAACGCAAAGGCTGGCGAATTCAGAGAAGCAGTATCCTCTGTGCTCGGCTACCGATTAGCGTTCCAGAGCACTCGAGTAAGATTGACGTCCGCGTTCGACAGCACCGCCTCGATCGTTTTCGACTCCACCTCTAAGCCCGACCAGGCAGATGTTGGGACAATGAAGCTTATCTCCATCGGGGGTGACGACGACCCGTCGGGTCCAGCAGCACTACAAGATCTCATGAAATATTGGGTGCAAGAGCGCCACAGCATCCCTTGTTTCCTTGCCGCAGTGACACTTGATCGGTATCAAGCATCAACGAACGTTGCACATAAATACTCATCAATGGACACACAAACGTAAATCCTTCTCGAACCCCTTCTATTAATGTCATGGCTGTAGTCACAAGGCCCGACGCTCTAAACAAGACGATTCGCTCTAATGCTAGACACCAGTCTATTGCGATGGGGATTCGGAAATTTCGCCAGTACCCTCGGTGACAAGCGTCACTTTTGGCTTCGCAAATACATGGGTATGAGCCAAGCCTGGCACACTTTGCAAGCGCTGGCAGTTTATTTTAATATATGTTGCGGAGGACGAAATACATGCGAAGCGTACCAAAGGATTCATAAACCATGCTGTCTCCCATTCGTCCTCAGGCCACACTTGTTCGACAAACATCTGTATCTCAATGCTTGCTTGACGGATTAAATGTGCGTCTTTGTCACTCGCTTTTGGCTGCGTTATTCCGCCAGTAAAACCCCACAAGCCATCTCGTGCCACCCGATCCTTAATCCTGTATGGGGTTACCATCTCATGTACGAATGGTACCCGAGACCAAATGATGAAATGAGTTACATCCAGGGGGACTAATTCATGTCACTATTAATCCCCTACAGAATCTTGAGAGTGTGCATACCTGAGTACGGCCAGTCGTTTATGACAACGCGTACCAACTCATCCGGGATGTCAACTGTGAAATAATCAGGTTCCGTTGTCCCCCCAGCGCCCGTCTTGTTAGGAAGAGCTGGCGGTCCATCCCAGTCAAGTCTTTTGAGTAGAATGTTCACTGTGCAATAAGTTCAGTGAACTCTCCCGTTGAGCATCGCGGCCAATACCCATAGGTCCTCCGCGTTTGACTGTCTCCTCGGTCCATTTGTCATAGTCTTTCTGAAATGAAGGATGTCGATGTAGATTCCCAAGGTTGCTGCAGTAAACTCTTTGCTCAGCCCATGGATATTTCACCTTAAAATCCATTGCCCATCCTCACCCTGAGTCTGTAACAAACCATTTGAACTCCTTTCCCATGTTGATGGTGAAAATGATGCTCCACCTCACCTACTAATCCCTTGAGAGTATCCCAATCGTAAAGGCGATCATAAGTATCCCTTTGGTGATGCTCTCCGGGTTTGATATCGGCTGCCCTTTGAAGCACCATTTGGAAGTACTGATGATTGGGATCAATTGAGAAGTTTAAGCGCCCGGGGCAGACATAAATTGAAATGCCACGTGGGAATGCCATGGCCAATTCGCAATTCGACCAGTTATGACGTCATGAAATCCGGCGCACAATTCTGCCTGAAAATATCCAAACGGTCTGGTCTTACCACGCATGGCCCTCGAAACCTGCCCAAGTTTTGTTATCACCCGTGAGACTAAATGCTCACCGGTTTAGCCACCATCGTGATAGATTTATACACATCTTCCGTGACGGACTCGATCAACACGATGTCCATAGATGAATGCAAGGTCCTAACACCTCCGCTTATGTGTTCAGTATCCTGGGTGACATTTTATGCACTGGTTAGGGAAGGCGTTCGAGGACACCCGTAGACTGTTTTAAAATACAAAAAGGGCTATGGCGCGTTAGGCTCACACTCCTACAAGAGAGGGGGTGAAAAAAATTATACGCGAATACGCCAGCGGCGACTACGCCGCATAACCGAGAGAATGAAGGTGGAACCCCCAAATGCCGTCCAATAATTCTGACGATATTAGCTGTCAATAATGTCAATAATCATATTATTGACAGTTCGACGACGGAAGCGATTGTTATATTCTGCAACAGACTAGCTATTCGGAGATCCAATTGCTCGTTGTGAGGGGAGAACCTATGAAAGTATTTCCAGAACCATGGGAGTGGGGATGTTACGTACCTAGGTATTTGAGAAGGTCAGTGCTGTTCCTTCGCTTTCCAACACTCTCCGCAAACAGTCGTTTGTTGCAGGAGACTTCTGGCTATGTAAAATTCACTCATCGTGAAATTGCCGGCGCTCGCTCTTCCATCCAGAAGTTGCTCTTCAGCACAACAGGAGCTAGCCGATCATGTTACTTTAGGACAGTTTTGGGGGGTATAAGGTGACTGGGAAAAACAAAAGGATGACGAGTCAGCCTGAGAATTTGGAAGGACGATTGTTGCCTGGGAGATGCGTTGGTATGCTTTGGAGATGTATTCCATGCTGTGAGGGGAAAAGAACATTGCGGGCCAGTCCATCGTCACGTTTCAAACCTGGAATGCCTCTTGTCACAGAGCGAGGGAGGTCGAGCCACGTCCTCTTGGAGACGAAGTTACCGAAGGCCAATGGCTCGAAGGGGTGGGTATGTAAAATTCATGCTTAGTACTTGCCCTGTGTTTCCCTGAAGTAAGCGGTGATGATGCCAATCGGAAGATGGCCCGAGGATTCAATGTACTCGATTCCCGGCTCAGTAGTATGGGTCGATGCTCACATGCCCCGGCTTCGTACGGAAGGTCGGATGCATCATCTTGGAGAGCGCAGCGTTTCTCACCCGAGGTATCGCGGGAAAGAGAGGCAAAGTGTCTCCATGCTCCTTTCACATAATTGAAACCTAGTCTGACGTTATGTTTTCATTCCGCAGCCGATACTTGCTTGACCGAGATCCGGCTTCTATGTAATCCTGGAAACTTGGAAGTGCTTCGTATCATCAGTATAGTACTTAAGCCAACTCCCCGTTGCGTACGATATGTTCTGTCTTCCAAGTTCCACTCCAAGAGTAAGTGAGAAGTTGGCTAGCTAACTTCTTGCTCCGACGAAGGTGTTCATGGCATCATACGCTTCCCGCCCTTGTCGGTATTGCCCTGAGCTCTGAATCGAACTGGTATCGTCATTGTACATGACTGTCCGGTAGGCAGGTTACCAGCCTCTATTAGTATAATTTCATTATTGCTTGATGAGAAAGAAGGAAGAAGCAAATTGTGTCGAGCCAAAGCTAGCCATAGGAGATTCAATAGCGCTTCGCATGCAGAGATGTCTAGATAGAACTTGCGCGTCCTAATCTTCTCCATACGCTCCGACGGCCGCTCTCCGCGTAACGCTAGTTGTCGATATGTTGCAGGACGATCAGAAGGTTCTGATGCCTCGTCCAGATCACAGCCCGACAGGTTCCGTATCAGAAATTATTACTCACATAGTCCCACGAAGCGCAAAAATAGGAATGGCGGGACACCCGAATGATCAGGCCACCCTAATTACGAGCGCAATCCGCCCAAACTTTTGATGGGGTTATTGTCAACTGCGGCGGCCAATATGTAAGGGAAGATGAAAATCCCGGACAGGCACAGCTTCCCCAATGAGCTTGCCTTGATCTAATTTGGGCAATTGATATTCGGAACTTATGCTGTGATCCTTTCAAATGAACAAGAGGCGTGCAAGTACGAGCGCTGTTGCGAATCGAATCCTCAAAGATGCAGACACCGACGAGCCCCCACGATAGCAGCCCAGCGCTTATCTCTATGATTCACTCGGATGACGTTATCGCTATGTGTCACTTCTGGAGCTAGCGCGTTATTTTTGGAGCCATGTAAATTTGCATCCGACGGCAATCGACAATTTATTTCGGTTTTGACCGGCAGATTTGGTATGTCCGCAAGTGGAGGTATTTGATCCACACATCTTCTCCCAGGGCCCCGGCAGCACTTGTCCATGTCTTCGACCTCGCCACCCTCTAGCTCGTCCTCATCGGCGACCCCCTCTGCAAGTAACCCATCTTCTAGTTCCACCGATGGCTCTCAGTCGCCAGCTTCGAGCGTACGCTTCACCTATTTCTCTTCACCATCAAAACTTATCTTTTGGTTTCTCAATCGTAGTCCCTCTATCTATTTACGTTCTTAACGACCTTGCTCCTCTTGTTAGCTGTCTCCTGTGGTATTGTCTTGAGATCCTTTATCCTTCGGCGGCGCTTCCGCCGGCGAGTGGAGGCGGCAATCGCTGCTGGTGTCCTTCTCCCAGAGCAAGTAGACGCCCTGCGGAGAAGAGCACCTGTAATTGGTGAAAAACCAAAATTGCATGAAGTTCGTATTGATGGAGGGTATAAAGAAGACTACGAGCCCTCCTCGTCCGCGACGCGCGACGAGGATTGGTCTAACATCATGGTGTGTGCATTTCCACGTTCATTGTCCGGTCGTCGCTAGGATCTCATGGTCATTTTGCCTGTGCACTTCGTTCCGTGGCCTCATCGCAGCCCGTCTCTGCCGCGATTATCCCTGGTAATAAATCACAAAGCAGGCCTAACAATCCAGTTCCCCTTGTTGATCCTCGGGCTACGGCAGCTAGTCCGCGTAATACCAGAAGCAGATTTAGGTGGTTCAGGCATTCTGCTTCACATTCTCCCTCAATACTCCCCATGACTGCTCCACCCCCTCCTGCGTCGTCAATACCCATGGCAGATGGGACTCTCACTCCTCCCGCCCAACCAACCCCAGCACAACCCTCCAGTGACGACGTACTTCAGTTGACGGTGCTTATCGCTATGCCGAATGTGAATGTCCGTGCTCGAAGGAGAGAAAGTTCACATTCAAAGGGCAAAGAAGCAAGTAATGATGAAGAGGAAGAAATTCCCGAAGTTGTCTTTGGTACAACTGAAGTTAGATGGAATGCTGGTGCTGATTGGAAGCCTGACTTACCCGATGGGCCATCAGAACCCAAATCAGAAGAAAGCGCGGTCCATCTCAATGATAGCTAATATCACACATTTGTTACTGAAGTTCGCCTTTATCCTAGCATCTCATTCCTCGTTTGCATACTTCTTTACGGGATAATTGTACTACAGGCTGTATTTCTTGTATGAACGACTCTTGGTGTTGTCCTTTTGTTGATCACCATTCCAACTGGATGTTTTGTCCATACGTTGGACAATGGAGCCGGCAACGGCCGTTTTCCGCCCACTTGTTCCGAATCCTCGAATCTGTTCAAACGATCACAGCCCTCTGACATCCAATAACGCGTCTTCAACATTGGGTATTTGCGATACTAAATAATCTGTGAAGAGAGTGCAAATGGTTGGTACAGTGCAGGCGCTCTGTTTACGCATGCCTTTATACTTAGCGTATTTGAATGGTTGTCAGGCCTCTGCACGGCTGTCATCCAGCCTTCAAACAAAACTATCCAAGATTTTTGAGAGTAGCTCGGACAGCTATACGAACAAAAATGGTGCGCTGTCCTTTTCATCAGCTCTCCACACACAGGCGTTCACTTTTCTCTTCGCACGCTTTGTTGTGGCCGCCGATCTCAATGCCACTTCTTGCCTGTGTCGAAACACCTATCCAGGCGAGAGAGTGATTTCTTCGCGGTCCATTCTTCCTATCCTCGACGCTTTGGCATATGAATATGGCGATGTCATCGTTGAACCAGGTCAAGAAGAAAATTTTGCTAGAACAATAGAAAGTTACCCTCCCTTGGACCTCACACCTGCTCTTATGATCCAACTAGTGGAACAACTATCTGGCGTCAAGCTTCCCTCTTCCCCGAATCATCAAGAAGTAGCCGGTAGCTCCAGTGATGAGCGTGTTGTTCCCAGTCTTGTTGACTCTCCGTCTCCTAATGCAGGCGTGGCTTCCACCGTGCTTGACTCGAGGCAACGAAGCGGGCCTGTTGCAAGCCCTGCTCCGAGTGCCTGGAATAGGAAACCGCAGCGCCTACGAGGTCTTAGTGAGACGAATATAATTGTGCTTACTGGGGAGGATGGAAGGGTGAGCAGTCATTCTTAGTTCAGCCGACTGATAGAATATTAATGTTCCTTTCCTTTTGGAAACGTTCATATCCTTGGGCCGATAGGCGACGCCAACGGGTCCTCGTTCAGCATCTTGGACGTTGTCGAGTCCCAATTCCCCCACCGAACTGTCGCCACGGCTGTGGCCTGTAAATCGGCCACCATCCGTAGCTGGCTCGCAATCTCAATCGCCAGATGCGGCATTACTCGAACAATCTTTCCTTGCCACCCCAATTAAATCCCCAGATTGGTCCTTGGCGGCTCTTTCACCAGACGATGATTATCCTTATCAACCACTTGCCGCTCCTTCATTCTCATCATCCTCTTCGTCCTCAAATCAAGACCTCGGCACCTTCCCCACACATTATCAGGATGACGATGACTTGGCTGATGACGAAGAAGATTCCGAAGATGAGACCACAATTCATCGACATCAACGGAAACATACGCTTTCGTCCATTTCTTCGCCCTCTATCACGCAAACCGCTCAACAACGTGAAGAGGAACTTCAGAGGCGGAATGATGAATTGGCAAAGAAGTTACATGATACTAATAGAGAATATGAGAATAAGTTGAGTGATCACGAGGCGGAGATACAGGAGTTACAGGACAGGATTGAGGAATTGAAGAATGAGTTGCAGACGTCGAAGAGGGAGGAGAAAGAGTTACGGTTGAAAGCTGTGAGTGAAACCGCCCCATTGCCCCGTTGCTATGATTGACACGCCCTTATTCATGTTTTCCCGCTGCATCCTGATAGCGTACTTCGAGTTCTCAGCTGGCTACGGTGCGTATGAAGACATGTATACTGATGACTCCTTTTCTAATTCATTTCCCCCGCAGCTTGAAGCGGAGATGGCCAAGTTGCAACGTCAATTGGATGCTTCGCGGAACTCGCACCAGTCGTTACAGAAGCAATATCAAGAGCAGATCGGTACGTTGTCACTCCGAACCTGCAGGCAGTTCAAACTCATAATCTTCATTGATTCAGCCCTCTCGGAGAACTATCGTGATACCATCAGGAAGAAAGATCAAGAGGTGAAGCATGCTGAGGAATTAGCCACTGTGCATCAAAATGACTTGACGAAGGTGTGTGAGGGACCGCCTGTGGTACTTCGTTCATTTGTTTAACATTCGAACATGAATGTAGTGGCGTAACGAACGTGAACTCGCGGAGGCGAACATCGAGTCCCTCAAAGCTGAACTCGCCGCTGCCCAAAGCGCTCACCAGAGTCTGGAGGAGCAAAAACAAGCAAATCAAATGCTCAGAGAGACTATTGACCGTCTTCGACTTGACTTGGATGAGATTCGTATAAGCAATACCGCTGGTGGTGGAAAGGACAGTGCAAAGTCCACCGCGATCAACCAGAGGGGACATGCGAGCAAACGGTCGGTTGCAAGTTTGGCGGCTGAATTGCGTGATCGATTTGATTTGAAGGATGCGGCTGCCGATGGGGTTGAGGTCCAAGAGTTAGATAGTGGGGATGATGATGATGAGTTTGTGGAGACTATCATTACAACAAGCCGTAAACGAGTAAGTGCAAGACTTTCATCCATTCCTTGTAACTGGATAGATTGGCTGTCCTTGTTCAGGTCGGATTGCGACGAAATCAGCATCTGAAACCGGTGGAAGATGCGAAGGAATTTGCCGATGCATCTGCCCAGCATTGTTCAGACGAATTCACATCTTCAATCTCTACTCAGACCCAAGCGCCACTCACACGTTCCCTTGCCTCTACCGGTGCACAAACCTCACCCAACCTTCCCCGCTCGCTCTTGTTCCCATCGGCCTCTAGTGATGTAGATGATGATGATGCAGATTCAAGTTCATCTACCCTGACCGCAACCCCACCGTCACCTTCACCAATGAAATCAAGATTACCTCCTACTCAAATCAATCCCGGCGAACTCCCGCCTTCCTATGCCAATTTAGAGGCGGAAGAAAGGGAACTTATCGGTCGCGAATACCTTCGCAAATTCCATCCAGGAATCAATAGCGACAAAGTGATAGGGTCGCTTGTATCATCATCTTCCTCGCCCATGCCCTCACAAGAAGCTTCTCTCCCTGTATCACAGAGAGCAGTTCAACAGTGGATGAAATTCAAGGTGGAAACTGGTCGTCAATGCGATGCTATAGACCAAATCTTGCTTCGCGGGCAGAACATCTCTGAGGATTTGCAGGCTTCTTTGATGACGATGACACCGAGAAAAGCTCGTGAATGGGCTAACAAGGTCAAAGCGGCAGCCGAGGAAGAAGAGAATAGGGTAGCTGAGGAATCCAAGTCGAAGCCGAGGGCGACGCAACGAAGTCCACGAGGACGATTTTACAAACTTTATCCGTCCTTGTTTTACCCTAACAACGAAGATGGGGAACCTCGTCATGCAGAGAGGAACGTCTTTCTCGCTGGCATGGGTTTCGCTGCTATGATGATGATGGCATGTGAGTGTCTTATTCCAGCCTTCTGCGGCTCGGCGGGTTCTGACGTCTGTGTATGGTGATCAGTGTCCATTATTCCAGCCATGAGACAGGAATACAACGACGCAATGTATTCGGATCGCCAACTGTGGACCTCATACAATACTCTTGGCCAGGTTTCTGTGTACGACGGTTTCTTCAATGGCCCCTCTGCTGGCGGCCAAAGCGCCTCAAATGCTGTTTGGACACTTGCTGGTCATGCTATTCAAGGAGGCATCAATGCCATGCGCCGAGCGCCCCCATCCTAACCATTATTTCTTTTGAATTATGTCCGGTCTCCTTGCTAGTCCCCGCTATCTCGTTTAGTCCTGCGTAACAACCTCTGTTCTAATTGATATGTGACACCGCGGATACCCTTCCAACACATAAAACTGAAGCTGTGTCGCACTGACATCATGTTGTAGATCGATCCCTCCCTTTTTGCGTACTTAAATTCGCTTCCAGTGGCTAATACTTGACGTAGAATATTATCAATCGTGAACCATATCCTCGCGCGTAGTTATCGCCTGCTTCTGAACTTTCGCGCGCGCAACTAATGCATCCAACGTCATTGCATGAGATCTGCATACTAAAAACAATATAACAATATAGCTCACGATCATGATCACCTGATTTAACAACTGGTGTCGGCTAGAGGCGCCGTTCTATTTGCTCTTTCCAGCGCAGCCCTGGAACAACGACACAGCTTTGTACGTTATCTCTGAGTGTGCGCTTTCGAAACCCACAGCCCCCAGATCTCTTGGCCCCACACGCCTATCGGGGAGGGCTACCCCTATCTGCAGTTCGCACCCCCAATTCCTCAACCATCATTGTGCAAGACCTATAGTACTTCCCTTTGATGAATAATCTCTCGTCTCCCGCTCTCGTTGCGCTGGTAACCAAATTGAGGTAGGGCCAGCTGATCAGTTATGCGCCCCGCCGCCCACTAGCGGCCCGGCGACGCCAACGTGTCGACCGACAGAGGACCATTATATATAACCCCGGGGCTTGCTCTTCTTTGTCGGTGATTCCGGGGCGCTTTCGTCCCTCATACTGCAAATGAGAGGTCTGGCGACGCTTAAGATGCGGGGAATGTAAATTGTGTTCCGCTTTCGTGGGCGACACTGCTTTCCCCGAGATTACTCCATGGAGAATGGCGCAGTCCATGTTCCGAGCGTAGCGCTGGCGATTCGAGCGGGCGCCAATTCAAACTCACATGGAACTGAAATGAATAAGGGTGACCCAGCCGGTGAATCTTCCACATCGAAATCTACATCTGATTTTCTGCACGTCCGCTTGCTGTAGGCAGTGTAGCAACTTGTTTTGCGTAAACATGCGCCCTTAAGCCTAATGGATTTGAATCGAGTTGGGTACACAACACAGGACATAGCAGCATATGAAAACCTCATCGCGTTGAACCTAGAGGCGTCCTATCAAGCGTAGTTGGAATATCCTAGAAAACCCATTGGGGAGCCATGGCACATGCTCAGGAGACATCTGGAGAATGCATGCGAATGGTCTTATCGCCACGAGATTTTGCACTCGCTTGGGTTGAATCCATGAAGCAGCAGGGCTTTTCAAACTCAGGGGCTTTTCGAAGCTCCACTTATACTCAATATTGATCTAATGTGTTGCCGGCGGTGATCGGCTCGCAAAGGACCGAGGCCGCCCCCTCACCCGCGCCTTTCTCTCGTATTTGGGTTCCTACACATATGACAAAGCAGTATCAGAGAGGAAGGGGGGGTTCGGAACAGGATCTCCTTGAATGGTACGAAACCGTGCGCGCGGCTCTTGTGCCTTTTTCCCCAACAACTTGGTAGTCGCGCACATTCTGGGTCTGGGCCGAAAGAGTGATGTTTGATGGTTGCGCTTATGGTTGCCCCACCATTCGAGTTCACCAACCCTCCGATCGCCTGTGAACACGTTTCTGGAAATGCAGATCCCATCAACTTGTATATTGGGTTCCTTTAGCCAGTGAATGCTAGGAAAGATATGGGTTACAATTCCACTACGGTGCTTAAAAGTAGGTGAAGACGCCCCGTCTGGCTTGCTTTCCTGAGTCGAGATGCCTCGAAACAAGAATAACGAAGGATGCTTGACCTGCCGGGTTAGAAAAAAGGTTCAGCCTCCCCTCCCTCTTGCCTAGCTTCCCTTAACACAACTGCCCCCTAGAAATGTCCTCTCAAAAGGGCTCCTGATGGTACATGCTTAGAATGTCACAGACTTCACTTTCTCTGCGGAGGATTTGGGGCTACCGTTCCTCCTATCCTAAAGGTGCGTGTTGGGCACTTGCCTAATCTTACGGCTGATAATCCGCTCAGGACAAGAATATGGTCAGATTGTTCAAAGACAGCCTTCGACGTGACCGAGTGCAATCCGATCCATTGGCAAGTCGGTGTCGATCGATTGCTTATAGCCGCCGTCCATCACAACTAATGTGCTTATTTTACTGAAGATTTTGCCTCCGCCTTATTGTTTCCTGGGTCCTTCATTGTTGCCAACCCCATTCCTGAGTCGTCTCTAATCCAAACATCAGCTGACGAAGATACAAGTACTACATTCATCGTACAGATCCCCTCTTTCATGTGATGTCTCTTAATGTCAGACCCCTCACGTTCGCCTCTAAAAAAACGTTGGTCTTTGCTCAATTGGCCGGGCACCGACTGAGTACGGGTCTAAATGAGAAGTATACAGTTCACGCCAATCTTTAGGGCCATCAGCAATCGATTCATGAAATTGAGACAGTGTTAATTCACTAGTTTGATTCAAAATCATCTCTATCGTCGTTCTGCTGCTAGCACAGCCCCTACTAGGTCCCTGCTAAGTTCATGGCCAATTGACCACACGGACGCCCGGGCCCAATTCGTCCGTGTCCCCGGGGTGACACGACGTGGGCTTGCAATGAAATTCAAATGATCGATACTCTAGCCATTAGAGTTCAGGTTTGCTTTGGTACCCGCATGGTTCCTGACACCCTCGAAGGAAGTCCGCCAGCGCAATTCTAGCCGGTTTGAATTCCAATCTGCTCACCGGCAAAGAGCGAGGGCGCTTCCTGTCACCCTACTGTCTTATTAGGAAGCTGTACATATTATAGCGGAGTTGGCCGAATTTATTGTGTCCACTACCGCAACGACAACTACTGCCTTTATTTACCCTTTCATCAGCTTCTATATCTCTTCATATCCACCACTGGGCAGTTTTCCCCCGTGACTCTTCCAACAAACCTTCGCCGCTTAACTTCGCTCCACCAACCACACAGCTGGTGGCTATGCGCGGATGTTTGAGGTTACAGTGGTTCAGCCATGTGTTGCTCTAGTCCGAGAGAGTGATCTCCACCTCCGTTTATTTCCCCATTCTCTTCCTTTACAGCGGTTATTCACACCTGGCAACTGATTCGTTCCGATCTGGTCCCTTGTCACAGCGCCCAACCTTACCTGACTACTGCTGTGCTCACGATACGCATTTGTTTCAAAAAGGGTTCTGACAAGCGCCGGAAATCCACCCTAGGGCGCAGTGGGCAACGGACCAGTGCGAATGGACCCAACCGACCACATTCAATGGCGCCATCTATACTGGCGCCGCAGTGCCGGCCTCAACGTCATCGGTTGTCTCTTTCCCACGGGTTGTCTCGAAATAATTGTGTATTTGTGACCCAATGTCCGAATGTCCAGATTGGGATTGCGTTTGTGCTGGTTCGGCCTAAGGTTTCATCTGTAAATCCTTCCGTGGGAGGGCCTGGAAGTGCGTGATGTTTCAAATAATTCAGGTGTCTTGGATCCTGCAAGTGGATGTGTCAGTTACTGGACCGCGGTGGGGCCCTCGATGGATTGTCGGACTGACGCATAGTTTTTGTGTTAACAATCCTTACGGACAAAGTACGGAACATTCGAGCGGATGGTCGAGTGGGGTCATGCTTGCGAAAGCTATTGTGAGTTTACGACTTCCGTTCCGAAACCTCTGGCCAACTCCACACACGTAACACTGGACAACCTGTTCGCTGGGATGGTATCCAGGTATAAAGGTCCGAGGGAGGGGCTGCAACTTTGACACAACTCGCCGCCTCACCTACAATCATGATCCGCTTAACCACTCAGGTCGCTCTCGTTGCCTCCCTTGCGTCACTGGCCAAGGGATCCCCTATCACTGATGGCCTGAAGAACACTATACACTCTATTAACATCACAAAGAGCTACACTGAGATGGCAATGACGGATTTTATCGAAAGAGAAAAGATCCGTCGCGAGTCGTTTGCTACCTCCGCGGCCGTCGCTGGTAGTGTACCTGCACCAATGCAGATGTTAGCTATTATGTGTCAGTCACCGTTGGGAATCAACCTTTTTCTCGGATGATCGTCGACACTGGCTCTGCGAATACTTGGGTTGGCGCGTCGACGCGTTACGCTGGATCTGGCTGCAGTGCCACCTTTCAAGTCAGCTACGGCTCAGGATCGGTTTCCGGTAAAGAATGTACGGGTAGCGTTTCAGTTGGGAGTTTGACTGTTCCCGCGCAGTCGTTTGGCGCAGCTTCCTCTGCCAGCGGTTTTGACGGTGTCGACGGGTATGCTCCAAAATGCTTTTTCTTCTTCCCGAGTATGTTGTCATCTGATCTTCGTCGTAATTGTGTAGGATCTTTGGCGTGGGTCCCACTGATCTTACGAGCGGGACCGTATCGGGCACAAATACCGTTCCCACCTTTCTCGACAATGCGTACTCACAAGGGTCCATCGTAAGTAATCCTCCAGGAGAATTCATGTGAGTTCCTGATGTATATCATTCCACTTTTCAATAGAGCACGGAAGTCTTGGGAGTGTACTTTAAACCTGAAACCGGTTCTGACACTGCAGATCAGAATGGCGAGCTTACGTTGGGTGGTGTCGACACCTCGAAGTACACTGGCCCCCTGACATATTTCCCTAAGAGCATCGTGTCACCGTTCTCCTACTACTGGGGGATCAACATCGTGTCGATCATGTACGGGATCACCACTATATCTTCATCCGCCAGTGCCATCGTCGACACCGGCACCACTCTGATCTACATTCCCACCCCTGCATACCAGGCGTTCTTGAAAGCGTCTGGCAGCAGCACAGATCCTACGACGGGTCTCTCATCTTGGACAACCAGACCAACGGGAACTATTTCGTTCATGATAGGAAATTCAGCCTTCCCGTTATCGCCGGCGCAATATCTCATCCCTGCCGCTCAGTACGGGCCATTTGGGCTTCCAAGTGGGAAGTTCTATTCGTGGATCTCCGACGTACGCTTTCATCCTCTTGTCGACGAGTATCTTGACGAAAGGTGTTATTTATCCTAGGGTGGCGCGAGTGGCGTGAACTTCATCATTGGGCAGAAATTCTTGGAGAATTATGTGAGTATATTCCACCGCTCCTTTCTATTGAAAGCATAGGACTTAATCATGAACCATGTGTTGTATGCGATACAGTATTCCGTTTATGACACGACCAACTCGCGCATCGGTTTCGCCACCCGCGCATGAGATGCTCAACTTCCTGGGTGCCGGGATGCATATAGGGATGTTGTCGCAGATCAATTTTGTTCCATCCTGCTACGCTAGCCTGTTTGGAAAGCTATGTTAAACTAGCTAGCGATTCACAATGATTTTCTTACCTCAAACGATGAATACCCTGAACACATCACCGGTATCAGCGGCAATGTGTTGTTGGTCCAAGAATCAGAATCAGACAGGAAATGGGCTTGTATAATTGGTGACGTTCCGTGACGCGGCAGAACCCGCTACTCTTCATCCGAATTTTTGCACGGAGGGGAGGAGTGGCAGACATTGGGGAAGGACCAAACTGTGTAGCGGGGAAAGTGGAGGCTGATCCAATGACAAACGCAACAGTGGTACTGGTTGGTGGAGAGGAGAAGAACAAGAAGGGGTTTAGAGGATGTTGATTTCAAGCATCACAGGTTTCGGGGACAGGTTCGGAACGGATGGAAGCGAGGTTCTCGGGATTTACGATATTAGAGGACCCATTGAACGGATATAGTGGCTAAACCTACAGGACCGGCTACTCCGAGAATTGGATATGTCGGATAAGAAGTCCTTGTCCCCCTTAACACACATGGAGTTAATATCGTCTGAATTGCGCTCGAGGACTGAATCATCAGCTTCTTGCCGTGACGATGAGTGCGGCGCTCCATTTCGTTACGCGACCCCCAATTACTGCGGATGAAAAATTTTTTAGCCAGTGAGAACCATGTTTTCGAGCTGGCCATTTCATTTCAGTCAATGTTGGCGAGCATATTATCGGTTCCAGGCGAGCAGTTGCCCCCCCAGTCATGTGCATGAGACATCACAGAGGTGGCTCAATGATTCAGCGAGAGCTGGGGTAGGCACAACGTACCTATCAATAGTGGGGGGATGTTCAACCTGTCTCCGCTAGCTCAAGCGCCCTTGGTTTCCAATATGGAGATGGACAATACCATTAATCGAGAGAACCCGCATTGGTACTTTGAGGTAATTATCGCCACGAACACGCCGACAGATCATCAAAGACGTTCATCAACAACGCGATCACCACATGGCGTATGTATAGGCAGAATCCCAGCCTCTACTAAAGTAGAGCGTAAGTATGTACACCCTTGATATTTGATTTTCAGGACACTCGAATCATGCACAGCTGTAAAACTCCTGCGACTGGTGCCAATATTGAACCAGTTCATTTGGTGGCGGACAATAATACATAAATGTGGCCGAGGTTTCGTTTTAAGAGGCGCGCCAGACACGTGCGCGACGCTTTCGGAGCTTGCCGGCGCCATAGCACGGCTCTGGCCGGTTACCGGCCTCTACTGCAGCTCCAAGTTTGAGTTGGGTTCTTAATGTTCCTCCCACAGCAATCGCATACGTAACACACTGGTGTTGCAATGGGTATCGAAATGAAGAACTTCTAGCAGGCTTCAGTGAATATCTGTAGCCATGGGGCTCCATTCGAGCGTTTCTTTAAGTTACACCTTGCATTCCTGCGAGTTATAGTTCTAGTCATTACATGAAAAAGCGTATAAGGACTCCAATATTGAATTGGCGCTCACTAACGGTGAAATAATTTTCATATTCTCACTTCAACTACTACTGGGGTGGGCAACGTAGGTTGGTTCCGTGTTCCGCTTATGTAATCACATGGAGCAGAAAAGTGTACCAAAAATGTCTCGTGTACTTTCTCACCACACACAACAAATAAAGAGAAACATCATTAGTAAACACTAATCAGGGCTATCGGGCATTGGTAGCGGGAAATGGCCACAAAGGGCCAGGTGGAATTGGCAGCATGCACGCGATGCATGACCCGATCTGTGCTCGTACGTACAAAGAGGAGAAAGAAAGCAGACAAAGGTTAATGGGAGTGATGATAAGAGTCAAGTTGGAAGTAGTGAAACATAAAAAACAAAATACAACACAGAGCTAATGTACAAAGACAATGTAACCAGATAAACATCAAAAGCAAAATACAGCACAGAACTAATGTACAAAGATGATGTAAAAAGATGTACCAAAAAGAAAGATGAACCAAAAGGAGGAGTGTCGGGGAGGAGGTGGGAGACAAGAATAGGCAGCAAGAGCTGAAAGCTGAAGCAAGCGGGAGTGAAGTCACACCGCGAAAAGTGTTGGCAGTAGCAAGTTCAGGGAGAACAGAGCGTCGGTAGTGGCAGCGGCAGTGGGTCAAAGGAGTAAGCCCGGAAAAAGCAGGCGGCAAGTTGGATCTCACTCACCGAGGGAGCACAAGATACCAGGCGATAGGGGGAGGAGAAAGGGGGGCCATCAGGGTCCCTTTATAAGCACGGCTAAGGCAAGTGAGTGCTCTCCTCAATAGCGGAAGTTCAGTACATACCTCCACTGAATGGTCCGCTTCGCGCATCTGGCCAAAACATCCAGCATATGTCTGAGGCAGTGTCCCCTTACCCATTCAGGCTAAGTTGCGTGAGAAATCACGAGAGATCACCGCAATCAGTGCTGGGAGGCATGTGAATGTTGGAGTAACAACGACCCGTGACTTACCAACCAACACCACATGATCCCTCTTACATCCATATTTGCCTCGTGACACAATGTATATAATTGTATATACTGTTTTCGCTCTACTTTCCTTTTCTCCTCAGTTCTTCATTCACGGAGACTGAGGTTAGTATCATTGCTTTTAGTTAGTTGTTACATTACTTACTCTGTACTCTTCTGTACTATAGCTCCCGCTTTACGTTAGTACTAAACGTAGTAATTCAGTTCTTCATTCACAGAGACTGAGCTCCCACTTTAGCCCTCCTATTAGTGAATGCCAAAACAGTCCTGACAGGGTGCAGCCAGGTTTCCCAGTGTCAGGGACAGCTCCAAAAGCGGCGAGGTCCCGGTGCGAGGGACTCAATGGGACAGATGTTGGCTATGCGTAGCGGCGGTCCCGTTGCGGGTGAGCGTCCCCGACTGAAGTGGGAAGTTGAATTATCATTAAAAGGGGAAGCTACAGTACTTACCTGAAGTGGGAAGTTGAGAAGAAGGCTGCTTCTTCTGTTCCCACCCCAGGTGCTATTATATACATGCGGTTGGGGTCACGTGGGAAGAGCCACATCATCCCCGCACACAGCCGCACTCCCCTGGGTATCTCTGTGGGAGATCCCAGAGGTGTGCCGCTCTGTGAGCGGGAATGCGCATGGCGGGCGCGGGGATTGGGGGAGCGGGGTTAAGTGTGTAGTAATACATAGAGAAGGGGAAGTCGACCATGGAACGGAAATAGAAAGAGAGAAGGAAAGGGGAAAGAAGAAACAGGGAGTGATAGCAGGGGAGCGGAGTAGGGCGGCGCGGCGCGGGGTCAGGTGGGGTGTGCCCTGACATCACCCCCCCTTAAGCCGCTTCGCCTCGAGGCGGCTGGGCGGTTCTCTCTTTCTCTCCCTGGGGCATGTGGGTGCGTCCGGTGGAACTCCTCGACTAGGTCTGAGGCATGGGTTAGGTTGTCGCGCGTGAGCCATTGGTTTTCTGAGTGTGGCCAGCCTGTATACTTTACCAGGTACCGGAGTTTTCGGCGCAGCCACTTGGAGTCCAGGATTTTCTCTACTTTGTACTCCTCTTCTCCATCCACGAGGTCTGGGCCTGGGTGGGAGTCGGCAGGGCGTTCCGTGATCTCGTCCGGGCGGTGCGGTCTGATGTTTGTTACCGATACGACTGGGTGGATCCCTCTTTGTCGGGTGGTGAGCCGGAGTTTGACAGCGGCGGGGGAGACAACTTTAATAATTGTGAAGGGGCCGGTCCATTTATGGTCCAGCTTCTTGGTTTGGCAGTCTGTCGTGTAATTCTGGGTGCTGAGCCAGACCTGGTTGCCTTCTTGGTACGTGGGGGCCACCTCGCGGTTCCGGTCGTAGTAGCAGGCCATCTCGTCCACCGCGTGCTCTAGCGCCGCCTTTGCCTCTTCTTGCATCTTCATCATCCTCGATGAGAAGGCATCAGCGGCTTCTACTTCGGATGTGCGTGTGGGCTCTGTCCCCATCCTAGGGTGTTGGCCAGTGTTGAGCTCGAAAGGGGTTCAGCAGGTGGAGGAGTGGACGCGGTTGTTATAGGCGAACTCCGCTAGCGGGAGCCAGTCTGCCCAGTCGTCTTGGCGATGGTTGACAAACACCCGGAGGTAAGCCTCTACCTCTTGGTTTACTCTCTCCATCTGCCCGTCTGTCTGGGGATGGTAGGGCATTGAGGGGGTGAGCTTGACGCCGAGGAGGTCCGTGAGTTCTTTTGAGAATCGCGAGACAAATGCGCTCCCTCTATCGCTGAGAATCTCTTCAGGGAGACCATGGTGCTTCCAGACGTGTTCGAGGAAAAGCCGCGCGATCCCCGCTGAGTCCACCGTTGTCACCGTTGGAATTGCATGGATGCGTTTGGATAGGTGGTCCACTACGACCAGGACAGTGTTGTAGCCCTTGGACTCGGGGAGTTCTCCAATCATGTCTACTGAGATTACTTGCCAGCGGCGGGCGGGGATCTTGTTCGGGATGAGCTTTCCCACTTTACGAGAGGGGAAGGATTTGACATGGTTGCAGGTGTCGCATCCGCATACGTACCACCCAACATACTCCGCCATCCGTGGCCACCAGTAGTCGCGGGAGACGAGTTCCAGGGTCTTCCACTGCCCTGGATGCCCCGTCGCACACGCTGAAGGAGCGGAGCTGGATCACCTTATGTAACCAGTTTCCTACATCCAATAACGATATTAGAGTTTGTGCTGATTTGCGTACTGACCGTGTTTTGGTTGCCAAATATATAATTGTTCACTGTCTAAACAACAATAAACACCCCCCAACGATCTCACCTGACGTATAGATTGTCTATGGATAAAATTCTATATTGACTTTACTATGATTTCTAGTCAATATTACACCTAGATATACCACTTTTCAGCAGGACGTGATTTTCCTGATAATTTACTGAAGGAAAACTACTAATAAAATAATTCCACAATAAATGTTACTCAATACAGGAGTGACCAAACTGCTCTTTCTATCGCTTAGAGTGCATGCTAGTTATCTAGCAGGTTCAGGATTGCTCACTTTTCTCCTGTGGTGTGATAACCAAGTATTGCTGAGAGATTATTCAATTAAGAAGTCCCTCCACCAAATTCTCACTAATTCTCACTATGACACTTTTGTTCAGCTGTGTCTAACTGACCCTAACTCACGCTTAGAGTGACATGTTAGTTTTATATTAGCTAACAACTAATATTTGCTTTTATCTTTTGGAGCAAACGAACCAACCACTGGTGAGGAGAATTAAACTTTTATTTCTACCTGAGGTTTGAGAGGGGGCAGAAGCGGCGGCCTTTTATGCTTTTCAGAGACCTCTCTACTCCCACGCCTCGCACTAGTTACATGTGCTACATTTGTATTATAGATAGTTCTAGAATGATATAGGGGCTTGGGCTGTGTAAGCTTAATAATGGACTTAGGACATGACTCAGCAATAAGTAATTCATTTCTTTGTCTTTTGGGCCGATCTTAGCGGGATCTTGTAGCGCTGAAGCTATGCTCTACACCGCCTTAATTACGAACGGTTATCTTTAGAAATGACTCGGCTATAAAGGAACTTTCTAGACTGTTCTCTAATTGACCCCTTTTTTGTGAAGCCGCATCATTACTAATGTTCTAGAGCCTTCCCAATTAATTAACTGATCCGCGGACTTCTGAATCACTTCATGCTTATAATCCGAGATCCAGATCATCAATCATTCCTTTGTTCCGATTTATTTGAGCTTAAAATCAAAAAGTTTTGATGAATCATGGGAAAATATACAAGATCTGGTTTTTTAGCATTTTCTCCTCTTCTGATGCGATCAAAAACTGTCCGCCCGCGCCGGGGAATACTCTGTCATATGGTATTTGGTCCGCCAGACTTCCGGGCGCCAATATATTTCCCTTGAGTCACATTACTTTTTGTAAGAATTAGCAAATAAATATATATGAATTATAAGGTGTTTCGCCGTTTGAGCAATATCTCCGTCAGTTTTGAAGCTTTTAGAATGAAACAAAACCGTGGATAAAGTTAAGAAACAGTCCTTTCAGATGGTAAAAAGATTACAGTCAAAAGTTTACTGGTTCCCGAGATATTCACATTTCTTTCCCAATGTTCCCTCTTATTCTGCCGTCTATGTGCTATTTTCTTGTTGTAGGGATATATTCTTTGAATATTACACCTATGCCAGGTTCTAGGCATGATTGTAGTAGATTAAATCTCATGCTACATGGGTGTAGATAATTTATAATGATCTTCTAATGTCTGTCCAGTCTCATAAAGATCATGAGATCTGTTAAACGTCTGAACTTGTCACCTGTTCGTTGACTATTCTGATAGATCATTGTTTTATTCTTTGAATATTATTTCTCCTACAGCGTGTCATGGTACAGGCGCACTAGGTCGTGGCGGAGTTGCAGGTCTTTCGGGACGTATACTTTTCCTCTGTACAGAACCAGCTCTCCTTGTTTCTCCCACTCATCCGACCTCAGCGTGCCCTCTCCCAGTTCCTGCATCGCCTTTACTACCTTCTCATCCAGGTCCTTTGCCCTGCTGATCCTCTTGAGGATGGTCATCCCTTCGCCTTCCACCGTGACTGCCTCCGCCGCGCAGGCCTCGAACCAGGCGGGTTGGAGGAGAGTCAACCCGTCATTGTCGTCCTTGCCTTTCGGGTGGTCAGCGCAGCGCGAGAGCGCATCAGGTTTTCCCATGAGTTTCCCTGGGTGGTGGATGAGGGTGAAGTGGAATTGGGAGAGGAAGAGTGTCAGGGACGCGTCCGGGGTCGAGAGGGCCCGGGGGTAATATCCGGCACTGAGGCCATCGCGGGGTGTGGAGCGGGTGTGCGTACTGGCGGGCCCGATCCGGGACAGTGGTCCCTGGCCACTCAGACTGAAGTGGAGAATGTGTTATTATTATTAAAGGGGAAAACTATACTACTTACCTGAAGTGGAGAATGTGAGAAGAAGGTTACTTCTTTGGTTCCCACTTCAGGTACATTTATGTACATGCGGCTTGAGTCACATGACAGGTGCCATGTCATCCTCGGAGGCAGCCGCAGGCATCCGGGTGTCCCCATGGGGGATCCCGAGAGCGTCCGCTACATGCGCGCATGCTGGGCACAGCGGGAAGCTGTCCGGGGTGTGTGGGCTGGACGGGTCAATAGTACATTGATACAAAGGAAGGTGGTCCGTGTAGATAGAAAGAAATAAACAGGAAGGGGAAGATGAGAAGAACGAAATAAAGAAAGGGGAAAGAAGAGGGAAAAGAAAGGGGAGGAGAGGGAGGAAGGAGGGGGAGGGGGATAGACAGCGGGGAGCGGGTGTGGTGTGGCTGGGTGGGCCCGGGTGGGCCCGGGTCAGGCGGGTGTGCCCTGACATCACCCCCTCCTTAAGCCGCTTCGCCTCGAAGCGGCCAGGGGGTTCGTTCTCTCCCTTCCTGGGGCGTGGGGGTGTGTTTGGTGGAACTCCTCGATCCAGTCAGGGGCA